GACGACACAGTTTTCCATATCCGCAAAGATCTCGTTCATCATGCTCTGGAAGGTCGCCGGTGAATTGGTCAACCCAAAGAACATAACAAGGGGTTCGAAAGATCCTCGGTGGCACGTGAACGCGGCCTTCCAAGCATCTTCCTCTTTGATTCGTACATTGTTGTACCCCCATCTGAGATCCATCTTTGTCAGGATCTTGGCGCCAGCCAATTTGTCCACTAGCTGACTAATCAAAGGCAGAGGATACGCATTTTTAACCGTGTGCTCATTCACGTAACGATAGTCCATAATCATTCGCTTTTTACCATCCTTTTTAGGAATGAAGAACACCGGGGACGTCATAGGACTTTTGGAAGGTCTGATGTAACCCTTCCTAAGTTGTTCGTCTATGAAACTAGATACCTCGTCTCTTTTGGGAGCAGAGAGCGGTATCATGTGTCCCTTCCTTGGTTTGAAGGTGTCTTTCAAATCTATAGCATGGTCCCAAGGCTTAGCCTCTGGGAAGCGCTCTGATTTGTGTTTTGAAAAGACCTTCCAGAAGTCGTGGTACTCAGGAGGTACCAGCCTCTTAATCTCTTCCTCAGGTTTTACCTCATCATCATCATCGTCGATCTTTTCTAAAGATCTGAGCTCGTAAACGTGACTAGCGTTTAACTTTTTGAGACGCTCATTGTGACGGACATGATTTGGTTTACCCAAGTTTACACATTCCTGGGGACAATGTGACAATGTGACAACCCCTGTCTGCCAGTTGATCTCAGGATTGTGTTTAAATAGCCAGGTCCAGCCTAAGATTAAATTAATCTTCCCTAGTTGGGTAGCCTCGGCAGTGACTCGTTCTCTGTGTCCTTGGTATTCGACCACAAAAGAACATTTGTGTGTAATACAGCCACCTGCGTTAAGCGTACCGTCAACGTTATAGACGGGAATAGACGTTTCTAATTTTACAAGGGGGAGTCCAATTTGCTCCGCCCAGACCTGATCTATGAAGATCCCGTTAGCGCCTGAATCAAGCAGTGCGCTCGTTGAGTGTACTTTGCCCCTGGCAAGGTTTTCCACGCCAACGTCTAAACGGATCTCCTTTTGGAATAAATATGTGCACATCAACACACGCCTTGGGATTTCGGGAAAGGGTGGCTCCGAAGAAGAAGAAGAAGAAGAAGAAAAAGAAGGAATCTTGAATGACACATGTTTTTCTATTTTTGTTTTACCAGAATCAAGCACCCTAGTGTTTGTCTCGCCGGGGCCACGCTCCAAGGGAGACGCTGGTGCAGCGGTAGTATTATAAATATTGCAGTTACATTTCTTCATACAAGTACATACTTCTGATAACAAATTTAAAAACTTATTTACAAATTGGGGAGCCATCCCCGTCATTCCGTTATTGCTCGTGCAACACCCCGGAGCAGGGGCCACTTTGTTGTGGTTTACTTCATTTTTACCAGGAGCTAAGGCACCCAAGTGACCTAAGCCCCGAATTCTTTTCCCTGAGCCTTCATTTCGTTGACCTGTTGGTCATAGAAGAAGGCCCGGATTTCGTCGTAAGAACGACCGGCCAAAGAGTTGAGCCGATCGTCCGGCTTCTCGATTTCTAGTTGGCACGCCTGGCGCCCTTGATTATTTTTTTGTTGGGCAGCCTGTGCCCTGTTTCTACAGTCTCGGGACATGTGTCCCTCTTGGCTGCAGTTGTAACAGTTGCCCTTGAATCTGCGCATTTGTCCGCCTTGGACCGCGCCGATATCCATAGGAGCACCCTGTCCTGGCTGCAGCCCGAACGGCTTGAACCCGTGAGAGTGATTATGATGTTGGTTTGATGACCCAGGGCGCCTCTGGGGTGTGTTGTTTTGTTTGGTGGACCCGCCACCTTGGTGCATGGTATAGAGCTCTATGGCTCTACCGACTCGTCGTACTTCCTCAGCCGCCAGGGCCAAGTTGTCACTTCGTGTATCCTGCAGATAGATCTGTTCTGCAATGCGAGGGTTCACATTGCGTTCTAGCAGTTCCACTGCATGTTCATTGCCAAGACCCCCTTGGATTGAGAGGGCCAGGAACCGGGTTACGAAATCATCCGTTCTCATGTTTCCTTGTTTGAAGGAACGGATTTGCTGACGCGCCCAGTCACGCTCAGCTTGCGGTTTGAAATATTTTTCGATCTCGGTTTTGAGATCGTCCCAGGTGGGCCACACACCCGCGGTGTAGCATTCCTGGAGTCTTACTTGGGCGTATCGACCCACCACAGGTCCTTTTAGGCGAGATAGCACCGCAGTGGCTACCTCAAAATCGTCGGCAAACGCGTCCCAGTTCGCCTTGACCCAAATCTGGAGCTTGATCCACCATTCGGCAAATCGCGCTCTGTCTCCTTCGAAGGCGCCAGGGTCAGCGACGACTTCGACTTTCTTGTTAAACTTTTTCTCTACCGAGGGGGTTGCTACAGGGGGGTTGGCCTGTATCTCGGCGAGCTGCGAGGTTAATGCAGCTATCTGCGTACGCATTGCGTGCAGTAGCGCATTCATGTCTTGGGGTTGCGACGACATGTCGACTTGTTCTCTTTGGGTAACGTAAAAATAGGTAACTGGGGGTCCCCGCTTGCTATCTGCGGATCAACCTCTTCCCAGCTGAGTATCGGATCTCAATCTCCGACTACCCACACTATAGTATTTAAAAAGGTATATAAAAATGTGTTTGTAATAAACCCTGGTCCGAACGGTTGTCAGGGGGTGGTCCACTTGTTAAGCTGTCAACCCTTCTCCAGACTGGCGGAGGCAAGTGCCCGGCCTGGTCAGAGGTATTCGAAAGTGAAAGTTTGTATTCTAAATCTAATCAACAGTGGTTCCACACCGACTGCTGAGCTAAGGTACTCCCCTTAATGCTGGGGGCCGCGTATCGAAGGTTTGCGTTCTTCTCCCGAAGCACTACAAGGCCGTCGCTAGGAGCGCACCTATCTGCTATGTGGGATATTCCTAACCGCTAACCAATCTCCTTCACCCTGGAGTCCGGGTGCCCAATGGGACTTTTGCACACACGTGCGAGAGAGTAGAAGAGCGAGTCCTAATGTAACAACCAAGAGTTAGTTACTCTGGCGCACACAAGAACACACTATAAAGAAGATGTTGAGGGAGTGGTTACCCCTTAAGCTGCAGAGAGTTTGTTGGTATACAACAGGAGGACTCGCTGAGGAGTCTCCTGGATCTATTGGGGTATATATACTACTACAGGTTGTTTGTACATGTGTACTATACAGTTGATGAAGGCAGTGGCTGATGATGTCATAGGGCCTAGCCCGTATGGCCAGCTCCACTGTGTGAGAGAGTTAAGTCTAAAAGTAAAAGAAAGGCAACGCGGCGCGAGAAAGGGAAATGCCGCGTGGCACTTAAAGTATAAAGTTAAAGCGGAGAATAAAAAAGGAAAGGAGATGTCCGGAAATTGTGTTATCGTAACAATCAGTCGCTCGCCTTGCCTGGTTGGAGCGTGGGTGGGTAATTTTTGAGCTGGAGAAGGTTCATCCCCTTGCGTCGCCCATGTTCATCGCTGTCCCATTCACTTGGGTACACTTATCTTTTGTCCATCGTCTTCGCTACAGCTACACCTATCACACGCTCCCTGGGACTCACTTGTTCCAAATTGGAACTACTCCTCTCCCTCCCTTGTTTGATCAGGTGGTCCAACTCAACCAGTCCATTGGTAAGGCCATGGAACTGTCGGATTTGGACTAGGTGGTGGACCGGTGGCTCCAGTTTCTTTTTCTTCAGCAGAACATTCATTTACAGTGCGATTATTTTTGATTTTTGAATCATTTTTATGGACACATATTTTTTTAGAATGCCTGACTGACAATAAAGGAACTGTGTTGATACTGATAGTGTTTTGCCTTGCCCTTTTTTTACTGCATCTTCCCATGACATCATGATTTTCCTGCTCTCTTTTTGCTATTGGACTTTACTTTATGGCTGTACAAACCTGTGACATTACTCACAGCATTCATTGTTCTATCTCTTTCTTTTCCTTTTTTTGACAATCTTATCCTGTACTACCTACGCAGGATTTGTCAGCATACATTCCTTCCTTCATGTTCTTTCTCATTCTTTTTGCACAGCTATACTGTGCATAGCCTACTTTTCTTTTACTATATAAACCCCTGTATTTTACCTTGTAAAAAAAAAAACAACAAGAACTCCAATCCAGACTTCTTCTCTACTCTCAAGTTCACTACTCTGCTACTTGTGATCCAGTGTGGTCACAACACTTCCCACTTTTACCACTGTCAACTGCTGTCATCGTCACTTCCCACTTTTGAAGTCATTGTCATCCCTTTCGATTAGAGTCCTTCTGAGCACTACAGTTTGTGCGTCAGGAGCCTGCTATCACTGGGAACCTCGTCATATTGTCGTTCTCAAACCTACCTTGTGCTACGATTAGCAAGGTAGTGCTCGTCTATACTCGTCACAAAGCCCCTATCCTTCTATAAATTCAACTATCCCTCCTCCTCAAAACCCACACTCATACACCTCTGGGTTTTACTTTGAAGGATCTTTATACGTACCACCCCACGAACAACCAGACCACTCCACTGTTCTAGGAGGCAAAGCCCATAAACAAGTTCCGTGGAATCTGGGAGCATTGTGTGTTAGTTTGTTTTGTGTGTGGTTTTCTAACTGCAGTTCTCATCATCGACACCGTGCAGCTGCAGCTCTACATCTCAGTGAAGTGATTATACATACCTGTCTGGCCCTCTCCTGCTGATGCTCTTTTCACACCGAAGGTGTCGGATGAGCTTGTAGTTGATGTTCTAACCCCTAATACACTCTTTGTCAATTAATGGAAGACTTCATGCTGCACATCACTGGTGTACCAACCATGATCAATATCAAGAGGGAGGATGAAATGTAATCTCTCTAGAGGTGGTGGTGAATGGGCTTTGTCGTGGCGCTGTCGTTCTCGTGACGTGTGACAAACTGTGACTAATTCGTAACGAAAACTCAGTCATACAGGACCTGAGGCCTGAGGAGAGAAAGATTGATGTAATCGTCATGACTAAATCTAGTACGTACACCATCATCCGTCTGTTCTACTTCACTCACCCCAGTGCCTGTGCCCTTTTCATCTATAGTGGTTGACTGTAGGAAACGCTCACTCCCTGACGATTTTTTCCAGCGTGCAAAGAAGTCAAGGCTAGTCAAGACTGCACCATCAAAGCTAGGCTCGCCATCGTACTATAACAAGGCCTTACCTACGAGAGGATCTTGGACGACCGTCCTTCACCGGACAAGGTTATCCCTCCTGTCGCGCTCCTGTACCATGGCTTTGGCCTCTTCCTGGATATCTGTCGGGGCCGTTTGGATATACAACAGCTGAAGGAAGTTAAACAGAAGGATCTAAAGTTGGCTGTTGATATTTTTGCACAGAAGATGTCTGGTTACTACTGTGACGAGGACGAAAGGAGGGATGCAGCCCTTACCGCTATACACCACATTTTTAGCCATCGCACTGGCGTTCAGTTTCCGAGACCTATGGCTGCTTCCATCAGTAAGGTAAGGTCGGATGACCACTTCATCGGAGACCACGGCACAGCACCTTGGATTGTTGTCATCAAAAACTGCCTAGCCAACATCAGTACAATTCCCTTCGTCGAGCTTACTGGTTATGTTGCACGTGCCAACAGCTAGGGCATGGAAGAACATCAGAATGTGTTTCGTGGCTGGAGGGTGCCGTGTCTCGGCCTGACTATTGTTGGTGAGTTAATCATTACTAAATTTTTGGTCTTGCGCATTATACTAGGTTGTGATGAGACATTCTATGCGATAATCGCTCTTGACCACCAATACCGGGCTGCCCCCCTCACCTCGACTCTATCATGCCTTCCATCTGCGAACGATGGTGGCGACCGAAAGGCCCTCTATGCCGCCTTCACTGCAGCATCAGTTGTTCTAGCATACATATTAGAGGACGCCAGGACATTCCGACAATCACTGCCTCCAGACACACTCCGCCGGTTTCCAGCTATTACCAAGCTGGGCAAGTACGGCTGCAAGTCCAACGGCGATGTCGAGTTTCAAATTCAAAAGCTTCATCCTGACCGACAAAACTACCGCCTGCTGTATATTGCCAAGACGAAGGACGGGAAGGAACTTATCACAAAGTTTGTGCGTCAGTATTCAATAGAGCTACATCAATGATGTACCAACCTCAACCATGCACCAAAAAAAATTCTGGGTTTCGAGAGGCTTCCTGGTGGCTGGAACGCAGTTGTTATGGAATATGTTTCGTCAGCCGCGCCGATCCTTAATTCAGAATGCCTCGCTGAGCATAGAAAGCGGTGGGAAAAGGAGTTGCGGAGGCTTGTGGAATCCTTCCATGAGAAAGGTTTCGTACACGGAGACCTATGTGACCCAAATATCATTTGCGACGACCAGAATAGGATGATGCTCATCGACTTTGATTAGGGTGGCAATACCGGTGAGGTGTCCTATCCCACCGACGTGCTCAATCCAGAACTCACGGAAGGTCGAAACGCCACTGACCTGAGAATCACCAAAGACGACGACAATCGGGTCTTGCAGATCACTCTGGACAAGCTTCACCGGTGAGTTGAGTGCAGGCGTAGTAGCTTTGATTAGGCTGGTCTCGTGTACATAGACACGTGATGCGATGATACTACTATGCAAGATGCAATATTAATATAGTCACTCCGTTTCCCAAGGATAGTACCTCTCTGATTACCGGTGGCCAGTATCATCTCCTACAGCGAACAGTACGCTGGCACGCATTGACACTGTTTTTATTATAGAGTCAGTGACCTGTAGGTGATTAAATGCAATGACGAAGACGCAACTGAGATGGCGAAACAAATCCCGCACCTCTTATAAAATCCCCAAGGCCACACTTTCCATATCTCCACAAATGTACGGAGCCGGCGATGCGCTTGTGCTGATAGGAAGAGCATCCGCAAGGCGAGAGGGGGCAGCTAGAGGAAGACAAGAGCGGTATCTGATCACCCACGCGTGTTTGCACGACAGGACAACTTGGGAATGATAGTGATAATCGGGTGAGATACAAGTCAGACGACGGAAGAGAATAAGGCGTGAATGGACATACTTGACATCATGCTCTATAATCTGCGAGACACAGTTCAGGCTTTCACTATCTCTCATAAGTTTAGCAGCAGCAGAATTATCAAGACATGGATAAGACCCAAAAACTATTTTCATGCGAGAAAACAACGCCGATGCCCTGTTAGTTGTGGAAATTAGATGTGCGCAGTATCCGGGTAGTCAGCGTTGGTACTGTATCGCAGTCGTGATACTGATACCACCGTCGTTTAGTCTACGCATAAACAAAAAAGGGTCGAATCATGTCGATGACTTGTACTCACCTAAAATATACCATGTATGGCGACATACCCATCACCCCTCAACCCTAGCGCATCAAGCAACCTAAACAAGTGGAATACATTGTTTTGTTCATAGTCATTCAGCAACGCAATGTTGAGTGTTCCACGGACGGTGCGTGCGCCAGGGGAGACACTCTATGCGGGAATCAATTACCCTTTTGGATTGTTGATACATCTGGATTGAAAGAACAGATAGTTTAACACGGCTATATAGACTATAGAAGCAAAAATTACGCACATGAGCAGAGGACGACCAATCAGGATCGGGTGAAGAGTTACAAAACCGTAAACTGATCATTTGCGCCTGATAAGAGAAAAGAATGAGAAAAGTTTTGAGAGGATACCTTTGAGAACTCAAGACGGTAGGAAGAATGTAAATACAATATACCATCCTTTCTGGTGACGTCTAATGTAATGCGTGGTAGTAGCGCCATTGACACTGCTCACATTGTCGAGTTATCCACACCATCCATAACATTAAAGCACGACTAGAACACGGCCACAGGACGTGTGCGATGAGATGAAGATAGATGGTCTATAAGCATATAGGATAAGACAAGGTCACAAGGAGAACTTGGAAGCAAAGATGGTAGCTAGGGAAGTGACACATTAGCGCGCTGGTGAGAGGGAGAACCAAACTAGGATAGATGAAGACGAGAAGAACAATTACAGCGAGAAAACTGAACATGCTCAAGGCAGCAAACCTGTTTGATAATGAATTAATATTAATATTTTCAGGACACACCCACCAAGACATGACAACGACTCCAGACAGAGCGGAGGCCAGTATAATTGATGGCATCATGAGAGAGTAAAATTGCAGTGATGTTGATAGGACTCCGTGGTTGTCATTGGACAAACACAAGTCTTTCTAACTCGTCGGGCAAGTGCGATTTAAAGCTGGCCTCGTTTTCCAAGGCTGCATCCTGAATCATACGATGTGAATATTGGGGTGTTGAGAGGAGAGGAACGAATGATTGGTGCCATTTTCAGAGTATCTTGTGAGATATAAGCCGTGGGAATACAGCATTGCCTCCATCGTACGACAGTCTCGAGTGCTTATAATAAATAGACTCTGGTCAGACCGACCTCTAAAGCACAAAATGCCTTCCCAGAAGAAAGGAAAGATACAAAACGAGTTAAATCCACGAACGACAGAATATGAGTTCCTTGGTCCACCAGGAGCCTTCCTCATCACCTTCGGTGTTCCCCTCACCGTGTACGCCCTCTTCTTTGGCTGTTCAGAATCGTCGGGCGGCTGTCCCCCTCCTCTCGCGTCCATCCCAGAGCGCTTCACCACTGCACTTTCAGACTGTGCATTCTGGAGCAACCTGTGGGATACGCAGGCCGCTTTGATATATCTTGCTTGGTATGCTTTCTGTGTCGTTGCGTGGACGATACTACCTGGTGACTGGGTCGAAGGCGTTACTATGCGGACGGGCGAGAAAAAGAAATACAAAATAAATGGTGCGCCCCTTGCTCTTTGTAAATGTTGTTAGTATGTTCAAGTTGAATGAACCGTTTGCTCTTAGCGTTCTCGACATTCCTCCTTGCATTAGGACTGGCCGTGGGCTATATCTACAGAAACGGACCTCAATCATTCACCTTTTTGTACGAAAAATGGGTCGGTTTCGTTACAGCGTCTCTTGTCATGTCTGTCGCACAGGGTCTTGCCGTCTACGTCGGCAGCTTCAGAAAAGGCGCATTACTAGCCCTTGGTGGTAACTCTGGGAATTTTATCTACGATGTGCGTATATACATTTCTCCTTCACCCTTTCACTGCCCTGGTTTATTTCCTTATTCCTTGTTGCGCTTGAAGTTTTCTACTTTTTGCTGACCTTCACATCTGTACAGTTCTATATCGGTCGTGAACTTAACCCATCCATCGGTTCCTTTGACATCAAGTCTTTCAACGAACTTCGTCCAGGCCTCATCCTTTGGACCCTTGTCAACATCTCAATGGCGTGCGAACAGACCGTAAGGACAGGTGGTGTCAGTGACGCCATGTGGCTTGTACTGCTCTTCCAGGGATGGTACGTTGCCGATGGACTCTACAACGAGGTGAGCCCTTTTCTCGTCGCTAGTTCTTGGTGGTGTATATGCATGCCCGGGGATGAGGCTAGGAGTGAAATTACTTTGACGTTGTGACTGACTTTTTGCGCATCACAGCCTGCCATCCTTACCACCATGGACATAACCACTGACGGGTTCGGTTTCATGTTGTCAGTCGGTGACCTCACCTGGGTTCCCTTCGTCTACTCCCTTCAGGCTCGCTTCTTAGTTTTCAGGCCCGTCGAACTGGGCTCGGGGCTTTACCAATACTTCGATAACGAATCACGTGAGAGACCTCCTTTGAGCGGTCTGAATCGAACATTTCGGTGCTGATTATGACGCTTTTCGTCGTGTCTGATGTTTTTATTGTAAACAGAAATCCCTCGCTATCTAGGTGTACTTTCCATCCTTTTCGTTAACGCACTCGGCTATTGGATCTTCCGTGAAGCCAACGGCGAAAAGAACGACTTCAGAAATGGGAAGAATCCTAAGAGTGAGCTCTTTTTTTGCACTCCTCCAAGTGCTAAGCTGATGAAATTAACCTCTTTTGATTCGCCGCTTCTTTGATATCTCGCATCCCTCTCATCTGCTGGAACTAACCATGTGAAATTGAAATTCTTGCTATCTCTTACCATGGTGGGAAATGAAATCTTGAAACTTCAAAGACCTCCAATACTTCACTACGGAGTCGGGCTCTAAGCTCCTTACCACAGGCTGGTGGGGACGGTCAAGACATCCCAACTATTTGTGAGTTTTACTCGTTCCTTTTTAAAATGTCATTGTTATATTCGTGTATGTCTTGGGGTGTAGTCTTCTTGTGTGACCTTTATTAACGCAGTCACTATATGCATTATGTACTATTTCCAGTTCTTACGCTTTCTGTACTGCCGATTTTTCCCTCTTTTTTAACGTCGTGTCACGGTTGTGCTTTATGCTCATCATTCCTCACCGCCAGCGGCGACCTTGTGATGGCGCTCGCCTGGTCCCTCCCTACAGGGTTCACCACCCCCGTGACCTATTTCTACGTAGTCTACTTCACGGTCTTGCTCGTGCACAGACAGAGAAGGGACGAGGAAGCTTGCGAGAAAAAGTGAGTAGCCACTTCCATCCCGTCCCATCAATCCATCAATCTCGTCACACGATGATTCTTTATCGCATGCTCATTCCCGCGCTTTCGTTCATCATCCATAGGTATGGCAAAGACTGGGCCAAATACAAGAAGATGGTGCCCTACCGGATCATTCCCTACGTATACTAAACGGTAACGAGTGCTTGCGAAGGGCGAGGCTATCTCCACGTCGTGAAGAATTCGACTGCAGAACTGGAGAACGAGAACTTGGATTGGACTTGCGTATCCGTTGTGTGTTGAATCGTTAATGATAAGTTACTTGTCGCTTTGTTCTCTTGTGATATCTTGCTATTTATCCTGGAAGTAATTGTATGAAACCCTTTTATTGCATTGTTGGCCTCAGTCTCGTCCTCCGATCACGACTGAGACTGCAGAGGCAAAAGCTATCGAGGTTTCTGAAGCTTGAAGAAGGCGTAGGTAGGGGTACGCCCATCAACTTTCCCTTGAGCTGGATATTTTCTACGCCAATCATGCGCAGTGAACTTCTCGATGATCTTATTCTAGTGCTTTCTATCAAATCCAGCTTGATAGCGCGATCTCCATAACCGAAGAACTTTCGGCCAGCTATGAGCTGTACAAAGAGATAAAGCGGTGGAACCCAAGGACATGCGTGAATCTATCGAGAGAAGTCCACACAAGTCGCAAGTCGATACGTCACCGAGCAAGCGAAAAAGGACCATCTTGACCATAAACCATACCTTTAGAATGCCGATCAGCATATAGCTTATCTTCCTCTTGTCAGTGTACTGTTTTCCCGCCGTTCATCATAGGAGGTATACCATACAATTCGGAAATACCATAAATAGTTACTTAGAAGCACAGAGACTAGATACGGAACATAGTCTTAAATAACAATAAATTCATCAGTCTCCCAATTCCTCGCCCTTCGTGGCTTTTTTTTTTACAAGGAGCCTAGGCACTGGGGTTCGTTGGTGGCATGATTAAGATGAAGGCGACGCGGCAACGAAGGCGTTGAAGTTGTACAAGGTAGGGTCAGTCTGGAAGTCGAACCCAGCGGGCGTGAAGTCAACCGAGTTCACGCCGTTCCGTGCAATCGTTCCAGAAACGCTGCAGTCGGTTGTGAACGGCAACTGCAGCTTGTTGGCTCCAGCAGGCAATGATGTGAACGTCTGGGTCGTAGAACCACAAGACAACGTGACATCAGCTGTAGAGGTAAGCAAAGCTACAGCCCAGAGATAGTCTTGAGTCTAGTTTAAGGAAAACAACGCGTTAGCGTAAGACCAAGGTGACGTAGAAAGCGCGCCAGTGATGAAGAGAGGGGGTGTGATCATCTAAAGCGTGCCCCACGAGTGAAATGGGTAAAATTGCACTCACCCAATCTGCGTCCTGAGGGAGGCCGACGGGGTCATTGGGGCAAGATGCAGCCTCGGGGTACAGCCTTCCCCACAAGAATAACCTGTCCGCGCTGACGGTGGGATAAGAACCGGTCTTGAAGGCTTGGATATAGTACGTGATCAAATCCAGCCAACCTGTACCAGGTTTAATTTGTCAGAACGTCCAGTTCTCGCGATTTATTTCAAAGCGGAACACACCTTGGTGGTCGAAGCCCCAAGTCCAGGATCCGGACTGAGGAAGAACACCTTCAATAGGGCCAATGTAGTGAGACTCGCCGTAGTCATTCCAAGTAATGATCTCAGCAAAAGCAATGCTGTCTCTGTTGGCAATGAGCAGTTCCCAACGAGCCGACAGAAGCCAGTCGTCAAATCGGTAAATCCAGTTCTTGTTGAACGAGTCTGGTCCGTAGTGCTAAAAAGAACTCACTTATTACAACCGTACAAAGCCTAAGAGCATGAACCTTACGGTGAAGAACCATGGGGAAACAGCGGCCATGTAGTCTTTGCCGCTGAGGCCCGAGATATAGCTGTTGTCAGAGTCGAAAGTGATGTTAGTGTCGCCTGAAGGCCAGCCGCCGTTCCACTGATTACATGAATAGGATGAGCCTTAGACTAACGGTAGAAAAAATTAATAGCGTACGTTGAAAGCTCCGTCCATCACAGTGTATGTTGAAAAGGTGCTGGGATCAACAAAGAACGAAGGGATAAAGTAAGGAGTAGGGATGGAGCCACTCTTGAGCACTTGCGTCCAGCCATCATTGACGCTACTCGCACCGAATGTACAGGACTCGCCAGAGAACGTAGAAATCATAGGGTTTCCGGAAACCATGAGCTGGTTCGGGTGGGAGCTGTAGTTTCCGACATACTGCTGGACGATAGTACCGTCGGCCGCAGTGGTACACGTAAGTGAGCTCATGTCAAGAGATACGAAAAGCTTGAATCCGGTGCCGAAGGCTTCAGCAGCAGAATATGCATTTGCAACCTGGGCAGGCTCCCAATCCAACGACCCGACGTTGAGAGCGAAGGCGTCAATACCCTTCGAGGAGGCGAGCTGGATGTCTACATGTACCTTTGAATAATGTGTTAACATGAAGGAAGAAGATATGTACCACTAGACCAGTTAGAAACGGAGTAGTTGGCGACATTGCCGACCATGAAGTGAGCAAACACTACAGGCGATGATCCCGCAACCAGATTAGTTGGCGCCGATGGCAGAGCCAACGAAGAGAGGGAGTAAAAAAGCGTAGATAACACAGCAGCACTAAGCATGTTGAGAGATGGATCTCCTTGCGGAGAATGGGAGAAAAGTGATGTAGAGTCGCAATGTAACTGCCCATTGATAAATAGCTGTAGGGCCGACGGTTACTCAGACATAGCAACCCAAGCAGATCAGCATTATGCGATGTATGTTCTCCACAAATTTTACCGATTTGGAAAGATGTAGTAGAAAACCAAGACCCAAGATATTCAAGGAAGGTGCACATGAGTGGAAGGGTGCCTCGGGGGAAAATCGAGAATGCGAAGATCGTACCTGATTTTACGCGTCGTCTCCTTGTAACAATTATCCCTACCGTAGTTTCACCACTGGTCCCACTCAGCACATCTGTAACTGCGCTGGGTAGAAGATGGTGCCTACACGTGAGACCGTGATCAGCTGCTCCAACTTTGTTCAGTTCGCGTATAGTCAGGGGTGAAAAACAAAGCGTGACAACAAGAAAGGACCACCTAGCGTGTAGTGCTGTGAATTCACAAGAATATTTTAAGGATTAAACTTATTGATGGGTCAGATGGAATGATGAAGAACGGAAAGGACATCCTTGACAACGGTGAAAGCATAGCTATAACACGCCAACAACAACTATACCTTTGATATATGCCGCGCTTATGAATCACTTCGTTAGTCATGATCGCTCATTGTCAGTAAGACTCCCCAGCGTAAAGTGATCATTAGACTCACCATATCTTTTCTTTATAGTTCTCTTCTTCACTCCGAGCTTTCGCCTTCGTGTGATATCCTCAATACTTCAAGCTTGACCATATGACATACCAATAGTGTGTGCTTGCGAACACTACATAGGCCATCACGGTAACCGTTATGGATGCAGTGAGAGGAAAAGTAAATTTGATGCATCCAAATACAACCTACCATATATGGTATGTGTGAGAAGCGTCGGTCAAGTTGTGATCAGAGCATCATGTGATAAAACCTGCGTCATGATGGCGTGGAGCGCTACCACAGTATCATGACTACCGAATAATTCTCAAGTACATGTGCCTCATATGCGAATCGTCCAAGTGTTCTCTTTGCCCTCATGCCGATAGTGGAGGCCGTATAGCAAATGGACGTAGATCGGGCCCGTAAGGACGGCCTAACTTTTATCATGATTAGCCTCAACGACTACACCTCGTGCTACACGCGGAATACAAAGCACTCGGGGTCTCAGGCACCCTAGGTGTCTCCATTTCTTTCAGCACGTCCACTTGTTCTATGTACGCCAGACCTGCCTCCAGATATTTTTATGTTTAGGAGTGGAAAGGAAGGGTTCCATAATGGCAGTCTAGAATGATAACACATACCAAGGACACCACATAACCAGAAATGAGTTCCATCTCGAATTCGGCACTCCTCTCGACAAGAATGCTGGAGACAGCGTATGTCGCATTCCCCATAGCTTTCAGCGATGGCGAGTCCCAATGACGAAGAGTAATTTGACATCTGTCAAGCTCGCTTCATTAATGCAACACGTTCCATAAATGCAATGTCGCCCAAGCCAACACCAGACAAAAGCTTGACAGGCTGGTGAGCATTGGGTAAAAAGAAACAAGGTTTTATCAATGACGTCTATAGCAAACCACGGGAGTAACAGTACATACTCAGTACATTCAGTAGTGGTTACTGTCAATGATCTATGAATTTTCGTGGTCAGCCCTCGGAAGACAGTTCCAATCATGAGAAGTAACCCCTTGTCGTATGAGGACAAGTAATATAAGGCGAGAGAAACTCAACTAAGACGTGACGAGTGGACATTGAGGTGGGTTTGAACTTGGATTTGACATTCTATCTGGTAACTTCATGTAGCGTCACATCCTTACTCTCCCTCTCAAAAACATCTTCCAAACTAACTTGCATGGCAACCTGAATCGATGACACATTGCATTATGCTGATAACAAAGCCTTCTTTTGAAAATTGCCCATATAGACCAAGCCCCATCAGTAGGACGGAAGAAACGAATATCTTCGATGAAACCGTCGGGTTAAGGAAGTGATTCACACAAGATTCCGTGGGATGGGCAGCAATATAGGCCTAGGGACTATTTTACGAACTAAAAGGAGCGCAAGGTTTTGAGACACGTTATTAAAAAGAACTGTAGACTTTGATATAATAAAGTGCCGACGTACCATAATAATAGTGGACAAACTGGAATGCCATCGTATGCTACCCCAAGGGAAGACGGGGCGTGGCGCAAGTCAAGTTTTGATCTTGCTTCATTTTGTTCGTGGCCCGCGTCCTACACATCCCCATAAGCAGCGATAATATGATTTCCAGCATTCCGTCATAGAGGCTGAACAGATTCTTTCCTCCTGATCACGAAATCCTCCTTCATATTCGGATGGTGGTGAACAACGCAAGTAGGGCCATTGAATAGATTAAAAGAAAACAAGGACTATGAAAGACTGAAATGACACACCTGGGCAACTGTAGAGCGTCGTACCGATTGAGGCTACCGTCGCATAATCATGGTGCACCAGTTGTGAGACCCAAGGCCCGACCGCAAAAAAGTAAGCCAGGATACGAATTATTCATCGCGCTAAGTGCCTTTCATGGAGAGCCTTCAAGTTGTTTCGGTGCAAAAAGTGTTATGTTCTCCTGGTAAGAGGTTTGCGGTACTGAAGATGTGTTTGCCAACAGACTGGCTACAGCAATGTAGGCTTCACTGGTTTTTGCACCCGCACATTCTCATCGAGTGTTTCCCTCCTAAACTCAAACGGCTGACCTGAGGTTTGTTATGACGGAAGCTTCAGTTGCGATGAAATGCTGCAGAGTCCGTTTATTTGTAATTATACTACTTTGGTCAATGGCAGGAGCCGACCGGTCGCCGATCATCCCGTCCCGGGCGACGCGAATGTATCACCACGACTCACATCTTCAATGACATTTTAACCAATGTCTTCGTGACCGCTTTTCTTCTGCTTTTCTCGCTCTTAGTGAGGAACATGAGCTATAAGGGTAACCAAGCTGATGCGGTGCTTCTTTTCTATGCCAGCATCTCAGTCGTGGCATTCATCATTGCGTAGCTTTTCTATCCTGCAAATCTTCAGTTAGATCCAGCGTTACATACTCAAAATAGGTGACCGGGTATCCATAATCATAATAAGAGTAAGATTCTTCTTTACTTCAGGTCGTACATTTGCTAAGCGGCTCACAGAACCTATGTCTGCATAACATCGCAAAGGAATATCACATTTTCACGATTGGTGGTCGTAGTAACCTATCATACAGGTTGATGAATATCTTGTCCAAATCGAGGACAGAATAATACCATCACCACGAATTTTGGCTAGACATCGCAGCCGACTGCATCTTCAATCTCGTGCTGTCTGCTCAGACTCTCGCTGTCGTAATAACGCACATCTGTTTAAGGTTAGTGCTACTTTATGTTGATGTGATTTCTATGCAGCTTTTCCATTAACAGAGACTCCTTTGGGTTATTGCCAGTGAGACAATATTCCAAGCAGAGTGAAGCCATGTTTTCATTTTCGTATCCTGAATACACCTTCGTACACCTCTGTCTCCTCCAGGAATATTCTGCACACGATGAAGTTATTCTAGGTACGTATTGCATCAATAATAACATCGAGAAAGGCCTTGGGGTCATCCCAGTGGAGCTAGGAGATACTTTATTAACGGTGATTTTCAAGGATAAACAGCTTGTTTCTCACAAAGTGATTAGCTTCTATCTCGACGAACCGCACAGGGCGTATTTTTCTACCTTGCGAAACGTGCTCCTTGTATATCCGTTCACTTTCTATGTAGCTCCACGCGCAGTGCCAGGTGCTGTGCATGCACCCGATGTGAATAAAACGCAGGGCAGGAAGAATGCTTGCTGCCAAATTCTCATCACGCAACGCACGCTGTGCTTGACCAGCGACATTAACCTGCATTGCGCTGGAAAACATGGGAAGGTCGGTTCGAGCTGCTGCCGCCTCATCGTACCCAGCTGCGATATCTTCTTGGGTCATGTTGGTGACAGAAGAGCGTTCCCCACGCTTGCGAAAGTCAAGACCACTGAAGGAACCGGAAGCTAGACCTGGATGATCAAAGTACGAGCTGACCCAGTAATGAAAATTCTGTACAAGTTCCTCAGGAGTGGCACAATCTGGATCGGTCCAAGGTTCGTATATCTCTACGTCTGATGGTATTGGATAGCCGAATGAAAAATGAGGTGGATCTATGCCATAGAGCCAAGTTAATGTTGAAGAAAGGCGAACAACGTTGAAATCAATACAAACCATACATTACGAAATCCTTCAGGTAAGGCTCAAGCTGGATGTAACGCTCTTTCGGGATAAAATCAGGGTGTCCCAGTAGAGCTAAAGGGGTGGCATTGCCAATAGACCAAGGTATGATTACTATTCCCCCAGACTTGCGATCGGTAGCGAACTTTGGTATGTCGTATGTCGTCGTGAGGTATATCAAAAAATCAGCCACCTGCAAGCCAAGTCTTTTGAGGAAGATGCTCCGACCTGCCACAAGGTCTTCCATCTCTGCATCGGTGTACTTTGTGTTAGACCCAAAGTATTCTCGTCGGTTGGGGATAATGATGCGGAGGTTATAATCTCCAGCCAGAGGTAACAATTTACGGAAAATGTCTGTGGAGTAGAATTTAGAGGGTGTCGAACTCGGGTGTTGAGCATGGTTGGCTTACTTCCATTAAAAGCTGCTCCGTGCCATATTACGAGTGTGGTGTAGTCGACAGATCCAGATACAGGTCCACTATCAACAAAATAAATCTCGACAGCTGGGGAGCCAACTTTTGCGGTAACCTCTGTTATCATGTCGGTTATGGGAGATACTGAACAGTCTCTAGAAGCAGAGCTCAAACGTATATAAGGCAACATTGGTAACATTCGGTAGCTTTGTCAGTGAGACCAAATGAGGTGCAAGAACTGTATATCCGGGCCATAGAATTCTCACCACGCTATTATTGTTCTGACGATTGGCTGAAAATGGGTACACCCGGATAGCATAATGACACTATGGTCCGGCAAAAAGGTGTGCTGGGTAGACAGACTCGGGTGGAAAATGTAATACCACAAATCAAGGGTTGGTGCTGTGTTCATTGTGCAATGGTTCTTCTGCGAAGTACTATCTCACAACCAACCTTCTCGAAATGTGCTGTATACTAACGTGAACGTCAATTTACAGGTGCAGCAAAGATACCCCTGAGTCATCCGCTTTCAGAGGTGCGAACTCACAATCTAATCATTTTATGCTGGCCACTCGATTTCAGAAATATCCCATGCACACAATGAGGTTATTCTAGGCGTATCATGTCAGTGATGTGACGTCGAGAAATGCTTCTGGATGATCCCAATGGATCTAGGACACCATTGGTAATAGTGAATTGCATGAATTTGGGAAGGCCGGGTTGTGTTGCTGCTGCCTCATCGTAACTCCAATAGTCAACGCCACTGAAGGACACAAAAGTTAGACCTGGGTGATCGAAGTTGGAGGTGACCCAGTAATGGAGATTCTGAACGACTAACTATCTCAGGGTGGCACAATCTGGGTCGGTCCAATGTTCGGAGGTCTCAATTCCGCGGGTATCGAATAACCAGTAGAAAAATGAGGAAAATCTCTACCATAGAGTAAAGTTAACCTCTAGAAAAGATATGCAACATTGAAATCGGTACAAACCATACTTTTTGATACCCTTCAGGTAAGGCTCGCTGGGTGTAATGATCTTATGAGACAAATCAGGGTGTCCGAGCCTGGAACGTCGCATGTAGTTGCGAGATATATCAAAAAATTGGCCACCTGCAAGCCGAGTCTTTCGAGGAAGACATTCCGGCTCTGCCGCAAGATCTCCCATCTCTGCATCGGTGTATTTTGTGGTAAGCCAAAGTATTATCGTCTATTGGGAAGAATGGTGCGGAGATTTTAATATGCAATCAGAATTAAAAGTCAACAAAAACTGTCTGTGGGACGTGCGAATAAATGCGGGTGGAGAAAGTTAGATGAAGAATAAGGCTTGCTCACTTCCATTGGATACTGCTCCCTGCCATATTGCGAGCATAGTGTAATCGACAGACCTAGACACGGGTTTGCTATCAGAATAATACACCTCAACAACTGACAAGCGGTAATCCCTGCTATCATGTGGGAGATGGATTAGCACACAACGCCATTTGATTTAGAGGCTTTATCAGTGAGACCAATGGGAGGACCGTTCGGATCATTGCTCTGACGACTGAATTTGTATGCGGCCGCCGCCGTGACTTCTGGTAAGTTGTTTGAACATTAGTCAGCATAGCTGAGAAGACCGGCAGAAATATTGCATCAGGGGCAACACGTCCTAATCTCCTTATTTTCCAGGGAGTATAATCATGAAAAACAAAGGGCATGTGTAGGGCTTGTCAGTGGGTGCTTTGAGGGGATCACAAGGCTTCGGGTGCATTGACACCAAAGGACGCTAGTGAGTATCTGGTCATGAACATGGGACTGAACCGATCGCTTAGTCGACTCACCACTATCATCACATAGCATGGATACATCGTACTTCCTTCAACTCCAAGCTGTTCGTATTTGATTCCTGTTTCCATTTCTATCTTGTGTACCACCGAGATTTCTAAGGGAGAAGTTCGTTTGAAAAGCCGATTGTATACGTCAGCTACGATGTCCCGCTACAAGTACAAACGATGTACATGTGCACAAAGCACCATATCAGCAGTACACCATTAGAAAATCGATAAATACGCCCAGTAGCTGTCCTACATGCAATATCACTTTCATGCGGGTACTGCATCCCCCAACTTCTTCTTGGTTCCCCCAACTCCCGCAGTTAAGCTCTTGTGTATGAATGGGAGTACTCCACCTCCGGCGATCGTCGCGCGTACGAGAATGTCAAGCTCTTCGTCCCCACGGATCGCAAGCTGTAGATGGCGTGGCGTGATACGCTTTACGCGCAGATCTTTCGAGGCATTACCTTTATGGTAGAGTCAGCATATATAGTAACTTAAGCTTCTCGTATATCGAAATGGCAAATATATCCTGGTATGTGTCGGATGATGTGTTTATGAATGGGAATTTCATACGAATGGAAATGCTCGACAAGGTGATAGAAGAGCATGATTATAACAAATATATCGTAAAAAACTCACCAGCTAGCTCGAGCACTTCCGCAGTCAAATACTCTAAGATTGCACTCGTGTAAACTGCAGCTTTAGCACCAATGCGTACATTATGTTGCGTTCGTTGTTTCAGATAACGGTGAATACGGCCCACAGGAAACTAATAAGGAGAGTTATTAACCGGATAGAATAAATAATCTCCAGAAATATCCGAATGTATATCAAAGCGGGTCAATTATATGTCCCAGAGAATAGCTTTGTCGACATAGGGGCCTTTATCCAACCAGAAGATGCAAGGATGAAACGAGGATAAAAGTATGCCAAAGTAGGATCAAGGTACGACAAAGGGGGGCTCGAGTGATAGATCCCAACTTGGAAGAAAACCAAGACAAGAATACCATGAAGTTATGCGACTCACTTGCAATCCGGCCCTCTGACTCCGCGTTTGGATCGTGCGAGGAGCTGCACCTACGCCAGACCCCGCAACACCATTTCCCGAATTCCCTTGTGCACCAGCTTTCGATTTACCACCGCTTGCTTTTTGTTGGGACATAGATTAATGATGATTAGCTTGAGTGCTAGTGGCGAAAGGTGTTTCCGGGTAAGTGGTAATAGATAGTACTGTAAGCAATAATGTAATTATTCCTGGTTATGAGCGGTTTATGCAAGCAATGCTGCACGACTACAGTGGGCTTGTGATTATAGAAAGACTTACCAAAATGCGACCAAAAATTAGGGTCAAACGCGAAAGTGGCTGATAAACACGAAAGTGGTGGTAAGAAGAAGAGTCGCGTCGAGGTTTAGGGTGGGCATTTCCATCTCTCTATGATCAACAAAGCGTGGTTATCACGTGACCACTGACTGCTTAATGCCGTAATGCCGTAACGCAACGGAGTTCAGCGGCTAATGGGACTCGGAGCGATTTGAAGTTCAGCACCATGACTTTCTTGGTTTCTTTCTTTGAAGTTCAGTAAACCTCGAAGTTTGCAACTTGCATCTCATCATTAACACCGCTTCATCATAAATTTGCAATTTTACTGATCACTACTACAACAAAGGTAGGGAATACATTAAAGATCGCCGCTAGATGTATTTAACTTCAAGTTATAGCAACCAACAGTCATGGAACAGAGCTCATCTGCTTATGTGCACGATCATCACGAGTCTGTCCTACGGTCTCATTCCTGGCGGACAGCCGCCAATTCTGCAGCATACTTGCTACCCTCACTCAAGCCAGACATGCATATCCTTGATGTTGGCTGTGGTCCGGGGACGATAACAATTGATTTAGCCAAGCTAGTCCCACAAGGGCATGTCACTGGTATAGAGCCGGTTCCAGATGTCCTTGATCAGGCTCGTACAACAGCCAGCACTCTCGGCGTGCAAAATGTCCTATTCAAGGTTGGCGACGTGCACGCCCTCGATTATCCCGATGCCACTTTTGATGTAGTCCATGCCCACCAAGTGTTACAGCACGTGGTAGATCCTGTCATGGCTCTTAAGGAGATGCGCCGCGTTACCAAACCCGGTGGGATCATAGCCGTCCGTTCCATTGATTTTGAGGCCATGACTTGGTACCCTGAAGTTGATGGTATGAAGGATTGGCTGAATTTGCACATCAAAGTCGCTCGTTCACTAGGTGGTGAGCCAAACGCGGGACGCATGCTACTTTCCTGGGCGAGACAAGCAGGTATTGACCAGGCTTGCGTGAAGGCCACCGCAGGCACATGGTGTTATAGCACCTCAGAGGAACGTGCATGGTGGAGCAGTTTATGGGCAGATCGGATTGTGAAGTCAGCTTTTTCCAGAAACGCTCTGGAAAGTGGGCAAGCTACCGAGGATGATCTGGCACGAATGGGACAGGATTTCACTACATGGGGCGCGTCGCCTGACGGATGGTTCGCCGTTATGCACGGCGAGATCCTTTGTCACATCTGACGAGGAATGTAGCTATTAGTCCTCTTTTTACCTGGTATGTGGCTATTTTCTGTCGTTTTCTGGGGGCTTGAACAGAAAGGTTCAATATAGTACGTATATAGATGACAATATCTGGATCACGGTGCTACGTTCGCTTGTTTCGAGTATGCTATCGCGGGTCTCGGTGAAATTCTTTCATTTTCGCTGTCCTCCCAGCTCTATTCCGTATTATACAGTAACCCCAATTCCATTCTAAGGAACTGGTGTGTCTAATTCATTCCTTTTGAAGCAAGTTTCTAACCTAAACTCTAAGATGTCGTTCACTTGAGAAGTCCATAGACTTCGGGAAATATGAAACAACTCCAACCTTTGGCTTCTTTTCAGCTTCACATAGTTACTCAGCTATCATTCCGATTACAATCTAGGCGCTTTCACCAGTGTCTCCTGACTTACCAGAACTCTAAGCACTTCTAGCAACACGAATGCAAGATTGCGGTGCTAGTGTGATCTTACCGCACCTTTCAATGGTACAGTATTGAATCGGTAGTGGTCTCATCCATATAAGTCTTTTTTCTGTTGTAGGCCTCCTGACTATTTTCGTCACCGGTTTATCCCTATTCCCCGATTTTCTGTCGATGGCTATATAACTGGTACATCTGGTGGTGTCCCTATCCTAGTTCCATCCGATAAGCACCCATAGTGTAGGATCCTTGAAGGTGAATTTCTTCTACTACCTTATCTGTGACAGTACTCCTCAGGTTTGTAATTTCAGTAATAACAAATACTTTGATTCTAATGTAATGTCTTGGCCCATAGAGATCTCAGTCATTTGGATCGTGGATCATGACGCTCCCTCGAGTGTGGTTTAGTACGTCCAGGAAATACCAGTGATATGACGTTAATATTTATATTATTGTCCCACAGTTACTGGAGCATCATCTGGCTTTGGAAGAGCCGTGACAGAGCTCGTTCTGAAGAAGGGTGAGATAGTCGTCGCTACCTTGCGCAAACCCGATGTCCTATCAGATCTCCGGATCAAGTATGGCCAGGATAAACTCCTTGTTGTTGCAGTGGATGTAACCAAGCATGGCGACATCGACGCAGCATTTGAGCGTGCAAAGGAAACGTTTGGTCGGATTAATGTTGTTTTTAATAACGCTGGACATCTACACCTATCAGAAATGGAGGGTACTCCCGATGATGTTGCTCATGCCGTTTTTGATGTCAACTTCTGGGGGGCAGTTCATGTCACCAGAGGAGCCATCAAGTTTTTCCGTGAAGTTAACAAACCAGGAGTTGGAGGAATTTTGCTCCAAGCATCTTCCATAACAGCGGTGATACCATTTTCAGGAGCGAGTTTTTACAGTGCCAGGTGAACCTCATTTCCCTCAAAATAACTTATACCTCGCTAATTGACGTGCTCGATACACTTACAGCAAGTTCGGTATGCTTGTACTTTTTTCATTGAGATACAGTACAATTTACGGGTCATCACAGCACTAGATGGCTTCAGCGAAGGTCTTGCTGGAGAATTGCTTCCTGCCTGGAACATCAAGGTTTGTAATGACCTTTTCTCAACATTGTCTTGTCTTCATTTTCATCTTGACTTTAGATTTGTATGATTAACCTTGGTAAATTTCATACCAACGTTTTGTCAAATTCAGTGACCTTGCCGCGACATCCTGCCTATTCTGATCCATCTTCTGCTGTGTCTATCTTTCTCAAACACACAATAAACGCAGTTTACCCGGGAGACGTACACAAGGGCGCCAGCGCTATCCACAGGCTTGTAGAATCAGGTCGAATTCCCTTGCGCTTACCCTTGGGTCAGGACAGCATCCAGGACTACAAACAGAAGATAGAAATTCTGACAGAGAGCGTTGCGGAGTACGAGTCGTGGTCTGATGATTTGAAGCGCGATGATGTATGAATGGAGTGCACGGAAAGATGACAAAATACTACGAGGTAGATGTGCTTAACTTTGTGTAAAAAAAAAATGATGTCATTCCCAGCAAAATTGTATCTAGTACAGTTGACCTATCCAAGCTAAATCGGATCATGAGGCCACTGGAAAGTAAAGGACTGCACTAATAAGTATGCCTCGTTCGTAGCGAATACGTTTTGCGCATGGAGTCATCACAGCGTTTTGCAAAGTTTCTAAAGATAAGTACAAATCACTATTTTATAGCAATTTGCGACTGTTTCTGTCCTTCGCAGTAGTCATTGCTACCATGACCATTATCTTGCTATGAATCACGATAATTACACTGGATTTTTGAAGCCATTGCCACTGATGACTGGTGAGCCAGCCCAACAATCTTTGCCGTAGCTATCAAGGAATCAATTATTTTGGTATCTAGACGCCAGGGCTTTTGTTCTCCCACTACCATGTTGTGTATATTACGTCTTAGGCACTGAAGCGCTGGCGCCCAGACGTTTGACAAACTTTAACATGGTCGCTGAACTTGGGACTTAAGCTACTAATGGAGAACGGCGCTCACAGTAGCTGAGATCTCAGATCTGAGACCCGGAATAGTCCGTCTTTGGTATACCGCGACTCGCTACCTCCGAGTTGAGTAGGCCATCTGCAAGTGAGATAAAAACGGTCTAATCTTTGATCTGTACTGACAATGATACAGTAATATCGTTGAAAGAAGAACAACCAGCTGTCACTGCCCATTTGTAGCGCCTGAGGGTGTCAACTAAGTCACCGCTTGGCACACCAACGCTGGGAAAGATGGAAAGGACATGCACCGCTTTGCTCACATCTAGTGAGTCTTATGCTATTCAACGGCTGTATTAGCTGATGAACAATGAACAGGCGACAGGGACAGGACTAGGAGAACCCATCAGGTCCTACAGAACCAACGAGCGCTGAAAGAAAACCCCGCTCATCAAAAACAAGGGGAAGAGGGTCCGGAACTAGGGGAGGTTGATATCCTAGAAACCAGAATTCATATATAAAAGAGGCCCTAACCAGCAGGCCAAGCTAAAGAGTCCATCGCTAGGATATCCCACCATTTCGAGAGATAAGGGTCCCCTCTGTCAAATACTCACCTTCACAAATGTCTCACTCATTTCGCATCCCTGTGATTGTTATCTTGTTTTGTGCCTTCGTCCTTAGCATCTTTGTCTCCATCTCCTTGCCCCATCTGAAGTCGGTGGATATTACTCGAGTAGACTTCACTAGCGCTGGGAGCATACCTGCGTCAGACAACCCAAACGGTATAGCACATCTAAGGGTGAGTGGTGCAAAGGCTTAATGAAAGAACTCGGAGCCTAATAAACAATTCTTATCCTCGTCAGTTTGGTATATGGTGATTTGTACTTTGGTGATTCGGTATGTATATTAATCATACTAACGCTCGTTTCCTCTGTAGGGCTCCTTGTTATTATCTGATGGATGGACAGTCTGAATGCGGGGTCGTCGGTGGGTAACTGATATTTACTATGGAACCATGTTTGACGAAGGAGTATAGGTCATGGTTATTCTGTCGATTTCATATCACTCTATGGCTCTGATAGTATCACCGCGGCCTGGACCCGTGGACTTGCAGTCCATCCTGTCGGTCAGTGACTTTGTTTTTTCCCGACATTTTGGTACCAGCCCCAACGTCCTTCTACAGCAACCGGAGTCACTTTCATCGCGCTGGTTCTCTCTTTGTCAAATCAAATCACCGTGTCGTTCTACGCGTTCATTTCCATCCTCCTCGCCACCCTCCTAGGACTCCTCGCGTTCGTCCTCGACATAGCGCTCGAGGTTCATGTCAAGACCGTAGTGAATAGCCTCAGCCTAGGTTACACAACAAGCACTGGACCAGGTGCGTTTCATATTGAGTGCCATAATGCACAAACTTATGTAGGAGCCTCGGCTGATTGAATTCACTGTAAAATAGGGTTCTGGCTTTCGTTTGTATCGCCGGTCCTGTTAATCGCGGCTTCATGCGTGGATATCTTGGGAAGAAGAAGGGATCGCAAGTCAGGCGATAGCTCCTACCCGCTATCATTCACCAAAAACTGGACATAGTAATGTTGTAAGAAATTATCTGCTGCACTTGGTTGTGCCTTTGGTTTAAAAACGTGTATATTCAATTAAGTATTAGAAGGTATCAGCAACTCGTTCAATCGAATGGTTGATATGTTTTGAATACAATAAATTTTTTCCGTGCAATGTTAAGGACATGAGTTACCGCGACGTTGTCGGCACCTTTGGACAGACGCTCGGCATCATGAATTTATGAGACCAGGTCGACTGCACGGTTAGATGCATGTTTCTTGGCATGTGTAAAGTATCGTAGTGCGCTTGCAAGGAATGATGAAAAATCACGAGCGCCTAACTGGAGTACCGTCCCTATTCGTACGGGACACGCCGTCCGAGTCATTCACGTCGAAAATTGGGCTCATTTAAACATCGTTCCTTTGATGTCGCAGTATTGTGTAAGCTGAAAAAAGTGTATTTAGTGAGTAAAATACATACCGGGATATCGCCGCCGCCATTAAGGTACTTCTCCAGGCCCATCATGACATTCTCCGTGATAATCGTTGAGATGTCTAGTCCCTTAGAAGCCCGTGAAATCTCCCACAGACGTGTCGCGACATACGAGCAGAACTATGCAACTTACGGCAGGATTGATGCATTTTGTCATGTGGACGAGATGGAGAGACGAGACTGTGAGGGAGAAGCTTGTGGCGCTGAGAGCAACTAGCGCTGAGGCCAGCCAGGGGGGTTTGTCGATTACAGCCATCCACGGTAATTCCATTTCCCCATTTCTAGGTCTCCGTGAACATAACACGTAGGTGATACTGCATATTCATGATTCTGGCGCCAATTTCCAATTTCAGCTGCGCGATGGAAGTTCAACTCGCCATGAGTTGTACTAGAAATGGGATATCCAAGAACATAGTATTAACACACAGGTGGTACATCTGCAAAACGACTTGACAGCGGCTAAGTCGGCGCTTCTGAAATTCTAGCGCCAACTCATGCGATTGGTGCATATTTTAGTCAAAACCGTATTTCGCAACCTCACGACATTTTCATAAGCTGTTATCTTACCACAATAATCAGAAGGACGATAACGGTCGATTAGATATCATCAAAACAAATCACGGATATTCAGCATTTGTATGTAACAAACAAAAACGCAACAACAGCATATCAGAGCTATCTAAATGCAACGACAAACGAGAAAACTACGAATCAAATCTCATCATGGACCGGTATACTTCTTTGTCCGAGAAATTATTAACATAGAAGTAAAGAGGTACCTCCAGCGAGTTCATTGCATTTATGGTGCGATCCATTCTCTCTCCATAAACAGGAATGAGCTCAATGGCCTGAGTAATCAACGTCAATGGAATGAAACCCCCTAGTCGCTGAGTGCCTCCATTTGGTGACGGCTCAGAGTGGAAAGCCCTCTTGACAACGAACATGTCCACATCAGGCTGCTGAGCAGGGCTTGAAACAACCTCGAACAATTGAATATATGTGATTGGTTGATTTAACGCAGGATGAAGCACACTGCCTTTACGGGCGATGGGCACAATAACAGTCCGTACTTGTGCGACCTCAGGCATTTCTGCGGCTGGAACGAAGAGTCAGGATTAATAGTAAAAAATAGGGCACGCGACTAGAACAAACTTTTGAGCTGTATCAAAATGGTGTCGCAGTTTCCGAAAGGTGCATCATTACTTGGAGGAAACGCCTGAACCATCTGACTCGGCATGATGACCTGGGTTTTAAATACTGAATGCTGTTGTAGTCGAAATTTGAACCACAGTTGTACTTTATCAAATCCTAAATCAATTCCTCCCCGCCCATTGAAAGACCCCTGGCTACGACGTTGTTCGATGGAAAGTCCTTTTACAAAGTCGTATAACGCAGCGCTGAGGTCTGGCAGATTTAATGAGATAGCAGCATCATGCATAGATGTAGAACGTATGTCGGGGACTACAGTGAGATGGAAAGCGATGTTTGAGTCGTCAGATGTGAGGCCCTTCAAGAAATGGTTTCGAACAGGGCGGGGGCTTTGATATCGTATTTCTTCGGCCGCAGTTGCGAACTGCGATACCCATGCCAGTTCAGGATCCAAGTCAGCAATCTCGTCTTGCTCTGTCCTGATAGCAACGTTCACAAGGTCCTGATGAAATAGTCGTAAGAGGGTGTACAGTTCGAACTGCCGGACCTTCTCTGCGATGTCAAGCAAACGAACGATCTGGAATATGAAATCGCTCTGATGGCTGGTCCTCTGGAAGGTATGCTTGCAGTTTGTTATCAGTAGCCGTTCACTCACATCCGCTGTATACTGCAAGATGTTCCCTGAATTCTTGACCGCCCGTGCGAAGCTCTGCAAGAGCTCAAGCTTCGGAATCCAAAAGTGGTCCATAGCACCTTTTTTGCCTCGGTGTGCCTCGGCGTCCAGGATCGCCTGCTTGTGACGGTAAAATTCGGCGAGTGCGGCCTCCATTTGCGTGATTGATGTAGGGGTATGGATGGGATTCTGTGCAATGTATATGAAATCCACAATAGCACGGATAGCTCGGACAGCTTTTGGTGGGGCTGCACCTGCAATTGATGGAACAATTGTGCGCTGAATGTCGCGATGATCCCTGCCAGTCATTTGCTTGACGTGTGATATGCCTTTGGAGAAATGGCGAAATCCAACACGTTTGTGGTGACTTTTATATCGATCATCCAGTTCTTCATTTCCGAGCATTGTCTTGCGCCATAGAAGAACGTGGTCAAAAAAGAATTTATGGCAAATGTGGAGTATTTCTGGGGTGAGAAAGATGGCAGGCTCAGCGAGGTGCCAATCGCGCCAAAATGGTTGCTGGACCCCGCTGAGGCCAATGGCTTTGGCTTTGGCCTGGAACTCGGTGATCTGCCATCCATCGACAGCCTTTGAAAGACCATAAATTTGGCGTAACGTGTGGTTTCCGGTACGTGGGGGATAAGGTTAACTGTCACCAAAGTTGGCTAACGTGGCTAGTGACACTGGAGATGAATTCTTGGCTACACAGGCAATAAGCTGTTGCTCCGGAAGATCAGCTTGATACGCCACCAAGGGCGTGAATACATAGCGAACGAGGCCGAATGGATCCGGGATGAAAGTGCCTACTTTTGCTGCAATCTTGAGGTTCACGCAGACTTTGTCCATACACTTATGCCACACCCGGGCTTGCAGTATGCCTTGGAAGTCATTGTGGACATCAAACTTTGGGGTTGGGATGAAAGCTACACATCTCCAAGCTTGCGCGGTGGCTTTCATGCGTACATCAGATGCAATATTAGCAATCATCAGGAAAGTGGGATGCATTTCAAGATTTCCTGTGCCTCTTGTGACGTTAGTCTTGTCCGAAGCCATAATTATTGGCATCATTGTTGCGCCTTCAGGGAATTGATTCTAAAAACCAAAATATTAGGTGCAAGTGGAGTATACACCAAAAAAAAACATTCCTGCAGTTCAAATGCATGATTGGCAGTCATGAATTCGCTAAATTCTCTTTGAACGCCTTGGTATGTTTCTTTAGGATCGAACATCATATGCTGTGCAAAAACCGGGTTCGCAAAGATATGCTGCGCAACTTCAAGAGCGTCTCTGTAGATCAAGTGTATTGGGGTAGATTTGTAACTGAGTAAGTGGAACTCCTCGTGCTTCCAACTGGGTCCACTGGGCAACCATTCGAGCCATGTAATCAGCTCATTTTTGTTCTTGAAAGATGGTTTATCTCGGGTCTTGAACTAAAATCGAGTTGATTTGATCAATACGATAACAAGAGATACGTGAACTCACCCACTCAAGTTTCAAGAAACGGTCCATTTGAGACTGCATCAAGCATTCGCACATGAATTTTGCAAGCTCCCATTCCCCGCGATCCTGAAATGGATAATAAAACTGGTCCTTCCGTCGATACGAGAATTGGTCGGACTCCATCTCCTGCATTATGTTCTTGCCTTTGTCATAGATATATCCTGATGTGGGGTGATAGCGAAAGCGCAGCTTGGGAGGGAGAGCTCCCTGTGCTGTGTGGGGAAGTGTACCTTCAGAAGGGATGTCAGAAAATGGATAGTAGTCAGCAGGTTTAGGGAGGGGGCAAGTACGACCACCACTCAGTATGGCAGAGGGAGTCCAACAGGTATTCTGGCTGTTGAGGTGCTGCACAATCTCATCCGCCGATTGAAATAGCAGTTTGCAATTCGGGCACTCCATCAAAATCGGTATGCCTCACTCAGGTTGCAGATGTACTGTCAGAGTCAAAAATCTTTTGAAGTCTTTTAAACTCCGAGTGAAGTAGATTTTGTGTGAGCCTGCAATATTTAGTGATCTTTCGAGTTGTCTGCTCTGCCATATCTGTTTCACTGTACAACTTTGGATTTGCTTGCATTGTGCTACTAGTTCACCTGACAATATGGACTCTAGTTCTAGTCATACCTTTGCATCGGATGACACACTCACACCCACTGCCACCAGCTTATCATCACCTCCTCATGGATCTTCCCCTGTCAGCAATGCCCGCATTTGTAGCCGTCTTCAATTCACTCCAATCAGAAAAAGATGGGAAACCCAGCTTGCCGTTAGCTATGTTGACAGTGGCATCGGCAAAATAAAGCAGGTGGGTATAACAAGATGGAAGTGACCTACTTAGAGATCCTAATGTTCAACTACAGAGAGCAGACAACAGACGTGAGGTTGCAAAGAGTCTCCAGAAAGGACTCAGTCGCTTTTCTGATCTAGCCGTCAAGAAAGCTGTCTCTTATAAACATGCTTCCCGTGAAATCATCTGTCATGAAATGCTATCATATGCATGGCGTGTCGAGGCCAGGGAGAGAGCAATCGATTTTCTCCAGCAGATACAGTCCGAGGCTGAAGAGGAATTGGATGTTGTTGAGGGAGAGTTGGAAGATATGAAAGAGCTGTTGGGAATGCGGGGTATTAAAGATGATATTGATGAGGAGGACATGAAGTATTCTGAGGCTTCTAATCCCACCATGGCTGGCAACTTTGATGCTGTCAACAATGAAGTTTATCACTTGGAACGTCAAGCATTTGGCCGCGGATTGCCTTTGGAACAAATCCTATCACAATTCAATCCTGAAGGTGACAGGTACCATGTGCCACTAGGATATGATTCGGACAACACATTGGAGAATTCTGACGGTTCTGGATAGGAACAAAGCTTGTGAACGCTTCATCTCACCAATCGCAATGGCAATGTGAATATTTTCTCGCTTTTTTCATTCTATCATTCATTCATGTTCCTTTCTTTTTCTTCACCCATGCCCACTTTTCCTATTTGTATGTCGAAATACTGAGTGGTATAGTTTTTTTTTTTTTTATCTCTGGACGTCGTTATCGATGCAGATGTATGTTTTGAGAAATTGAATAGATTCGTTGTGATTTAGCTGATTTTACTGCGATAGGGATATCTACATACAAGAAGATGAGTCTAGTCACATGTGCGAGCATGCTAAGTAAAGCTGTACTGCTAGTGGTTAGTGGTCAATTGACCCATCATATCAGGCTAAGATTACCGAATATCAAGCTCATGTTCAAGCTTGTGTTGATGGCGGCTCAAGGGCAGCCCAAGGCCTTGAGGACAGCCTCGGAGGAAGTAGAACTCACCCATTTCGTGTTTTACACCCCAAAGCCTGCGCAATTCCCCCATCCACCTTCTCCTCCCTTTTTTTCACTCACTCATCTGGTTATGGCGTCCAAACCTAAGCCCAAGGGAAAGAAAAAGGCAAATGTGAGTCTCGAATTCACATTTGTATATCCATTAACCGGTCATTGCAGACGAAACCTAAGCCTCGCAAAGGTTTTGGTCTCAATCCGTCAGGCAATCCTGTTGACTCTCAACTGGCCCTTCAAATTGATCGACCAGAGACTCCCTTAGACGAGCATCCTCCTCACGTGCAGCATCATCACCAGCAATTCATGGACCCTCCATCATCATCATCCTATACTCACCCTTATCAGGAGCACTTCGCAAACCAACAACCCGCAAATCCTTCATTGTCATCTTATACCCACCCTTATCACCAACAGCAGTTTATGAACCAGCAGCCTGCAAATCATTCATCATCTCAAGGGTTTTTACCCTCGTCCTATGATGCGGCCAGTAGTTACCCACAACTTTATAGCCAGCAGCCTATGTACTTCCCACCTTCTACCTCCAACTATCTTCCACAGCAACCTTCCACCAACACCAACTATATCTCGCCACAATTTCCACCAAACTCGAGCCGACAAGCGAGTTCCAGTCTTCTTCTCGCCCAATCCTACGCTACTCAACCTTCATATGCACCCTACGTGCTCCAGCCCAATGCCGCATCTAGTAGTGGTGCCCAGACAGTGCAGCCGCCGGTGCCCCCATCTGTTCAAGGGTTGACGTCTGTGGAGTCCAGCGCGGGCCCCATCAGAGGGTCACAGGCACATCTCGCTGGTTGACTTGGAGAAGGCCGGATGCCTGGCGGGCTGCGATTTGTCTATGCATATTCTCCCATGCGCAGCGGAGAAATGTCTCCTGGAGAATGGAGTGAAGGGGTTATCAGGGTATGTTATAGCTTTTTTATTTCAATATATTTACTAATTTCCTACCTTTTTTGAAGATGGGCTCGAATACCCGGAGCATCATTGAAACTTTCCGCTCAAAACAACAATACCCTTCCACAAGACTCCCCCCCACTCCTACACCTCTTGCTAGGCCTGTGAGGTCAGTCCCCGCTTGCGCAGACCCCTCCATCGGCTCACACTCGGCCCCTGCCCCACGTCCAGCAGTCAAGCAACTGCCACGTGACACCAAGGGCCGCCACAAGCTGGGCAAGCAGCTGTTGGACATTGCGAAGACCAAGATCGACTACTTTACTTTGAATGAAGATGCCATGCCAGGCTCTGACAAGAAGAAGCTTTTGGTGTCCAAGGCTTCCAATCAAACTGCGTTGGAAAACGGCTACGGAGAGGGGCCTTTTACATGGGCCCCCTCCAATATCAAAGCTATAGGCAATCACATGTCACTCCTGCGCAACGAAGTCAAAACCGTTTGTCGGTATCACAGCCACTCAGGTTTCCAACTTCTATTACCCCCCTGGCTCTCCGGCTCCTTAGATGCAGTAGAATACACAATTGATAAAGTCAAGCAACTACTCCAAGCGCCCATGAGACCATTCATACACAAGATTGTTATGGTGCATTAATCCACGTCTCATCTTCATTAGGCTTATCTTACACTTAACTGCAGCATCCAGATGGGCAACGGACCATCCATTTTTTCCAAGGAGATGTATTTGTTAATTGCGTCATCGACTTTGTTTGGCTCGGTGGGTTCGCTCACCTCCTGCAACCGGGTCGGCTCGATATTGTCCTGGCCGTCGTGTCTGCAGGGCTTTGCTGTACAATCATGGAAAATGAGAGTGGTGTGTTCGTGAAGACTCCATTCACAGCAGTGAAGTTTCGGGATATTTACGATTATGCTATAAAGCAGCTGGAGACCATTCGTGGCAATCCGGATTTGTTGGCCGAGCACATTGCGCTGGAACAGTTTATTATTGATCTGGGCAATAGAATTTATGGTACTGTGTCTAACACTACTAGTACTACTTCAGTCTTTCGAAACGAGTAGCCCATGGACTATATCTTATCATATCTGGTATATGATTACTTTGATTACCTCAGAAATGTTCATATCTCTTGCGATAGTATCTTGCTAATGTGAATCTCATCTTACCGAAGTGCAAAATTGCGATAGTAAGGGCCATGCTATATATGGTAATTTAATGCTACTTAAAATGGTAGGTAGGGTCGGGTTTCGGGCTAATACAGAAAAAGCGAACTTGCAAGAACTTGCAAGATTTTTAGTGTAAATAGATGTACTGTGCATATCCATAATTCTGGCGCCAATTTCAGCTGCGATAGACGTTTACGTTTACTTGCCACGAGTTGTATCATAAATGGGATAGGTGCAGCTGCCAACTTGAAGTTTAGCTATAGATGCCAAGATAGGAAATGAACGGGGAGCGAAAAACAGTGTGGAGCCACGCGGAAAGAGCGTGCATCACATTGTCTCGGGCCCAGCTCCAACCCATTATCATACTGTTGCTATACCCAGCCTACAATCCAGACAAAAGACGGCAAGAACTATGGGAGTCAATGGCTGGGCCAGTGGTGGCATAGCACAACACAGGTAAAAGAGCCGGCCTTTAGAAGAAGAAGAATAGACGTTTGGAGTCGTAGGCTAGGGAACTTCGGTTCGATTCTCGGGTTCATATAAAGACCTTCTGGCTCGCATTGCATCCACGTTGTTCGCCTCTCTTCTTCCCTCTTCTCTTTTCGAGTCGGACATCACCAACCCGAGAGTTTTTACGGTTGAAACTGCCCAAGGACCCAGCACAAGTCACGTTTTTCCATCACGAACTTTCGCCATGCCTCGCTCGTTCTGTATTCCTGGGATCATATTCCTGTTCTGTGCATTCGTGCTTAGCTTCATCGTCTCCATCTCTCTACCATACCTGACAGCGATGGATATCGCTCGTGTACATTTCAACGGCAGTCCTCTTGTTTCTGGCAATCAGGCTACCATGACACAGTTACGAGTAAGTGAGATTTTTTGGTGATACAGTAACCGTGGTCTGAACTCGCAGTAAATTTATCCTAACTCTGACAGTTCGGTGTATGGTACGTTGTGTATCTCAGTTTTGCATCGATGCGTATCGATATTTTTTCTCTTTTAGGGCTTACTGCTTCGACGAGTCGAGTGGTAATACTGTATGCTCCAACAATGGTAACTGGTCCTTTATTTTCATTTCAGCATCAACTTCTTGACGTACCGTACGTAGGTCATGGTTATTCCGTCACCGTCCAAACGAGCTCAGGCAGTTCCGAGACTATTGCCTCATCCTGGACTCGAGGACTCGCGGTCCACCCTGTGGGTCAGTGACTTATTCACGTTCTTTTCATACCCGAGTCTCAGCCATTGATCTAGCAACTGGTGTCACTTTCGTCGCGCTCCTACTGTCTTTCTCAACTCACGTCACTGTGACGCTCTTCGCGTCCATCGTCTCCTTCCTCGCCGCGCTCTTAACTCTTCTCGCGTTCGTCATCGACATCGCGCTCTTTGCTTGGGTTAAGCAACAAATGAGCAAGTTGGACGACGTGAGCGAGACCACGATCACTGGTCCAGGTGCGTTTGATGAATTGTTCATTCATATGTGACAAGACGACTGATTAAGTATATCACAGGGTTTTGGCTCACATTCGTGTCGATGATCCTGTTGTTCTTGGCTGGATGCACGGTTTGCTTTGGAAGGAGAAAGGATCGTATGTCCAGTGCCACTACGTCGTACCCCATGGCGGGTGCCAAAGGCGGATTCTGGTCGCGTTTCAGGAGATAATCGGTCTTTTCAAGAGTTGGTTTTCTGTCACCTTTTTATTCATAAACTTCTCGACCATCCTAATGGGGAGCAGTACTACTAACGGTTTTCTTCTCGATGTCATTTTGGATAGATTTGCTTGTTGTTCTGTACCCTTGTGACACTTCTATTGAAATGCAGGCAAACAGGTTTTATTATAACAGTTATTTAGTGGTTATGCCCGGGTTTGGGCTTCAGCAAGAAGTGTGACGTCATACGAGTCGACTCAACAGCTTTCCTTTCACCGAATGATTTTTTGATTACCAGTAGTCCCACAAGGTACAATAGCACCCACAAGAATGAAAGAGAATGATATTACTATTGGATGTATTGCAGCTATAATGACGCAGAAAACGTTTACAGATAAGCAAACCCCGACTAGGCAACTCTATAGTTTAAAATGAGTACGGTAGGAAACATAAACGAAATAAATAAAATAAACAATACCAACTTGAACACTATGAGTAGTCAACTGCTTATTTCGTCTTCGCGGCCTCCTCTGCGTGCTTCTCTTCGAGTTCAGCCTGTTTGCTCGAGTGTCAATATAAAGGTCAAAGAAATATACTAGAAAGGGGCCTCACGAGCTCCTGTTTCTTAGCTTCAATCTAATGCAATAGTTAATAAGAGAAATAGTAAGAGCATATTTTGATGCATGTACATACCTCTTTCTTCAGCTTGCTCAAGAGCTCAGCTTCGTGCCTGCGGGCATATTCGTCTAGGCAAAACGCGCATTCATTAAGGCCTCAAGTGCAGCATAGCTGTCTGAGCGACATACCCTCATGAGCCTTCTCTTTTTTGCTGGACATTGTCCATAATAAGCTACGAATCCAAGGCTAGGATGGAGACCCGCCAGTGCTCACCTGAATCCCTGGGATTGAGCAACACTGCCCTCCTTCACACTGGATGCAAACCGGCGAGAAGCACCTGCGAGTGTGGGCAAACGGCGTGCGGCAGTCAGAGTAGTGAACATGGCGATTTTAGTGAGTAAGAGCAAGAAATGGATTAGTTTCCGTGCAAGTCTTTCGGTTGCTTCTTGCCGCGCCACTTTATACAGCGTGACGTCGAGTCTCGGCGAGTTCAGTTCGTGACATCGTCGGAAAGGTAAGGTCACGCGTCACACATTTTACTCTTGTCCACCATGTCGATGCCATTCCTTAGACAGGCTGCCAGCACGGTATGTCTACTTTCAGCCCTTTCCTTTGGTGTATGATAACTAACAATAAATGCATAAATATTGGGTATTCAGGCTCGCAGTGCATCGCGTTCTCGTGCATTTTTTTCGACGACGGTCGTTCGCGAAGGTCGACCCCCCATCCCCGCTTTTCTCCGACGCATCGTATTGACCTTCATATTTCTATCCATCTTCATACAGACATCGTCCAGAGCCTCTACGTTAGAGAAATAAAAGCTTACAAGGCGCCTCCACCCGTATGTTTCGCGTTTCGCATTTCCCAGATATCCCCAGGTTGCTGACTGCCGGCTTTCGGCGGTGGTCACAGGCTAAGGATGCACACGTTGGCAGTGTGAAAGCCTACTCGTTGCCCCCCGCACCAAAACCCCCGGTGCTTCCCTCCGACCTCGCGTCCGAACTCGCAACATACGATGCCGCTGAACCCACCAAGGCTTCAGAGCCTAAGGTCACTTCCAGCTCGACGGAGCAGGTTGGTACTGGGGCTGATGGTTTTTTGAGCTTCTTGGAGCAAGATGAGCCGAAAGCTGAGGCCCACCACTAGGAAGGAGTACATACCGTCCGTGACTAGCAAATAGATCATCATTTTTATGATTGGACATGATAGTCAGTCTTACGCTAATGTAAGTAACTTTTTTAGAGTGAGGAGGGTAAGTTTCAAAAGCTGAGTTGAATGATATCAACAAGTGGATGTCTCTGTCTACTATCTATAGGATGTACTATGTAAGTAAAATACATTAGTGCGTTAGATATATTGCGAATAATAACCAGCGAGGCAAATGCGTCATGCGATAGGAATTGTGATAGCAAGGGAAAGAGAAAGCAAAAATAAGCCCAAAAACCTTTAGAGGTTGGGACGCCATCGAAATGAAGAGGACTATGAGAAGAAGTACTGCGACCGCTTGATCGTCTCCACATTGAAATCGCCCTTCTTCGGCACGGGTGGCAACACATCACACAAGTCGACAAACTTGTCTTGTAATGCCGGATCTATCACCTCTTCTTCGTCTTCCTCATCCTCGTCTTCCGCCAAAACAGTCTCTTCTTCCATAATGGACTTCTTCTTTCGTCCTCTCTTGGCAGGCCCTGCCTTAGCTGAACCCGTGTCGATCTGTTCTTTGTCCACCACTTTGACGAGGGAACCGAGTCCTGTATCGCCAAGTCCTGTAGCCTGCTCTCGAGCAAGGGAAACTCCGACTTGTTGGAGGTGCTTCATCATCTTTCCGGTGCGAAGACTGGCAAGGGGGATCTTATGAGTGCGGTAGCGCTCCTTGAACTATTTAATTTTGTGAGTAACTGAATTAGGAAACATCTTTAGATATCAGAGGGACGAACCTCGCTGTATAGCTTGCCAAGCACATCAGAAGAGTGAAGAGCAATGAAAGTGTCGCGGATGATTTCGGACATCTGGTCGATACTTGATGCATGCGTCCAGTAGGAATCGTGAACGGAAGCGAATGTGACTCCTTGAGTCTGATAAACACTGAGATCAGCCTCAAAGTTATATATACCAATTATGAAGACATACTCGACATTCAAGTGCAGTCAGCATCATGTGCGTCGCATCCAGACTATGAATGAAATTAGGGGGGAATGCAGAGGCTTGCTTATTAGCATTAACTGAAACGCAACAAATATCAATACCCTGGCAATAAACAACCTGTTAAAGAACAAACCTTCAGCAGGTGCATTGGGGTCAGAGATGTAGACCGTTTGCAAGGCAGTCATGATTTGCTTTCGTTTGACCTTCCTGTATGGTTGCACAATCGGTAGGCCAAGGGGTGTTGTCCATACAACGGACGTCATCTGCTCCTTGCGGATGCGGTTAGTTGACACCGGAAGGCGCCTCTTCGTCTTTTCAGCCTCAAGCGCTTCTGGGATGCGCTCAGCTGGTATAGATTTAGCAACGAGCCGCGCACAAAGATTGAGCCACGTCTGAATGGCCTTGGCACCACTGAACAGATCACCAATGCAGAACAGTGTCTAGAACGGGACAAAATCATGAGCTTACAGGTCATATTATGAGGATGAGAATATACCTTTTTGGCTAGATAAGCTGCAGCATTCCAGCACTCCTCTTCGGGTATGTCTTTCCTGTCTTTAAGTTGTCTCTCAATTTGGTCGCGGGCACCAATGTACGTGACACCATATACAGTGGTCATAACCTACAGTTCATAACAGTCAGCATCGGTAAGCGAAGCAATATAGGGTTTGGCAATAAATCGAAGCTTACAGTCTGCTTAACAACTTTACGCGCCACCTTGCCCTGTAGCATCTTGGCGTACTTATGATCATTTGCTGCGTCTTCGTCCAGTTGTCGCTGGACCATGTTTGCAACGTATGTGTATACGTCTGAGGGACGTTCGGTCACACTCAAGTTCACTTGCTGCGCACCGCGATTGTCGCCTCCCAGAGCTGCATAGTGCTGCAGCCCATTACATGTCCCGTCTTGATGCACAGGCAACGATGACATGTAAGCCTCGGGGTCTTCGGATTCAAGAGCGGCGCGTAACTCCATACACGTAGCCAGACATTGCCAAGGGTCGTCAGCTTTAGTCCACCAGCGTCTGCCCTATAGTGCATGGCGATGTTTAGCTTTAGATAGCGGTGGAAATATAAGTAATCCCACCTCAAGTGGCTTCTCCGCACTGTCATACACTTCGTCCAGACGTTCCATCACATATTCCACGCGCTCGTCAAAATTGGCTTTGTCGAAGCCGTACAAGTTGGCAAGGTGAATCTTCAACCACCTGAGTCCTCGTTCGCCAAGCGGCTTGGCTTCTCCGAACATTAGCAAACCACGACTCAAATCGTCTCCAATGTGATTCAAATGCGGCGGGATGGGATATGCGCGACCACGGAAGTCGAGGTTGTGAGGTAGATACATCGTGTCTCCCAAGAACTACACAAGTGTCAGCAATGGTCCAGTAAAGAATGATAAACTAACGTACAGCACGCGCGATCTCGATCTTGTAGTTGACGCTACATCTGTCAGAGTGATTATTCGCCTTGGCTTGCATGTACGCCTTGAGTCTCTGGCCATAGACACTCTTGGCTTTGATATCCATGCTCAAGTTGTCCGGTTTTTCTGGCTCTGGCTGATCGAAAACTGAGGGAGGTAGCTTGCAAAGACGCTCTCCCGAGTTCCATACTGTCAGTACTACGTCGAAGACATTGCGATTGATTTTCCAAGGAGTGCTACCGAGGACATCGAGTCCAGCATACACAAGTTCAACATTGCCAAGTTCAGAGGCATGTTGAAGGTAGCTTTGCTGCTCTTGTGAATCCTTGAAGCGCATGGCGGAAGCTAGAGAAAAATGATTAATTCGATACGGATGTTTGGGAGATGCTGTGATACGAACATTTATTGTAAAGATAACCACCTTGATCATAATTCAACCATGGTTTAGGTTTGACCAACATTGGTAGGTGACGAGGGTGGAGGGTCTCACGAAGACCGTCTTTTGCTATTCGGTCAGCCACTACGGGATTCAGTCGAATGACTCCTAGTTTCTGCCCCCGTACATACTCGTATGCATGATAGAACGCAGGCTGGTCCTCCGAGCTGCGAAAGAACATCAGCACACAAAGTTAGTCAGAAAAAATTGCCACTAACATAGTCTCCTGGGTGCGTTTATCGATGGCCGTTCTCGTAACAGTTGCTACATCCATCAAACAGTCCACTAGGATACTACCCACACGTACGCGAAGTAGTTGTGTCCACTCAGTTGTCCATTCTTCGCTGTCCATAGTATATTTTGCTGCCGTCACACGTCGAGCATGCAGATCTCTGTACCCAAACCCAGTAAAGAAGCCATATTCACCCGGCCGAGATTGAGAAGGTATGGCTATATTGTTGCGCTTGCACATCTGGGCTTTGTATTCGTTTTCTACTGCACGCCCGACAGTGAGCAACGCGCGAGCAGTTTTCATACCGTCCGAAACACCGCCACTGCCATTTAACCGCATGATTTCAAGGATGGTGATAAGAGAAAGTTTGGAGGGTTTAACAAGCTGAAGGAATGGTCCTAAATTCGTTCCTTTGCCTCTGCTATCTATAACACAATATTCAGCACCGGTAGAGCATCCTGTGCCTCGACCAACTTACCTGCCTTCTCCTCAGCAACAATGATTTCCTGTATTTCGGCGTCAAGGCGTGGCTGAAGTTTCTGATGCCAGTCCCACATCCACCGTTGTAAATCGGCACGTTTGAGACCCTTGTTGTTCAATCCGAGCTCATCAAAAAGATCCGCTTCATGCTTGAGTCGAGCGACAGCGACATCATACACTGACTCTTCCAGCAGCTTTTGCCTTGCTGCGACATCTTCTGATAAGACGCGTCGCGCGAGTTGAACTTGCGTTAGATGTTTGCGCAAATTACTCAAGTTAAAGGGCATTTCTTCCTGAGATGCACTCGGTATCACAGTGCCGTCCTCGTCCACAGCTTCCTCTACTTTGCCCTATCATAGAACGATAAGCTGAGAAAGATGAATATCGGTGCGAAAAGCCACTTACCTTCCAGCGCATAACTGGAGTGACCTCTGGAACGCTCTCTAGGGGATCGGGTGACTGGGTAGCCATTGCCTCGATTTGTCCCAACTCTGAGACAACCCGTGACAAATTGAGATCCACAGCTGCTCTAGATAACAACTTTATGACCTGTGATGCTTCTTCAGAGGATGTGAAGACACGGTCGGAAACGATATGGGAAACTGAAATTTGACGATCAATTATGCTGGTGAGAAGTTTGGTGGGATTATGGGCAATTGTGAGGTTGACGGGGGTTTCAGAATCAGGGTTGAAGCTAGATGATGGAAAAATGAAGCACGTATTCGAGCAGTAGCATATATTCACTTACCGTAGCCATGCGAGGAGCATCAAAGAATAGGTAGCAGTGGTAGGTTGAATCTTCTCCGATTCGTGTTCCATGATATTGTATAACTGCCATGCTTCCTCCACCCATAAGGCTCTATCTTCCGGCTCTTTAGTATATGCCATTTCCAAATATGCTTCCAAGAAAGAATTGTAGATTCGAGATTCTAATATGCTATCTCCCCGTCCTGTCTCACGCAGGCGCTCGAAGACTTGCCTGGCTCGGGGTACATCATACAGATTATGCAAGCAAGCGTCCATCACAGCTAATTGGTCGCGTGTTGGTGAATCCGTAAAATAAAAGTCATTCAAGGCTGAAGATTTGTCGTCCGGCAACGGCATGGGTAGCATAGTGTAAGGTGTACGACGCTTCAAAAAGCCTTGCATGTCGTTCCCAAACGGCAATGACTCCTCCTGCGGCACTTCTGGTGCAGAAGAAGCCATGAAAGCGGGGTAGTCCGGGCGAGGAAGTTGAGCTTGTGCGACAGCAGGGGCATTTGCTTTTTTGGTTGGAGTCGAATAGAAACGAGCAGGACGGGGAAGCCGTTGTCTAGAGTACGACACCAAAGTCGTCTCCAACCTGCGTGCTGATGTCCTTGGTATCATTTTGAGTCGTCCTCGCTGTTGCACCCGTCGAGCTCGAACGTTAGTGACTTTTTACTTCCAAAAAATTTGGACGCAATATTCATTAAGCTAATCCTAGATTCTCACGGTCCTATCAGAGAAGCTGGAATTGAGGATGAATCGGAGCATAGAAAAAGCCTGGCGGCTGATTTCAACCCGAGTTGACTGTATCATGCCGATATACGGTTGCAATGCCGGACTGCTTGATTAAGTGCTCCGCCATAACAGCAGAAACAGACTACTACCATCTCGTGAGTGCGAGGATAAGAGTACTCGATCTGCTTAGATAAGCACTACCACACACATCTCCTTCAAGTTCGCAAATGAGCATACGAGGGCCACGGAAAGGCGAAAATTATGAGCTCAGCGTTGACCTCAACAGCGAGTATCGTGATAAACGAAAGGATGCAATCAAACGGGTCATAGCCTCAATGACTGTGGGCAAAGGTATCTATATTATCTATATACTTTCGCAGTCCCATCAAGGTAACCCATCCCACTTTAAAGATGTCAGTGGTTTGTTCCCCGATGTCCTCAAGAACATGCAGACAGAAGACCTCGAGCAGAAAAAGCTGGTGTACTTGTATCTCATGAATTATGCCAAGACTCAGCCGGAACTCGTTATTCTGGCAGTCAACACGTTCGTGAAAGATACAGAAGATCCCAACCCCCTCGTCCGAGCGCTGGCGATCAGGACGATGGGCTGTCTACGTGCAGAGAAAATCATTGATTACTTGTGCGATCCACTCCAACGATGCCTCAAAGACGACAACCCATACGTCCGGAAGACAGCTGCGCTTTGTGTTGCCAAACTGTATGATTTGAAGCCCGAGCTGGTAATTGATAATGGATTTTTGGAACAGCTACATGAAATGGTTTCGGATAGTAACCCAATGGTAAGACTTTGCCGCCAAGTGTGCGTAACTCCTCACATTATGTGTCTTAGGTCGTCGCCAACACTGTAGCAGCATTGACCGATATCCATAATACGGCCATTGCAGCGCAAATATCACCATCTTCTTCTGATCCAGCCATTTTCAACATTACTTCCACTATTCTAAACAAGCTACTGATTGCTCTGAATGAATGTTCAGAGTGGGGTAGAGTGGCTATATTGAATGCTCTGTCGCGATACGTAGCTCAAGATGAAAAAGAAAGTGAACACATTAGTGAGCGTGTAGTTCCTCAATTCCAGCATATCAACGGAAGTGTTGTACTCGCTGCTATGAAGGCATGTTTTCTTTCTTTTGGGCAAGAAATCTCGATATTTATGGGTACCTTAGGTGGTTATGATCCACATCCGTGGTGTCCGACGAGAAGAGCTCGTCAAGCAATTGATACGCAAAATGGCACCTCCGCTCGTTACTCTCTTGTCCTCTCCACCAGAAGTCCAGTGGGTAGCCTTACGAAATATTAATCTTCTACTGCAAAAACGCTCGGACCTTCTATCCAACGAGATGCGCGTGTTCTTCTGTAAATATAACGATCCGCTCTACGTTAAAATCGAAAAGCTCGACATCATGGTACGACTTGCCAGCGATAACAACGTCGATGCTCTCTTGAGCGAATTAAAAGAGTGCGCTTGCTTTTTCTACCATATGCATTGATCTCGAGCAATAATTCGTTGCGATGCTAGATATGCGTCAGAAGTCGACGTCGATTTTGTTCGTAAAAGTATCAAAGCAATCGGTCAAACTGCTGTCAAAATCGATGCTGCTGCAGAGCGATGTGTAAATGTACTCCTGGAATTGATCGATACACGTGTCAGTTATGTCGTCCAAGAGGCTGTGGTAGTCATGAAGGTGGAGTAACCGTCTTGTCTTAAAGACAGGGACGATGACCATTGATATCAACCCACACAGGACATATTTAGAAAGTATCCTTCAACATATGAAGGTGTCATTCCGACGTTGTGCGCGAACTTAGAAGAGCTGGATGAACCAGAAGCAAAGGCGTCCCTGATTTGGATTATTGGGGAATATGCCGATAAGATTGACAATGCCGATGAACTACTGGGTATATTCGTCGACACGTATATAGAAGAGTCGTATCAGGTAAGCTTTCTGTTTTCGATCGACGTACATGGTATTAATAGCAGCTTCCTTGTAGGTTCAATTACAAACGTTGACGGCTGTCGTCAAATTGTTCTTGAAAAAACCAGACTCATCGCAAGGCATAGTTCAACGGGTCCTCAATACCGCCACCAAGGACTGCGATTCACCCGATGTAAGAGACCGTGCTTACATATATTGGCGGTTATTGTCCACCGATCCGGCAGCAGCAAAAGTAAGTCAGAAATGGCATGTGTTTTGAATCCTCTTAGAACCAAATTCTGTAGGCAGTGGTTCTAGCACATCGGCCGCCTATATCTATTCCAAGAACGACAGTCTCACCAGCATTATTGGAAGAACTTCTTGGGGAAATATCCAACCTGGCCAGCGTCTATCACAAGCCACCGGAGACTTTCATTGGACAAGGCAGAGTAAGCGCAGATTCCGTCCAAAGGAAGGGGTCAGAGTGAGTGCAACATGATTTCGCTTCGAGTTTAATAAATGACCGGAATTGTCTAGTACTTCCGATGATAGGTTTTCTGCACAAAAGGCACTTCAGACTGTCGTTGCTGGACAACAAGCAGAAAATTTGCTTGACTTTGATGATAATATGACGGTGGAAGGACAGCCATCTGGCCTCGCAGCTACGCAAGTCCTTCCTTCAACTCCAGCTGCAGCGAACCTCCTCTCTGGTACATCGACCAATCCTCTGGATGATCTTGTGTCCATCTTTGGTGGTGCAAGTGTGAGTAATGGCATGAGCGGTAATGCGTTCGGCACAAATGGGCTTGGGGGTTTATCGTCGCCGACCACATTAGCGCCGTCTTCTGGGTTCAATAATTTGGTTGCCAGCTCACCCGCACCTCCTCAGCAGCAGCAACAGGAGGACCTTCTGGGCTTATTCTAAGGCCGCGACTTTGTTAACACCGGGTATATTTTCTCTCTCTGTTACCGCTGGTCACCATTAGTACTTGACGAATGATCGAGGTTTTTAGAGCTGGTGGACTGTATTGCATATTATACTGTATAAATGAGTTTCTACCTTGTTTATTGTACTGAGTACTGAGTTAGTTGTTGAGTAGATTACATGTCTTAAACAACTCTCAAGGTAACTGTACTCATTATCAACTGATATCGACTGTCATATCATTAATTTGGTCTGACTGGGGAGACTAACTCATTATTATGATATTCTTGCCTCGGTGCCACTTCGGAATCATTTAGCACAGCTTTTGCATGAACCGCGCCTTGGTGGAGCTGATAGCACTTCCCATCATGCTTCATATCGCTGTATCCCCGTAGGTTTCGCATTTGGTCTAGTAACGTGTCTGATATGATCATTTAAAGGATATTTGAACCTGCAAAAGGTTATATGTCTCCTTTTGAATCCATGGTTTCAATCGTGTCTTTTGCGTCGTGGAGCACATGTACTTGGGGCCCTATATTGTTCGATCGTTGCAGTCACCGACTCAGAGAATGCGAGCGAAGTCTGCTGACGCCAGTCGCGCGGTTGCGGACGTTCAACTTGAACGTTCATCGTCCCCGCAGTGGTAACCTTCAGATAGTAGACTTTATTTCTCCAGTCCTTGCCAGCCCATCTATCCAGAGATAGTGTCGTCCCTGTGGTCTTGTAGGGCATCGTCCACATATGACTGGATACTAGAGTGACGTTCGAGCTGTAGTGATCCGGTTTGTTGCATTTGATCCCGAGAGTCTCTTTGATGGCTTATATCCAATTTTCAAGTCCTAATCATCTGTCTCTTTCTGTGCTATTTAGGAGGCTTCTAGCGAAAGACTTGATGGATGCCATTTGATCCTCTCAACTTCTGGGTAGCGCTGGCCAATCCTGATGACCTTGCCACGAGAGAACCATACGCTTCTAAACATAACACGTGCACCGCGAGCTACCATCCCGCTACCAGGGATACCGTACTGTGATCACTATGCTTCACTTGTCAAACAAGCATAGTCACTCTCATTTCCACGCGAGAGAGCCTTCCTGTTCAATCTCCATTCGTACGTGTATTTGTGTCAAGCAGCATGGTCGTCCGCTCGCCGGGCCTTTTGTTGCCAAGTCCTCACTTTTCATATAAACACTAAACATGTAAATTCTACCGTTCCTACCGAAGGCCCTGGGTGTGCTCTTGATCAATGATGCGTTCCACATTCATTCTAGGCTCCCTTGCTCTTTTACAAGGAACAGTCGCTCAACAGATCACTGAAATAGTATGCATTTATTTTCCTCGCCGTGACCCACTCAACTGACGTGATCATCGTTTGTTTTCTCTGTATAGTGGCAAACGACTTGGGATAGAAATAGTCTTTTGACTTTCTCCGCTGGTTCTGTTAACTTCGCCTCCCCGGGCACAGCTGCAAGTGCCGACATCACCGTTGATGACACCTCTGTGTATCAGTCCATGTATGGTTTCGGAGCATCGCTCAGTGAGTAAATGCTATTGTGTCTGTATGAGAAAATCGCTTCTAACTTTATCGAAGCTGATTCTTCTGCGCAACTACTGAGCACTCTGAAGGTATAACTCGTAGTTTCTTCTCATTGCTCTTACCTAGCTCACGTTCTGTACAGACTCAAAATTCTAACAACTACTGGGCACTTTTGGACTCTCTTTTCAATGGTAAAGTAGCAAAAATCAACCTGATAGCCTAGCAAAAGTTCCTGAATGAATATTTCTTGGCTTGGTAGTTACGGATGGAGCAAATTCTGCTGGATTATCCTACCTCCGTGTGCCCCTTGGTGCATCCGACTTTTCAGCAACCGGTACTACCTTTTACTATTATTTTCGGGACCTGGGATTGACTTCGTGAATAGTATACAGTTATGATGATACGAGTGGGGACACGGGACTGGGCAGCTTCAACATCGATGCTGCTCCTAGCTACGTCTTCTCTACGCTCACTGACATCTTGTCGGTCAACAATCGGTTAAATGTACACGTATTGCCATGGTCACCTGTAAGCCTGTTTTCCTCGCTACTTATGGCCCTTCGATAATGACCATATTCGTCAATGTGCAGCCGGCCTGGATGAAATCCGGTTCAACGATGGAAGGTGGAAGCCTGGACAGCCAAGATGTCGACACGAGTATGTGGTCATCTTCACTTTTTAGCATTTGCATCCTTATCTCAATTTGCTCCATTCAGTGGCTAACTATCTGCTCAAGAGTTTGCAAGGTTTCCAGAGCAAGAGTATCCCCATTTACGCCATTTCGATACAGGCACGTTTTTACCTAGTCCTCCTATCTGATTCCATTCTCAGCCACGATGCAGAACGAACCTGAGAACAGCGATGCTACGTACCCGAGTTGCAGCATGCCAGTGGCGACTGAGGCAGCGATCGGAACCTCCCTAAGGAGCCTTATGGACAGCAACGGTTTTACCGACACCAAAATCATCGGATTTGAACACAACTGGAGTGACGCTGCCAACTATCCCGTGCAACTCGTAAGGACATATCCTCAATCTCACGTCCGACATCTGTAATTTATAGTCTCTTATTAACAGATGCAGCAAGCTGGGAGTGCTTTCGATGGTGTTTCCTTCCACTGCTATGAAGGTACCGTCCAAGAGATGGCCAACTTTACTTCTCAATATTCTACCAAGGTCAGTTTGTCATTGGTTTGAAATGTTCCAACCTAGGTTGTCTAAACACCACTATCGTGTCAAATAGGAAGTCTACATCACCGAGTGCACAGGAACGCTTGGCTCGGACTGGTGGAGTGACATCAAGGTAAGATAGGCTGATAATTTTATGGTGTCCTCTTACTGATGATATTCACAGTGGTACATGGATAACCTGTAAGGACAACGGTTTTACGAGGGGATATGACTAAAAACTTAACTATCGACTCTCTAGTTTCATCGTTGGGCCCCAGTACGGCTCATCGAACGGCCTCATGTGGAACTTGGCTCTCGACGGTAACGGCAACCCCATCCTTTCAGGCTCAGACAGTTGCCCCAGCCCCGGATGCCGTGGTGTTGCTCAGATCAACAACGATGGAACCTACAGCGTGAACCAAGAGTGTACGTCCATACCAGAGTCTACCATTCAACGCTGCTAATCTGGACAATCCAGTCTACGCTATGGGTCAGGCTTCCAAGGCTATTCTTCCCAAGGACGTTGGCGGACCCTTTGGCAAGAGAATTGGCGTCTCTGTGGCTGGCTCGCTTGGCTGGTCGCTGATTGTAGGTGCCTATGTCACCGCACGGTCTTCTTCGTCAGATCCCAGCCGCTACTCCCTTGTGGTCCTCAACTGGTAAGTAGTATGTCTCATGATACGTGTTGTCATGCTAAACTACTTTCGTGCAGGGATGACAGCTCCAGCACCACCTTCAACCCCGTTTCCGTCGACGCCACCATCGAGTTCAAGGGCATGCAGGTAAGAACTCTCGGTGACTCGATGCTTCACTTTGTTCATGAGTTTCGTAGGCTTCCTATACGTTCCCCGTCGGTGTCACCACCCTTTCGTGGTACGATTAGATGCAGTGGTAAAAGTCACTTTGAAAGTGATATCAAAGAAGTACGCAGTTTGTGTTTTTACTATTTATTGTTTATCTCCCTGGGTGTATACGATGCTATGTTCATGAACCGTGATACCTATTATTTATACTGGAATAAAGTCGATGAAATGCCAACTCTTCCTGGTGAGACCTGCTCGGGCCCCGGGCGCACTGTTGATAATATACGGCACAAGGAAGAGCGTCTTTCCTTCTCAGAGGAAAACAAGTACGGTGTCTGCATTTCCATGAATTCATGGAGAGACTGACTGTATTTCATTTGAGCGTCTGATATTTCGACTGCGAGGAGCTCTTGCTCTATACACGGATAGCATTCTGATTTCAGTTTAGGGTCGCCATGATAATAAGCAGTAAAGAAATAAGATTTCGTGAAGAATGCTCGAACCCAAACACCAAAATAGAGCTAGCAAAAAAGGAGCATCACAGAGTCCTGCCCAACACTAAACTATCCACGAAAGAAACACCCTAATCCACCCTCCTATTCTCGTCGCCATTCTGCTGCTTGGAAAGGGAAAAGGAGTACCGGGAGCCTGCGTGTGCGATATTGGCGAGGAACCTCTTGGGCAGCGTCGCTTTCGTCCCCAGGCGGTCGGTGCGTCCGAGGACTTTTCGTCTCCACGACCCGCCCCGTCGTAAACGCGTTTCGGTGCTGCTGACATGGGTCGCCGCACGGGAGGCCGGAAAGGCAGCGAAGCTCGTCGTCACGAGTGCCTGCTTCAGCGTAGGCTTTTCAGGGGCTCGTTTTCGATTCGACGGCTTGCGCACCACGAGCACTTGACTATGAGGCTTGTAGTTCTTCGCAGCCTCTGAAAGATGCTTTGAAGGCTTGTTGTTTCGTAAAACCACCTGTTCACGCGGGCTATCCTGATCGCGCGCCCGCAGGGGGAAGCTTCGAACGCGGAATTGATGGGTTGCCGAGAACGGGGCTCGGTCTGCCGATGCCATGGAGGTGCTCGCGGACTCTACGCTCTTTCTCTCCAGTATCGAGATCGTCTTGGTTCCCTGGTCCATGGCGAGACGTATGGTGCTCATTTTAGCCGCTCGCGGCGAGCCCGCGTCCGAGTCGCTGTAGATGCTCGGGGAGCTGAAATCCAGGGAAGACTGGACGCCGTAGAGGTTGACTCGGCCGGGACCGTGGACGTCGAAGAGGCCGTGTAAACGCGGAGACGAATCGCCTCGATGACCGCTTGAGAAAACGTCTGGGTCGTCGTCGTCGTCCGCGCCCAGGAATGCGCTAGAGAAGACTAAATCGTGGAGCTGGTTCTCCAAAGCGTTGATCTTCCGCTTCTTGAATGCGCAGCGGGCTTCTGCGTCGTCGCATCGCGCTTCGAGGTCCTTTACTTGCTCCTCTAGAATGCATGCGGTGGTGAGGACGTTGAAGAAGTTTGCAGACAGCTTGTCGTCGTTGGAGGCCGGTGATGGGTTGGAGTCGTGCATGGAGGAATGCTTGAGAACTGAGCTTGATGTGAGAGTCCGGAGGAAGGTGGTTGGCACGCACTGTCAGCCCTGCACATACGTTATAAGAATATCATGTGAGGCTGCCAATGGCAATGGTTCTTAACGGTCTGAATCGAGATGACGATTTCCGATTTATTAACTTACAGAGCCCATGTCAGCCGCCCGAAGCCAATCTCATTCGCCCGCTCACCATTTCCTGAGAGCCGATATCTCGATAGGCCGATTCCCCGGAAATGGCACCCGTGCTTACACCTTTGGCGTCCAGAATCGTCGATCAAATCCCGATGCTCCTCGAACGTTTACGTGAATACGAAGGACAAGAGAAGGCCCTTGATGTTCGCTGTCAAGAGCTGGAAGACGAGCTGTACTCTCGTAAGAGAGGGTTTACGGAAGTGGATTCAATGCAGAGTGGGGTAGCGGAGGAATACAGGACCCATATACACGATAGTGACGAGGGTAAAGAGAATGTGTGGCCGCGTGTTCAAGGTACGTTGTGCGGAATGGCTGTGGGCCACTTTCAGCATCTCATCATGAGGTATGGGTCAGATGGGGGAAAAGGGATTGGGACGCCATTGATAAAGCCGAGGATCAAGGCAAAAATAAGGGATGTGCGTGGATATTGCACTCCGTACTGGTAGCTTATTTCTTGCTGACGCGTTGACGTCGGTTGACCCACAGCGGGTTGCAATGGGGCCGTCATCGACCAAAGCCGTTTCTTTGGTCGGAAACAAGAGAAAAGGGGGACATTCGCCAGATGAGGAGCTCGGTGGGATGATAACGATGAAGAAAGCCAAGTTTGAGAGCGAAATTTGACCTGGACGTAGTATTTTTATTGTGGGTGGAGTATACAGTTTATGATTGCGGTATTTGCCGTCTGCACGAACGGCTGGCACGAAAGATAACAAGGAGAGGTGGTTATTGAATAAGGTGTCACTGGTGATTGTACTGAGTCTGGTGAGTACTAATAAGGCCGAGGCTATAGCCAGTCAGGCTATTCGGTACAAGTGATCAGCTCTGTTTTCGTCCTTAGATATCGGAGAAGCAGACGCAATTCCATTGGGAACACCGCAATCACGGGACGCTCTCTGTCTAATTGGCGATTCGCTGCAACGCCCATGGCTACCAACCAGCCAACCGGCATCCCCACAGATAGCCTCATTATCTTTCCCTTTGGTTTTCCCGCGTGTATCACAGGTATGTGCATGTGTGCGCGCTACTGCATTGACAAGCTCTCCGATTTTAATCAGGTCCAACATATGCACTGTCACTCTCATGTTTCAAGAACATTCAAATTCCTTACTCAAAATTCAAAATAGCTAGTCGGAGCCGCAGTAAACCCTTCTGAGAGGCCGTGCCGTGATAATCTAATACACTCGCACCGCGAGTCACATCAGGTCCACAACGCGTTCTCACCCTTTTGTGTGCTGCAGTACTACTTTGCACTGTACGTAGAAGCAACGTTCTTTTCGCTATGACCAGGGATTGATCGCAAACCTCTTTAAGCTCTTTGCCGCGATTTGCCGCGATGCGAGTTTCGTGCGTAATGAAGCACCTATATAAAACAACCCAATAACCTCAGACCATCCTCGTCAGTCCTCGCACGTAGCATCTTCATTCAATAGCATGGCGAGCGATCTACCCTTGTCATACAACCTCGCAGGCAGTTTGGTAGCTTTTGCTGGCTATTGCGCATGGCGCTCCTATTCTTCTCGCCAATACAACCTTCCTCCAGGGCCTCGCCCAGACCCTATCATTGGCAACCTTCGCCAATTTCCCCAAGCCAATCAAGAAAAAGTGTTCGGCGAGTGGGGAAAGGAATTTGGTGAGTCGTCACTCTTGTGCTACTGTCCTAATCAACTGACTGTCGTAGGGGACGTTATCTACATGCAGGTATTTGGGCAAGGTGTATTGGTCCTCAACTCTGTTCAAGCAGCCCATGACCTATTGGAGACGAGAGGCTCGATCTATTCGGATAGACCACGCTTTGTCGCTTTGGGCGAACTGTGAGTGTCGTCCCTTTCTTTTGGCTTTGATCGCTTATTTCTCCACAAAGAATGGGGTGGGAGTCAGTCGTAACTCAAATGCCCTATGGTGATCGTTTTAGAAGGCACCGGCGTCTCATTCAAGATCACTTCAGTCGCTCCATGGTAGAATCATTCCGTCCCATTCAAACCCAAGAAGTACATAACCTCCTCAATGGGCTCCTGGAAAATCCCGAGTTGTTCTCGACGCATATCAGGAGGTAAGGCGCGCGTTTATTTTTCAGTCAAGTAAATATTAACAAGGCGCAGATTTGCCGCGGGCACGATAATGCAAATCGCATATGGTCATACCGTTGACTCTGTGGAAGATAAATATATCAAGCTAGCGGACGAAGCATTGACTGCAACCGTCAATTACGGTTCTCCAGGATCTCAGCTTGTAGACCTGGTTCCTGCTTGTGAGTCTCGTAGCTGGTCGATATAAATTATATGGATGTTAATCACCTATTATAGTGAAATATCTGCCAGTGTGGATGCCTGGCACTGGTTTCAAACGGCGAGCTTCTGTGGTCTACAAACTCGTTCGTGCAATGATAGAAACACCTTTCGAGATGGTCAAAAGCAAGATGGTATTTTGTTTCACAGCCCGTGTTGACTCTTGGCTTAAAGAACCTACAGTACCTTGGAACTTGCACGCCATGTTTCACCTCATCGTTATTAGAGAACTACGAGAAGACGTTTGATCACATGGATGCCGCTGAAGCTGAAGAGGATATTAGAGCCGCTGCAGGGGTTCTTTATGCTGGTAGGTCATTCTCTCGAACGCTCGAGATGATGCTCTAGCTGAGTACTTTGTAACAGCTGGATCCGACACTGTAAAGCTCTCAGTTGCGTTTACATCAACGAGCTAAATAGTGTTTTCAGATTGCCTCAACTCTTCATACCTTCATACTGGCCATGGCCATGTATCCAGACATTTACAAAAAGGTTCAGGAAGAAATCGATCGGGTGACTGGTACCTCTCGACTTCCGAACTTGGAGGACAGAGCCAATCTTCCTTACCTAAGTTGTGTTATGAAGGAAGTACACCGGTACGTGGCGCATTACGTTTTGTTTGTTTTGCAACACCTCTGACCATTCCATCCATAGGTGGAATCCCCCTGTCCCTCTTGGTAGGCAATTTCCTGCTAATCACCCTGCACGTCATGAATTTTTTGTACAGCTATGCCACATAAACTCATGACCAAGGACGATGAATATCGTGGGTATATTATTCCTAAAGATACCACCGTGCTTGCAAACGTCTGGTCTGTACTTGACGCTACTCAAGTGCGAATTGAACTCAACCTGTTACAGGGCCATGATGAAAGATCCGGAAATATATCCGGAACCAACAAAGTTCCGTCCAGAACGGTTTATGGAGATGACCAAAGAGGATGCTGAGCGCTATGATCCCCGGGAGGCTGTTTTCGGATTTGGACGACGGTACGTTTTGAAAGTAGTTGTCCTCCTTTCGAAAGATCGTTCATAGCAGCCATCTTTAGCATATGTCCAGGAAAACTACTTGCAGATACGGGATTCTTCTTGGCAGCATCACGTATCGCCGCTACCTTGAGTATATCAGGTGTGTTCGATGAAAGCGGCAATGGACCGTGTGCAGCCTTCGCTGGTGATCTCGTCAGGTATGTTATCCGCCCTTTTGTTTCCCCCGTTCGGCTATCTTACATGTCTCGTTATGATTTAGCCATCCACGGCCATTCAAATGCGACATCAAGCCTCGTTCCGAGAGCTGGCGCCAACTGATCCTGGAAGAAGATAATCAAGCGGCTAGTGTATGAAATGCGCCTCTACCGCATGAGTCACCGCATGTTCGGAATGCAAATATGCTTGTTTGCTACAATGTAGCAGAACTCTACCGGTCTCTCAATTGATACCCTTTGTGCGGTTCTTTTTACTCTGTTTTAGGAATGGAAGAACTATCGTACATTTTGTGTGGATTTGGCAATTATCCGTGAGCTCACGAGACCCGTCATAATTTGCAAAACGACATGGTCACCGGTTCCGGTAAGTGCAAATATACTGCATTATGCTCTGTTAGAAGCTCCACGCGTTGGCTCATAAGAGTATTGAGGACCTGAACTAGCTTTCGAACCTTACCCTGTGTGAATTTGTGCAGCGCTCGTCCTGTTTAATTGTGACCAATGTGATGCCCTTTTTTTGATTTTCCAGTTATTTTAGTCTTCGCTGCACTCTTCAAGTTGAAAATGACATTTCCAGGCTTATCTCGTGCGTGTTATCGCCCTTTTATTGTTTGTGATTGAAGATCAGTGGAACGTTCGAAATTGAATAGGTCCGTCCGGAGCTGCCATAGTCAATTATCGTATGGCGGCATACTGCACTCTTATATTCTCACCCCGCGGATCTTTGCCCTACTTCTATCCCTCCAACGTATTGTGTTGGCAGTGCCACCCCACCCCCGATAAAGACTCTGAATTGGCGCTGACAGTGGGTTTTCAGCATCTTGCCGCGATGATGGGAGTCCCTTGCGGGTATATAATGCGCCTCTGAAGCCGACACTGGCGACGTTTTTATTTATCGTCCCCCTTGAACGTCTTTATCATCAAGGGAGGTATGGAAGGATCGATGCTACGGAGCTTTGCGGGGGGTTTACTTGCGCTCATTGGATATGTCGCATGGCGCTCCTACTCCTCATCCCGACGCAAGCTCCCTCCAGGCCCACGCCCCGACCCCATCATAGGCAACCTTCGCCAGTTCCCCCGACATAGCCAGGAAAAGGGCTTCAAGGCGTGGGGGGATCAATACGGTGCGTTTTCCTGTTCTTATGGTAGCGTTGGTGCCGGTTGCAGTGGGCGCTGAATGCCATTCGCCGCGGCGCAGGGGACGTTGTGTACGTGCAGGTGTTGGGGCAGGGTATGCTGGTGCTGAACTCGATGCGGGCGGCGCGCGATCTGCTGGAGAAGAGGAGCGCGCATTATTCGGACAGACCGCGGCTCGTGGCTCTCGGTGAACTGTCAGTGTCGTCGCCTCTGCCATCTCGTCTTGATGGCTCACCTTTTTGTTTTTGTTTTTGTTTTTATGATGATGATTGCTGTTGTTGTTGTTTGTGTTTGGCATAGAATGGGGTGGGAGCTGGTGCTAACGCAGATGCCCTATGGTGATCGGTTTAAGAGGCACCGACGTCTTTTTCAAGATCATTTTAGCCGCTCTATGGTCCAATCCTTCCGTCCCATCCAAACGCAAGAAGTACACAATCTCCTAAACGGGCTCATCACAAGGCCCGAATGGTTCCAAACGCACGTGAGGAGGTAAGCGCACCGCCGTCGTTTCCTTACCATTGGCCTCGACGTAGCTCACGACCCCACCCCATCCTAGGTTCGCAGCGGGCACCATCATGCAGATCGCGTACGGCCATGTCGTTCATTCTGTAGAAGACCCATACGTGAAGCTGTCCGACGACGCGTTGGCAGCCACCATCAACTACGGCGCCCCTGGTTGTGCTTTGGTTGATATGGTCCCTGCTTGTGCGTCAGGCGTCTGACTTCCTTTTGTTGTGCATGTGGCGGTTGATCATGCCGTTTTAACGCAGTGAAGCATTGGCCTTTGTGGATGCCGGGAGCCGGTTTCAAGCGAAGAACACAGGAGATCCGTCAGCTGGTTCGTGCCATGGTGGAAACGCCTTTCGAGATGGTCAAGCGCAAAATGGTACAGACCTTACCTCCGTACTGGTTGATTTGACTTGAACCTGAAGACCTTTTCTCGGTTTCTCAGAAAACCGGCACTTGTCCACCGTGTTTCACGTCGTCCTTGCTAGAGAATTATCAGAAGACGTTTGGCAACGTGGATGCCGCAGACGCTGAAGAAGACATCAAGGGAGCCGCGGGCGTCCTCTATGGCGGTGAGCCTTCGGTCTTCGACTCTTGAACCCGATTTCCTAAATCACGTTTGTGTCACTCCTATAGCCGGATCTGATACCGTAAGGCTCCAGTCAGCTTGATCCACTCTGATTGATGATTTGAATGGCTCCTCAGATCGCCTCGAGTTTGAATACCTTCATACTGGCGATGGTCATGCACCCCGATGTGTACGCGAAAGCTCAGGAAGAACTCGATCGCGTCGTTGGCCCGTCCCGACTCCCAGATCTGGAGGACAGGCCGGACCTTCCCTACCTCAATTCGGTGCTGAAAGAGGTACATCGGTGCGGTGGACTGTATTTCATTCTATAGTGCAGCGCAATCTGAAGTGTGACATTGCGATAGATGGAATCCGCCTATTCCCCTCGGTCAGTGTGCATGAGTGAGATAGGCTTGTTCCATCTCTCATATCCCCGTGTTTTTGTTTGGATAGGTATGCCACACAAGCTGATGGCGAAGGACGACGACTATCGGGGGTATTTCATTCCCAAGGACACGATGGTCTTTTCAAACATCTGGTTCGTACCCTACACTACTAATATACCTGGCACGTGCAAAGCTCATCATTCATATCGATTCCTAGGGCCATGATGAATGATTCTGAGATATACCCCGAACCGCACCGGTTTCGTCCAGAGCGGTACCTCGAGATGACGGATGAAGAGGCTGAACGGCATGACCCCCGAGAAGCTGTGTTCGGATTCGGACGACGGTAACGAGAGAACCTACCCGCTCATCTCTATCGTTATTCACTGGGTGTTTGTTTTTGCTCAGGCTATGCCCCGGAAAGCTATTCGCAGACACCGGTTTCTTCCTGGCCGCATCACGCATCACCGCCACCTTGGATTTGCTGGCTGTCTTGGACGAAAACGGGCGCTTACCTTGTGCGAGGTTTACGGGGGATATCGTCAGGTACTTTCGCCACCTACTTGCTCTTTAGCTCCCCGTTTTATGTGTTCTTTTTTTGTGTACGCAGGCATCCCAGTCCTTTCAAATGTATCATCAAGCCCCGTTCCGAGAGCTGTCGTCAGCTGATTCTGGAAGAGGATCATCAAGCGGCCAACATATGAAGAGTGACGTCCAGGATAGAGGGTTTCTGTGTTGCTGTTGCAAGGTCCGAGCTTTCTTTTGATGATTATGTATTACTGTGCTGTATGTCCACTCTGGCGTCAGAATGCGGAACTTCCAAAGACTGCAGTGGGCGCACCAGACTTTTTTTTGAGCATTTGTTATCGACCTTGAAATTAAACTTACCTATATGATGACGGTTTGAGCCACGCCGTCGTGACATGAGTGTCAGGTACCCATGTCAGAGCCTTTAGGCTGAATAGATGTGCAGCTGGATTATGGCCACTCAGAGAGGCGCAGTGATAAATGAACAGAATGAGGTCTGAGGTCACTCGACCTGTCAATGACGCTAGTTTCTGAACGTATCGCACATTGCCTTCTGCTCTATTGTTTGGATAAATGTCATTGTGTGAGTGAGTACGCGCAGTTTAAGGGCACAGAACATGGCGTGATATCGAAGGATTTTCACCTCGAGGACAGGGGGGGAACCGTCCGTGACTTCATTCGGGTCCGTATATGGGGATCAGTGATCAATGATACATGTACTTGGCAGTAAGCCCGCTTTCGGTGAAAACTGAGTATCGTTGTTCGTCAGCCTGAGCTGTTTCAATCCACACCTGTAAAACTCCAAACAAACGAAAAAGTCGGACTTCTTGACAGCACATGATCAGTGCGACGAATGTTCTAGAAAAGAAGGGCAACAACCGTAAAACGCGACGCGGCTGAGCTCAATGTTCACGACCTCAACTTGCACTAGCAGTGTCAAGTGACACGGTCTCAGATATGACCTCACGAACAGACGACCGCAGGCAGAAACTAGCCTGTCCCAGGCACGAGGAGACACCACTTCTGATGAGCGAGACTTCTCAATCTGAACCGGCAAGCGGTACTCGCTTGCTGCAAGGGCCTAGCACATCTCAGGAGAGTCCTGCTTCGCGATCTGTTCACAAACAATCCGAAACAGACAGGGCGCTGAAGCTAGATGAATTGGGACCCATAGTGGTCAACCATGATGGGGTAAGTGGAAAGGGGTGGGTGTTTAGCGTTTGCGATGGCTGATTGGCGCGCCAGACGCTGTCCCGCATTGCGAACTGGGCGACGATGACGGAAGAGGAGAAGAGACGTACGATGCGAGTCGTAGCAGCCAGAAATAAGTACGTGCTGAACGAAAGTGAACGATACCCCGTGGATAGTTGATTCTGAATATGGGCTCTTGTAGGACTCGCCTTGCGAAACAGGACCCCACGGTGGGAAGTGGGGGTCCAGACGAATATTAGATTTGTTGGAGAAGATCGTAATGGACACGTTCCGTGGTGTGATGGCTGCATATTGGGCCTTCTGTTCCAGATTCATTTCTCGTGCTGTGGGCTAGAGTACTTCCTGACTGGATGAATGCAGTGGCATGTGGAGGAACAATGAATCCATTGTTGGTGTGATGGCTAGTAGTTCATGGGGTCGGAACCGTCGTGAAACATGCAAGAAGGCTCCTTTGGAATCTCTTCATGAAAACAGTCACCAGAAGGCTGCTACCATAGCCCCAAGACGCCTCGTGTTGTTTCAGTGGTCAAACTGAGACCCGGCCCATTTACTAGCAGTGCATGTCAGAGTTGGTTTAAACTTTTAAAGGATAGTAACACCCAGGCTTAGGGGGGGCGCGCATTGATGGCCGGCCAGGCTACACACTGAGCTGTTGCAAAAGTATGGGAGGTAGCATTCCGAGGCAATCTTTCCCCTTGGTCTGATTTCCTCCTATGGCAACTGTAAGAGTTACCTAGAATGGGAACTAGTTGTTTGGTGTTATGTTGACAGGTTTGGGTCCGAGTGGCCAGATTGCTTTGCGGAAGGTCTTCTGTCTCGGATGAGATACGACAACGTGATAAGTATATAATCCAAGCACGTCCACCGCCATGAACATCACACCTGTCGTTCTCCATCCCCGCTTTCATATTACCACTCTTCTCGACAGATAGTCATGTTCTCTTTCCCCACCATCCTCCTCTCCCTTATACGCGGAACCAGAGACAACACGGAAGATGTCCAGAGTCAGCGATCGTCGTCTCAGCGTGGTCCTATAGAGGAGTCGGTGCAAGTCCGCATGGACACAGTCACAGAGCGCGTCTCAGATGTTCCCCATACCTCCCATACCGCCCACACCGAGGCCCCAGAGCCCACTTCCCTCCCTCGCGCTACCCCGTCGCCCCCACCACCACCACCAGCCCACTATTCGTCTATGCAGATGCAGGACGATATGCTCCACGAAATATTTGGTGGTCGCCCCCTCGACGAAGTTCGAGCCTCCGAACTCGCGCCTCCTCCGTACTCCAAAGAGGGAGACTACGAGAGGCTGCCCAGCTACCCGGGCCATCCTGACGACGAGCCTGCCACACTGGCGCGATACCTCTTCATCTATGGCTTCTGTACGTATCCCTTCCTTTACGATCTTCGTCGCGCATAGGCTAACATCGCCACGCTGTCCCCAGTCTTCCCGCTCTTCTGGTTGTTGGGCATCGCCATTCTCTGCTCGCCGTTGGAGACCACTCCTGACTGGGAGCAGGGAAAGACGGAAGAAGAAAAAAAACAATTGCTCTCCGAGCTCAGAGCTGCCGAAGTAAAATGGGCAAAATACTGCCTTTGGGCGTTCCTTTCGTTGTCCGCAATCATTGCCACTGCCGTTTCATTTCTCTTCATAGTGAAGCTCCATTAAACTCTCTGTATTTTTGTTTCCCTCATCATTCATCACGCATTCTCACATCTTGTATTCCTCACCACGCACTCCTTTCTATTTGTATCATGTTATCAACGGCTTCAAACATTTTGTTAGCCTCGGCATACCCAATCTTACACATTACTTTACGACACTTCTTGGGGCAGCATGATGGTCTGCTATAATACCTACATACCAATGACGATACTTGCTGTGCTCGATTATATCACTCCAGCAGATTTGCTCAGAGACAAATACATATATATATATGCGCTCAACATTAGCAGCTATGAGCAAAGCATACAGAGATCGACAAAGGTTTAATTTCCAATCACTCTAAGCTACCCCTGCTTGTACTTTTTCTTTAAACCTTTGCACGACAGGGACCATCCCACCTTCGTCCACCACAAACCCCAGGCTCAGTGCATACGAGTTATCAAACCGCGCAGGCCACGAAGATACCAAACGACGATTCGTCGGATCGTCCTTAAACTTCACCAACCGCAGCGCCTCCTTCCCAGCCACCTCCTCCAACGCCCACAACTCGTCCCTCACAGTCGCAGTGAACCCCGGGAGACAGACGACACGGGTGTGCGCACGGAATTTCTCGGACGGTATGTGTTTGGCGATGACAAAGTTCTTCATGGTGGTTTCGGGGCTCGCTAGCCATGCTGCGAGATCGAGCTCGGGAGAGTCGAGCGAGTTACCGATGGGGCAGGTCGTTTCGACGCCTTTCAGCGGTTCGCGAATGATACCTGGTGCAGTACCTGTAGTCAGCCAGCCAGTCGTGTGGCTCGACGCAAGGAAGTCTGACATACCGGAGAGGAAAGCTGATGTGGCTGCAGATGGGACGCCAGGGCGTACGACGATAGTAGGGAGACGCATGATGCGCCCGTCGACGAAGCCTCTCCTGGTGTACTCATTGATGAGGAGCTCAGAAACGAGCTTTCCCATGCCATAAGCGCCTTCTGGGCTGGCAATGGTATCGGGGGTAATGACATGAGGCTGACTTACGGTTCATCACCATGCACATGAAAAAAGAAAGGAGAGAAAGGCATACCAAGGGTCCACCATAGACGGCGAGCGAGGATGCGAATATAAATCTGATGAGACGGCCTGCAGATGCCCCCTGGTGGCGGGCTGCATCGAGAACGAGTCGAACCGCGTCGACGTTGACCTTTTGAGAGCGCGGTTGGCTTGTGTCGGGCGGTCTAGAGGGAAGGAGACGTGCTCGCCTTCAAACCGAGATCAAAATTGTCCTCTGAGCCGCGGGACATGATGCCGTGTAAGCAATACACGGTGTCTGGAACACCAAAGTCGGTCTCGAATAGCGTGTTGACCTGGGTCTTGTCTGTCAAGTCCGCCTTGATGGTGATGGCCCTGGTGCCCCTGGGTGCCTCTGGCTTGAGGATATCAGCGAGAATAAGATACAGATTGGGACTTTTTGGATCCTCCAAGATGGTGCGCGCCAGCTAGCGATGGAATAAGCTTATATAGCGATCGGGCTGCGAGTATCGCAGAGCACGACGATCTTACCAGACTGCCCAGCCAACCTGCAGCGCCGGTGATGAGGACGACGTTGTTGTTGTTCGACATGTGTGTGTTCAGGTGTGCATGAGAATGGGGATGAGAATGGGAATATCGCCAGAGGATGACATAGGGAGCGGATGTCCTTTTTGTATTTTGGGTCCATGTCGGTCACGGTCAGGAGAAAGAGATTGAGCACATGCGTGTGCTAAAAGTATGTCAGACTCGGAACGTGTTAGCCGAAACGCTCTTTCAGGTTCACGACCACTGGCATTGGCAAGGCAAGATAGTACGGTTATAATGTTACACCATGCTTGACTGCAGGCTAATCTACTTTCTGATATACAACAGCAGTAACAGCTCCAACGCCCAGCTTATCGTTTCCAGCTTGAACCTCGAGGCTTATCAGCGATGGTCGATTGTGAGTAGGGCATCCACGATTTAATACGGACAAATCACACATACTCACCTCCCATGTGAACACGCAGTCGCCGAACTGAAAGCAAAAGCATCCAAGGCCAAGGACGCAGGCGTCACCAAGCTCTCCAACACCAAAGATCGCTACACGAGTGTTCCATCGTCAAAGACAAACTGGGACCCGAATTGGAAGGCAGCCCCTCCTCCTCCTCCGGCATCGCGTTCGACCGGCAGTGTCACTGCTGCTGCTGCTCCACGCGGCCCTCCGCCTCTCCCGCCGCCCCAGAGACCTCACTTGGGGGCTGGTGGTAGTAGCTCGCATGGACCGCCCCCTGTGCGACGTCAAAACCGCCCCGATGATGCTCCCTCTCCCTCCCCTCCTCCCCCTCCAGCCCGAGCACCAGTGCAGCATAGTTACAACCCACAAAGCTATGCAAAAACCGAGAGGACGGAGGAGATTGACTGGGCCAACCTCTCGTCGGAGGATAAAGATGTGTTTTTTGCTTGGCTAGATGAATTCTTCTCTCGCTTTCTCAATATCACCTTACCCCCGAGAGGGCAGGGCCCAGCGCCCCCGCCGACGTCGCGCGTACCCCACATATCAGTGACTAACCATCCCGGTCCGCCGGTAAGGCTGTGATTCGACGTCACGAACAAACATCATGCTGATAGGCCCCCCATCTCAAGCCCAGAGTCAACATCAGCTCCAGGCCAGCTCTGCCGTCCTGATAGGTGGAGTTGTTGTTAGCGGACGAGGACGAGGACGAGGACTCGGGGCGGTGGTTGTATTTTACGTGGTGTGGGTTCGTTTTCTTCTTTTATATCAGTTGATATTGTACTCTGTGTCTGCCTCTTTAGCTTCTATTATATGGCGATTGCAGCATAGAAATTTGAAAGGCGATGTTGCTGTTTGCGCTCGACTTGATTTTGACCCCACGATGTCTGAATATCGTTGGTATCCTTTCACAACCGTGCACACCCTGGACAGAGGTATCCCAATCTAATCCATCGCACCGCACCCTCGTTTGCGAGTCACAAACAAATACTCGCCTCTCTCATGAGCGTCTGCCAGACATGCATATTGCATATCAATCAGATCACAGTCATCTTAGCAAAAGGCGTCAAGATTTACTTCCAGATCACATTTGCTCGGAGAGAACCGAGCTATTCTTTCTTTCTCGCCAGTCGCAACAATAAGCCGCGACGATATCGCTCAATACTGCCTTCCTCGGGTTACCGCGACTCGATCAACTTGACGCCCGCCGCTCCTGCTCTGTCTCTCGCGAGCGCCCGATAGCAAGGACATGACTCAGACACGAGGCATTTCATTAATATTAATCTAGCGCCTGTCTTTCTTTCTAGATGTGAACGTCGCGTTGACGTGCGCACACGCGCACCTCAGCCAGAACGGTTATCACACCTGCCTTCCCGCAGATCTGGGTCGCAGGCGTCCATAGGGACTAGGGACGTTGGCGCTTTTCTCGAGCTTCTGTGGTAAAGGGCTGAATCCAATCAAACCCGTTTTATCGCACAATGTGCCTCATCCACGAGCTACAGGCAGTCAAGACCATACCGGTTCACGTGTACATCGAAATATCGTTCATAATATCGCGTTCGTGCCGTAAGTGCTCACTATTCAAAGTCCCAATCAAGTCCTTCTAGCCCTCCGTCTGCAACGCAAGGAAGGAATCGCGTATAACGCCTGTTCTGAACGCCCGTGATCCTGCGCCAAACCACTGGCTTCGAGATACTATGTCTCGGAATCCAAACAGGGAACTCACGTCCATCGCCCAGGTCCGGTTCACATAGCCCATAGGTTATCAACGTGCTGGAACAGTCCTATGCTGCCCATCAGTCACATAATGATAGTGAGGAGATCTGATATAGGAAACAGGCGCTTACAGCAAATCAAGGATCGATAGACCGTTTCAGTTTGTTCGGTCACAGTCATGATTGGGACAGATGAGGGTAGAGAGCGTCGCAAACCGATGTTAGATCCACCCTTCGCAGAAAGAGCTCATTGTCGCAATGGCTCATCGCCTCCGACCAGAATTGCAGTGATCCACGAGGAAACCGTCGTTGGCAACGAACTAGCAGTCTGAAGAGAGCAGAAATGGTCGGTTGGATCACGTACACTCGCACCAAACGAGGTAGGTGGGGGCTGGTTTTGCAAAAACTCGAAACGGTCTATCGATTCTTACATATTCTGCTGTAAATAGCTCAGCTAGTGATGCTTCCATTGAGAGAGGTGAAAGGTGATACTTTTTGTGTAACGAATTGGGTATAGCCATTCCCTTATCTCCATTTGATACCCAGCAGTCGTCTCTCGGAAATGATTTATATCAGAGGTGAGTTTTTAATATGGTTCATTTGGGCTCATCAACCTCACCTCATGTTTATACAAGTCACTGCGGCATGTGGAAACATCCAAACTCAGTGAATTTGGAAAATAGTATCATCCTGCCAGCATGATGCCATCGTTGCACTGGTAAATCTCACGAGAACATGCGCGTTCCATGTCCTGACCATCACTCGCACCCCCTCCTATACAAGCAATTCAGGCCCATATCAAAAGGATAACGCCCGTTCTTACTCCATTGGCAGCAAAAATCAATTAAGCCGGAAAGTCTTTTCCGAAACGACCTGCCAGGAATATCTGGCAGCAAACACTTTTATGACTTTGGTGGCATATTATGGTCGAGACATGAGGTGCCCAACAACTTGGTGCTGGTCTTGCTAACACCACCATTATCACATTAACGACCGCCGAAAAGTCAGCAAAGTTATCACATATACATTCCCGTGCTCACAAGTGGGATGTTGGCGCTTTCTTGGGTCTTCTGTGGTCAAGGGTTGAGCTATACCCGTTTCGTTGTACGTTCCTCGTGCATACACGAGGTCTTAGCGATAAGCCCAGGTAAAACGAGAAATGTCGATGATTTCTTACTACTACCAGTGCCAACTATTTAAATCCCTCGTGAAACCTTTGCACTGAATCCTTAGTCCCCACATCTATTCCTCTTGTCGCCCAAACACCAGTACTCGTGTTCAACATGCCAGTTCCTGTCCTAGTCGAACGTCGGTGTTCTTCAGCTTCAGGATATGCAAAAACTCTTACTGATCACAATTGACGCTTTAGCCCTCGCTGACTATACTGCCTCCGCCCCGATTGTGAAGCCCTCCGTGAAAACCGCGTTTCTACTTCAAGTTGCATCCCCGACTCCGAACGCGAGCTGTAACACACCCAATTGCGAGGAAGGGTTCATAAAATTAGCACTCGTCCCAGCAGCTGAACGTACGGCAAAGCAGGGTCCTGAGAATCAACGCTGATTATACTGACCGTTTCACGGTTCACAGATGTATCAAACTGGTTGGACAGTGTCCTGAGACCAGTCCTGCAACTAGTTCAAGGACAAGAAGCGTCAGAGTCCAATCCGAGTGGAGCCTCCCCTATGTCTGTTTTCAAGGGCCACCGAAGCGGTCCCGCTGTCACGTCGAACTTGGGCTCCGGAGCTCGAAACCCATTCGTGTTCTCCACCTTTCTGGATTCCCCGAGCTCGAATAGCAACAGCACGAGACGCACGTTTTTGCTCGGGTTCGACATCTTTCAAGTGACGTTTTTGAGTGTACTCTGGGAAAAGATTAAACTGAAGTGACTTTAGATACACGGCGCCATTGACCTTACTGCTCACACGTTGACCAATGGAACTCTCATAGTTGTGGTCCCGGTATTTGGCCCGCTCCGTCTGACCGAGACTATTGGAGGCAGCCTCGACGATCATAACATCAAAGTCAAACTTCCTTCTACGACAAACGTGAATGGAAGTTTCACTCTCTCGTTGGACTCGAAGGGTGAAAACCTCTTGATCGATTATAACATTGATGTCAGGTTTGCGGGTACCTTCCAAGGTAGTGGCGTGACAGTGGTATCCGTTCAAGCTTCACCTCCACCATCCACGACGTTATCCTATCCCGTAGAAATCTCCGAGCTTGCCGTCAAGAAAACTGATGTGTTAACTATCTGTAAGTATGTGTATCTTACACACTAGCCCTTATTAAAGGTCGTTTATAGCTTTCGCCGACCTAACGAAGCATGCGGACCTCAGCTACGAGAATTCTGGTAAGATTTTCCGACTCTGTGCATACAACTTAACTCCCTCATTATTAACGTGCATGTTTCAGTCTTTGATAGCTTCATTGAAAATCACTTTGACGAACAACACAAGCACATCATCGTCGACCAGAAAGGAGGCATGAACACAAGGGGATACAACTTCCGCATCAGCTTTCTCGACATATACGAGGTAATGTGTCCTATCAAAGCAAGCAGAAGGTATATTGACTCGAGTCTTGTGAAAAGTTGCAAGGGCACTTGAATCTGCACACAAAACACATTGTTGCGACGCTTTACCTCGTGGTGCCTATCTGGGGTCGTATCAGTGCGGCTGCCATCTCTGGAAGCTTGGCAAACGACCTCACAGCGGATATCAATCTTACCAGGCCATGGGTTGAAAATCCCAATTGCTGCGTCCCAGTGCAACTTCCTGCCCTTGCCCAAGGCTCAATCACGCTGTCGATTCAAGATCAGATTCTCTGGGCTAAAGTATCTACCTTGGTCAGATTTGCAGGATTTATCAATGAAACTGTGCCTTTGGTCACCCTTCCGTGAGTCGGACTCGCATATGTTGTCAATCCCTGCTAAGCAATGCATCTACTGTATTATTAACAGTCCCTTCTAAAAACGTCGTAGCGATGTCCTTGTTAGCTCGTGGGTATATAGTGGAAATATTTGTATTTGTGCCAGGTTCATCTTGTGTGGATTCATGGCGTGCCCTGTGGCAGCGCTGTATCATCTTGGATAGTTGAGAAAAATGGAACAGTCAAGTTCACTGTTGAGATAGCCTGACGATCGCGAATTTACTGGTTTTCGGGACACTTCCGGGTCCTGAGGAAGTAGATTTAATGGTCTATAGTCAATTGATCTCTAACGATCGAATTCATTGATAACCAGCTCTACCAGCTGATGAGAGAAAGATTCCAGCATATACATATATTAGTAAGAATAAAAAGCAAGTATGCAAATAGAGCAGTGATACAACAAGTTCGATAAAGCTAGCACATAGATAGTGGCGTCGTCATCGTACACGATGACAATCAGGATGTGGCGTTTGATAGAGGTTCTGTACACGCCGGTCTTCAGTTACAACCTGACGGGGTGGACAATAGGTTACTAGGGTATTTAGCGAAGGGATGGGTAGAGAAAGGCAACGACATACGGAGGGGCATCCACAGTTGGGTGCTGTTTTGTGCATGTGTGATTTACTAGTCTTACATCTTGAAGCATTACAGTCCGACATTTCTCCAGTGAAATAGCGCCCGTGGAAATGCTACGTGCACAAGAATTGAGCATGATTGTGAGTTGTTCGGGCATTGTGTGATGGCGAACAGAAAGGAACATACACCGCAACCTCTGTAGTAATCTCCTACACTGATGTGATTATGAGAAACATTAGTGGCGTCGCATAGAAAGTCTGGTGCTGCCTCTTACATCTCATGGAGGCACATCACCGCTATGGTCTATGGGTAGTACAGTTGATTCAGTGCCACAGAAGGGTTTCAAGCTTTTTAAAAATCTTTTAGTCTCTGAACCGAACTTGAATTTGACAGGGCTGAGAGACTAGAATCTGCTTAGCGCACAGAAGGTAGTAGAAGATGTGAGTGGTGGGCACAAGAGGCTGGGAGAGATATGGCGCACCTGTAGCATAACTATGGGGAAATATAAGACGGGGAAGGATATAGGAGAGCTGTGAGGAAGAGGTCACTGGTTTTGATTCTCACTCTTTTTTCCGCGGCTCTTTACCCCAGCTGCGTCATTCGAGCACGCGACACCCCGAACCGGCCTGTTTCGGATCACCGCAATCTAATCTGGCATTTACGGCAACATCTTTATCTCAAACTTAGAGTGAACACAGTCAATTGATAATGGCCTGTCGACAACACAGGCATTTGAAACACGAAGAGGCTAAGATAGCAGCACAATTTCTTTCCACACAAGTACTCGAAATGTTCCCCAGAAAAACGAAAGGCATGGTCCTATTGTCAGATGAGTAGCATGGTACTGCCGGATCCTGTTGCTGGTTCATGGGTTGGCCGCACCTTGTGGGGTAAAATATTATTGTGTCGATTTACTAGTCATGATGCATTACGTTTAGCACAGCGGGACTTACACCAACCATGTGAGAAACACTCGATAGAGGGCGGAGGGTGATCATGCGAAAGACATGATGCTGAGAGCAACGTGGGATCAACAATGATGGAGTGAAGCCGTCGGCGGTCGAGGTTTTAGGTACCTTTTAGGCACATTGACTGGAAAAGTCATACTACAAAATTGACAACAACCGCGGACTTAGACGCTCCGCCAATAGGAGCAGAGTTTAAACACATACAACGAGTATGACTTCCATTCCAGTGCACCACCCTGCGACGAAACTGGGAGCCGTACTCGATTCTGAGACACAGCCGTGGGCGATACTTCGTGATTGTCGTAAAAACTGTATTTAGTGCATCCAACAGAGGATCAGGTCGGCCCGACGAAGCAAGAATGGCAGATAACTTGAGTAGTCCGTGTGAGAAGCTCCAAATACTACAGTAGGTTGATATTCAAGGTTTGCCTCGGTAGCAGTAAACAACTGAGAAGCAATCTCCTATCGAACCAGCAGAACAGGAACAACAATCAAAGGCACTGTTTGTGAAAATCGTCCCGGTGAACGTAGCCCGTCAATGATGTCAGTCTTGAGCTGATAAGCGAAGGACAACTAAACACGGTTATCACGAAGATGCTGAACTGAATACGTCTACACTTACGATATCGGAGCGAAAAAGTGAATTCACTTTCAAGTTTCCCATAACAACCCTTGTAACAATAAGGTGAAATCGCGAACGCACCTGGGAGAACTTGAATGGGACTCGTCGTTATCCGCAAACGAGCACCGAATCCTTGGATCAAAACGGGCAAAAGGGCAAAATCATGATGGGCCGAGTTCATTACGGCCCGGATCTTTGAAGTTAAGGCAACCGTACCTTCAAGTGGCAGTATGATAGTTGGTCAACATATTACCTATCCAATGGTGTGCTGAATTTTGAATTTGGCCACTAGGATTAGCGAGTACGCACGACTGTCCACTGTGTAGATCCGAGCCCAACCGCTAGCAGATGGGAGCCATTCCACTTTGATTGGTTCAAGTTGCGGGAGGGCTTGGATTTGTCATATGGCCTCGTCTTGGGGAAGGGATTTATGCATTTGTACACTGAAACAAACGACATGAGCCTATGGTCGGTGTCAGATAAATAACACTCGACATTTGATTCCTTACAACTTTATTCAGTTACCAGGTCCAGTCCGACTATTGCCCGTGGACAGCAGTCTGTCTTGCTTCTATATTTGCTTTCTTGACTTGATCTTGACAGTAGCCTTGGTTTTCCAATCGGCAGCAGATATACGTTATGAAGCCACGTACCAGTACTGGTATATCTGGAGTACGTCGGGCTACGCGAGAGATATTCCCTTAAACTTAAATTGGCCGCATACACGGACGAGGATAAGGTGCCCTTGTATGACGTCGTGAAGTATAGGAAGAGCGCATCAAGATCAGTTAATCGAGCGACATCTATTACGTGGAAAGACTAAGAGCGTGAATTTAAGTTTGAATTTGTAAGAAAGAAATTCACCTTTGAATTAACTCTGGTATACAGTTGACCCGAAAAGGTGATCCTCAGAATCGTCGACAAGAACAAAAGCTAGCGTACTATGTCCAGCGGTATTGTCCCCCTCTATTACTTATTAAGAGGCTTTGGAGATTGTAATATCTTAGCCAACCGTTTTGTGGTGATACTAAACGTGGTTTTAAGTGAAAATTGAGCATACATAAGGATAAGAGAGTTTCCAGAATGGAGTTGACGCACCAATGTCAATAGTTGGCGTCATTGCAGACTTGGATGATTTACCGAACAAACTGTAGCAATGGAGTCTCTCCTGCCTCCGCTCTTTACCAAAATGAGCTTATACTGAAAGACTTTCACCAGTAAGGAGGCATGTGTTGGCAGAGATATATAAAACACGGTATCCTTGAGGGTATTAACATCATAGTGGTCAGATGGAGAGTTATTGTCGGGCATTCGGAGCGGGTCCGGAACATGGCCTTCGAAGATCTGTCAGTGGAGTTGCAGTGGGGCGTCATGGTCCTATCTCTTTTCGATTTGCTGCTTGAGCACCGTGAAACGGTATTGTCTGGGAACAGGTAAAGATATAAGGACAGGCGCCGTTGCAAGGGCTGGAAACCAGAGGGCGAAAGTTGTAGCTGTGACACTGTAAGCGCACATTGCCGCGGGAGACCGGCACCATCATCACCTCACTGACCATCGTCGGCGAACCAAATTTCTGGACAGAATGCTTTCCTCAGCACAAAAAATTCACGACATTCCTTACCGTTGGACAGCAGCTTCTAAAGCAACCGGTACAAGAGGTGCAGAGGTTATGCAGGGCATTGGTTGCAGGCTCGCATCCAGGCGTATCTTGCGGTCATAAACTTGAAGCCAACAACCGTAATAGTCTTGCATATCTTGCGCTGGACGACGACCGCTTTAACTTTCAGTTTCCTTCGGTGGACGTCTTATGTCTGAGTGGTTGCCACTCAATAGGACAGATGTGAAGAAACAAACCGTGAAAAAAATCTGGATCTTGCATGACCGTGTCTGCGCTTTCTTCCTGCTCATTTCTTGAGACTTTCCATTTGCTGCTGTCGCGTTCTTTCTGTTCACAAAATCTTGTCGATGGCACCGTTCGGACACACTATGAAGGCGGGACGGTGTTTGTGGAATGTAGACAGCGTTCACAACTCATTGGCTGCCTAGGTACGTGATTCCTGACGCATTTGTTGGATTATTTCTTCTTTTCTTGGGCTTGGTTGTCATCTTGCTTTTTCTTTGGCTGGCAGTTGCATGCATGCATTTGTCAATCCTTCGTTTTTTCGCACACAAGTTTGACTTTGAGGGGATTAATTCCATGGCTTGGTCTTGATCAGGCTTTTTTTTGCTGGTATTTTTTTTGTTTGAGAATCTGGACTCCATTCGTTTATGAGTGGTATACATTTACGAGGATTGGGGAACTTGCCTGACTCGGCATATTGCGGGAGTCGTAGCGTGACGTGACATGCTATAATCTTGACGTCACGCTTGTCGCGTCCTTTCAATTTGGACGCGTCGTAATACGGTGATGTTGATGCAGAATGTAAATGTGGTTCACTGGGCTGGAGTTTTTTCTATGAGCAGAAGACGAAAATGGTCTCGTTGTTGACAGACCTGTTGGGTCAGTCACTGTCTAGTACTGTGCTGCCATCAGAAGCCGCAGTTTCAGGCAACCGCGTTCTATTTTTTTCAGCGATGAGCTTCTTAGAAGATGGGGGGAGTCCCAACATGTGTAGGGAACAATAACTCACCGAGACTTCCAAACGAGACAAGAGTTCCAGTCTCAATGCAAAAGTGCATCGCTGGTTGTTGTGGGGTTGAGGCATTAGTAGGTCTGCCTATGCGGAAGGGCGGGCTGTTGCAGGGTGTGCCATTCTACTCATATCCGTCACGACTTCTGATTTGCAGAATCACTCGGACCAGGTAAAATTTTACCCAGGCTAGACTCTGCGAGTCGGACGGCGGACGAATCTCCATTCTAGACAAGAAGGTGGATCGCGTGTGTCCAGATTGACAGTGGAACGCCGCCTCGGCGTCTCAATGCAGTGCGCCGCATTATGTGATTTTTAAGGCAAAGTTGACACGAGTGTCCTTTCTTTTTCTTTCTTTTTTTTGCTCATCCGAGGCTGCTACTAAAGGATAGATAAAAGTGCAGTTTGCTGCGGATGCGTGCCGCTCGCCTTTTTCCCTTCCACTCCCTGTATTAGCACTCCCAATTAGCAGACCGTGTCACAATGCGTCTCCCCAGCTATCGCTCTTCCTACGTTCTTCGATATCATCCTTACCCCACCAGATCCCGCCCTACTACGAGGAGCTCAATGGTGCGTTATTCGTTATATTCGGAGAGAAGCCAGTAAAAGTAAACTGACGAACTTGTGTAAAGGACGCTTTTGATGATATGTTCCCAAATGATATGGAATTTTCCCCTGATATCGACAGCTTTACCTATGGTAGTGAAGTAACAAGGACACCTATCATTCCAGCGGTACGCCGTGCTTCATATGCGCAAACTGGGGGTCCTGATGCTGGTCATCGTATGTTTAGGTCGAAGGACGCGAGCCTGACGATGCCATTTCAAAGCTAGATTTGGCGCTCTACCCGGGCCCAGCTTCGCAATCCGAGGCAATAGCCAGGCCAGGTAACTTGCGCCGACGTATCAGCTTTTCAGATATCGTCATTGTAAGTGTATCCAAGCTCAGCATCATACTTTTTCCAATATGCTCTGACCCGATGATGCATCACATATCCCAGGACCTGGCGTTCTTCGTAATTCACAAAATATTGCCTCTGAGGTCCTAGGTGCATGAGATATATGCCGCAGTGCGTTTTTCTTGACAGAATGATGCTCGTTTCATTCAAGTTTCGTTTTCCTCTCTGCTTTCTGGCTGCATAGAACATGGTTGTCCCATGGCTCTGATACAGCTTTGCTGATGCTTTCATGATTCAGACCAGCTTTATATTAGTAAACTAGCATATCTGTTTTGGTTGCTATCGATTTAATGCAATTTAATTGTGATCCACCCAAGATCCACTGTTAGCGGATACTAGTCTCCTCTAAGCAACAACCCTAATGACACAGGAAGAGGATCGTTCCCTAAAAAGATACGACAATGGCCATAAGGTCTGCTCAATGATTCGGATGCTGCTGGAGTTCGGTCCCTTATCAAAATTATCAAGAACTTTATTCGGTGCTACGGCTACTTGATATTTAGTAGAACCTGTAAATACGGGTGGGTAAACATCACGCTCACAACATTATAGACCATCTATTATCATAACAAGAAACCAAACGCATGAAATAGGACACCCGCTCTGCGAGACGTCACTATATGCATGAGCAAAAAGCGTCAACCATTATCACAGTATACCAAGAAAAAATTGCCCGGCCTGGGCGACATCATAAACTTGACTTGTGTTCATCACCCCACCTCCTAAACATCGATCGAAAAGCTCATCACTTGTGGCAAATAAGCTGCGCCTGCCAGATCGAGAATGTGAACGTCGTCGTATACATCGTGCCCGTTGAAACCACCAAAAACAAAGAGCCGACTGTCAGCGATTAAGGTCACGTGGTACCCTCGAGGAGAAGGAGCTTTTCCGGAGATTTGCCGAGGTTCATACTGAAGAGATACTGCTGATATGATGGCAGTCAAACCAGGGCGATAGAAGTAACACATAAATATGCTAATATCACGCACCCAGGTTGTATAACAGGAGTTCATTGGTGTAGGAGCTACCATCGTGACCCCCGACGATGAATAGGTATGAGCCTACTTGAGTTGCTGTATGCGACAGACGCCTGTGAGATACTTGGAGTGAAATTTGAGTCCACACCAACGTTTCTGGTCAAAAAAGACAAGGACGTTAATCGTAAAGAAATCGTGATAAGTACTTGGACCCACCAAGATTGAGACACCAGACATCTGAAAAACATTCTTTTCCATCACTTCCTCCGATGACTACCATCACACTCCCAACTAGGTTGGCAGTGTGATATCCCCTCGGCTTGGGAGGTTTACCTGTAGTTTCTACTTGCTCCCACCTCATTTTGTCAATCGACACTCCGACGTCAAGTGTCCACACGTCATTTAAGGCCTGTAGGCCGTTTCCTCCGCCGAAAATCCATATTTTACTATTATAGAGAACCGCAGTATGAGCACGACGGGGAGCCGGGGGGACATGATCAAATGTAGGATGGATCCATCGTCTGGCCACGGTATCCAAGATATAAGTATCGTTGTAATATACAGGTCCTTGACCGCCGCCAAAAACAACGATTTTGTGCTGCACTAAAGTTGCGGTGTGTGCTCTGCAAGGTGGCGGTACCTCACCAACCATTTCAGGGTGAGACCATTGCATAGTTTCTGTGTTGAAAAATGGGTAGATTTAACATGACGTTCTAGACAGCAAGCAAGAGAGCGATATAGATCTCACCGGTATCAAAACAATAGACATCCTTCCAGCATCCTTTATCATCGCATCCACCAAAGAGCCATGCCAAGCTTTCTACAAGAGTGACGCTATGTGCGCGCATATTGCGCATCGGAAGAGCACCATGCACAGGCGCCTTACTCCAGTACATGTTGGTCGCTGGCGCAGGATCAATATCATCAGAGCGAGGGAGACGAGGAATATTGCGGATCTTTTGCTCCCTCCCCTTAATAGTCTTGCCATCCCTACTTGAACCATGCCCTGGACTGGAAGCTCTCTTTTTCAAGGAAGTAGACCCATTCGATATACCGACAACGCTGTCGCTAGTGGAACGCGGTGGCGGGCGGTCGCCATTGGGGCGCAAATTCGAGGGCTTCCTCGGTCCTGTCGACATGCGCGGCGTACCTGGGATGCTCACAGATGCATTAAATGTCGAGGTCGATGCTGTCGCCTGGTGGGTAGCATGGAGGTAAGGCGAGTGAAGATTGGGACTCGGTACGGTGACTGGGGGAGTAAGGCTTTCTTCTGGGACATCGCTGAGACTTGGCGTGCGCGATCCGCTCATGCTTTCCAGACCGTCGTCGTCGTTGAAGAGTTCGTTCAACGTTGGTATTTGGGCTGCACGGGCTGTTGACGATGACCCTTGACGTCCTATTGGCCCTACCATCGCTTCCTGTGTATTCGTTACAGACTAATAAGCGTGAGAATTATTTTTTCTTTATTGTCCGGACAGGGTAGAGTCTCGGTCATTCGCCTAACCTGGCGATAATTATCGAGGATATTTGGTTTTAAGCTGTATTTACGTGACACGGACGGTAATTATATCGTTCTGATGTCCTGCACGAAGCAGATAAGTATACTATTACATTTCTCACACAAGGTCAAGTCTATAGCATGGCTTGTCAAAGAACAGGTTAAATACTTGAAATCTAGAAAGTATTGTTCACTCGTCAATACTTACATTAGCTGGCGAGCTATCCCGGGTAAAATTCCTCTCTCCAATGTGCGCAGCATCGTCCACGGCGGCTTGAGCAAGTGTATCGGCGTTGGGTCGGGCCGACATCGGCCCGCCTTGAGGATGTTTGGCTGCAGCCCGCTGAGCTTTTGATGCAAGAGACCCACGGGGAGGATTATATCCCAGAGCTCTGTGTTCAAGAGACACCAGTGTCCTTGCTTCACCTGTAAGATGATCACTTTAAAAATGTAATCCTGATTAAAATACTCCAAGGGAGAACATACTTGCACCAATGGCATCGAGGTTGACACCGCGAGTTCCTCGCGCCTCGTCTCTTCTACAAAACCGGTTAATATCTTATCGAAGCACTGACATTATACATACGATATACGAGCGACGTCCTCAAGTGCAGCCATAGTCAGCGTGTCAGTATCAGGCCGACTAGATCTTTCAGGCCTGCCTGTAGGGTGTTTCGCAGCGGCTGATTGTGCTTGAGCTGCAAGTGACCCAGGTGGGGGACGGTGACCGAGAGCTTTATGCTCTATGGACATGATTTCTGTGGCCTCGGCTATAATACATGGTAAGATCCAAATGCGTGAATGGTGAATGAAAGTTGCGCGCACCTTCTCCGATAACGTCCAAATCTATCGCAACAGTAGGAGAGCTCAGTGGACTCGGAGAGGCACCACTAGCGGCACGAAAAGGTGAAATATCGCCTGCGGCTTCCACACTAACTGTAGTGTTTTCATGGGTGATGCTAGTGGTTATGTCTGGCCCATAGTTGGTACTGAGCGAATTGCCTGAAAACGGAGAGTACATCTCGAAGAATAGTGAGTCAGGCGGATAAGAAATATAACCAACCTCGTAACCTTCCTATATATTATCATAACCTCATAGTGGAGCCCGTTTTCAAATGCAGTAACAATGAACTCATGCGGTATCAGTACCCTCAGAGTAGTGATGGCAAAGTGGAACATATGCACTCAAGATAGGTTAGGGTTACGCAGTTGCTTCACTAAAGAAACGAGTACAGACCAAGTTGTACACCGTGACAACGATGGCCACACCCAAGCCAACCCCTGAGAGCCAAAGCTCGAGATCGCTGAATAGACAGCTGGTCTTGGACGAGGACGAATACACCGCTGCATTGTCTCGTATCATTGCTAGAGACTTCTTTCCCACTTTAGTTGACTTGGACCCTGAAGTGCAGGATTCTGGTGACATCCATGCTTCTGTTCGCCGCCAACAAGATATCAACATCACACCAATTTACTCTGGGGAACCAGGAGAGACACCCTATGGTCTTGCTTCTGAGACACCGTTGCACACACCGCGTGGCGAACCACCGTCGAAACGTACAAGATATGATACGAGCATGAGCCTCGATTCTTTCCAGGCCAAGTATACCTCGGAGGATAATTCCAGTTTTACACAAATCTTGGATGAAGAAAATAGGCAGAGAAAGGAGAGGTGGGGGTGGGCATGGGCTGCACAGAGAAGAGTCGAGGAGCAAAGGGAAAGAATGCTGGAAGGGAGAGAAAGGGGACTCATTGAAGCACCTCCTGCTGTTGGTGTACGGGAGAGACGCTTGATCGATGCCCCTCTTGTAGCAGGGCTGATTACCAATGGTCAATCTGAAGAAGCTGCTCAGGAAGAAACAGATCAAAGTACAAGTCAAGTCGCTGTAATAGAAAAGAAACTAGAGATGATAACAAAGGGTGACGATGAAAAGGAGCCGTTGGACGTGATGGCTCCAAAGAAAGACACTCGCTCTGCTGGAGTGGACGGATGGAAATTCAAGGTGAACGTTTTGGTTTATTTCTACGTTTCTCCAGAACTTACGCATGCCTCAGACTCGAAATTCTCTCATGTTCTCACCAGACGCCGATATAGCACCATATACTGTCTCGGATTCCAATACTATATCCAAAAAAGCTCAGGAAAACCCCGGGGTAATCAAGCACGGGAATACGCGTCTCCCTGAGGAGGATGAATCTCGGCCCCGTGGTCTATCTGCTCCTCCAAGTCCCACTCATAGCCGAGTAGCTGCAGCTATCACTGGTACACCTTGTTAGTGTATATGATATTTATATTTCTAATCGTGTCTGACAACCTACTAATAACCACAGATCGACCAAGATCTCCTACGACAGGCAGTTATCCGCTGGTACCTAACATTCCTTCTCCAACACCCTCAGACATGGGCCCTAAAGCCGTGAAACAACTTATGACATGGGGAACACTCAATGCAACACCCCGTATCTTGTCGCAATCTGATGACCCTGCAGAAGCTGCACCCCCTCCAAGCACACCTTTTCACCTTCCAGCACCCTCCAGCCGTGAGACAATATCACATCAACTATCTGCACGGGCATCAAGAAGCTTGCGAGCAAAAGCTGGTCTCCTAGGGCTAGCAAGTATCGGTCAAACTCCAATCAGATCGTCTACCCCTCACCGTTCATCAGGAAAAAGTGGGTCTATGGGCCCTCCTACATGGACTCCCCGTAGAGCTGACGCACCGGGAAATCTCACGCCTGCCGCAAAAAGGCTTTTGGATAGAACGAGTATGAAGACCGCTGCTGTACGAAGGGCGGAGGCTATGAGTCGTACCTCTGGTTGGGAAGGCAATGGAAAAGGAAAGGATGTGGATTTGAACCGTGTTCGATGGACACCTACACCAAATATCTCTTCACGGGGAGGGTAATTCCCTTTATAGTATATACAATTTCAGGATGGTATCTCGTGCTTTTGTTCATTGTTATAGCTATACCGAGCTATAGCAGCTGTAGCCCACTGTATTTTGTATGTGTCTGATTTGATCTCGAACCTATGGTGTGCAATTTTAGGAACTTCATTCCCACGCCTTCTTTAAAAATGGTTCCGCATCCTGATAAGTGTCACGCATTCATTCATTCACTCAAATTGGTTGGCTGAACCAAACATGTTCAAGAAGCCTTTGGGCAATCTGAAAACATCAGGTAAATTTATATTAGAAACATAAATCATCCTCGCTGATTATCTTGCAGCTCCTTTGCGCAGTTCAGACAGACGGAAACTCAAACAACGAGTGGTCCAGTCCTTTTCCCTATCGGCAGAAGAAGGCGATGTTCTTGTACCAGACGGTTTGCTTTCCGTGAAGTTCAACACATATTCGGATGATCCTGGAGTAAGAGTCTCAGAGATTGTATTGTCCTCGAGCTTGATCAGTGCTCAATAGGTCGCATATCTCGCACCAGGCGGAGACCCCTTGTGGTTTACGATCGGCAAGGGTTCAGATGACTTGATTCCAACTGGTACGCACTGTTGCAGACTTAAAGAGGAGCTATATGCATTTGTATATAGTTTATACATTATGGAAGAAGCCCGATTTACTTCCGTTCCTCTCGACACCATCTGCAGTCATACCGAAACTTATAGGAGGCGCAGATCTAATGATACCTGGAGGTGAGGCTATCTTCTGATCGCTCCTGTAAAAAAAACTGATTCTGACCGCCAAGAAAGTCATCCAGCATACTCCTTCGATAAAGGAGAGCCATCTTGTAAGCGTCACAGAGTATACTCGGGACAAACTCGGTCCGCCACTTGCTGTCGGAAGGATGGCGGCACATAGTGATATCATGGGACGAGAAGACGCGAAGGGAAAAGCAGTCTATGTTATGCATGCATGGAAAGATCATCTATGGGATATGGGTTCTAAAGGCGAGCCCCCTGATCCGGTTTCTGCTAGTAACTCTAAGCAGGCGGACGCGCCCCACGAAAGTGTGGCAGATGATAACGGAAGCCAAAGGGATGCCGAGCATAAACTGCTCGTTGAAGGCCAGACTGACACGCCGGCAAGTCCTTCCGGCGAAGTGACATCAGAAGTCAGAAATCATACTTTATCACGAGAAGGTGAGGAAATTTACTAATTGCCTACATAATGTGATTATTCAGACTATGAGCAGAAGTTACCACTATTCTAAGAAAATCAGTTCTTCAAGCTATACAGAAGCTGCTCTCTGAGCTTCCTGCATCTTCTTTCCCATTATCGGCTACCGTATTTTACTCTACGTACATCCTTCCATCGCGACCTGCGTTCATCTCTGAACATGTTCTGACTACTCCGATCGATATCAAGCATTCAACACATAAATCTCTCACCACTTTCCTCAAAGTATGCGAGAAGGAAGGGCTTATAAAGCTGAAAGATATGAAATCGGAAGTTCTCGTTATGGGCGTATTTCCAACGCACGATGATGTCGAGGCTCACCGACCATACACCAGCCTAAAGGACCTGGAGCTGAAGAGAGAGAAACAGGACGGAAAGGTGGAGGAGGAGCGTAAAAAGGTTAAAGAAATGATTATTGTTGAGAAATGGAAACCTCATCAGCAGTCGCTGAAGTTTTTCCAAGGAGTAGGACTCAAGTAGGTACTCTACTCCCATTTCAATGAAGTTTGGCATCTAATCTATTTCTATAGCATTTCTCTATTATACACTCTTCCCGACATCAAGTCTGCCATCAATAAACATGCTGCAGATGCCAGTCTCATTAAACAAAATGACCAGCAACTCATACGTCTCGACGAGCTTCTCAATTCCGTTCTATCTTCAAAATCAGACGAACTTCCACAGTTTATGAAGCGAGAAGAGTTGGTTAAGAGACTCTCAGACAAAATGCAAAGCTGGTACGAAATCACAGCTGACGGGAAAGATCCTGTCCTAAAGTGAGTGCATACATCTACTACCCATACACTTAGTGATATATATACTGCCCAAAGGAAAGGCCAGCTCAAGTCCATCTTAGTCGTGGTGAAAATGAGACAAGGACGTAAAGCGTCCACTCTGATTACCAACTTTGAACCCTACTTTCTCGTAGCAGAGAGTCTCGCCGACGAGCTACGACATATATGCGCATCTGCAACTTCGGGTGAGTTGTTTCTGGTCTACTACTAGATTTCGAGTATAATTCTTTACTCTACATTGTTTTAGTGTCTCCCGCTCTTGGAAAGGGATCGGGAATGGAAGTCTTTGTGCAGGGGAAGCAGATCAAAGCTGTGACCGAACTGCTTGTATCGCGAGGAATACCGAAGAAATGGATAGAGGCGATGGATTTATCAGACAAGAAGAAGTAAACGCATACGCATAAGATAACATGCATGTATACTGTATCAATTACTGTCATATCTAACAAGATAATACGATATCATGGATGCCAGTTCTGTTAGAAGAGGTTTACTCAGTTGAACGCAGTGCGGCAAAGTGCGGCAAGCAAGTCGCTCTCGGGTTTTTCCGACTAGGGACTCTGGTCTGCTCAATCAGTGGCAAATCAGTGGATAAAAAATCGAATATGCCTCGAGCAACATCAGAACGCTTTTCAAGAGCCCACCAAGCACCAATAAAAGCCAAGCCTACCAACAACTCTGGAGAGTCATCTTCTGCAGTTCGAAACCCGATCTTCAATACTGAAAGATTCGGTCAGCACATTCTCAAAAACCCGCTCGTTGCTCAAGGGTAAGTTCAGTAATCGTTCTTTCTTCTTGTCAAGGTATCATATCACTTAGCTGCATCGAATCAGCATTGTAGATAAGGTATTTTTCATTTATTTATTCTTTTGCACTTGTCGGAGTTTGATGAGAGGTCATCATGTAGGCCAACCTACGGCCAACAGACAAAGTCCTCGAGGTCGGTCCAGGTACTGGAAACCTTACAGTTCGTATCCTTGAAAAGGCAAAACATGTCACTGCAGTGGAGATGGATCCTCGGATGGCAGCAGAGTTGACGAAGCGTGTTCAGGGAAAGTGCGTAAATTCTTGATATTCGCTCTGTTCTCTGCACTAAAATCCTGACTGGACTAGGCCTGAGCAACGAAAACTTGATATCATTATCGGCGACTTTGTCAAGGCCGATCTTCCTTATTTTGATGTCTGTATCTCCAATACACCCTACCAAATATCATCTCCTCTCGTCTTTCGACTCCTCTCTCACCGCCCCCTCTGCCGGGTAGCAATTCTGATGTTCCAGCGAGAGTTCGCATTGCGATTAGTCGCACGGCCTGGAACGGAACTATGGTCACGTTTGTCGGCCAATGTTCAACTGTATTCTAAAGTAGATCATATCATGAAAGTGGGGAAGAACAATTTCCGGCCTGCTCCCAAGGTGGAGTCCTCGGTCGTCCGTATCGCGCCTCTCGATCCTCCGCCACCTGTAAAATTTGAAGAGTTTGATGGCTTGAACAGAATTATATTCAGTCGGCGAAACAAGACCATTCATGCCAGCTTCATGGCAAAAGGTGTGATAGATATGATGGAGAGCAATTGGCGCACATGGTGCTCGGAACAGAACCAGGTAGAATCAAATGCTTCTTCTTTGTCAAATCTTCTGATAGCTGTCTCAGATGATTGAAGACGATGTCGATATGAAGTCAAATGTAGAGAAGGTGCTAAATGAAACCGGTTTTTCGGAGAGCCGTGCAGCTAAAATGGATGTTGACGACCTACTAAAGTACTACTATTTTCTTTCGAAATCGAGTAAAAAATGTATTGACTTTTTTGGTCTCTTCTCAGACTGTTATCCGCTTTTCACGATGCTGGAATTCACTTCGCATGACTCATTGAATGCTATCTCTATCTCTATCTTCTTTGCTTTAATTATATCCGATTGTTTTCTCGAGCTTGCCCCCTGCTGTCGAGATAAAGGTTGCCTACCAAAACTATACAACTTTTGTTCTCCGCTTTCGCCATAATGAAGATACCATCAGAAGGATACCTACTCTGAGCAGCGGGGTGTACACGGAATTGTACCGCTATTTGTTATGGTTTCTTAAATTTCCGAGCATTATGTATTTTTATCTGTGAGTTGCTCTTTCGCTTTTTCACCCCTCTTTATCACCTCAAGGTGGTCCTAAACGATGTTGCTCTCGCTCATCCTGATTCTTTCATAAGACGCGCATTGAGGATATACCCTTGCACACCAGCAAAGCGATATAATATAAGGATATATTCCGTTGAATTGGAGGGGGCATTGATATGTTTGAATTAGGGTCTCCTTCAAGCTGAGATATACCTACTGTTCCATCCGGGCCGTCAAGGCACTTATGCAAGTGTTATGTTGCGTCGTTTAGCAACTGTAACAAAGAGACTTGAGTGCACATGGCAGCCATGGGTAATCTGATAACGTCCGTGACTTCTTCCTGTAAGGTACGCGCAGGTTGGATGCGTTATAGAGGATGCTTCCTAAAGCATACGGTTTGTCTCTACAGACTGTTATCAGTGTGCTGAATTGTACTGAAACTTCTTGTTCAATTTTCTATTATAGTATTAAAATAATAGTGCTGCGAGACGTGATATCAGTTTCAAACTTTTCAGGTTGAGCTTTGGCTTGAGCGTATAATTGTCGGAGCGGATGTAAAAGTCAGGCACATAAGCATAAGTACTGGTAAGCAAGACCATTAATAATTTCTTTCTCCGAGGCGACAACTGAAACCCGCGCCGGCATTTTCTATCTTCAGAAACAGACAAACATGAGGATAAAAGGGATGCAGACAGTTGGAATGGAATTTCCTCAGGCTTTCGGCTCTCTTTCTTTTCACATATTTCCCTTGCTTTTGGCTGTCGCCTAGTGCGACTACCATAGAGGACCTCAAACATCCGGCCTGGTGTCGTTTTCTGTTTATCCAGCCAACATTCAGGTTTCGACTCTTGTCCATTTCTTCAAAACAACCATTCGTCGATCTTCAATATATCTCCTTTGTTCTGATTGATATTCTCGGAGACTAAAAGAGAATATAAAATGTTTTACAAGGCTTTCTTGACCGCTTCCTTACCTCTTATCCTATCTGTGCAGGGCGCACCTGCTCCATCAGCAGCCTCTTTCCTAGTATGTCTTTTTTTTTGGTTTTTTTTTTTGACTAAAATGAACTCTACATTGATTATTGGCATTCAAGGCCCGCAGGATTACCAGCAATGTACCTAGGAGCAGCAGCAGCAGTACGAATAATACAAGTGGTTTACAATCTTCTCTGAGTGAGCTTGATAATATTTCTCCTGGAAAATGTTATAGACTAATGTTTTACTAGCCCTGGATCCTTCCGTGATTGCAACAGGGTTTGAAAATAACGGACAAAACCAGCCTGCGGCTGGTCAAGTGGCTTCCCTGACATCATCGAATAATTTTATCAACTTCTGTGCTACGGCCTCCAATGTTCCATTGACGAATGGCCAGCAAATTCAAGGTGGTTCATGTAATCCTGCACCGATGGGACTTATCCCGTCCGTCGCTAATATGCCGTCTTCAAAGTTTGTGTCGCCTACGAATTTCGGCACTGTCACGGCCAACACAGATTTCACCATTCAGATGGCCGTCAACAATCTCGACACTGGCTTCTTCACCAACGCAGACGAGGATTACTTTTCAGCACCTCAGCAGCTCAACTCTCAAGGTCTTATCCAAGGCCACACGCACTTCGTGATTGAAAACCTCTCCTCGCTTACACAGGTTACGCCCAATGATCCTACTCAGTTTGCATTCTTCAAGGGTGTCAATACCGCGGCGCAGAATGGGATAGTCAACGTAACTGTAACTGGTGGCCTTCCCGCTGGTTCATATAAACTATCTTCCATTAACTCAGCGATGAACCATCAGCCAGTGTTAGTAGCTGTTGCTCAGCATGGATCCCTTGATGATGCAATTTACGTACGTCCATTCATTCATATTATGTACTGCATGGGCTAATAGCACCTTGCATATTTAGTTCAGTGCAACGGAGAGTGGTGCCACTGGTGGGACGTCAACGTCAGCCAGTTCTTCCATTGCTGTCACCTCTACAGTTGCTTCGACATCAGTAACGACCGCGTCCTCTTCCGCCCCGTCGGCCACCGCTACGTCCTCGAGCAATGGAGCCAACTTTGGTTCTTGTAGTACGCCACAGATTGAGTTTGGAGCTGGTTTCAACGGCAGGACAGAGACCTCTTTTCAAGCTGTTGACCAGAGTAAGCCATTAAATTTGTGTTTGTTTTCGGCCCTCATTAAGTCATCGTATTCAGATTCATACAATCACGGATCTGCAGATAATATCGATGTCATCTCAGGTTTCATTTGCCAAAGATTGATATCCCCTTGCAATGCGAATGCTGCTGGCCAGGCTCTATGTACGCAGGCATCGGCTGCAGCAGATGCTGCCTCAGCTCAGACGGGACAGCAGGCAGATGCCTTCAACGCTGTATTTGGTATCACGACGGACTTTGCAAGTGTTACTCCAATAGCTGCCTAAGGTATGGCTACTTCAGTGTGGAGCCAACCCCCTGGCCACATGATGAGCACACATTGTCATCGTCTATTTTTTCTCTCTCTCAGAGGTTTTGGCGTCCTGGTTGACGATAATTGGACATTGTTGTTTTGAATACATTTTGAGTATTTTTTTTTGGATGTTTTTGGTCATTCGTATGGTGGTTCTTGTATTAGGTTTCTCAAATGTCAAGCAATAGAGCAGCTTTTAGCAAGGCAAAATTTCTGCACCGCAACCGAACGGTTACTGTTGTAAATGTGTGTTTTCACACAAAATGTCCATTCAAAGTTTTCGCATTCACTATTAGTACATCTATCATGTAAAAATGCTGATATATTATCTTCCCATCCACAAATACAGCCGCTAAGGTGCCAAGTACGGTTACCCGAAAATCAAAAACCACGACTCCATTGTCTAACAAACTCATACGTTCCGATATTCAAATGCTGGGCTTCCAGGCTCTGAAGAATCCATTATGGACCGGGTAAAGCCAGGTTCACCTTCGTGTGTCCTTGCCTCCTCAACAGAGAGCACCTCTGCGTCCACCAAACCCAATGACTTCTTCAGGTAAGGCAAAAATTCGGATAGAATCTCAGTCTCAGAGAAGGGTAGTGTCCGTCGGAAAGCGGTCTGAGCTCCAAATTCAGCCATCCGTTTCTGAAATAGACGACTTTAACAATTGCGTATGCGATAATAAACGACACGACAAACCTTGAACGCTTGGATAAATGGCATGACACGCTTATCCTTGATCAGACCTTTTTCTATCAGGATTTCTCTTACTTTTACGTCGTCCACCTTCTCCGCTTTTTCTACGTATGAATCCTTGACGGTTTGTACGCATATATTTTGCCATTCAGGGAAGGTCGTCGCTACGTATATTCTGACGCTCCTGGGTTTCTTCGGGTCAAAGGATGCATCCTCGCCACCTTTGCCCTTCTTGCCTTTGTTTATCTTCTTCATTAGGGTAACTTCAGCATCTCGGATCATCTTGAGGGTTCCGCGCATGTAAACGCCTGTCTCGATTACGGATTTATCAATTGGTCGGGGTGGCTCTGGCCAACGGGCTAATTGTATTGATTTCGGTTCCTGCAAGATCGTAGACCAGATATGTTCGGCAAAGTGGGGAGCAATGGGTGAAGCTAGCAATGCAGCAATGCGGATCCAGTATTGTACGAGTTCACCGTGCATGCCGATATCAGCAGTGACTTCACGATACCAATCACGAGCTGTTTGCAATTCGTAGAAGCCGAATTTCAGAGCATCCTTGTAGCTTGTACTAGAAAGTTATGTTAGATTAAACCCCCATCAAAACAATACAATGGGACTAACGCTTCGTAATGGCCCTTGGTGATGTTAATCAAGTCATTGATCTCCTCCTCAAACACGCGGTCATGATACGAATTCCTGGGTCCTTGTCTCAAAGTGGCTTGATCCTTGATCATTTCCTAGTAAAAGTATTGTTAGTTCATCTCAACAACCTATATACAATTTTTACGTACCTCGCACCAACTCAACAATGTATGTACACGCAGAATGTTAGCATTTGCTGTCTTCTCATCAAAGTTGGCATCTTCGACACCATCTCCTGCATCAGCAAGAGACAATCTTGTCGCGTCCGCACCAAACTTCTCGATACTCTCTCGCAAAGTTAAAGAATTGCCGGTACTCTTTGACATCTTCTTTCCGTTCAGCATCAAGTGTCCATTCGTACGCATACTCAGCGGCCATTTATCCTCAGAGAAGATTGCGGCGTGGTTATATACGGCGAAGGTCAAGTGATTTGGAACCAGGTCTTTGCCAGACGACCGAATGTCCAAGGGATAGAAGTAGTTGAATTCGTGTCTCAGCTTATCGGCCTTTTCGCGCGGGAGAGGAGCTGGTTCGGGCCATGGTCCATTGCAGAAGATGTACTCCCACACTTCGTCTGTCATTTGGTGTGGAGTTACTGCCAAAGGGCCAAGCTTGCTACCGGTAATGTCACCTCCTAGACTATACGTCAGTGAAGGGTGAGTAGAGACTCTAGTCTTGACTAACCGTGCAGTAGATGTGCTACAGTGTAGTAACTCATATAGATAGTGGAGTCACTCAAACTTTCAACCAAGAACTGAGGGTCCCAAGGTAATTTCGAACCCAAGCCATAAGTTCTCGCACAAGCCCATTTATTCAGCCAACCCAGAGTGGCCTCGAACGCATTGCGAGTCTCGGAGCCGTATGTATCCATTTTGGCGACCAACCTAGGATAGACAAATTAGGAGTAATCAGGATTAGCATGGCACGTACGTACCTCTCGGCTTGTGCTCTCCATGAAGGTTCGCCGTAATCAAGATACCATTGGTCCATCAGAGCAACTACACACTCGTCTGCACTACGAGAGATAACCAGACCCTCGGGCTCCGCATATGCAAGTGCCACACCACTTTCGATCATGCTCGCCCTTACTTTCGGCTTCGCATCTTGCACAGATTCACCTTTGAATTCGCCCACCAACATGGTTCCACTATAGAACCCTTCCTTATAGGCAATTTCTTTGGCCTCTGCCAGCTGTTTCGTATCCTTTTGGGATTGAATCTTCAACTGTTTTACCAACGTAGGTGCTGTCAAGTCTCCATACGTAGGAGTAGTGATTACGGGTACTGGGTCAATTGATGCCCATTTGGGGTCAATCTTATAGAACTCAGGTTTCTTGCGCAGATCGACCAGTGTTTGATAATCATCAGGTGAATCGGATGGGACAGATGTGACCACACCAGTTCCCTATACAATATATAAGTCAAAAACTTCATATGATAATAAGCAATAAAATATGGTCTGACCTTGGTTGAGAGGACGTTGTCCATTGGGAGCACGTACACTTCTGGGTTAATGGCAAAAGGCGCTTTGATCTTTGTTCCTACGATTTTAATACCATCAAGCTCCAACAGCTGATCGATATTTCCACGGGGGGTAGAGATGCCCTGGAATGCCATGTTGCGAGCAGCACGATAAGTGCAAACGTATGCTTCCGTTTGATTGATCGCGAACACCCCATATTTGATAGCCGTACCAACAAAGCAGTTTGTTTGCCCGTACCTAGCGCCAGGTTAGTGAACAGTCTATCGCAAAAGCTGTGAACCACACAAACATGGTCTCTGGTCGCAGTGTTGCAGCGACTAAGAATACTTTTCGTCCGCCAACCTTGCCTTCAATTTCGGCCTTGGCAGCCTCACTCCATTCTACAACTTCCATCTTGACCGCAGTGTACTCCTGAGGACCATGACCTTCGCCGTCTTGTCGATCGTGATCCATACAGGGCTGACCGTCTTTTGGGCTATAAATCGTGTAACGTTCTCCAAATCTGATCTTCCCCAAGTCGTGAAGCTTGTTTATCTGCCATCGAACAAAAGCGTCGAAAAAGGGGTTAGCGTCGGTCGTCATGAACGAACGGCGCCAATCTATCCGAGAACCAAAGGAGTTATTGTCTTCCTGTTATCCCAGGTAAGCAATTTAACATTAAAGCAACGATAACCTATTTACCTTGCAAATGGGTGGGAAGTAGGTCAACCAGTAGTACGGATCAGCAAACTTCTTGATTTCAGATCGTGGTACGCCAATAGACTCCATTATTTGGAATTGGTAGGTATGGCCAGTAGATTTAGCAGCGATTTTCCCTTTTGTGGCTTTACCGACAACCGCTGGCGCTGCAACAGCCTCTGATGGCTTTTCTTCGACCGTTTCTTCACCAAACCGCTCAAAATCAGGACCAAACATCTCCATTTCACGTATCACTTTGTCGGAAGAGGCCTACGGAATAAGTTGTCATTCTAGGGTCGTCTATGATATAGAAAGCATATACTTGCCTTGATGGGCATCCCTGTTACGTGGAATCCATGAGGGAAAAGAACACGTTTACCCAACAGCCTTTGGTATCCAGCAGCAAATTCGATCTTCGAGATGGTGAAGGCATGTCCCAAGTGCAACGAGCCGTTCATGTAAGGGAAGGGGAAAGTTCCAAACCACTTGGGGTACTTTTCTCTGATTTCGGCAACTGACAGTCCAACCAGTTCCTCTTGGGACGGTGCGTTGACCTCGAACAAGTTTTCCTGGGTCCATTTCTCCTGATATTTCTTCTCTAAAGCTTTTAGATGGTCACGTTTGCCCGTCTGAGTGTCCAGAAGCCGCATCAGCCGTTCATATACTACCAGACCTCGACAATAGGACGTACCTGGGCCAGCTCTATGGTATTCGCCATCCTTGTTGACAGTACACGCCTATTACACAGTATATTACAACGCCGAGAAAGCTGGCGATTAAGCGTATGGTGTCGCCACAAGGCAAGAATGGCTGCGAGATATCTTTGATTAAATCAGTACCAAAGTTTTTCTTCAAATCTGCTATCGATTCAACTCAATCGAGTCAGAAAATTTGCAGCCACAGGACGAAACACGTACAAAGAAATCAAAAATCGCGGAATGTTGCATTAAACTCATCGTGGGAATATCATGTCACGGACACGAGTCGTAACGTGTTACGGTTCGTGAACCAACCTTTCCTTTGCCTTTCACGGTTCGGATTCGAGGCTTCCGGCGGTACCGTAACTGAAAAAACTATGCCTGGTCCATGCAATCTCAAGAAGAGGAAGAAGCTACAAGTGAAGAAAGGGAGGAAATGCAGCTCAGTACACACCGCTCTAGACGACGAGCACGCCAATCTTGCGTCGGCTGTCGATATCTCGACATACGACATCCTAGCATCCTCCGTAATGCCTGAGGAAAATTACGGTCCTCGCGAGGAGGAGGGCTATGGAGATGGAATTGTTCCACAAATGCCCTACATACACGATCCCGGTAACGGGCCCCGCGTTCGGGACACACGCGCCTTCTTATCATCGTTCTTCGCCCAGCCGCCAACGCTAGATGACCCTTTATGCGCAGAGTTTGCTCAAGATGAGGTGTTGCAAATGCTATGCACTGTTTTACCTGACGAAACTGCCCTCGTAAGTTGTGCAGTATGACATATGGTACCGATCCTTGATTTTACATAAATATCACAGATACTCTGGTATAACAAGAGCAGAGCGACAGGACGAATTTGTCCTGCGTGCCGTAGATTGTACTGCCTTGGGGATGTTTTACCCGATCTTATTGAAGATGGGCTCAAAAGTCCTCCCCAGCGTTCTCCGCTTTTAACCAGTGAACAGAAGATCAGTGGCCTCTGTCAGTACATTCCTCGCTCGAGACACCATCTACGGATTGCTAATGTAGAACTTAGGCTCTCCTGTCTGTTTTATTCTGGCTTCATTTGAATATCCTGGGGCCATCAAGACTACTTGGGGTAGGATAGCCGAAGATATGGATGATTATACGTGGCAATTATTGAATGGCCCTGGACAAGGGAGTGGTGATATGGGTCTCAGTCTATTACTTAAGATGACTAGGCTTGATGATCTGGGTCTCGGTCAGCTATGTCTTCCGGAAGTTGACTTTGATTCAGGCTGGGAAGAGCTACAAGCCTAGCTAACCTGGCTGTGCATATATAGACAAACGATATAATTCCCGGACTATTAATTCGCTTTCGAAGGTAAATCGGTTTATTTTCATAATACCATTCCCTTGCAACTAACCAGTTTCCAGTTATCTTGCTTTTTTTGTATACCCAGTCGTTTATATATTTACAGGATATCTATGGTCGTATTTATCAGGGGCCACAATTTCAACCGTGATACATCATATTCATGGTATTCGTTATGGAGGGTCCCGCATATATCATACAGTGCACTTCGGCTCACCGATCAACGGGATCACAACGTGAACCATGCAAACCAGAGGGATGCAAAGCGCACGAGGAAAGACCCACCATTGATGATTTCCACAGTATGTGACGTTGTACACAGAAAGACAGTAAACATCATTAACAGCTGGTGCTGGTGTACTGAAAATTCAATGGACACCGTTCCCCAGGTTGGATGCGCTGGTGAGTCTTGAATTTGGATGGGTACTGAAGATAGTTACGAGAATAATTGAAGAACATTTTTCAATGTTGCAAAAGCTTCAAGGGCGGTGGCATGCACTGACGTTCGGTGGTCAAAGGGTTCAGAGTGTCCAGACCATCATACTGCTTACGTGGATCGTCTACGGAGCTTCACCATAAACACCGCTTTGGAAATGGAGGATATATCTCGACAATAGGTAATTTTGTTTCCTTACAACAATCAAGGTACGCTTTGCGACGCATTTTTAAAATCTTCTGAATGCTTTTGTTTACCCTACTAACTGATTTGATCGACATAACAACACGTGGGGTCGCGGCCCTTCGAAAACTCAATTTGATGTCGCAACTCTAGATGAAAGTATTTTCTCGATATCAAGATATCGAGGCCTTCAACCACCCGTTGATCCTCCTTTCATATCATAGTAGGAGGCAGGGTAGGTTGGAATAACAGTCTTTTCCAGTTCCCATTTCTTCGTTGAAATATAGCAACATGTTCCTTTGAACGATCTACCATGGCCCAGTCACATAGCTCATCTTAGTCCCCATATTGGCTTCAAAATGCTGTGTCGCTGTGGTGCTCACGGGTTGTGCAAAAGAAAATACAGATACCGCATATAACGATTTTATGATACCATATACTGCCTTCTATTTTCCTGATGTGCTAGGAATCTCCTGGTGAGTTGCATTTTTAGTTTTCCCTGCCAAACCATGATGCTTAGATAAAGCATTATCCAGAGGTATTTGAGGTCCGGAATGGAAACCGTTGTAGGTATATTGATTGTCATAACTTGAATGTGATTTATGCCAAGCTTCCCATTGACACATGAGTATGATGTGTACCCCGTTTTTCTCGTCTTACGACATGCGATTTACCACACTCTTAGCTCTCGCTGGTGGGCACTTGTTGCCTGCGTACCTCGTTATATCTGGTGGTTTTGCTGATTCGTGCAGCACGTGGCAACTATCAGGCACGGTATTAAGTGGGGTTTGCCACACACCCAGTGGGCAACCAACTCAAACAGCAATTGACTTAAACAACTGTGTAACTAATAACGGCGGTCAACTTGCTCGTGCAAGTGGGTAAGTCTCTTCCGCATACTTCGCTTATGGCAGCGTTTTATGAAGGCATCCGCCCTGCAGTGGTTTTTACGGTTATTCGTGCCAAGGTTGTTCGATCGAGTACAAGATTTTTCTGCAATACACCTGCCGCGATGCCAATGGTAATTATGGGCCGTCAGTGGTCGATTTGAGTGTGTTATAGTTGACTGTCTTCTTTTCCATGCACTAATTTCTTTGCTATGCAATAATTTCTTTGCTATGCAGACTCTTGCGTGTCAAATAATGGCGGTGTCCTTAGTGTTGATTGTTAGGTTGATTTGGATGGAGTCAAACAAGTTAAGCTGTACTGATTACTTTACTGCCTGTATTTTTCTTTTCTGGATTTAAATGAAAATACCTTGCTTGCAAGTACGTGGTTATTATGGATTGCCTCGATTCATAATTGATAATCCCTCACAGTGGTCCTATGACAAACACAGCCAAGTGCTACCCTATCACGCTCACTTCATTTTGTTGATGTCGGAGCAGTCTTCAGCTATCTTGCTTTTTTTATTACATACCCAGCCGTTCGTATATCCAGTATACCCTATGGTCATGGCATGGAGGGTCCCGCAAGTATCGCGCGGTGCACCCTGTTCGCCGATCAATGGAATAACAATTTCGACTGATACATCATCCATGTATCCCTTTCCTTTCGGAGGGTCCCGCAAATATCGCGCGGTGCGCCCTGTTCGCCGATCAACGGGATAACAATTTCAGACAAGCATCCACGAAGATTAAAGACCTAGAAAGGAAGGAGAATAGGAAGAAATGGCCCGTACGCCATCATTTACCCCATTGATTTTCTTGTTTCCGTCTGACTCGGCCTTACTTTATAACCCCACTGTTGCCGTGTAGATACTTCAGCGGTTCCCTTCAAATAATTAGGTACATACCATTGATATATATACTCAGTGATTCCCTTCGAATACTGAGCATTTGTTGATTATACAGACCCTTTTGCTTAGATACACGTCGGTTCCTGCCTTCTGTTCTTTTTCTTCTGATGAGCTAGGATTCTTCTGATGACTCGCAGTTTGGGCCAAACTATGGTGCTTGGATGCGGACACCGTTGTAGGTATGTTAATTGCCATAACTTGGGACGCGATATATGTCAAGCTTTCCATTGACGTATAAATGCAACGCGTACTCCGTGCTTTCTCTTCAACTACTCTTCTCACCAATATGCGATTTACCATAATCTTAACTCTCGCCGGCGGGCTCTTGTTGTTTGCGCACCCCGTTATATCTGGTGGTTTCGCTAATTCATGCAGCAATTGGAAAGTATCTGGAACCGAATTAAGTGGGAGTTGCCGCATGCCCAATGGCAAATCAACTTCAACAGAAATTGATTTAAACAGCTGTGTAGCTAACTACGGCGGGCAACTTACTTGTGCACAGGGGTAAGTCTCTTCCGCACACTTCGCCCACGATAACGTTCGATGAAGGCATCCGCCCTGCAGTGGTTTTTACAGTCATTCGTGCAATGGTTGTTCGATCGAGGATAAGACTTATATACAATGCACCTGCAGTGATGGACATGGTGGCACCCAGCCGTCAGTAGTCGATTTAAGTGGGTTATAGTTGACTGTCCTCTTTTTCATGCACTAATTCCTTGACGATGCAGACTCTTGCGTGTCAAATGATGATGGTGACCTTACGTGTTGATTGTTCCTTTTTGGGTTTGAATTGGATGGAATCAAACAAGTCAAGTTGTGCCTTCGTGATTACTCGACTGCCTGTACTTTTCTTTTCTGGGTTTTGATGGAATGGAATCAATCAAATGTACTTCAGTGTTTACTAGTACTTGGCCGCCTGCCCTTTTTTTTATATTCAAGTTCTGTCATGGTATCATTGATTGGAGTAATCGCTGAAAGCTGTGGAGAATGAGTAAAAATCAATCTGGATGAAGAAAAATATAACAGTTAAGTGCATGCACATCCTTTTTTGATTGTGCTAGGTAAAGTTGACAAAAGTCTCAGAATGTCACGCTTGAGAGGTTTAGCATTCAGATATACAGCTCTAAGTAACACAAATAAAAGATATGAACTACATTTCCATCTTCTCTTGGTTATTTTGCGCCACGGGGCTTAAAAAGCTTGAACATGAGTTCAAATGTGACACCAAAATCAAAACAAAATTTGTGCACCCAAGATCATACTAGCAATGCTATACGATAGATACAGTAGCCACAAAAGAATGGGAAACAATCGTCGAGGGTCTCAGACAAAAAATATGAAAAAAGGATACTACAGACGGAAAGATGCATTCAATACTTCATTCCGGTCTAACAGCCACCGTCCATCTTTATGACGTAAAGATTGCACAAAAAGATCTTAAGACTGATAAGGTTTGGTGTGACAATAAAAGTGAATAAACCAAGAAAATCAGTGCGGCCCATTATTCTTGTACACATAGGTGTCTTCCGTGGGCGGATTAGCCTTGAACAGCTGGCCGAGGCGTTCATCTATCAAAAAAAATAAATGAATGCAAGAAGTGGAAAGGCGACATTGTCCTCACAAATAGGATCCTCGGCAGCGTGCTGGAAGTGCTTTAACTGCCAGGTCGTACCAGCACCAACCTCGTCCTTCCTTCTCTGTCTCTGCTCATTCTGCGAAGAAAAAGGCATTAGCATTTGCACTGATTCCTCGAGATTTTGGACCATATTCTAACCTCTATCCGGCTCTTCTCCTTCGCTGCAGTATCGAAGTCACCCTCTCTGATTCCCTTGGCGACGCCGAACCAAAGCTTCCTGCTCTCCCATTCATCCTGCTCCTGTATCGGCTTCACGGTCACCTCCTCTTTGGGTGTAGTCACATCATGGAAAGTTGCTCCCGAGCGTGTGTCCTTTGAAGTTGTGTGCCATGTACCTTCAATCACGTGCGTAGTTCCGCTCATATACACGGGAGGTGTGACGGTGGCTTTGAATGTGTGTGATTTACCCGAGAAATATCCTTTGCCTTTATATTCGATCTGAAGACTATGTTGGAAATTTTATTGGAAAAAAGTGAAGATACTTACTGTTGACAACCAACCGCTCGAACTCTGAATATAGCTCGTCTCGGCGAGTTCAATATAAGGCGATCCGTACCACAATCCGTCGATTCGCAAACGAGGGAGCGTGATTAGGTATTCTTCCTCCTTGCCATTGGGTAATGCCACTGTCAGCACCGCATGACCAATCTGCTTGACTATGATGCTGCCCCCTGACGTACATCCCCAAATCAGAACGTCTTTTTGAGGTAACAAGTTGATTGAAACTTACCACTAAAGCTAGTCTTCTGGGCACTATGTCCTATGAGTGTGAGACCTTTCGCTTTGTTTACAATGCGATATGCAGTGATAGGAGGATGGTGCGAGACCTGCTCGACAATTAGCGTGGTTTCACCTCCACGAGCTGTATTAGCCGGCCAGGTACCATAGAAAAGTCTGGGAAATGCACGATCAGTGACAACAACTGGTGTTATACAAGAGGATAGTCTATCGCCATGCCGAAGTAGACACTCACTCTCCAAGAACGGGGTTCAAGGGCCTGAGAGGGTGTACATGAGTTTAACCCATGAAGAGGGCAAAGACCCAAACAATTACAAATGACGTACTTCTTTTCGGATCCCAGAGACTCGTTACGAGACGTGTACTGTCCCTTGAGCGTACTCTACGTTTCCCAAGCGCGAACAGGTAGGAAGGCATGATTAGCGCAAAGTTCATTTGACATGACAGGTGATGGAATGGCGAGCATGTAACATTACGAAAGGGGTCTAAATATAACTTACGATGAACCACTTGAGCGCGGCCAAAGATCGTGCCTCTTCATCCTTACCATCTGCAATAGCGGCGAACAATTCGGGGCGTTCACACCAATAAGCTGTGGAGCAATAACACAATCGGTTCGGGGGACAAGAAAATTGATCAGATCACTTGGATTTTTTCTCAAATAACAAGGGGGAGACGAACCAGGGAATTCTGTCAGAGATATTGGGGAGAGGATGAATGGTGGTGCAGTCATGGACGACAAGTCGCCTGAGAACGATGCGATCCTGATCGCACAAGTGGTAAGTGATATTGATGGTACTCCACCTTGTTTTGTACGACAGATAGATAGGACGTACGACTTCAGAAACGACGTCCAACTGCTCCTTTGAGCTGCAGGTACAGCCTGGTAGTACACACAAACGAGATGCAAAGCGGATGAACATTCGACATACACATGGCAGATTTACGTTTACGGTGGTCACGATCATGTTTACTAGAATTCTTTGAGTGACTTGCCTCGCCAGCTTGCTCTGACATCTTTTGTGCAGATTACTTGATTTCTAGGTTTGCTTGCTGGTTTATGTAGGCTTGAAAGTAGGGAAGCAAGTGGGTTGGAGCAGAAAGATGACGGTGGCTGGCAAACAGCTGTTGTTGCCTCTTGCGGTAGGATATCGACGCACGTGGCAAAACTCCGACTCTGGTCTGCCATCTGTGCAGCAAATTCACTGGATTCAGATACTTTTCGGTATATCCAGCATAAGCGCACACTAAAGTTTACTTGATATCGGGGCCAGATTCTCGTTCGAGACTTCCTCAAATTTCTTGTCAATTGGGCCATCTTCCGAAGTATCAAGGCTGAGCTACCAGCGGACAGTTATAATTGTTTATGCGTTTTGGTTTTCGCTATCGCTATCTACCATCAGGAGCTCACCTTCGTATAATGTCACCGGAATACCAGAGCTGGACGAAGGAGCAACTTATTGCTCGTCTGAATGAGCTGGAATCATATCCGCAAGCCAGCGCCAGTACCAAAAAGACCACTTCTTCGACAAAGATCACTACCGTCACCTCACCCCAAAAGAAAACATTTGATTTCACGTCTCATCCTCGGAGGAAGATTGCAGTCAAATTTTGCTACTCCGGATGGGAATATAATGGACTCGCATTCCAAAATGGCCCAACACCGCTACCGACCGTGGAAGAGGTCCTCTTTAACGCATTCGCGAAGACTAGACTTGTTGATCCCGACAAAGGACTGGATGGGTGTGGCTGGGAGAGATGTGGGAGGACAGATCGTGGAGTGAGTGCAGCAGGGCAAGTCGTGTCGCTATGGGTCCGGAGTGCACTAGACGAAAACAGGCTAAAGGATGCAGGTGCAGCCTTTGAAGGCCCATCTAGTCCAGGACTCCCACATGAGCGTCAACTCGGAAATCCTGCCGATGAATTAGCTGATGTCGTAACGACAGAAGCAGAGCCATCTATGCGTCAACCTTCCCGCGAAGAGACACGATCTGAGTTACGATACGTCTCAATCCTAAACCGCGTCCTTCCTCCAACAATCCGCGTCCTCGCGTGGTCACCAATCTCTTCCACATTTTCTGCGAGATTTAACTGTCAATCTCGCCATTACAAATATTTTTTCTCTCCGCAGGAACTTGACCTCGGCCTCATGCAACAAGCCGCCGATCGTCTTGTCGGTGAACACGATTTCCGCAACTTGTGTAAACTCGACCCGGCAAAGCAGATCACGAACTTTAATAGACGCGTTTTACTAGCCAAAATAAGCCCCATATCCGACCATCTATGCGTCTTTGATTTAAGAGGAACCGCATTTTTATACCATCAAGTCCGACACATCATGGCTATTCTATTTCTTGTGGGCACAGGACTCGAACACCCATCCATCGTATCAACGTTGTTGAATGTGGGTAAAGAAACAAACTCGCCCAGCGAACTGGACAACTCACCACTCGAGATAGTCGATCGTAAACCCGAATACCAAATGGCTGATGGGCTACCGCTCATGTTATGGGACTGCGCATACTCGGATTCCGATGTTCAGTGGCAGACAGACATTGACACAGGCGAGAGTGGCACAGGGTCTGAGTTGTATCACCAACTACACTCCATCTATGCACGGTCGAGTATCCACACTGCACTAGATGCGCATTTTTTGTCCGCTGCTGCTCAACTTCACTCCCATCCTCCTCAGCGTTTTCCATTCAGTCACACTGGATTGGCCCTCTCTACTATCCCGGTGCTTTTGAAGTCGAAGGAACGACCAGTACTAAGTGTACCTCTTGGAGGCGGCACGTTCAAACGCACTGCAAAGTATATCCCAGTGCTTCTTCGAAAGCGGTTGGATCACGTAGAAGTGGCCAATGAGCGATGGCGAGTGGGTAAAGGCGAACGCAGAGAAGAACGGAAAAATGTCGCCGATGGAATTCCGCAGACTGAATATGACGGCGACGAATAGGACTACTCCCAAACATTATCAATCTACATCCAAGGTCAAGGCTTCGTTCCTTATTTCTAAAGCAGATAGCATCTCAGGTTCATCGGCGTCGAACAGAGTTCATGTAAAGGAAGCAGCATGTATATCGGTTTTTATTTTAGGAAGTATGTCTAGCATGTCTGTACTCAAATTTTACAAGTATACAACGGTCAGGCGAGTGAATCTGGTATGCATTTTCACTGAGTTAGAGTTGTGCGCGCGCTTCTGGCTAGAGTGCTTTACACTTCGCGAGAGGTGAAATCGTTGCTCTGGATCTTTTAGCTTCGATGCAGATGGTTCAGGCAACTATAGGATTCTTGGCTCATGATGAAACACGTTTGCTTTCAATGAAATACAGTCTGGGGATGGAGAAAAGATATTGCGATCACGATGAACCTGAACAAGAATGCACGTAATCATGTGACCGCGATACAAAGTTAAGCGAACTTACCTGCTCCATGGCAGGCACGATTTCTACTGAAAAGTCCTTCACACTAAAAAAGAATGGACGATCTAAAAAAACAACAATCTCCGAACCCACATGCGACTTACGACTCTCAGATTCAAAGATTTTGGGAAATGCTTGAAGAGCATAAGAAAGAACTTAAAGAATTCAAGAAGGATTCAGATGCTGAGAAAAAAGCGGTGAGTATCGATTCTCGAAGCTGAGATTGCCAATTCAATATTCAACACTGAAATCAAAAAGTTCAAGCAAGAAATGAAACAGCTAGAGTCCGGAATCCAGAGGATCAACAATATGATGATAGAGGAGCGAGAGCAAGAAAGTAAAACGCTGGATGTCGAGTTAGGGGAATATAGGGGGGAAATGAAAAGGGTGATGGCTGAAATGCAGCAGCTGAGCAATGCAGTGGAGAAGGAGTGACAGGAAGGAGTTGCTGAGAGGAAGCGGGTGCGAGAGATGTTGGATGCCATGGTGGATAAGGAGACGTTAGACGCATTCAGGAATAAACTTGAGTGGCACGGTGCCGCCATCCAGGACCTCCAGCAATGGGCTTTGGGACAGGTATGTTCTATACACTGTTGAGATTGAACAAATCTGATACGCAGTGCAGGATGCAGAATATTTTGATCGTATCAGAACACGCCGTTTGTTCACTGTAGCGCAAGAAAAGTTGGCATTACAAGCAGGTCTGGCCACAGATGCAGCAGGAGCTTAGTTTTGGAGATACACTTGGGCCGCAGAATGAACTCCACACGAGGCTCGAGAAAGCCAAGTCCCTCCTTTCGGCACCAACAGTCCAGTTAGACGAAAGAACAAAGGTGTTCACCCTTTCTTCCGCTGGCATGAAACTTGTTACAGAAGGTCCTTCTGCCATTCGAACACATGGAGATTCTACTGCTTACCCGAGGAACATAATTCGTGAAGTATTTCAACAAACAGCCGATCGGCAGGCCGTTGTTGATTTTGTTTGTGATAATTAGCTTTCTCACATTGTCCCCATCTGTTTCCGTACATGCACACTTCTTATGGTACAGTATGATTATAGCTAAATTCATAATGATATTGTATTATAATAACCCAATCAGATCCATAGCTCACAGTTTCAAAATGCATAAGGTTTCTCATACATAACTCAGAATTCGCCGACATCATCAACATGTCGTTCAAACGCATTCGCCCCTATAGCGTATAGTCCACTGGAGGTCATCCTTAACTTGGGATGTCTTTGGCCGGCTATACGCCGACACCGGCCGTGGATAAGGGGCTGCGTGAGAGGGAAGCGGAGTGGGAATGTGAAGGACCGGGCCGAGTCTGCTTACCTAAAGGGAGTCCGTGCCCGTTTTTCCCACAGGCGCAAAAAGCTGCAGGGGCTCTATAAGCTCCCACCCGCCAAACGCCCCCTCAGCCAACCTACCTATAGCTGTGTGTGGTCCCTCACCCGACTAAATCCAACCAATTTACCTTTTATTCACTTTCTGTATCATATAGTAAAAGGTTCGTCGATTTTTCTTCTTCTATCAGTTGCACCATCGTCCGTCGATGGTCGCCACGTCCCCCCTTGTTGTCGTCAGCGTTGTGCTCGACGTCGACGCTGTTTCACCAGTGAGAGCTGCCTGTGTTTGTTTGGCCACCGACGCGTCGCGCGTACCGCGTCTCACCGTGTCGCACTTCACTTCCTCGATGTTTTACGTGTCAACGACGTGTTGAATAGCATGTTGATCGTTGATCGTTGTTTATAGATGCCCAAGGAAGCCACGAAACCAAAAGTTTGTCTCATTTTTGCTTCACACGCATATAGTCGCCCTAACCACCCTAACCACTCAATAGCGCAAGGCTGCCGAGAAGGCAGAAAAGACTTCCCGGGCTAAAGCCACAAAGGCTGCCAAAGGGACTGGACCTAAACGCGCATTGTCCGCATATATGTTCTTCAGTCAAGACTGGAGGGAAAGGATCAAGGCTGAGAACCCTGATGCTGGATTCGGTATGCAGATATCAATCTATCAATAATTCCATCCACCTAACAGATCTTATCTGTAGGCGAGGTTGGCAAATTGCTAGGAGCCAAATGGAAGGAGCTTGACGAGTCAGAGAAGAAGGTCAGTTTTACATATACCAATATATGATAACATCTATCTGACAAACTATACAGCCATATGTTGAACTAGCTGCCAAAGACAAGGCAAGAGCAGAGGAAGAAAAGGCTGCCCTCGCTGTATGTATCCACATACCTCTCCACAACATAGCAATCTAATTTAGTCAATATAGCAGAGCAAGTCTGGAGGTGGCAGTGGTGAAGGAGAAGCAGATGAAGACGACGATTAATCAACGATATCAATACTCTTTGCTGGCATCAGAAAAATGACGTGCTCTAGGTTTTCCACCATAATCGTTGTTTCAAAAAACCAGTTGTTATTTCAAAAAACCAGTTGTTATTGTTACTATCATACTGAATGTTGCGAGACCAGATGACCATTATTCGCTCCTTTGTGTTCACCATTCTGCCCTGTGTTTTTCCCCTCGTTACGTCTTTCGTTTCCCGCATGTTGTCCGTAGCTGCTAAATTGTATTTCATGCGACCATCATCATGATTGTAAGGTCAGGTTGGTTCTCCAATGGTGGATGGCAGTGTTTTGTCGCAGTAAACCGAATCAGTTTCGGATTCGGATGAATAGTGGTCTAGTAGCCTGAGTTGCTCGCCGCCACACTGTACGTTGAGTACGTCTGTGCCTTACTATCCAAGTTACAGCTTCTGCCAACTTCAGGGCTACAACATCTTTGGGGTATAGCACAGAATTACCGGGCTTCTCAGTTCAATGATAATTAATACTGAATAACATGAACCCTACTGTTCTCCATTAATGCAGTGCTGACGGTTATATGGAAGCAGTGTTGCATTAAATCTAAGAAACAACAAATACCTATTGAATTGTCGCCCTGTACCACTTACTCTGCGAACAAGGAGAAATCGTTTCATCAGTGCGCAATGAAGTCCCAACTGATACAAATTTAAGCATTTACGCCGCGATTCCCCTTGTGCTTGAGTTATTTTCTCGATAATGCCCAAAATTTTCGTGTCAATTTCCCTTACGTGCTTGAATGCGGATGGTCAGAAACGTTTGTGACGTCACCCTGAAGTACTTAAAATCCTCGAGTAAGGTCTGAGAGTAGCTCTTCAATAAGAGAAGTAAGGTAAGCTTGGTGTAAATGCCTACCATTGGCCATAGTACGAGTTTGTCCCACAACATCATGCAGCTGCCACGAAAGTTTAACATATTGCTGGGTGCCATCAGTCCCAAAGACCCGAGGCAAGGAAGACAGTGATATACATTATGAAGTTTCTCCCAGTCCTGGCGAAGAGAAAACACATCACAACTGAAGGAGACTTACGACCAAGGCCTTCTGTATCAGAAAAGCCCCTAGTAATCTTCCAAAAACTGGTCGCTCGCTTCCTAAGTGTTAGATTACTGGAATCAAATAATAGTAGACAAAAGTGTGTCTCCTGAGTCTGGAGGTCTGATGAGGACCCCACGAGCGTACACAAATCTGACGCCTGGACCTGAAGAGAATATGGTAAGAGATTCGATTTAGCATAGGGCACTGAGTTATATATGCACATATGGGGTGCACCCGAGCGCTCAGATAAGGCAAATGCAAAATCAATGGAGGTCACAAGGCCAAATGAGCTGCATAATCACATAACCCATGTTTTTGTAGAATGGTATATTTCTCCTGAGAGAAGGGCGTCGTCAGCGGCTATATTTAATGGCTGGTGTCGGTGATCTGGAGGGAAGGATTGGCCTGTATGACACTACTGTACGGCCAACCTGATTCTGGAGATTAGTCACTACAAAAGACTGCACCAGGCTTTACACTAAACTCACCAGAGTCGAAAACTAAACAATTGACTGGTCGAAGACGGACATTAAACGACCAAGTGCGACTGTAAGACGGAAACGTTCGACCAGCTGCTGTCATAGAGTCATGTGCTAGCATGACATATAACTATATTGTGATGGTATTAGCAACAATAACGCGAGAACTTCAAGTTACCTGAGAGTCACATTATCAGGATGCTGTGAACTTCATAGGATCAAAAGGAAGTTCCAGCGATCTGTGATCGATATGATCTCTGAACACACAATCTAGCGCTAGAGTGACTGCGGAGGAAGAAAGACCTTTCTGATGCCTTAGCATGAACGCCACACGATAGACGCGTACGGTGAGGCGAGTAACAACATCTTGTCTCCCAAGTCATTTTCGTGTTCCCCGGATCTTTGCACGTCGCACCAAGGTTGGCGTCAGGTATGGGATGCAAGATAGAAGCCAGGCTTATGCATCTCATAAAACGGTAGTTTCCCCTGCAGTTTCGGGGTATCATGTAGACCCAGCCTAGCATTCTTGAAAACGTCGGATAGTCTGAAGGAAATCCCTAGCATATTATGCGGTTCAGGTGGTAGTAGTAGTACCGGTGAAATCCGAGGCATGACTCGGATTAGTAACTATTATCTAGGCTCCTTTGAGCTCTTGACTGTGAAGTCACTATGTCCTCCTCAAGCTCAGATTCTGGTTCTGACAATGAAGATGTTGTCTCGCGCGTCCTGAAAAGATCAAAATCGTATACAAACGACGAAGACGCTCAACCTTTAACTTGGCTTTCCACCTTCGACAATTATTTCACGCAATCTACCACCCGTTCACAGACATCATCGAATGTATTCTCGTCTCTCCTCTTGCCGCTTACCCAGGATGAATACGCAGACGCGATACATGCCTACAAAGCTCGTGTCGGCACGCATAGAAAGCTGTCTCAGCCGACACCAGACGTCCTAGCTCGCTACACGCGTGAACTCGACGAAGGCTTCAATCTTCTTTTTTATGGCTTTGGCTCAAAACGACGCGTTCTGAACGATTTTGCAGCATCTTATCTATCAAGGAAAGGGCATGTCGTTGTCGTTAATGGGTTTGCTCCCGGCGTCGGGATAAAGGATGTGCTTACAGGCATAGAGGACATTATTTCCGGCTTGGGAAACACGTCTTTCGGTAGTGGTGGTGGACTAGAAGGGCAGACACAAAGAGTATATGACTATTTTTCTAGTATAGAGATAGGAAGAGATAATCCTAAGGCCAAGCCACTCTACGTTGTCATCCACAACATCGACGCCCCGCCGCTTCGCAGTCTGAAAGCTCATTCCACGCTCTCCTTTCTCGCACTTAATCCACACATCCACATCGTGGCATCCGTTGACAGACTCAATGCACCACTACTCTGGACTTCCTCCGAAATAGCCGCACGCAAGCACGAATCTCACTCTTCGTCTTCCTCCAGTAAAGGCGGGAGGCGCGGTTTTGCATGGCTCTTTCATGATCTTACTACATTAGCACCATTCGATGCTGAGCTTTCTTGGGCAGATCGCGCGTCCATATCTGGTGCCTCTTCGTCAAATCGCACGACTTCTCTCCACCCAGACGGCGTCGGAGGGACCAAAGCTATCATAGACGAAACAGCTGCGTTACATGTGCTGGCGAGTGTTACGCAAAAAGCGAAGAAACTCTTCGCGATGCTGGGGAAAAGACAAGTCGACTGGGAGGACGAAAGTGCTGGCTCGGGTCCGTCTGCGTCTGTGCCATCTTCGCCTACAAAGTCAGGTTCTATGCCCACGTCGAATATGCCTACGACGCCTAGCCACGCTGCGACAAGTAGTGGAGCACCACCTACATACGCTCTACCATATGACCAGCTTTTCCATCTCGCTCGTGATCACTTTCTCGCTACCTCTGATGGGGCACTTAGAGCACTCCTGGGTGAATTTAAGGATCATGGCCTAGTAGTGTCTTCTGCAACAGGGGAACAGAGTACAGAGGTTATGTGGATACCCATGAGACGAGAGAGGCTTATACGGGTGCTCGAAACTTTAGGAGATACATAAAACGGGCGAATTCAAAAGGCTTTCTCATACAGCCAAGGGCGTTGCGCTAAAGATATTATATGGTATTCTAGACTCGACATGGCAACGCAATTTTTCCTGGATCTCACTTATTATGTACTGTATGTCATTTCATTGTTTTCGAACGTCATACTTTATTCACTAGTAATTCCGTGTGGGTTGTTTCTGCAAGAGGCACCTATGCCCTAACCAACGACTTCGTAGCAGAGCATGCAGTAAGTGAATATCTGGGGATGATGTATCACAACATGAATACTGGGGCCCACCCAAATATCAATCCGGTACGAAAACCTTATACTGACCGCAAAACCATTGACATTCAGCTACTAATGATCTGTACAATCATACCGATGAAAGTGAGTTTTTGAGTATATAGAGAGTGGGGCGCCAGTCTATCTAGACACGGCGTTGGTAGGAAACAAACCGTAAACATCGTCCAAAACTATCCGGAGCACCCCCGTACAAAGTGTTCTTACCGTGGACATTACTACGCTTCCAATGGGAAAGGGGGTCACCTATCAAACTTCCCGAAAATATTTGACATTAAAGTAAGTAGTCAACCCTTTCGAAAGCACTTTAGCGAAGATAATCCTCTCGTCCGTGGTCGACTGCTCTATCTTTTGTCTTTTTTCAACCACGATGCTTCATCCTGGTCCACAGCCTGTTGAGCTTCCCATCATCTCTTTTCCTCCCCTCCCTGATACGACGAGTTAGTAACATCCGAAATCTCGTAAAGCCATGAACTCCTGTTTTGTACCAGCATCCTTCATACATTATATGTCGGTTAAATCATAGCATCGTCTGCCGTTCCATGGCTTGTGATACAGCCGTTCACAAGATAGGCTATGCCTCCGGTACAGCGACGCAAAAATTTATCATCAAGTACAAACTCCTGACAGAACAGAACACTGATATAGGTAGGATTTACATTTAGGAGTTTAGTACTAGAGTCAATCACATTCCAGTTTCCATAGGGCCTCACAAACTTAGAACGCTTCAAGCATTCTGGGTTCCACCCCCGTCTAATAAAATGACAGGTGTTATCAAGAGGAATCAAAATAACAGGAGTAGCGGTCTTACTCATGACCTGTGTCTTAGACGAGTTGTTGTGGGAGTTGGTGTTGTTGTTGGTGGTTGTGTTATTGTTGTTCTGATCGCCACCGACATTACTTGCGGGGCCGTGATTGTGTGTAGCGGTTCCAAACGTTGTGTTATCACCATTTTCTGAAAACGACAACACATGAGGGTACAAGCCCTTGCCAAGAACCAGGGATAAGCAAACTTACTCATGCCACTAAAGTTACCACCAAAAGTATTTGACATGATGGGGATTCAGACGAAATAAGAGTAAAGTCAATGGGTGATGAGGGTGCGCTCGAACTTGGGGCTTGAAGGCATGGCTGCTTGACTCTTACGATTTTATAGGCAGGAGCAGACCAAATACTTACCAAATACCATTCCAAATCAGATATGCAATGGACAACGGGGTTTTCCAATTTGGCATCCTATGCTTTGAGGGTTGCTTCAAGATTGTTCGATGGGAATCACAAGTTTTCTACTTACAGTAAGGAAGACCGAAATCACTGGCATATCCCATGTTGACGATCCACCCGCGCCAACGAAGAGCGCTATCAAAGGCAAGCGGCTGTGAAAATCCGCGTTTTAAGTGCAGCGGCTCTCAAGTTAAGCGCTTGAACCAGGTTCGTATGTAGCTGAACTTTTATCCACCTAAGAGATCAGGTGGAGCTTATGGGCGGCCGGGCCAGCGTTTTAAGATGGTCAGCAGGCAATATTGCGTGCTGGAGTATCATTATCGATGGGGTACATCATTGGGTTCTCCTTTCAAGTTGCTATCAGGCCAATCATTCACATCAACAGGTTTTCCTGATTCTGCGGAAGCTGGCATCAGTAAAGTGTCAAATTTCTTGACGCACCTTGATCACACTTTGCTGACTTTCAAGACTATTCAAGCATTGTAAGGGATTAAAGTTCTATCAAGCGATACAAAAAGCGAGTTAACTAACCTTCAAGTTCAATTTAGATGAGGCAAGAATATCTGGGTTGGTCTAAGCGAAATCCTTCAGACACGTTGAGCGAAGGGTAGTTCAAGTGTAGTGTAAATACATGAAATATAAAACAAGTCCCACAAGCTACATGTCAAGTTAGCTAAGCCCGAAGGCATGATGATCAATATACTTGTTTATGTAGAATGTAGAAAATTTATCTAGTGAATTAGTAAAATCAATGTCAGATGGAATAAAGCAGTGACTATATTCACTAAATACTGGCATGAGATGCACACTACAGAATATACAGTCCGGATGAATGATTTCAAGACTGGGTGATCCGTCGTCATTCATATCAGGCTGGACCTTCCATATCCCAGTGAGTTCATCTGGCTCATCTAAAATATGAGAAAACCACTGTATAAGTAATAAACCTAAGTGAAACTCAGCCGCTGCCTGAGAGGCTATAGAAACGACTTCATTATTTACCTAAGTGAAACTACAATAGATGTTAGTTTAAGGTGATCTCTAATAAATGTAATGTAACATACCTCAGCCGCTGCCCGAGTTGAAACGACTGAGGTATTCCTATACTAAACCCCCTACTACTTATAGTCGGAGGTGCTACTCGCTACAGTATAATGACTCCTAGGAGTACAATTGTGCTCCTAGGAGAACAATGGTTACTCCATGGAGTGGTGGCTATGCTCCATGGAGAACAATGGCTGCTTTGGCAGAGACCGGGTTTATCCGGTTTTGTCAGGGGATTGATTACCAGGAGGTTTTTGCTCCGGTTGCAAACTTAGAGTCAATCCGAATTATTCTAGCCCTGGCAGCAAAGTACGACCTAGAACTTGATCAAATGGACGTATCCACAGCTTATCTCAATGGAGAACTTGAAGAAGAACTGTACATGCTTCCTCCAGGGGGTGTTCCTATCCAACCTGGATACTGCTGGAGATTGAAAAATCCATCTACGGGTTAAAACAAGCTGGTCGTACATGGAACAAAACTTTTGATCGCAAGCTCCAGGAGCTCGGTTTCACAAGACTAAATGCAGAAACATGTCTCTATGTATTCCAGGACAACAAACAAATATGCGTTGCTGTTGTCTATGTAGATGACCTCCTCCTAGGAGCTTCATCCCAAAAATTCATGGATATCACAAAAGCCAAACTCGAATCCATATTCAAAATGTGGGACCTTGGAGAAGCAAAATACATCCTTGGAATAGAAATCCAACGTGATCGTTCAAACAAAACAATATCCCTATTGCAACACCAATACATTGACACAGTCCTGGAGCGTACTGGAATGAAGAACTGCAAACCAGTATGGACACCAATGGCCCATGGATCAAAACTCCTTGCAAATGCTCCAGGGGAAGATATTGTGCAACACAAGATGCATATTGAAGGGCGTTGTCGATGATGAGAACTGTTGTTAGAAAACCACACACAAAAACAAACTAACACACAATCCTCCCAGATTCCACGGAACTTCTTTATGGGCTTTGCCTCCTAGAACAGTGGGTGCTCTGGTTGTTCGTGGGGTGGTATGTATGAGGATCCTTCAAAGTAAAACCCAGAGGTGTATGAGTGTGGGTTTTGAGGAGGAGGGATAGTTGAATTTATAGAAAGATAGGGGCTTTGTGGCGAGTATAGACGAGCACTACCTTGCTAATCGTAGCACAAGGTAGGTTTGAGAACAACAAGGATGACAAGGTGACGAGGTTCCCAGTGATAGCAGGCTCCTGACACACAAACTGTAGTGCTCAGAAGGACTCTAATCGAAGGGGATGACAATCACTTTCAAAAGTGACGAGTGATGATGACAGCAGTTAACAGTGGTAGAAGTGGGAAGTGTTGTGACCACACTGGATCACAAGTACCAGAGTAGTGAATTTGAGAGTAGAGAAGAAGTCTGGATTGGATTTCTTGTTTTTTTTTACAAGGTAAAATACAGGGGTTTATATAGTGAAAGAAAAGTAGGCTATGCACAGTATAGCTGTGCAAAAAGAATGAGAAAGAACAAGAAGGAAGGAATGTATGCTGACGAATCCTGCGTAGGTAGTACAGGATAAGATTGTCAAAGAAGGAAAAGAAAGAGATAGAACAATGAATGCTGTGAGTAATGTCACAGGTTTGTACAGCCATAAAGTAAAGTCCGATAGCAAAAAGAGAGCAGGAAAATCATGATGTCATGGGAAGATGCAGTAAAAAAAGGGCAAGGCAAAACACTATCAGTATCAACACAGTTCCTTTATTGTCAGTCAGGCATTCTAAAAAAATATGTGTCCATAAAAATGATTCAAAAATCAAAAATAATCGCACTGTAAATGAATGTTCTGCTGAAGAAAAAGAAACTGGAGCCACCGGTCCACCACCTAGTCCAAATCCGACAGTTCCATGGCCTTACCAATGGACTGGTTGTGTTGGACCACCTGATCAAACGAGGGAGGGAGAGGAGTAGTTCCAATTTGGAACAAGTGAGTCCCAGGCAGCGTGTGGTAGGTGTAGCTGTAGCGAAGACGATGGACAAAAGATAAGTGTACCCAAGTGAATGGGACAGCGATGAACATGGGCGACGCAAGGGGATGAACCTTCTCTAGCTCAAAAACTACCCACCCACGCTCCAACCAGGCAAGACGAGCGACCGATGTTTTGATAGTATATGATGGTAGATCGACGTCATGAAGATGGACCTGTTGCCCTATTTGGACCGGCCACCGGGGCTTTGCTGATATCAGCAGTGGCACGTGGTAGTCAACGGATCGGCGATGGAAGCAGATAGGAAGTGGTGACATCAGAAATGGTGGGGGTGCAAATAAGATGAGGAGGAGGAGGGTGGAGGTGACGAAAAAGTGGATTAGAATGGGGATCCAGAAACGACCGTCAGGTGAGAATAAAAAGGAGAGGAAGGGGCCCATGGTGGGGCTAGGCAAAGGAAGGGGAGTAAGGGAAACGACAAAAGCGAGGGCGCAATGCAATGTGTAGCCAGTGGTGACGCGAAAATTTGCCGAAATGCCGAAATGCGGAAAGTACCGGATGGAAAAGCAAAGGTGAGTGTGACTGGATTGCCTAATAGAGGTGGTGCTGATCAGCTACAAGTTCGAAAAGGGCAATATTAATTACTATTCCACGTGGCACTGTGCCTGTGTGGCGCAAAGGCGAGTCTTTTTGAATATTTGCTTCGTTATTGACACCTGTCCATGCTACCAATCAACATTGGTGCATGACACCGGTCTCTGCCGAAGCAGCCATTGTTCTCCATGGAGCATAGCCACCACTCCATGGAGTAACCATTGTTCTCCTAGGAGCACAATTGTACTCCTAGGAGTCATTATACTGTAGCGAGTAGCACCTCCGACTATAAGTAGTAGGGGGTTTAGTATAGGAATACCTCAGTCGTTTCTATAGCCTCTCGGGCAGCAGCTGAGGTATGTTACATTACATTTATTAGAGATCACCTTAAACTAACATCTATTGTAGTTTCACTTAGGTAAATAATAAAGTCGTTTCTATAGCCTCTCAGGCAGCGGCTGAGTTTCACTTAGGTTTATTAGGTTATGAGCCCTGGTGCGCAAAAGCTACGCAGGAAATAATTCTTATTTGAAACGGCAACCTCGGAACCATGACCACAGCACACGATACATCTGCATGTCCAGTTCTCACTGGACCCAACAATTTTCAGATATGGAAACTCCGGATCATCTCAAAGCTACGTCGGGAAAACGTTCTCCGGGTTATTACTGGAGAGGAGCTTAAGCCCTCACCAGGAAAACCTACCTCCTTGGAGGATCCTGAAATCACCTGGATACTTAAGGATGAGAAGGCACATGGAATCATCCAGGACCACATCTCTGATGCCCTCCTAATGAGGACTGGAGACCTCACCAGCTCCAAGGAGTTATTTGATAAACCTGTCTCACTCCATCAAACGTCCAACATTGCCTCGGCCTTCTATTCATTCCAGCAACTCACCAAATTGTCCTGGGATGGGACATCACCTATCCAGGACCACATTGTGAAAATCCGGACAATTGATTCACACCTCTCCGGAATGAAACTAGGAGTTGATACCAAACTCATGGCCTTCACTCTTCTCCAATCTCTCCCATGCACTCCTGAATGGCAAATATTTCAGTCATCAGTAATCAACACAATTGAAGAAAATAAACTTACCTTTGATGCAGTTGAGATCCGGATCACTGCAGAAGTTGCATGACAGTCAGGAAAGGCCCCTGGGGGTTCCAAATCAGCACTCAAGTCCAAGGAGAAGTGGTGTGACTTCCACAAAGTCAAATCACACAACACCTCGGGGTGTCAAACATTTCAATCAGCTGGAAAAGGTCAAAAGAAGAAGGGAAAGGAGAAACACAAGGATAAAGTAAAAGAGAAGGAAAAGGCAAATATGGTGGAGCAATCATCTGGATCTGACTCCAAGGAGGAACAGAGTCATATTGCATTGGAACATGTACATATTTCCAAGCCCCTTGCTAAACACATTCAAGCTTACCTTGTGTCGGAACCTGTTAAGACCAAAACAACAATCATTGTTGACTCCGGAGCAACATCCCACATGGTCCCTCACCGCTTCTGGTTTGAGCCAGGAACATACCATGTTCTGCATCCTCCGAGGACAATCAGTTTTGGGGATGAACCCTCTGTAAATGCCATTGGAATTGGAACAGTAATCCTACAAGCAACTGTTGGCAAAAGGGACTACAATATTGCACTGTCAAATATTTTACTTGTGCCAAACTTCACTTTAGCACTTGTCTCTGTCCACAAATTGTCTAAAACGGGGTTATTAACACTTTTTCCAGCAGGGTCAAATGCTTGTGAAGTTCGGAAAAAGAAGGAACTTATCCTCACTGCCTTACACAAGTGAGGACGTTATCACATCCAAGCAAAACCTGAAATCAACCCGGAGTCAGCTTTTGCAGCAGTAGATGTAAATTTATTGCACAAAAGAATGGGACACATTGGAATGGACCACTTGCAACGAATGGTTACAAAAGGACAGCTCCAGGACATAGACACCCTTACCGGAACCCCGGAGTTTTGTGAACCTTGTGCTTTGGGAAAGATGAAGAAATTACCTTTCAAGTCCACTGGAGGAAACCGAGCCAAGCACCCCATACAAATTGTGCACACAGATGTTGGAGGACCAATCAAACCAACTTCCAGGGAGGGTTTTCGGTACTGGATTATCATTGTAGATGATTTCTCCAAATTTCCATGGATATATTTCCTAAAACATAAAAGTGAGGCACTGGAACAATACAAGCAATGGAAAGAAGATGTCCAAACATTCTTCCAGACTCATTTGGGAGAAGAAAACTTCACTCCACTGTACACAGAATTCCTCCGGAGCAATGGGGGAGGAGAATATACTGGCAATGCATTCAAAAATCAACTCCAAGGAGATGGTGTCATCCAAGAAGCTACAGCTGCAGATACTCCGGAACAAAATGGCATTGCAGAATGAATGAATCAGACATTGGCTACATTAGCAACCACTATGCTCCATGATTCCAAGCTCCCAAAGTCATTTTGGGTAGATGCCATGCAAACAGCTGCATATATTACAGCATGCAGCCCAGCATCAGGACTCCATGGAAAGACCCCATATGAAATACTGTTTAAAAGGAGAGTCGATCCAACTTTATTTTGCCCTTTCGGATGCCAAGCATATGCCTTGATTCTGAAAGACAAAAGGCAAGGGAAGTTTTACTCCAAGGGGCACAAAGCCATTGAATTGGCTACACACATGGAAAGCAAGCCTACAAACTCCTAGACATTGAAAAATGAACTGTGTTTTCCTGTCGGCACGTTATATTCAATGAATCCAGAAAGGTACAAAAGGATGACACTGCTCCCTGGAACACAGACACTAGCACAGATCAGTGGGAGGGACTCATTCCAGAGAATGCTCACTATCCAGACCAAAATACATTGGAGGAGGATGATCCTGACCCTCAGATTTGAGATCCAAATAAATTGCAAATGGAACCACATCTCCAAGGAGATGTTCCACAAGCAATAAAACCATATCAGCATGAAGATGTTCCGAGAGCAGTGAGGCAATACCTCCGTGGAGATGTTCTGAGAGCAGTGGGAGCACCTGATCAGCTAAGACACCCTCCACAACAGTCTCTACAACCAAGACCTGAACACTGGCCATCTTCAGAATGGAAACCCAAAGTAGAGTCACAGTCAGTGGGAGGACAGCCCCTCAACATACAGCCAGCTGATGTGGAAAAAGTCCGAATACAGCTAGACAGCCTGTCCATTGGATCAGCTTCTGGAAGGCATACAACACCTCCGAGGAGTCATCCAATGCCTCCGAGGAGTGATTCAACACCTTCAGGAGTGAGATGAGACTGAGTAGTACTCCCAGCCAGCCAGCACAATGGGTAAGGGCCAGTGGTAGAGATCTTGCCAACCAGTTCCAAGCCCTATCAATGCCTGGAGATATTAATAAACACTTTAGTCAAGATTGTACCTCATCATGAGGATACAGTTCCTGAACACGCGTAACAATACTTATTATTAGTACATTCTTTCACCTGCTGATTAATCCTTAAAAGTCATACAATAGTTATCCTCTTTCTTATTGGTTGATTTCTTCCTCAGACCACTTTTCTTTTATTCCTCTTTTGGTCTGAGGGATAGACAGTTAGCTATATAAGCCCTACACATTCATGTATAGTTCTTTAGCTTTCTATTACTTGAACTACCCGCTTTACTCCTCAACAGAAACCCTTGAGTTTACTTCCAAGTCCTCTACTTGCTATGTCTGCTAGCATCTGTTGACCTCAAGCTCATAATACCTCTTACTCCTTGCAAGTGCAGACGGAGACAGGTATTGTTTTTGTTATAGTTTATCATTGCCTCACAGGGAAGAGAGAAGCCTGTTGGCCGAACACCCAGTGTCTGAAAGATAACACGGGTCTGGTGAAAATCTTTGACTGTGTCTTGCACTTGTTAAATGCTGCCGTCGCTGTGAGTATCATGCCTAACCAAGTAGCAGAAATCTAGAAAAGCACAGAATGTGCATATTATATCCGGTGGGACGTGCCTTTTGATAGTGGGAAGATAGACTTTCATCAAGGCTTTTGAGTCATTGCCGGTCCACTGCTTGAATCCATGGCCCTGTGGAAATTGTCAAAGTCCAGAAAACGATGGAGCTGCTGCAATCCTAGTGAATCATCTTAGTATATGTTACTTTGATAATTTCAATGTAAAAAGAACCTTACCGCTGGTCAATGCCATCTGAGATCTCTTCAGCATGCTTCTTGCCATACATTAGATTAAGATAGTCCTCCACCCAAGTCACAAGATGATCCTTAAAGGTACCTTTAATGACTTGGTGAAGAAGGTCAGGAGCCAGGATCTCGTGGATGTCAGCATGAGGAAAATCATGGGTGAACGGCTTATGACAACAGTCAGCATGATTTTCATAAGTGAAAGAAAAGATGATGTACTACAATGTCGCTCACAATACAATATTGGTCCCGTAAGACACGTGGATCAAGGAAGTCAGCAAGGACCTCTGTATGATCATGGGAGCATTGGCCACCTTCACCGTCGAGGTTGTTGGGTAACGCAATACAACTAAGCAGGTGAGATTGGTCTGAATAGTGGTGTAATGAAGATGTACTTACCGAGAACACCATCCTTGAACTATGCATGCAAGAAGAGCTTGCTCTGGATAGTTGGCAATGTATGGCCCAATACCATAAATAACATGCCTTAAGTGCATGGTGCACAGCATACAATCTCTGGGACTAACATCCCAGGTTTGAGACCTTGAAGAATACGTGACATTGATGTATGAAATAGCTGTCTCCAAAACCTGCAAAACTTTGGATCATTTGCATACTTCTTATCAGCTAAATAAATCCTGGCTTTAGTATATGCAAGAGAAAAAGTAAAGAATAAATGTAACATACTTTTTGGGATGGCTAGAAAGCCCAGCAACACTACAGCATTCCTATGTGCTTGCCAGACATTGTTATGAACATTTCCCACTGAAATATACAGTGGATAATACTCGTTTTGGCCTGTTAAGACAGAAACTGTGGTCTTATCACTGCCTAGAATGACTGGCACAAATGATGAGCCATGAGTTGTTGGATCAGTGGAAATCTTGTCTGCCTGCTTCCAGGCCCATTTGCCTGACATGAAGTCTTTGTATTCTTGCTCTCCCTTGGCATTGAACTTTCGGTAAGGAACAAAATCAATTTCACCAGAGAAATCTTGATTTGATAACATGTTTTGTACGATAGTGCGCGGATGTCTAAACCAGACATCAAACTCCTGCCTCATCCACCCAGGAGCATTTTCTTCGAGAATCTCGCCATTGTACAACAACAAAAAAGACTCCCATGGCACATCGCCAGCTGAAGTTGAATCAATCATCCAGTATAGATCATCCTTGTTGGAAAACGGGGTATTTTGGTCTACAATTCCACTTTTAATAAACAAAGCCCTCCACAAATCAAGGAGGGCATCAATGTCTCCTGCAGACATCTGTGTTTTTTTTTAGAGGAGCTCTGCAGTCTCAAACTCTATGTGATCACGGTACGGGGACCAATCATTGGCTGACTGGGCTTCAGGTAGTACAGGCTTTGCTCCTGGGGGCAATAGATTCCCATTTTCACAGGGTTGTCCTGTACATAGTCAGAAAGAATAATAGAGACAGAGATTGTAGACATACCATCTAGAAATGGATGGTATTCAATTTTTCCTTGTGCTTGGGGCTGATCATCTAATGGCTGATCTGGTGGTTGAATTTCTTGCTCGTCCTCAGGCTGTTTGTTGAAGGTTTCTGGCTGATTTTGAACATGTGGTGAATGCATCGGAGAGACTTGGAGTGGATGGCTAGGGGCCTGGGGTGCTGATGTCCAAATGACAGGAATGTATGTGTTGTTTCAAACCGGAGATACTACAAAACCAGTGTTTGCACTGAACATTCCCACAGGGTATTGTTTGACTATTGTGGTGTGAGCGGGTAAGCTGGCGTTGAAGTTTTTGGGGAGGCATTATTATCTAAAACAAAAGAACCAAGTCAGGGAAACTAAAACCATGTATTGTGTGACAACACTTTAGTTCCAAAGTAATACATAAATTTTCATTTGATCCTTACCTACTGTCCTGAACTCCATTTTTTCTTCTGCCACAAAAACCTTGCATCCCTCCAGTTCCTATCTTTCCTCCTGATCAGCCCCTCATGCTTTGCCCAGTAACACATGTCAAGAATGCCAATCAACATCCTGGAAAGATTTTACTTGATCTGCAACCAAAAAAGTGTTCTCAAGCAGAGGTAGCGCAGGAGATGGAACAGCTTAAACTCACCAAGGACGAGTTAGTGCGGGCCATGAAGCTTGATATTGCTGCTGCAGCAAAGGTTGAAGATGAGAATGTAAGAGAAGATATGGAAAAGGACATACCTATGCTCCCTCCCTCTCAATGATGCTGTGCAAGCAGGAAAACCTGTCCTGAGATAGTTGCTGATACCAAGGAAGAACAAGATGTACCTCCCCCCTCCCAGTGGCGCCTGGCACGCTTATCCCGTTGTAAGAGTAGCCTAAAGGCTGTCCCAGATAGCGAGGATAAAAGGAGATCAGTAGGCAGCGAGGGCGGCAAGGCTGGTGATGGTGATAATGAACCTATTGATCTAATGATAGTTTTAAGGAGAGTGATGAAGTGGAACTTGCTGCTAGGAAGACAACAATGGGCAGCATAGGGATTCAAGCTGACTCTTCTCAACAAGATACCAACTTGATGGAGGAGGCCTCTCAAGCTGTCAGTGGCATAAATAGGGTTGATGAGGATGTTTTAGAGTTGAGTGATGAAGAGGAGCTTGTAGCTAAGAAAAAGAAGAAGATGGGCGGCCTGGGGATTCAAGCTGCCATTGGAGCCTTAATGTAACGGTCAGCTGCAACCACAGCTACTTCTTCCAACACGCAACTGACACCGGCTAAGATCCAATATGGCACACAGGGGCCATGTGGAAGGTTAACACGTTTCCATCATTTGATCTCACAAAATGACTGATGGATTACTTTGCCTCACGGAAACAACTATGTTTTTCTATCAACGCCTCCGCATGAATGTATTGTATGTGTCTTATAGCAAGGCGTCAGGCATCAAATCATGGTGCAGCAATATTCAAAAGCTAAACAATGGTACAACAAATAAAGCAAACAAACTCAGCACAATCTCATCCAAGCCGGAGGTCTCCTCACTCTTACCCAAAACTATCAGCTCAACTGCCTGCACACCAGTCTCAAAACATACTAAGAAAGCCATTTCCTCAAAATTGACTTCAAATGTGGTGAGGACCACTTTGAGCGGGGATACTGGTGTCAGATACAAGGCAGGTGGGTTTGAGGATGAAGTCAAAGAGTATGTAGAGGCTGTCAAAGGCAAGCATATAATAAGCGCGGTGAGTCAACCTGTTGAGATAGATTTTCAAATCACTGACCTTATTTCTTCAGAACCTGGTTAAAGTTAAGGATGGTGTTAACCCTCCCTCAAAGCGTGTCAAAATGGAACATCCAACAAAAATAACTAACTCTGACTTACTGGAAGGTTGTATGGAAGGAGGCCGCTGGCGCAACATCCTTATCATGACATACAAGAAATGGGTTGGGACCTGCAAAAACCCTTAGAGCATTAGTGACATCAAGGCAACCTGGGCTATAAAATCAGCCTGGAACACTATCTACCCTGACATTCAACATATAGTTACCGTGCAAGTCCCCGTCTATCTTGCGGTAAGTTTTATTTTGTCTTTTGTCTTGTTATTTCTTTCATTAGCTTTTAGGCCTCTCAACGTCTTTTGGAATGGTGAAATGGTTTTGGTTCTACTGCCATAATCATGGTGGAGCATTTTTTTGAATCTGATCCCACTTACACAACTTATCACACCCATTAAGAATTTGCTAGTGAAATTCTCACTGATTTTGCATACCTCTACAAAGAAATAGGGGATGATCCCTTGGTATGTGGTCTCACAATAAATCATATTTGGCTCACCTTTTGTTTTTAGGAATTTTGTGGTCTCTTTCGGTCACCGTTTGTCCTGCAAACATTTGCGGCCCACCTTGCAGCAGTTAAGACATCTATTGATGTTAAAGTATTGCAAGCTGACGGTGTGCCTAGTAATGCCACAGACATCAAGAAGTATCCACTGGTAGGGGCCCTAGCAATGAGTGCAGCAGCCGTGAGTACAAAACCAGTGTCATTTTAAGGTCTCTACTAAAGCCTGAATATAGGTTGAACGTGCATTTACTATGTGGGCTGAGAGAAAAGTCAGCTGGGACCCACCACTAATGCAATCCCAAGTAGGTTCCATAGCTCGGAAAGTCAAGCCGGTTTGAGAGCTCAACAGGGCTACTGGAAAAACAACCGGTAGCCATGCAGCCTTCTGACACAAACTGGGGCAAGGCTATTCGCTATTATGCTACATCAATCAAAGCACTCAAACAAGAGACGATGAACAACATAGTGGCAAAAGCAAGCACCTACATTGTTGGAAAAGGACACTCTAAACAGCCGGCCACAAGTACAGATGGAGGTGCTGACTCTCGAGCCTGTCTAGCTGACATTTAGGCTGTGTAAGTTTTCCTTGTATGTTTGCCCTTGCATTCACGCTCATTACAGGTTTTTTGCATTAGGATCACTGAATTATGCATAGATGATCAAATACATTTAGTGTTTGCCCCAGCTATCATGAATTCCTTGTAGACTTTTTCCACATCCCTGCTCAGTTTTTTTTGGTGATAATTGTGTCTTGAATTGTGTTTTGTCTTTTACAACTTGGTTTGGGTCCCTTGGCACCAAACCAGTCTTAACCACTCTTAAAATTATTTTAAGCTGAGTTAAGGTCTTCAAAGAAAATTAACATTTTACTGATGGGTGTCCCCCCAAACCACACCATGATGTCCAGCCTAAACTTCAGAGTATTGCTGCCAAATATATCAAACCAGCCTCATCTTTGGCATACCAAGGATCTGTGCACATTTTCACTTCAGTCACCCCCAAAACATAAGCATTTAGCTTCAACTATCTGTGTAAATGTATAAAGCTAAGAGCTTGTTTTTCCTGGTATCATCCCAAGTGCTCCAGCAAGGATGGGATCATCCCAGAAGCGGAATAATACCACCCTTCTGGGATTTTCCCATGGTATCAGACCATGTACCATAGTGGGATTATCCCTCAGATGGGATAATCCCAATAACCTGTCACATGTCACATGGTATCAGGGGGATTGGTGCTAATACTAACATGTGAGAATGCTGGGCCAACTAGTGAAGATATTTCCAGTCTTTTCCACCTGAATAATGGTACTTTAGCCCAATATAATCAAGACTATTTTGAAATATATGAGTTACAAGTTCCTCATTGTAGCTTACTGCAAATTTGGGGAGAAGCATTCCCTTTTTTTTAAATGTGGAACATTATCAATTTCTAGATATAATCAATTGCAGGAACCATACACTAGAAAGATGCTGTTGTCCTTGCTGATAGATGTGATATGTGAGTTCTGCTTTTTTGCAAGGTTTATTATACCCTTAACTGAAGTAAAAACTAGGAAACACAACACAAATGCTGTGACAACAAAGTAATCTGCAGAAGGACATTGAATATTAGATTTACACTAGATCTGGCATATTCTGTGAGGAAAATCCTGACCTTGTAGAAAGTAAAACATAGTAAAAAGAAACATAAAGTCATGTTCTTGCAAAAACATGAATTTACCACTTTTGTGGCACTACCAAGGTATTTGATACCTTATATTGTACATTCTCTGAGAGTGGTTCCTGGGGGCTGCTGGCTGAAGGTCTATGGGGAGAGGGGGATGCTTGCTATGTACAGTATAATACACAAGATCTCCATTTTGATACTCCTACACTAGATGACTTGAGTGTGAGGATTAATTAGGCACTGCTTAGGTATTTAATACCTTGAGTTGTGCCATTTCTGGGAGCTACCAGCTGAAGGTCTAAGGGGTGACTGGTGCCTATATGCTGACTGTGTATAGTACAGTATCTAAGTCCACAAAGAATCTGAGTGCTGTAAAGGTATTCTTTTTTTAGATTCTTGAGAAATTGAAATGAATCCGGAAAATATTTTTTCATGCCAAGTAAGGTTTCTGCCAACATTCTCTGTCTCTCATATGATAGTGATGCTGTCTCACACCACTCTTTTTGGATTATCATTTTTATGGCAATATGTAGAACTCAGGTAATTTCCTTCAAAACTGATTCTGACCATTGACATTGCCCAACTTTTGATTTTTTTTACTGAGGATTATCCCACACTGATCTGGACAAATCCCTGAAATAGGGTGTGATCATCCCAGTTAAATCTGTACATGTCCCCACGTAACATGGGGTTACCCACTTCTCACATGGACAAATACCAGAAGGGGGTGGGATCATCCCAGTTCAATATGGACAAATACCATAAAGGGATGGGATGATCCCAGCTCAATGTGGACAAATACCACAAGAGGATGGGATAATCCCAAGCCAATCTGGGATGATCCCAAACCAATCTGGGAAAATCCCAGTTAAGCATGGACAAATACCAAATGAGATGGGATGATCCCAAACCAATATGGGAAAATCCCAGCAAGAGATGGGATGATCCCAGTTAAGCATGGACAAATACCAAAAGAGGATGGGATGATCCCAATTGAATCTGGGAAAATCCCAGTAAGAGATGGGATGATCCCAGTTGAACATGGACAAATACCAAAATAGGATGGGATGATCCCAATTGAATCTGGGAAAATCCCAGCAAGAGATGGGATGATACCAGTTTAACATGGACAAATACCAAAATAGGATGGGATGATCCCAATTGAATCTGGGAAAATCCCAGCTTAACATGGACAAATACCAAAGAGGATGGGATGATCCCAATCCACTCTGGGAAAATCCCAGCCAGAGATGGGATGATCCCAGCTCAACATGGACAAATACCAAAAGAGGACGGGATGATCCCAAACCAATCTGGGAAAATCCCACCAAAGGATGGGATGATCCCAGTTAAGCATGGACAAATACTAAATAAGATGGGATGATCCCAGCTCAACATGGACTAATACCAAAAGAGGATGGGATGATCCCAAACCAATCTGGGAAAATCCCAACAAGAGATAGGATGATCCCAGTTAAACATGGACAAATACCAAATGAGATGGGACAATCCCAGCTCAACATGGACAGATACCAAAAGAGGATGGGATGATCCCAAATCAATCTGGGAAAATCTCAGTTCAACATGGACAAATACCAAGGGGGGATAGGGTCATCTCAAACCAATCTGGGAAAATCCCAGCAAAAAAGGGGATGATCCCAGTTAAATGTGGACAAATACCAAATGGGATGGGATCATCACAATTTGATATGGACCAATTCCTGAAGGGTAAAGCATCATCCCAAACCAGCCAAGGAAAGTCTTGGAAAGAGATGGGATCATTCCAGTTCAATCTGATCTAGAAAAATCTCCAAATTACATAGGATCATCTCACTACATCACAGACAAATCCAAGCAGGGGACAAGATCACCTGAGTCAGAATAGGACAGGGAGATCCCACAACAGGAACAGAATTATCGAATAGCATGCTTAGGCTGCTGGTGACTCAGCATGACAGGGGAAAATACTCCTGAAATGCACTAAGGTTATTCTGTAACATATAATCATAGGTAAGTTCCCAGCAGCTTAAAATATTATTGTCCTTTTCCAGCAGTTTCCATTTTTTACATGTTGCAGTATTTTGTTTGTAAACCAACTATTATGTTATGGTAGGACCTGGATGAACCTAAGGTTGAACTGGGACAGTGATTCAGAGTAGCCCTCACGTAGGTTCATCCCAAGTCACATGAAATTGCATAAGCATGCAGAGCACACCTTTCAGCCATTTTTGTTTTCACAAAAATTTATAATCAATTGTATGCGTGGGGACATATAGTGGATAAAATGGGTGTTGGCTTGTGGATGCTGGGCTGCCACAAAGAGCCAGCAATTTGTCTCATGCAAGACATGTTCTGCCTTTGACAATGATGCAGCAGAGGGAAGGATAATGAATATGTAGTACTTACTCGGACTGGTATCTTTGTGCATTTTTCAGTTCAGGCACTTGGATAAAGCTGCACAATTCAAAAAAATATCATATCTTTTGGATCAGCACATTAAATGGATTTGTGACATATCTTTGCCTGGTTGCAAGAGTGTTACATTATTTAAAGTTGGATGAGCCTGAATGAGAGGTATTGTAATCCTGCAGATGTATATGCTTGGTATTGTCAAACATCTTGTATTCCTTTGACTATAAGCCATTTTAAGTAACATTGATAGAAATCCAGGGTAGATAAATCTACTTTGTGATATGCAGTAAATTATATGATAAGTAGGAATGACAAAGTTATATAGTCAGTTAAGGAAAAGAGATATGGTTGAATTATCTCCTAATCAACTGAATTAAATCAGGTTAATTTGTAAATGGTTATATGTCACAATTAGTTACACTAACCTTTGGTCAAAGTCTCCTCCATCAATCTATAGTATATGATATTACACTAGAAGCTGGACAAATTAAGGTTCAATTGAGAGTAAACACCATTTGAAATTTGTATATATGTTATAAAAATGATGAAAGCAGGTAGTATTGTATTCTGCTTCATGGCTATTAGTACTATTGATAATGTATTGATGTTGGCTACATTTATGCAGGAACTATTTTTGCAGTAAAGCCCCCCTGACACCATGTGACATGTGGGAAATGTCTGGGATTATCCCATCTAATGGGATTATCCCACCATAACAAATGGTCTGATACCATGGGAAAATCCCAGAAGGGTGGTATTATCCCACTTCTGGGATGATCCCATCCTTGCTGGAGCACTTGGGATGATACCAGGAAAAACAAGCTCTTAGCTTTATACATTTACACAGATAGTTGAAGCTAAATGCTTATGTTTTGGGGGTGACTGAAGTGCACATTTTTGTAATGTGAGGTCAGAACTGGCACTCCACAAAAACCACTACGCATATATTAATACTGCCAAAAGTTCAAGTTGCCATACATTTATCAACAAACTATTAGCTCTGCTTCATCCTGGCCAGGCATAGTCGTACATTTACCTGGTAACAACAATTTTGCCATTGACATCGCAACATGCTTTGGTTTAACATCATCAGCAGGCTTATATGGTCAGATTGGAGATGCTGGTGCCGACATCTTTCGTGCATCAGGTATTGGCCCCATAGCAAAATGGGTTGATGACCACGTCTTCATTTGCATACCCATTAAATACTTATCACATTATAATTCATTACGTATTACATGGGCTGGTCATATTTCTAATGGTGGTCGTAAATCCATGGGGGGGACACTTATTTTACAAAGGCAATTTCTTAACCTCAGGCAAAAAAAATGCAATTCGACGAAGACCAGCACCCCCCAATAGTCAACCGATCAATTCTCTCTGATCGAACGATCAAAGATAAACCCTTTTGCTACAACATGCACGACATAGACATTCTATCAGCTGAATTGGGCATCCTGTGGGAAAGATCCAAAGACGTACCATTCACCACCACCTTTCCTTTTGTTGGTTTCACTTGGTCACTGATTGACAACACAGTTTTGATTCCGCACAAAAAGGAACAGAAATATATTAACACCATTAATGAATGGACAGCTCATAGTACGCACAACTTACAGCAGGTACAATCACTCTTAAGTAAACTTCAACATGCGTCTCTGATCATCATTGAAGGACGTGCCTACCTAACCACCTAGATAAATTTACAGCACTATTTCTAGAAAAACTGTTCAAACCACGACACGCGCCCAAAGGTACATCCCAAGACTTAATCTGGTGGATAGTGAAACTATCAAATCAACGACTGACTAGCACCATTCCATTCCCACAACCAATCCTCAATCTACAGATCTTTTTTGATGCAAGCTCCACAGTTGGACTTGGTATTACCATCGGTCCTTACTGGTGAGCATGGACACTCGACCCAGCATGGAAATCAGATGGCAGAGATATTGAGTGGGCAGAAGCAATGGCGTTCAAAATGGCTATCAGAGCCATTTTACCGCACATCAAACAAGGAACCCACTTATGGGTACACGGCGACAACCAAGGAGTACTGGAAGCATGGCCAAAAGGACGCAGTAAGAACCCACAAATCAACACAATCTTCCGTAGACTCATCCCTATCACTCTGGAGGCAAAATCCACAATACATCTTAAATATGTCTCCTCTGACGCTAATCCAGCTGACCCTCCAAGTCGCGGACAGCTCCTGGCAATCGATAAATTACTTCCTAAAATTGAAATTCCGGTCAAACTACAACAAATCATCTGGGACTATCCCCAACTCAAAACCACTACTACCTTTCCCTCCATGCTCAAAAACACCATTGATATTTCCAAATCCATTTCCCACCTATCTACACATTGTAACTCAGACTCTTTCAAATTGTATATGTCCACATCCTGAACATCTCCCATATTGATCCAACAAGTCAATACTGTCATTGTCCCACTACACATTTGTTCACAAGTATCCCCAATCCTCCCTTCCAATCTATGTCCACAATGTCATACCAAATAACAATTGTTCCTTTAGAAACCAACCACATCATCAGAACAATCATCTAACCTGCTCAGCTTACATAACAGCAATTTAGACAGAACTAGGCAAGTTACAATCAATGCTTGGACAGTATCCACCCATGAAGTATATGGTTCAGGTCTTCTAGTATTCCACACATTTTGTGACATCCAATCAATACCTGAAACAGACAGAACCCCTGCAAGCATTGATCTTATTGAAATGTTCCTGGCCAGTATGGCGGGCACGTACCCCCACAAGACCATCAACAACTACATCCACAGTGTTTGGGCATGGCACTTATTAAACAATCTCCCATGGACCATTAACAAAGATAGACTAACTACGCTGATGGCAGCAGCCACCCACTTAACACAGACCAATCAAAAAAGCAACCTTGCCTACCATTCACGATCCAGGTAATCAAGTTGATACATGAACAACTAGACTTATCAGATCCAATGTCAGCCGCTGTATTTGCATGCTTAACCACCACCTTTTATACAACAGCTCGACTGGGTGAATTTACAACCCCATCCTTAACCACTTACAATCCAGCCATTCACCCATCCATAGCACTTGTTCACACCGAAACAGATTGCAATGGACTAATGTCAACCATTTTCAAGCTTCCTAAAACCAAATCATCACCACACGGAGAAGATGTTTTGTGGTCTGTTCAACACGGACCCAGCGACCCTCATTTTGCATGGACTAACCATCTCAATATCAACAACCCCTCCCCCAACCAACACATTTTTGCATACCAACAGAATAAAGGGAAAATAACTACCATGGTCCCGTTAACACAAAAGACTTTCCTTACCACAATAAACAAAGCATTGATGGCTGGAGGTCAGCAAAAAATGACGGGTCATAGCATACGGATAGGCGCTACGTTAGAATATCTCCTTCAAGGGGTTCCATTTGATGCAATGAAAGTCAAAGGACGCTGGGCCAGTGACACTTTCCGTATATACCTATGGAAACACACACAAATCCTCACACCTTACATGCAAGCAGTACCTGATACCCATACTGTGCTGATACATCACACCATCAATATGCCACCAGTCAGATAAACAAAACCAAAGACACTATACAGTAAGTTATGATTCTTTGTCTCCTATAATGTGGGCTGTCAGCTTTGCGCCACACGTCGTCATTCATCTCCTACTTATGTGGGTATCGCAGCACGCTGACAAGTCTCATTACAGATACTAATCAGCTATTGTGTTTTACCACACTACACAGATACTGTAAGGGGGGAAGCTCAAGGCTTTTGCCCACACCACAGCAACATGTAAGTACATATTCATTTGACTAGATACTATACAAACATACGGACACAAATGCATATATATACGCAAGTTTTTCTGGACATCACAGATGCAACTTGACCAAAGAAAGTGTTTGACATGAAAATTCAGGCAAAGAAAGAGTAGAGTCAAATGTGATCAGAGTGTGCTAGAACTTGAAGCTCGAAGGTGGTGGCCACTTGACCCAGAGTCCATAGTTTTATAGGCAAAATACTTGCCAAATACCAATCAACATCTGATAAGGCTTTTAAACTTGGAACACCAAACTTTGAGGGTTGTTCCAGGAGTGTTCCAACTTGGATGAAACCACAAGTTTTCTACTTACAGTAAGGAAGGCCGAAATCACTGGGATAGTGTGTGCCCGGCCTATAGTAATACAATTTCCAGTTGAACCTGATTTTAAAGATTGATCACTGTATCAAGGCTGTAGTATGGTTTGCACTAAACTTACCAAGTCAAAATTGCCTTATCAGATCCTGAATTGGTCGAATTCAGACATTACATGACCGTAAGATAGTAAGACAGACGCTTAAGTTAGCCTAGGAGTCATGTGGGAGATATCTGCCGGCATCATGTGTTGATAATAAAAATGGGCAAAAATAACAAATAGACCCAGCTGAGCATCAGAAACTAGAATACTGTAAGCTTGAAAGAGTCGAACAAAGTTATAGCGATTTGTGATCCAGGAACTTGGAAGCTTGAGCACACACATGTATTCTAGCACTTGGTGGCATGCACCAATGTTGATTGGTAGCATGGACAGGTGTCAATAACGAAGTGAATATTCAAAAGACTTGCCTTTGCGCCACACAGGCACAGTGCCACGTGGAATAGTAATTAATATTGCCTTTTTCGAACTTGTGGCTGATCAGCATCACCTCTATTAGGCAATCCACTCACGCTCACCTTTGCTTTTCCATCCGGTACTTTCGGCATGTCGGCATTTCGGCAAATTTTCGCGTTGCCACTGGCTACACATTGCATTGCGCCCTCGCTTTTGTCGTTTCCCTTACTCCCCTTCCTTTGCCTAGCCCCACCATGGGCCCCTTCCTCTCCTTTTTATTCTCACCTGACGGTCGTTTCTGGATCCCCATTCTAATCCACTTTTTCGTCACCTCCACCCTCCTCCTCCTCATCTTATTTGCACCCCCACCATTTCTGATGTCACCACTTCCTATCTGCTTCCATCGCCGATCCGTTGACTACCACGTGCCACTGCTGATATCAGCAAAGCCCCGGTGGCCGGTCCAAATAGGGCAACAGGTCCATCTTCATGACGTCGATCTACCATCATATACTATCAAAACATCGGTCGCTCGTCTTGCCTGGTTGGAGCGTGGGTGGGTAGTTTTTGAGCTAGAGAAGGTTCATCCCCTTGCGTCGCCCATGTTCATCGCTGTCCCATTCACTTGGGTACACTTATCTTTTGTCCATCGTCTTCGCTACAGCTACACCTACCACACGCTGCCTGGGACTCACTTGTTCCAAATTGGAACTACTCCTCTCCCTCCCTCGTTTGATCAGGTGGTCCAACACAACCAGTCCATTGGTAAGGCCATGGAACTGTCGGATTTGGACTAGGTGGTGGACCGGTGGCTCCAGTTTCTTTTTCTTCAGCAGAACATTCATTTACAGTGCGATTATTTTTGATTTTTGAATCATTTTTATGGACACATATTTTTTTAGAATGCCTGACTGACAATAAAGGAACTGTGTTGATACTGATAGTGTTTTGCCTTGCCCTTTTTTTACTGCATCTTCCCATGACATCATGATTTTCCTGCTCTCTTTTTGCTATCGGACTTTACTTTATGGCTGTACAAACCTGTGACATTACTCACAGCATTCATTGTTCTATCTCTTTCTTTTCCTTCTTTGACAATCTTATCCTGTACTACCTACGCAGGATTCGTCAGCATACATTCCTTCCTTCTTGTTCTTTCTCATTCTTTTTGCACAGCTATACTGTGCATAGCCTACTTTTCTTTCACTATATAAACCCCTGTATTTTATCTTGTAAAAAAAAACAAGAACTCGAATCCAGACTTCTTCTCTACTCTCAAGTTCACTACTCTGCTACTTGTGATCCAGTGTGGTCACAACACTTCCCACTGCTACCACTGTGAATTGCTGTCATCGTCACTTCCCAATTTTGAAGTCATTGTTATCCCTTTCGATTAGAGTCCTTCTGAGCACTACAGTTTGTGCGTCAGGAGCCTGCTATCACTGGGAACCTCGTCACCTTGTCATCCTCGTTGTTCTCAAACCTACCTTGTGCTACAATTAGCAAGGTAGTACTCATCTATACTCATCACTAAGCCCCCTATCTTCAATAAATTCAACTATCCCTCCTCCTCAAAACCCACACTCATACATCTCTGGGTTTTACTTTGAAGGATTCTTATATGTACCACCCCACAAACAACCAGACCACTCCACTGTTCTAGGAGGCAAAGCCCATAAAGAAGTTCCGTGGAATCTGGGAGGATTGTGTGTTAGTTTGTTTTTGTGTGTGGTTTTCTAACACCAGTTCTCATCATCGACAGCGTGACTGTGGATTGCCTAATAGAGGTGGTGCTGATTAGCCACAAGTTTGAAAAAGGCAATATTAATTACTATTCCATGTGGCACTGTGCCTGTGTGGCGCAAAGGCAAGTCTTTTGAATATTCGCTTCATTATTGACACCTGTCCATGCTACCAATCAACTTTGGTGCATGACAGCGCGCCAATTAGAGTCCGAGAAACCGGACAATTGGCTCCAGACTCTGGCCGGTCGTTTGTACAACAAAATCCGGGCCTTCTTCTACGATTAGCAGGCTGCTGAAATGAAGGCTCAGGGAAAAGAGTTCGGAGCTTAGGTCACTTGGGTGCCTTCGCTCCTATGAACAATGAAGCAAACCACAACAAAGTGGCCCCTGCTCTGGGGTGTTGCACAAGCAATAAAGGAAAGACGGGGATGGCTCCCCAATTTGTAAATAGATTTCTAAATTTATTATCTGAAGTATGTACTTGTATGAAGCATTGTGACCGTAATATTTATGATACTACCGCTGCACCGGCATCTCCCTTGGAGCGTGGCCCCAGCGAGACAAACAATAGGGTGCTTGATTCTGGTAAAAATAAAATAGAAAAACATGTAACTTTCAATACCTCTTCTTCTTCATTGGAGGCACCCTTTCCCTAATTCCCAAGGTGTGTGTTGATGCGCACATATTTATTCCAAAAGGAGATCCGTTTAGACGTTGGTGTGGAAAACCTTGCCCGGGGCATAGTACACCCAACCAGCGCACTACTTGATTCAGGCGCTAACAGAATCTTCATAGATCAGGTCTGGGCGGAGCAAATCGGACTTCCCCTTATAAAATTAGATGTATCTATTCCCATCTATAATGTTGACGGTACGCTCAACGCGGGTGGCTGCATCACGCACAAATGTTCTTTTGTTGTCGAATACCAAGGACACAGAGAACGAGTCACCGCCAAAGCTACCCAACTAGGGAAGATTAATTTAATAATCTTGGGCTGGACCTGGCTATTTAAAAACAATCCTGAGATCGACTGGCAGACAGGGGTTGCCACATTGTCACGTTGCCCTCAGGAATGTGTGAACTTGGGTAGGCCAAATCATGTCCGTCACAATGAGCGTCTTGAAGAAATAAATGCTGGTCACGTTTATGAGCTCAGATCTTTAGAAAAGATCAATGATGACGATGATGAGGTAAAACCCGAAGAAGAGATTAAGAGGCTGGTGCCTCCCGAGTACCATGGCTTCTGGAAAGTCTTTTCAAAACATAAATCAGAGCGCTTCCCAGAGGCTAAGCCTTGGGACCATGCAATAGATTTGAAGGACACCTTCAAACCGAGAAAAGGACAAATGATACCACTCTCTGCTCCAGAAAGAGATGAGGTATCAAGTTTCATAGATGAACAGCTTAGGAAGGGTTACATCAGACCTTCCAAAAGCCCTATGACGTCCCCGGTGTTCTTCATTCCTAAAAAAGATGGTAAGAAGCGTATGATTATGGACTATCGTTACGTGAATGAGCACACGGTTAAAAATGTGTATCCGCTGCCTTTTATCAGTCAGCTAGTAGACAAATTGGCTGGTGCCAAGATCTTAACAAAGATGGATCTCAGATGGGGGTACAACAATGTACGAATCAAAGAAGCAGATGCTTGGAAGGCCGCGTTCACGTGCCACCGAGGATCCGTCAAACCCCTTGTTATGTTCTTTGGGTTGACCAATTCACCGGCGACCTTCTAGAGCATGATGAATGAGATCTTTGCGGAAAACTGTGTCGTCATTTACATTGACGATTTATTAATATTTACGAAGTTGGACGATGAGGCTGAGCACGACAGGATTGTGCAAGAAGTCCTTCAACGCTTACAGGAACGGGACCTATTCGTCAAACCCAAAAAATGTAATTTTAAAGTGAAGGAAGTAGACTTCCTCGGTATGATCATAGGCCAGAATGGAATCAGGATGGATCCTGAGAAAGTTCAAGCTATCTTGGATTGGCCAGAACCTACTCGCGTCAAAGGAGTTAGGGCCTTCCTTGACTTAGGCAATTTCTACCAAAGGTTTATCGAAAACTTCGCAAAAATCACGAGACCGTTGAACGATCTCACTAAAAAGGAAAAGGACATTGTTTGGCACTGGGGCGCCAAGGAACAAGAAGCTTTTGATAAGCTTAAACAGACATTTACAATGGCGCCCATATTAGCATTTCCAAAATTGGACAAAGAAATCCGGCTAGAAACCGACTCTTCTGATTTTGCTACTGGGGCTGTTTTGTCAATTAAATGTCCTGACAATCTTTGGAGGCCTTGTGCCTATTTATCACATAGTTTGTCGCCTACAGAGCGCAACTATCAAATTTACGACAAAGAGATGCTGGCCATCATTAGAGCCTTAGAGCACTGGCGGCACTACTTAGAAGGTGCTAGACACCAATTTGAAATTTGGACCGATCATAAAAATCAGGCAGACGGATTGGGCCAAGTGGCTAAAGATAGCCCAGTTCTCATACAATATTAAACAGTCGTCGGCTACAGGAAAGGCACCATTCAAGGTTACTAGATCGTACCTCCCCAGAATGGGTGTAGAACCTGGTAAAAGCAAAAATGAGGCTGCTGGGAACATGGCCAAAGACATGAAGTCTGTCTTAGACGAAATGCACAAGGCGCTATTCAAAACTGCAGAGCAGATGAAAGACAGGGCAGAGCGTAGACGCTCTAAGGCCCCTGACTACAAGGTCGGCGACCTGGTCTGGTTAGATACCGACCACTTAAAATTAAAGGATCGGTAGTCTAGAAAACTGACCGAAAAGTGGATTGGCCCTTACCGGATTAAGGAAGTCAAACCCAACGCGGTGGAGCTGGAACTCCCAAAACGCATGAGGATAGAACCCACGGTCAATATTAGCTGTGTGAAACCCTACAAAGGGCCGCTGCCGGGACAGTGTGTAGACCGGCCCAAACCAGTTGTAGTCACCCAGGAAGGTGAAGAAGAGTTCAAAGTTGAACAGGTGGTGGATGCATGCTTGAAGCGTGGCAAATTAGAGTTCCTAGTCCTATGGAAGGGCTATGGAGACGAGGACAGAATGTGGGAACCAGAAGCCCATCTGGACAATTCCCGCGACACTGTTCGCAAATTTTATTCTAAGAATCCCTCAGCTCCTAGGAAGCTTAGAGGCATGGATTGAAAACTTTTTAATTCCCTTTTTCAACCTATGCCCGAAAATTTAACTACCACCTCCGGTATTTGGTCGAGCCTGGAAGTCGAGCCTTAGAAGGGGGGTAGTGTTACGATAACACAATTTTCGGACCTTTCCTTCTTTTTCATTCTCCGCTTTAACCTTGTACACTTTAGCTTTCACATGGTGCCACACGACACTTCCCTTTTTTGTTCAAACTCCTATTTCTTGCGCCGCGTTGCCTTCTTCTTATTTTAGATACAATGTTCTCACACAGTGGAGCTGGTCATGCGGGCTAGGCCCCATGACACCATCAGCCACTAACTTTATCAACTGTATAGTACATAAGTACAAACACTCTGTATTAGTATATATACCCCAATAGATCCAGGAGACTCCTCAGCGAGTCCTCCTGTTGTATACCAACAAACTCTCTGCAGCCTAAGGGGTAACCACTCTCTCTTTATTTTCTTTATAGTGTGTTCCTGTGTGTGCCAGAGTAACTAACTCTTGGTGTTACAACAAGGGTCAGACCGAGAAAGGGAAGAGTTAAGAAAGTGGTCCGATCTATCGTATTTACTAATCATATGAGAGAAAGTATTGGTAAGAGATGTGCGATTGGCTGTATCAGTAAGCCCATGAGAAGGCGCTGACTCACAGCCTTCCTCGCTTATCAATATCCCTCCGAAGTATTCCCAGACATAGCACTGGATCATTGCTATGTCATTTGGATATCTTCTCGAGGGTCTACAACAGTTCTCCTTCGTTGTAAGTACGATAGGACGTGAGTATGAATGGAGAATAAGAAGAAAAAGAATAAAAGTAATAAGATACCGGCTGTAATCTCTAGTCCAAGAGCAAGAGGAGTGACAGGGAATGAATTGGATAACCACGACATGATGGGAATGCAATAAGAAAAATTGATTCCTCACGGGATGGTTCATGCCTGACACGTTGCTAGTTCTTTGAAAAGTCAGCAGCTCAGCCAATACAAACCTAGTTTATAAAGAACCAGCAACATGTCAGCTTCAAACTGGGCACGAACCCTCACAGCTATTTCTCAAAATATTGGTAAAATTTTAGTTAATCTATCACAAAGTATATATTTATAATACTTGAAGTATTCCAGAGGTGGCTGAAATTATGCTGTTTGTGTACGAATCATACCTCTCCTGGCTGGAACCCTTTCATGCTATCGGATGTATTCAATCACGTGTGTCACATGCGTGATTCGAGCAAGTTTGCCCATTCAAATCCGCAATTACGGTACTACATATCTTCACCTGTCACGAAACTCAATGCACCATATAATTGGATGAAGTGGACTCGTATGAGATTTGATATTCTCTCTGGTATAAGGAGAACAGCTATGTCAACTCACTTATTCTCATTCCCATACACACCGTGATGGCCGCTGGTCCTTGACAAGGCAGCATGCGGCAGGGTATTTTTTTATTTCCGGGGAGGGTGTGATATCGGGGTGGTAAGGGGTGCGTAGGTTGTTATATGTTTACCCCAATAAGAGCTTTCTGACCTGGCTCGGATGTTTAGTGGGGTGAAACCTGGCTGTCATGCGATTATCGTGTAGCCCGGGCCCAGAAGAGGCCAGGAGATGGTGAACTAAGGCCAGATATTGGGTTCGTTCAGGTGAGAGGTATCACTTCATGCATCGTGATCAAAGATAGAATGACACGCTGCGCAACTTATAGAGCTAGGGCGGTTGTGGCATCACTCAGAACCAGACATGATATGATGTCACAAGCCAATGATCCACTGAGGATTTCATGCCTCGAAAATTCTTGTCTGCAGTCCCCCCTTCCCCCTCGTTTCCTAGGTTTATGACAGAACAATTATCGACTGTATCCCGATACTTCGGTACTTTCATCCTTCTCTCGTCCTCCACGTGTACGGCAGACCCACTGGACTTCGATCCTTCAATTCATTCTACCTAATGGCCGCTATTTCTACGCTTCTACACATCCCCTTTCCGCGACAAAGAGTAATCCACGTTGACGCTTAACAAATCTCGGAGTCACCGGCTTCAACGCTGCGTAAGCTTGAGTAGTGTGTTGCTATACACAAATTGCCGCAAGCAAGGGAGTAGACGATTGATTTGCCGATGTAGGCGTCTACTATCCAGATATATATTATGCCTCAAATCCTTCTGCTTCATATTGGATCTCCACTGCAAGTGTTACTCCCTCGATGTGAGTCTATTCTTACATTTTGCTCTCCTCCGATGGCACCCTGACTTTCATATAAAAGACAAATAGAGCACTTTCACGGATCATATACGTCAATCATTGATTGCACCCCTCATGTCGCAAAAGTAGCGCTTTCTTCTTACTTTGCTATGGGAATTTAATTCAATGCTGCCAATTTTCAGTGAAACAAAACGCGTGGGCATCGTTGGGGCTGGTATGTCTGGGCTTTATGCAGCATATCGGTTGCAACTGTCGAAGGATCCTAAAGTTGAAGTTCATCTATACGAAGTGGATGGGAGGGTCGGCGGGCGTGTTAAAACCCATCGTTTTACATCCGAAAAGAACCAATACTTCGAGGCGGGTGCCATGCGTATTCCCGATACTAGAATGCATGCGCCAACTCTAAACCTGATTCGTCTTCTAAAAGACACTCACCACGCTGGTCTCAATCTCATACCTTATCTCCTTACCACTCCCGGCAATCGTATCTTCATAAACGGCATTTTAAAGAATGTCAGTGATCATAACACTGCTATGGCACTTGGATTCAACCTCCCAGAACCTTACAACAACCAAACTGCCGATGCCTTACTGTTAAGCGCTATCGAGTCCTTTCTTGATCTATTAGGGAGAGATTTCGAAGCCGGGTGGAAGCTCCTTATGAAGTACGACAAAGTGTCTTTCCGTGCCTACTTGTTAGATCTTAATTGGCCAGAATCCGTTATTGATTTTGTCGAGACCATGTGCTCTCAGACCAACCAGTTCGCCCTTAGCTTCTCCGAACTCGTAATGCAAAACATGGACTTCTCTACGAAAGCATGGCTCACGCTCGAAGACGGAATGGACAAACTTCCACAGGCGCTGGCTGGGGTAGTTGGGATGGACAATATTACCTTCAGTGCGCGTGTCCAGAAAATCGAGCAGGAAAACGACCAGGTCAAGGTTTACGCAGATACACCTGGTGGCCGAGTGGAGGGTACGTTTGACAAGATCGTCCTTGCTATCCCACCTAGTGCGCTGAGGATGATACCTGAGCGTCCCCGTTGGGATCCGACAAAGGAGCAAGCAATCCGGGCCATGTACTTTGAGGCGTTGTACAAAATCGGCATACGCTTCAAGACCCGATTCTGGGAGCATGTGCAGCCTCCTTCCATAGGAGGACAATCAACGACTGATTTACCCATCCGTTGGATCGTTTATCCATCATACGGTATCAACTCTGATGGACCAGGTGTTTTGCTCCTGTATTCCTGGAACACGGATGCATCGGTATGGTCCTCCATCCCTTTCAGCGAGCGTCTCAGGAGCTCTCTGTGTCATCTCTCAAAAGTGTTCAAGGATATCGACGTCTTTGACCAATTCATCACAGCCGAAGATTTGGCTTGGTCCGAACACAATCCTACTGGTGATGCAATGTTCTTTCCTGGGCAGTTCTCGCAGTATTTTGATATTGCTCGTCGCCCCGAAGCCAATATCTATTTCGCAGGAGAGCACCTCAGTCGCCACCACACATGGATCACTGGAGCTATTGATTCTGGCAGGTCCACTGCTCAAGACATTATTACTAGCTTCACCTCCAAACCGTGCCCTACGGGGTGGATTCCTCGCGCAGGAGTTGAGCCTGAAGACTATTATGATAGTGAAGCGTACCGTAGGAAGGTGGCTATGGATGGCTTGGAAGGGTTCAAGGGGGATCGTAAGGGATTTGAGGATAGCATATTGCATTCTAGCTTGGGGTAGGTAGGTTCGAGTGAAACATATGCTAGTCTAATAGTGCGTTATATGAGCCGATGATGCCAACGTCGTAAATGGAGCTGATGAATAGCCAGGGTGATTACCACAGCTCTCGCAGAAGTATTGCACAGGTGCCATGATATTTATTTCTTGTTCAACCAATACCAGGTGAACAATATAACATACGAGTGAGTGGTCAGAGTTTCACGGTATGGGACACACTTCAACGTGGTGTAATAGTGACCTCTCCGCCTGAGGATGGAGGATGATCGAGTTTAGAAGGGCAGCACAGCGAGATAGCACTCACATCTTTCTTATCTTTAGAAAATTTGGCCATTTACGACGCAGTGAACCTCGCAAAGAACATGAACAGGTTCAAGTACTAACCAATTAGGGGAGAACATGAGTGCCAAAATGAGTTCCTCTTCGATTGCATAGGTTCAAATCTTGTTGAGTCAATGTTTCAAAGTGTACAGCTATTTGAAGTTTGTAGCGGTCCAAAAAAATTCTAAATCGGTCACAAGTTCATTTCGCAGCTGAACATCGTCCAATTGGGCATAAGTGGTCATTTCTCCCCAAGTCGCCACGTCGAACGGAGATAGTAGGCTGTACTTTATCAAAGGACTACTAAGGTGGTTAATAATTTTACCAAGTCCTGGTTGCGATGGAAAGGGTCCGCCAAATAAACCTAGTCGAGTGCTGCACTCGAATATGGTAGGAAAGCTCAGGACCTTTGAGCAGGTATACTTGTCGCAGAATACATGAGAGCTAGGTTGAGAACAAATACTTTCATGTTTGCGTGGGCTTTTGTTGTCGATGTTGGCGCTGACGACGACGGCAGAATACGGTCGCGCCTCAGGGAATAAAGGCAAGGGCCAGGGTCGAACCCTAGCCCAGCCCATCGATAAGGCCTGCCCTAAGGCACATGGCAATAGATGATCGATTCTTATTGATTTTTATCTAAAAATTTCAGACAACCGAGTCACAGACAATCAATCGCATCTCCTCCTTGTCCTCTTCTCCCATCTCCTTTATCGTTGCCGTATACTCGCAATACAAAATGTCTGCCGTTGGTACGCTTTGGACAGTCCCTGGAATGCGCCAGGCTATCGTCGTACGTGCTCTTTTGCAGCGATGATTAATCTTTACGAAACCGGAGGTCGCTTACATCGATACTCTTTGCATTTCCTGGATATCTAGATCAGGAGCGTTGCTGCTCTTGCTGGCCTTCAGCTCGACCTTCCTGAATACAAGCACTTTGAGGACAACAAAAAGCCCGAATTCACCGCAAAATTCCCCCATGGAAAGATCCCAGCTTTGGAGACTGCCGATGGCTTCAAGCTGTTTGAGGGAGCTCCCATTGCACGATATCGTCAGTATGCTTATGATCTTTAAATCTCTCTTATACCAGTCTGGAGGATATTTGAGATTTGAGAATTGTATCATTATTATATTTATAATGATGGTGTTGACATGGAGGGCATAGTTACTATATAATCATCATCATGCTAGGGAATAATGTCACTTAACGTTTTTTCTTATTCAGTTTCCACACTCGCCCCCAACTCGAATCTCTTGGGCACAAACGACCAGGAGGCAGCCCTCGTAGACCAATGGGTTCACTTCGCAGAGTCAGAAATCTCAACACCTAACGATATCATGTGGCAAATGTTGAACGGGTACCTTACACCGTACAACAAGCCTGTGAGTCTCTTTATTCCACTTTCTAATTCGTCTGATTGTCCTGATAATATATCCACCGACTAGATCCACAACACGCTCGCTGAACGTCAGCTCCGCGCTATCAACACTCTTGAAACCGTTCTTGCCACCCGCACTTTCCTTGTTACCGAGCGCATCACCCTTGCAGATATCGTAGTGGCCTCCAGCTTTCAACGTGCTGTTGGCCTTGCTATTGACGCTTCCGCTCGTGCTAAGCTTCCCAACACAATCCGCCATTTCGAAACATTGGCTAACCAACCAAAGCTTAAGGAAATCTTTGGCGAGACTACCTACGTTGAGAAGGCTGCACAGTACGTTGCGCCAGCAAAGGAGAAGAAGCCTGCTGCTGCTGCCCCCGCCCCTGCTGCCCCTAAAGAAAAGAAACCAAAGAAGGTAGAAGACGATGAGGAGGATGAGCCTTTGGTTCCTGAAGAACCCAAAGCCAAGAACCCCCTCGACTCGCTCCCAAAATCAACTTTCAACCTCGAAGACTGGAAACGTGCCTACTCTAACAAGGACACGCGCGGTCCTGGAGGAGCACTAGAGTGGTTCTACGAGAAGTATGCGCCTTCACATTTCTGATCACATTATACGCCGTTAACGCTGTTTTATCGCCCTCGTTCAGCTTCGACAAAGATGGTTTCTCAGTCTGGCGTGTTGACTTCAAATACAACGAGGAGCTCACGTTGACATTCATGTCCTCCAACCAAATTGGCGGTTTCTTCAACCGTTTGGAGGCTTCGCGTAAATACCTCTTTGGTTCGGTTGGTGTTCTTGGCGAATCCAACGCGTCGATCATCGCCGGAGCTCTGATCCTGCGTGGTCAAGAAGCCACCCCCGTGGTTAATGCCGCCCCAGATTACGAGAGTTACGAATACAAGCAGCTCGATCTGGATAACGCAGATGACAAGAAGTTCTTTGAGGGTGCTTTGGCCTGGGATCTCGAGATTGACGGCAAAGTTTGGAAAGACGGAAAGAACGTGAGTGTGCCCTTCCATTTGGCTCGTGCATTATGTGCTCATGTTTTCTTGCAGTTCAAGTAGATGTATCCTTATTACCATGCCGCGACGTGGTTGTACCTTCCTTGGTGGTGTTGTGAGGTGAACTGTAGTAGATCTTTGTCCAGATTGGTATCAATAGCTGTGTTGTGTTCTAGTTCATGATTAAGTATACGATTCGTTTCAGAAGTCATTATCAAGAAATATAGAGTCCAAAGGAAAGCTGAACCTTTGAGGGTATCTGTATCTGAGGGGAAGGCACAAAGGCTGAGGTATAATTTCACTCAATCTTAGCAGAAGGTCATGCTCACAACAAGTCGAGATACGAGTACATCAAATTTTAATTATCACGTATCACGTCATGTCCAATTTCAAACTACAAAACCCAGTAAAAGTTACCAAACAAAACCATGTCCCAGATCAGATATAACAGCGTTCAACCACACTTTTGGTCCCAGTACCATTTTACCGCAATCCAATGTCCGTTACCCATTTCACACCACATATTTAAGTTGATGTTTGAACCCTAATGGAGGTACCATGGTCAGTCAGAGCGTAGCTAGACGTAGCAGGCCGAGAGATTGTCTTTGTAGCCATTGTACTTACTGGACAAACCATGTCTGGTCACTCGCAACGCAATTGCCTCCGTGAGCGTTCTGGGTGGCCTGGCAGTTGAAGGCGATGTAATTAACGAGGCTGGACTACAATGGTATGCAACATATGCATTATTTATATATTCACGGAAGAACGGAGAATGACACGTACCCAGTCAGTCCTGCAATAGGTCAAGTTGTAGCTCGCCTGGTCGATGAAGAACGTCTCGCAGGATTGGTATTGCATCACAACACCCGATGTGGCCTATTTTCGTAAAACAGACAGAGTTAACGATGAACTAGGCCTGAGCACCAAGTTAAAGTAAATGGGCTTACAGCGGTAATGTTGAAAAGTGCCCCTGTCCACACCACCGTCAGTGACTGGTTATGATGATGGGCGAAGTCAATAGGTACTTACCGACGTTTTGGCTGTCGTACAATAACGCGTCGGCAATAACCTTGGATATGATGAGAATACGGAAAGGTAGGAGAGGCTAAGGAAGACTGACCTGGCAATCATTCGGGTCGGGGCCTCCACCAGAGGGAGTGAAGCAGTTCGTGGTGCAAGTCGCACCGCACACGTTCACGGGGACAGCCTGACTCACGAGGCTCGTAGGGGCTTTCGGGGTGTTTGAACAGGTCACGATTTCGGACTTGACGTTCTGAGCTTCTCCGATGTACGAGGTAGAGACGACCTGCTGGTCCTCGCAGGTGAAGTCTGTAAACCAACACAAGCGCATCTTCCTCAGAACATGTATCGGTGAGATATCACGACATGACGAACCTGTACCACTAGTGGCAGGAGAACCATAGATGGCAGGGACCAAAGTAGATGCAAGAGCAAGAGCGAAGATTGTGAACTTCATATTGAGAGTTATGCCGAGGGGGAGATGTATGCTAGACTGCTAGATCTCCAACTTCTTCTGGCCCTTTTATGCAAAGTCATGGGCCTACCTGACACATGATCCGTCCTGAGAGCGGTCGTTTAGGAGGCGTCAGTTAGAAGCTCGGTGTCTTGACTTTGAACTTGAGCATATGGTCACCTGTCAACGGCCATTCTGTTGCTGTACTCGGGGGTTCAGTTCGAGACCGTCGATTTGAGTTATTTCAGGTAATCCCGAGTACAGAGTTAGGAACCTTTGCAGAAAAGCGGCATAATTTGGTGAGTGAGACCTTAATGGATGATCGAACGGTCTCAGAATAGGACGTCATCCAGGAACAGGACGCGGGCATTAGCTTCCATGCAATGATGGCGTCTGTCTCTTTGTGGGGTGCTTGTACCACGGTGAGCATAGTCCAGTCCTCCAGTAGAAAGCACATGACTCCCAAGTACATCATAATCATGGCTGTGTCTCTTCGTACCTAGCTGTTGAACAACAACCTTGACATGACCGGCTTTGCAAGGCCGTCATAATGCTTCGCCACGTTGGTGAATGACCATTACGGTACGCAAATTCCAGGCACTTACCGTCTCCGTCTCCATAGGACCAACAGAAATGTCAAGGCCTCTGTCAAAGATCCCCGTGGAGGGTTGATGGTGGAATCGGCTTTTCGGTGTAAAAGCCAGAGTGTTGAAGAACTGTCCCAGCACCACAACAGGAATCACTGCACACGAAAGACACCTATATCTACCCCCATCAGCCACATGCGCAACAAGCGAAACAGCGGGGAAGGTCCCTCAAAACTGTATGTGCATGGTCAAGACAAAGATTTCGAATCAAGACACACCCATTGACGTACAACAGTACGCGTATGATTCACATGAGAAAATTTATCTCTACCAGTGTCCTGATTACTATGTCCTTCTTAACCTCCGAGTTCTAGTCAGACATAGTGAGTGGTACACTCATCCCCGAATCAAATTTAAAGTGGGCTTTGCTTCCAGGTCAGAGGCTTGATCTTCTTCCAAATAATGGTGATAATATAAGTTTCGGATAGCATTTGATTTTCTAGATAGTGTGGATTACTGGACTAGTTGAAGAAATGCCAGCGAGTGGTACAGGTTAACTCCCACTCGGAGTTGCCCGCATCAACAAATCAAACTACTTTGTATAGCGGCTTACTGTCGTTCCCCACCTTTTCGGACATACTGGGGATTCGGACAATTGTCTGAATAGGCACGTTCCACTTACAGTGTACTTTAGATAACTCTCTCGGTGAATTCTACGGCCTCAAAAACCCTCCTAGAAGTTTTTTCAGCTTGAAAAACAAAGTAGTTATTGAGTCCCGCATTTTTCACAGAAATCACTCCTGTTGTGCCAGTTTGGTGGGTACTATCGTTGGACAATAGGTGCAATTGGTCTGGGGAGAAGTTGAATAAATCACCAGTCGTTGAGCTTTAGACTGTCGGAACTTGACCAGTAGATATGATTTTTTAGTTTTCTAGCTGCCTATGTAGAAAAATAAGCAAGAACTTGAAGCATTGGAGCAGCGGAACAAAACCGAAAAGACGACACATGTTTTGGAATGGTTCTGCAATTTCTGGTCACACTGGGTCACAGTGGCACTCACAGACCAAATCAGGCGGAGCTTACAAGTCAAATTCCGCCAGGTCACACCAAGTCCTGACGCTGGTGGTATCTAGCGGTCCTTGATTGATTATCTTGGTGTGTGATTGCCTGTTTCGGTCGCCTAGTCACGACTCCATCATTGTTTTCGTTTCTCCAGACACTTTGAGGCCCCAATCAGCTCAGTAAGTATCTGGCATTGTAGGGGCCTACCTATTGACGTTTTCTAGAAAGATATTGCAATATTCCCAGCATGAGATCTGGTCAAATCTGGCCATCTTTCCCTCAAAATTCACACTTCTGGAGTTCAAGAGCATAGTGTCAGGTCTGTCATTGTTGCTACAGATAAGCTATTCACTAAATTCTTTCACAATTATATTCTCTATACTATATTCTACATCTGACAATTTTCTAGCTACCTGTACAGTGATTGTTGAGCCTCTGGAGGCCCAAGTGCATATCTCTTACCGGTTGCATCCGGTGTCCAACGATAGTATCAGGAAATGTGACTATGTGACGTCCGAATACTCAGTAGCATCTGAAATGGTGGGGAATGACAATATATGATACTAGCAGCGTGTAATCGCTCAGATATGATCTAGCAAAGAATAACTCAGACTTTGAATGAATGTCTGAGGTGTCTGCCTAATGACAACAGCGTATATATGGGAGAACGGAATCAAAAAAATAAATGCTATCTGATGGCGCACGGGCCACTCCATCTACTAGGCCTGCCTAGTTCGGCGCTTGCACCACTTCCTCTCTTCGTACGACACTTGTTTCTCTATCTCCAACACTCCCCCTCAAGCCATACGGAGTCCGAGCGTGCTGGCAAAGTGCTTGACTTTGGCTGAAGGTAAAGGCTTTGTGAGTATATCTGCTGTCATGCCTTCGGTTGGGCAATAGCTGATCTCGACTTTTCCATCTTCGATAGCATGTCGGATAAAATGGTAACAAATATCAATGTGCTTTGTTTGGGCGTGATATTGACCATCCTTGGCCAACGCAATTGCCGATTGATTGTCGCATCGTAGATCCATTGGAGGTAAGTCTTCTCCGAATAATTTGCTGATGAACATTCGCATCCACAGGATTTCTTTTGTCACATGGGTGGCTGCAACATATTCAGCTTCTGTTGTGGACAATGCGACTATCTCTTGCTGCTTTGAATACCACAAAACGGCACCTCCATCAAGTATCATGGCATACCCGGATATGGCTTGCCTTGTTTCGTTCATGCTTCCATCTGCATCTGTGTATCCAGTGAGTCCATGCTCATCTGGTCCGTACGCTAACCACAACTCTCTGCTTCCCTTTAGATATCGAATTACTCTTTTGGCTGCCTCCCAGTGAGCAGGACCTGGATTTTCGACAAATCACGAGAGAATTGCAACAGCATGTGCAATGTCGGGGCGAGTGCCAATTGCCGCATACATCAGCAATCCCACCACCTCTCTAAATGGGACATCTCGCATCTCTGCGTAATCCTCTGGTGTTTTAGGACCTTGGTCCTTGCTTAGGTACGTGCTTGCCACCATCGGGATTGCTAACATTTTTGCATCTTCTAAGTTGAAGCACCTGATTATGGTGTCGATATAGCTGCGTTGGGACAGGTATAGGGTGCGCTGTCGATGATGAGAACTGCTGTTAGAAAACCACACACAAAACAAACTAACACACAATCCTCCCAGATTCCACGGAACTTGTTTATGGGCTTTGCCTCCTAGAACAGTGGAGTGGTCTGGTTGTTCGTGGGGTGGTACGTATAAAGATCCTTCAAAGTAAAACCCAGAGGTGTATGAGTGTGGGTTTTGAGGAGGAGGGATAGTTGAATTTATAGAAGGATAGGGGCTTTGTGACGAGTATAGATGAGCACTACCTTGCTAATCGTAGCACAAGGTAGGTTTGAGAACGACAATATGACGAGGTTCCCAGTGATAGCAGGCTCCTGACGCACAAACTGTAGTGCTCAGAAGGACTCTAATCGAAAGGGATGACAATGACTTCAAAAGTGGGAAGTGACAATGACAGCAGTTGACAGTGGTAGAAGTGGGAAGTGTTGTGACCACACTGGATCACAAGTAGCAGAGTAGTGAACTTGAGAGTAGAGAAGAAGTCTGGATTGGATTTCTTGTTTTTTTTTACAAGGTAAAATACAGGGGTTTATATAGTAAAAGAGAAGTAGGCTATGCACAGTATAGCTGTGCAAAAAGAATGAGAAAGAATATGAAGGAAGGAATGTACGCTGACGAATCCTGCGTAGGTAGTACAGGATAAGATTGTCAAAAAAAGAAAAGAAAGGGATAGAACAATAAATGCTGTGAGTAATATCACAGGTTTGTACAGCCATAAAGTAAAGTCCAATAGCAAAAAGAGAGCAGGAAAATCATGATGTCATGGGAAGATGCAGTAAAAAAAGAGCAAGGCAAAACACTATCAGTATCAACACAGTTCCTTTATTGTCAGTCAGGCATTCTAAAAAAATATGTGTCCATAAAAATGATTCAAAAATCAAAAATAATCGCACTGTAAATGAATGTTCTGCTGAAAAAAAAGAAACTGGAGCCACCGGTCCACCACCTAGTCCAAATCTGACAGTTCCATGGCCTTACCAATGGACTGGTTGTGTTGGACCACCTGATCAAACGAGGGAGGGAGAGGAGTAGTTCCAATTTGGAACAAGTGAGTCCCAGGCAGCGTGTGGTAGGTGTAGCTGTAGCGAAGACGATGGACAAATGATAAGTGTACCCAAGTGAATGGGACAGCGATGAACATGGGCGACGCAAGGGGATGAACCTTCTCCAGCTCAAAAACTACCCACCCACGCTCCAACCAGGCAAGACGAGCGACCGATGTTTTGATAGTATATGATGGCAGATCGACGTCATGAAGATGGACCTGTTGCCCTATTTGGACCGGCCGCCGGGGCTTTGCTGATATCAGCAGTGGCACGTGGTAGTCAACGGATCGGCGACGGAAGCGGATAGGAAGTGGTGACATCAGAAATGGTGGGGGAGCAAAGAAGATGAGGAGGAGGAGGGTGGAGGTGACGAGGAGGTGAACTAAAATGGGGACCCAGAAACGACCGTCGGGTGAGAATAAAAAGGAGAGGAAGGGGCCCATGGTGGGGCTAGGCAAAGGAAGGGGAGTAAGGGAAACGACAAAAGCGAGGGCGCAATGCAATGTGTAGCCAGTGGCGACGCAAAAATTTGCCGAAATGCCGAAATGCGGAAAGTACCGGATGGAAAAGCAAAGGTGAGCGTGACTGGATTGCCTAATAGAGGTGGTGCTGATCAGCCACAAGTTCAAAAAGGGCAATATTAATTACTATTCCACGTGGCACTGTGCCTGTGTGGCGCAAAGGCGAGTCTTTTTGAATATTCGCTTCGTTATTGACACCTGTCCATGCTACCAATCAACTTTGGTGCATGACAGCGCGTTGCCCTATCTCTCTTAATCTCGATACCTAACATCCAGTGGAGTTCCCCCAGGTCGCTCACTTCAAATAACTTTGCCAGGTTGGCCTTCAGGCGTTTCATGCTAGCTGCTGATGCTGTGATTAGGGTCATGTCGTCAACATGCACGGCAATTATAGTGAGTTCTTCATTTTCGCGTTTGAAGAAAACAGTGTTATCCGTTTCGCACCTGACTAAACCCATCTTTTTAAGTCTGTTGCATAGCGTTTGGTACCACCTGCACCCGGCCTGTTTAAGACCGTATAGGGTCTTGTTTAGGCGTAGTACCATCAATTCACGGCCACGAGCACTGTATCCAGGTGGTTGCCGCATGAAGATGACCTTGTCATCGTCTAGCTTGCCGTTTAAATAGGCACTTTTGACGTCCATTTGGTGAGTCTCCCAGTCATTTCTTGCGGCCATTGCTAATATAATTCTGAGGGATGCCATCTTGGCTACAGGGGCAAACATGTCAAAATAGTCAATTCCTTTGACTTGGCTGAAGCCCTGGGCCACCAGCCTGGCTTTATATTTGTCGACGTCGCCAGAAGTGGTCCTTTTGATCTTGAACACCCAATGGCTGCCTACAACATTGGCGCCTTTCGGTTTTTCGGTGTAAGTCCAAGTTCCCGCCTTATCTAATCTTTCTGGCTCTTCTTTTATGGCTAACTCCTATTTATCCCAATCTGGGCGTCTTTGGGCTTCTTCGACGGTCCTCGGCTCAATGCCATCAAGATCGGCCATGCATGCGACCATGGCCACATTTTGGGCCAAGTCTCTCAGGGCCTCATTGTTTTGCTCTTCTTCATTGCTCCCATCAGCATCGTTGATATTTAGCTGGATTCCTCTCGGTAAAATGGGTCCGTCGTCGAGTCCTGATACTGACCCTTTTCCCTGAAGTAGGTCACACACGTACTGCGCTGGTTGACGGATTTGAGTGCTTCGGCGGGGGGCTGGGGGTTGAGGAAGAGGAGGAGGCTGAGGACGATTGTCAAGATGATCAAGATTGGGGGGATTGGGGGGAATTTGCTGCACTTCGGGTGGAGCGTAAGGTGCGTCTTCCTTTGGAGCATCCTCAGCATCATACAAGTCAATGATTTGACTCCCTTTTGGCGCTTGCAATGTTATAGGATCATTCTCCCCCTCAAGCCTAAAGGGGGTCTGATCATTGTTGCTGCCCGGTGAGTCACTCACAGGTGCAAAAATAACAGATTGCTCCACACTAACAGTTCGTTTGTCTGGCCAGAAAATCCGATGGCCTTTACTCTCGGCATCAAATCCCATCCATTGCCCAGTGCGCGCACGTGCGTCAAGTTTAGAGCCACCGCTATAGTGCACCCATACCTGGCAGCCCCATTCCTTCAAGGTAGAGAGATCTGGTTCTACGTTATGGGCCGCTTTGTGTGGTGTCATCCCAGTAAGTGCTTTTGTTGAGGTTCAATTCTTGAGCCAAACGGCATGTTTGACTGCCTCACCCCATAGAAACTTGGGTAATCCACTTCCATGCAGCATAGTGCGTACCTTCTCCATGAGGGTGTGGTTGACTTGTTCAGCCCCCCCATTCTGCTCGGGAGTGTCATGGACGGTAAGTTTCCTGACTATTCCCTTCTTTTCCAGGTACTCATCAAACTCTCCACTCAAGAACTCGCCACCTCAATCGCTATGTAGAATCTTTACAGCAGTGTTCATATGGTTTTGCAGCCAGGCCTCGTATATGCAAAATTGTGAGAAGGTATCGCTCTTGTCATGTATCAGGAAAAGGTGAGTCTCCCGTGTCTTATCATCTGTGAAGGCAACATAGTAATGTTTGCCTCCAAGCGTTTCAATGGGCGCTGGACCCCAAAGGTCCGTATGTATCTCATCACCATATGCAGTCGCACGCTCGCCAGTTTTGACTTTGGGTATGGATTCCCGCGTTGTTTTTGCATGTACGCATGACTGACAAAAGGTATTCTCGTCGCCAGGTATCAACTGGATTCCTTGAATCAGCCCATTTTCAACCATTTGTTTGGCTGTTGCCGGCGCTATATGTCCCATGCGCTTGTGGAGATCCATTACAGTGAGTCTTTCAATCGCAATGTTTGCACTTTCTCCTGTGTGGCCTGACCACTTTGATCTGTGGAGACCTCCCAACCTTGGTACACGGCCAATGACCTTACCTGAAGCATTGGTGATGATGCCTTTTCCTTGTTTAAAGGTAGCAGTATAACCTGCTTGGTCTATCCGGCCAATGGATACTAAGGTATAGGCAATTCCTGGGGCATAAAGGATGTCTTTCAGCGTGATCTGGGTGGTGGTATCACCATTTGGCACCCTGATTATGAGGTCTCCTTCTCCTATGGCGGCAAATGAATCTTGATTCGCTGCACTGACAGGTTGGGGGGGGGATGGTTCAGGAGTTTGTCAAGAGGTCTCGGTAGGGCGTAAAATGAGCAGTAGCACCCAAGTCGTATAGTTCCACAGTCTTGTGGTAGCTGGTAAGGCTCTCGTTGTTTTTGTAGAAAGCTGACTCTTTTATTTCTGCCAGGGATTTGGGGGTTATGGCACACCATATCCCCTCTTCTTCACGCCCAACAATTGCAACATTTGCCTGTTCGGGCGTCTTGCCCTTGTTACCATCTTCTTGGGTATTCCCCTTTCCTTCAGCTGGTGCGTCCTTTTTTGCATCGTTTCTGCGATCGTGTTTTTCACTGGGGCAGTCTCAGCTGATGTGACCTTTACCTCCACAGTTGTAGCATTCAACTTCGCCTTTCTCGGAGGATCTTTCTTTAGGGTCATATTGTCTCCCTCCTCAGCCTGGAAAACTACCTCTGCTACCTTGGCTTCCTCTTTTAGGCGACGTGGTTGCAGACATGGCCACGTTCTTGCTTTTCGGGTGGGGGCGTTGTCATGCACCAAAGTTGATTGGTAGCATGGACAGGTGTCAATAACGAAGCAAATATTCAAAAAGACTCGCCTTTGCGCCACACAGGCACAGTGTCACGTGGAATAGTAATTAATATTGCCTTTTTTGAACTTGTGGCTAATCAGCACCACCTCTATTAGGCAATCCAGTCACGCTCACCTTTGCTTTCCATTCGGTACTTTCCGCGTTTCAGCATTTCGGCAAATTTTCGCGTCGCCATTGGCTACACATTGCATTGCGCCATCGTTTTTGTCGTTTCCTTCACTTCCCTTCCTTTGCCTAGCCCCACCATGGGTCCCTTACTCTCGTTTTTATTCTCATCCGACAGTCGTTTCTGGATCCCCATTTTAGTTCACCTCCTCGTCACCTCCACCCTCCTCCTCCTCATCTTCTTTGCTCCCCCACCATTTCTGATGTCACCACTTCCTATCTGCTTCCGTCGCCAATCCGTTGACTACCACATGCCACTGCTGATATCAGCAAAGCCCCGGCGGCTGGTCCAAATAGGGCAACAGGTCCATCTTCATGACGTCGATCTGCCATCATATACTATCAAAACATTGGTCGCTCGTCTTGCCTGGTTGGAGTGTGGGTGGGTAGTTTTTGAGCTGGAGAAGGTTCATCCCCTTGCGTTGCCCATGTTCATCGCTGTCCCATTCACTTGGGTTACACTTATCTTTTGTCCATTGTCTTCGCTACGGCTACACCTACCACACACTGCCTGGGACTCACTTGTTCCAAATTGGAACTACTCCTCTCCCTCCCTCGTTTGATCAGGTGGTCCAACACAACCAGTCCATTGGTAAGGCCATGGAACTGTCGGATTTGGACTAGGTGGTGGACCGGTGACTCCAGTTTCTTTTTTTTCAGCAGAACATTCATTTACAGTGCGATTATTTTTGATTTTTGAATCATTTTTATGGACACATATTTTTTAGAATACCTGACTGACAATAAAGGAACTGTGTTGATACTGATAGTGTTTTGCCTTGCCCCTTTTTTACTACATCTTCCCATGACATTATGATTTTCCTGCTCTCTTTTTGCTATTGGACTTTACTTTATGGCTGTACAAACCTGTGACATTACTCACAACATTCATTGTTCTATCCCTTTCTTTTCCTTTTTTTGACAATCTTATCCTGTACTACCTACGCAGGATTCGTCAGCATACATTCCTTCCTTCATGTTCTTTCTCATTCTTTTTGCACAGCTATACTGTGCATAGCCTACTTCTCTTTTACTATATAAACCCCTGTATTTTACCTTGTAAAAAAAAACAAGAACTCCAATCCAGACTTCTTCTCTAATCTCAAGTTCACTACTCTCTGCTACTTGTGATCCAGTGTGGTCACAACACTTCCCACTGCTACCACTGTTAATTGCTGTCATTGTCACTTCCCACTTTTGAAGTCATTGTCATCCCTTTCGATTAGAGTCCTTCTGAGCACTACAGTTTGTGCGTCAGGAGCCTGCTATCACTGGGAACCTCGTCATCTTGTCGTTCTCAAACCTACCTTGTGCTACCATTAGCAAGGTAGTGCTCGTCTATACTCGCCACAAAGCCCCTATCTTTCTATATTCCAACTATCCCTCCTCCTCAAAACCCACACCCATACATCTTTGGGTTTTACTTTGAAGGATCGTTATACGTACCACCCCACGAACAACCAGAGCACCCACTGTTCTAGGAGGCAAAGCCCATAAACAAGTTCCGTGGAATCTGGGAGGATTGTGTGTTAGTTTGTTTTGTGTGTGGTTTTCTAACTGCAGTTCTCATCATCGACATCGGCCAGCCTGAGGGATTAAAACCAAAGAGGAACCACACGTGTATCCGTTCATTAAAACCATTGAAATCGGTCCTCATCAGTTTCGAGTTTCGAGTCTTTTGACCGACTTGAATGGAGATATGTTCCGAACAGACTCGAATGCAATCAATGACACATTTATGTGTAGCTGCGACTCCTGGTCACATAAAGTACATTACACAGAGGCCAGGAATCCAGTTCCTCGGGTAAATCCATAAGTAGAAGTAGCAGGTATAATGTTAGAGACCGCAAGGGTTTTAAGGTGCTGGTATAGCCGACACTCTCCTGACAATATAGCCGATATGGCGGGTCCAATGAATAAAGGCCTATGATGTTGCCATCCTCCTTGTCGACAACGCGTGATTGTAGCTTCCAGCTGCTGAGCTGCTTGAGAATCTCGTCAAAGCGTGTAATGACTTCATCCATCGTAGGCCGCTTGGTCAGGTCCTCCTGTACCATGTCCCCCACCAATGGTGCCATAAACTCAAACCTATGTTTTGTCTACATAACAAAAAAAAGTGAGCAACTGGTCCATTTGACTAACTTACGAGAAAATTACCAGCAGGAACTCATTCCTAATCATATTTCCCAAATAGTACACGTCCGTTAGGAATGGGTTACGAGGCTGGTCCAAATTTTGAAACTTGGGCACAGTTTTGTTGCCTCCCCATATGGGTTCTTCCAGAGGTGCAGTGTTATTGGCATCATAGCAGCAAGATATACCAAAGTCGATATAAAAGTACTTCGGTGGACACTGTGTGTGAGTTAAAGATTTGGCCTCCCCTTTGTAATCACGCCTCATGTCGATGTCTTGTGGATGGAATGGATGGAAGAATAGACACGTAGCATCCATCATGATGTTCAAATCCATACAGTCGCTAAACAGTGATTCATCGGTGGTGGATCTTACGAGCAATGTATAGCACATACCAATGCGCGACGTGTTGTTTATGAATAAATTGCAAGCCCTGGTAATGGAGAAATTTGATTTAGAGATATGCGAGAGAATGGTTTTGTAGGCTCTTTACCACAAAAAGCTGGCGAAAGCATTCAACAACTTCGCCACAAGTATCGAAACATGGATCGGTGAACGGTCGCAGCAAGGGCATAACGATGACAGCCTGATCCTCATCGTCTGGTACGTGTAGCACATCATAAATTGGCACACAATGATTGTCAGGGTCAGAAGCAAGTGGTTCTGTTGAAAACAGTTGTCCAATTTCGATCTTGTACAGATGGCGTGATTTTCGTATTAGCTTCAAAGTCACAAATGTTCCATCAATTATACAAGTCGCGTCCAAGATGTGCTGTATCTGGGAACAGTGTTGTTGACGAGCATGACACATACAGATCACAACATACCACGGGGCCTCGGCAATCTTCACAGTCCATCCAGTCCTTCTTGGTGTCTTTCCATGAGGGGACCCAATCAGGGGCATATCAAGAGCAAAGCAAATATCCACCATCTTTAAACCATTGATAATGCTTGCACCACCATAATTCCCCTGGTTTGAGAGCGCCTGCAGTAGTCGAAACAGGTACACCAAATGTTTCAAGCACGTGTTGGTCAAGCCGTGCTTCTATCTGTGCTTTCTCTGCTTCCTTTTCTGCTTGAAGCTGGCGGCAACGGGAAAGCATGAATAAATGTGCTGCCAAACATACCGTGAGCGTTAGGAGGAACAACTGGGAGACTAGATTTAGGTCAACATGTCACAAATGTACGTAAGCAAGTAAGTAATATGGCAAGCGGACAGTCTTCCAACCCATGTGAAGTCAGATAGAGTACTGATATCGACAGTCATAGCATTAATTTGGTCTGACTGGGGGGACTACAGATAGAGTCAGATAGGCTTGCATTTGCTTTCAGTGAACTTGAATAAGTAAGCTCCCCAATAAGTATACTTAACAGTTTGTCCTGTCTGAAACAGTTGCAGGGCCTATATGAGTAAATACATGTATGGGAAGTTGTGTCTCCGCCAGGAGTTAGAAAAGTAGCTCATACCATTATTCCTACCTCCCCTCCTGCAGAACTTCATGGAAAATGCCACAAACCCTGGGCTTCTCAGAATGGATATTCTGACCTCCCTTGCCGATTTACCCAAACGCATTGCAAAATGCTCCACGCTAGAGAAAAGCCGAATATATCAAGAGATCACCGTAGAGCTCATCACAGATGCATTCCCAAACACAGCAGGACATCGATATTACTGGTGAAATAGACAGAATTAGTATTCGTATCGATGAGTAAATATTGATATGGCTTCTCCGAGTTATGTTTCTTACTTCATAATCTGATTGTCATTCAGTCTTATAGTCACTAGACGTAGACTTGAAGCAAAGCACCCATGGAATATCAAATACCTGCTGAAGGCCTTTGAAATGCATCGTCAACGTCACATCGTATTACGACAGAGCAGCAGCCTCATGAAATTAGCCCAAGTGAGTGATTAAATCTGATTGAAGTAACTGATTACAATCATTTACAACAATATAGAAAACCTCAGAAAGCATCTTACGAAGGAGAGTTGAGGCCATAGAGGGTGCGTAACAAGCACGGCTTAGCATCCCAGTCCGACCAGCAGGTCGGTCAAGGTATTTTATCGATCTTGACTGATGGCTACCTTTCCTAGAAAACGAGTCGCTGCGTAATACCCTATCGAGTTTTCTTACTGCTGCGGAATTTGTTGCTCAAGCTCAGAACGGTGGGTCCCAACTATTTTGTATACCCGAGCACGGAGTTGATCTTTGCTGGGCTGTAGACACAGAGGTAGAACCAGAAGGTGGAAATGACCGTAATGAGGCTACATCTGACTCAGAAACGGTTCGAAACACACCACAGTCTCCCGTTAACCAAGATCAAGGAGAGGAATCAACTTTAACAAACATCTATGGTTTTGTTCGCGCGATTCTGGATACAGCTCCTACTCAAACGGGAGCACCAAACATAACCATAAACATGCCGCTCCATATTTACCAGAATGACAACATAGTGGTAAACCAGGGCCCAGGATCATGTAGTACCCCTACAGTTATTGTTGGGGGATCGGATAATAGAGGCGGAGGTACTTCGTTTCTCTGTAGCTGCACGGAGAAGCTAATATATAGTATCTGTTTATAGGCAGCCAATATATGTCTTCTCCCGAGTCGTCTACATGAGATGAATGCTTAGAGCCTCAGTTGTAGTTGTTGGTTTTGCAAGGAAGATTAAGGCTGCTAGAGCCAAGTCTCGCAAAAACAAATGCAAATATCATTTTGAGTACATTGTGGTGTAAAATGGTGAGACCCAGATATCCTGAGTAACATTATCTTGCTGTAAGGACCATTTTATTATTTTCTTATCTTCGCTATGTCTTGGTTCTCGAACACTTTTCCCGTTACACCTCTGGCTCTAGGGCTAGAGGTATCATTTGCCGTTTTACTTCTCATAGCCCTCACAGGCTTTCTTAACCATTGCTACCATTTTATATCACAGATCAGAGACTGGGTATCGCTCCCAGCCAGCCAGCACACTGAGTAAGGACCGGTAGTAGGCATCTCGCCAACCAGCTCCAAGCCTCAGTAAAGCCTGGTTATACTAATAAACACCTTATTCAGGATCGTACCTCATCATGAGGATACGGTTCCTGAACACGTGTGACAAACCTCTATTATTAGTACAAATCTCTCATCTGCTGATTAATCAAGTTAAAAGTCGTACGATAGTTCTTCTCTCTTTTTCTTATTGGTCGATTAATTCCTCAGACCACTTTTCATATATTCTCCTTTCAATCTGAGGAACGAACAGTTCACTATATAAAGCCCTACCTATTCATGTATGGCTCCTTAGTTTTCTATTACTGAATTTACCCGCTTTACTCCTCAACAAGAACCTTTGAAGCTTACCTCTCAAAGTCCTCTACTCGCTATATTTACTAGTGTCTGTCAACCTCAAGCTCATCAAACCTTTTACTCCCTGCAAGTGCAGAAGGAGACAGGTTTCGTTTTTGTTATAGTTTATCGTTGCCTCACACTTGCAATGTATTCAGCAAGCCTGTATTCGCGGTAGCTGCTGCCCATCCTCTTTTCTGGGGTTTCATGGTGGAAGTAACGGTGAGTTCACGTTGTCAAGCTATGACAAGGCGGGAAACCCACTTGATTTGGATCCAATTTTCGACTTCAAAAGATGACGTGAAACTTGGATACAAAAGTTACTTAACTCGGAATGAGGCGCATCTTTCCTGTATCTGACTGACTCTCAGACTCTGTGCCTGTTTGCGTTGTAGTCGATACAACTAGGAGGCGCATCATAAAAACATGAGATACTTACCTTGAAAAATATTAGCTCGGAAAGCATTCCCATCATCCCAATTCCCAATGAGTCCGGAATCGTGGTAGATGCTCGTCACAACGATGAGCTCGTCTTCTTTTGGTGTTTGGGTGATTTCATGCTATGCTCTGTCAGGTTATTGACGATATCACTACGAGCAATTGCCAAAATAGCAAGTTGCAACAGTCTAACACCAGAGATGCAAATGGAAAACTTTCACCGGTGTGCTCCAAGATTGAACAAAGAATCAAAAGGTAAAAATATACATGTTTGGTCTTTATCTATTCTTCACTGCTAGTCTTTGTGGGATTGCATTTCCCTGTCGCACAAAGGGAAAGATAAGTGGCAGCTCTGGAACAGCCAAAATTATCTGCAACAGTCAAAGAATAGGCTTACTGTGATTATGATGTTACGGTCATATCCTAGAACGGGATGGTTTGGCTCATCCCATAAAGGAATAGTTATGCGATATTAGACCCATTGTTTACCTTTTCACTCCCAATTATGGTCCGGAGCATAGCCATAGTAGGCTTTCAGTCAGCGCTGTGCTTTTGGTATGTCGCACCAAGTGATTTCGGCGAATGCTCGTAGTGTATGCCAGTGGAGAGAAGAATAGCGCCCGGTGTCAGGGAACGACAGTAATGTGGAATTTGAGATACAATTTTACGACTCGGCATGAACCACATCAGCCTCCTTGTGAATATCTGTTCCGTGTTTCAACTACAACGATCTATTCGCAACGTATTGATGAAAAAGACTTGTACCGTGACATCCTACTAGTATGAATGGCTCTCCAGAGTCTTCCCTTCTTTCAGTCGCGGTATTCCTCTTAACTGTCTATTTCAAGTTCGCAGTCTTTGCTCTTTGTCTGTCAATTTCGTCCCAGGTCAAATTTTTGATCATCCAACTGTGGTCTGCTGTATCAATGTTGTGGTTTGACTACGCCTTTTAACTGAGTGTCAAATGTAAGCCAATGACCTTCAGAGCTTAGCCGTTGTCGCTCCTCTAGAAGCCATCTCAGTATCTTTTTCATGAATCCCCAAGACTCAGTTTTATCCTTGTCCTTCTAACGAGTCTCCAGGGAGTTTAAAGGGGTGTCAGGGACTGGGACGTCCCCAACCCACCGTGCTGACTTCTCGAACCAGCATTTGGAAATATCATCCGAGGTTACACTGCGTTGAAGCAAATCCTGCGTCGGTGAACCTATGATGCCAATCATTTCCGCTAAATGACGAACGCTAGACTCGCCCCCATCAGCGTCGTAGGGATTGAAAAGACTCTTGTTTTCAAAAAGATGTCACACCTGTGAGGCGCTCTGTCACTCTGAACCTGCAAGTTCTGTGCAGGCGTTACTAAGTAGTCTTGAATAGGCTGGTCTCGTGTGCATGAATATGTGGTGTGGCGATACTCCTATGTATGTGTTTCAATATCCGATACTAATACAGGTGACTCACGCCTTTTCCTAAGGGGTGCGAAGTACAGGTGGGATATTGCTAAAATGCTCATAACTGAGTCAAGGCATTGATGGAGGCACTGCTGATGTTCATGCAGCGAGTAACAAGACTTTGGGAAGGAGGTGACATGTGCTCGATCAATCATTGCTCCGCTCCAGTCTACGATCAGAGAAAAGGAAGCCGTTATACGGGGATTAAGGGGTGCTGTGGTCATCCACATCGCTAGCTTGCCCATTGAGGTAAGGAAATTTGAAGTCCCAAATCAGGTCAACACCAACGAAAGATGGTGTGGAAGCTAATCAGTCAGAGGATGGAATGGGGGAGAAGCAGAGAGAAGTTAATTGATATGCAGTGGACAAGCCTCACAACGACGTCGTGACCAACCCAGATAGTGTCAGAGATGAGATGCTACCTCGTCGATCAAAACACTCACCACATTCTGCGCCAACTTTGCGACATTGACTCGGGCCACAGATTTTTCGTCAATAACCAAGTCGACCTATTGCCACAAAATTTGGATTAAGTATTTAATCAAAAGGCTTGTACAAAGTATGATATGGGGCATATGATGGAAGGATGAACGAGTGATCATATGAGTTTACTCAGAGCAGAGTTCAACTTGAAGGTATGTAAGACTACAGGTGCACGGCAAGTACTGGTACCGTCCTGTGCTTTACTATACCATTGCCGATTTTATAATTGTTTTGGTTTCACCACTACTACTTCAAGTTACTAGTGCAGCCCTGCTAGATTGCCCAAGTGCACGCAATCATACCCCTGCTCGCCAATATGAACTTCTCCTCGCGGTAACCTGTCTCTTATTATCAACAACCCACTTACAGTCCGCAATACGACACCAACACCTTGCCAAGGCTGTGTGTCAGACTCGGATGTGTATGGGCGCTAACAATATGTTGCATTTTGGTATTTTACCACCATGGAGCTCAATTCAATTTTGTCCAAGTGAGTAGCTTGATCCGATATTAGTTACAGTATTCACACTCCATCAACTATAGCTTGTCTTTAGAATCAGAAGTAAGCGGAATAGCTGCTCTCAAGGCCTCTTCATTGATAATATCTTTGGTTATGTCAATTTGATAGATCGATATGTGGTTAAATTACACTAGACTCTCTATTTCCCTTCAATCCCGATTCCAGGATCTGGGTGACTTTAATGACCTGGAGCTTTCAATACAGGGGTTTCGCGGCGCGCTTGCTCTTTGCCCGCCAGGAAGTCCTAACCGGGCCACATCTCAAAGCAATCTCGCCAACACTCTTCTCACCAGATTCAAACAACGGGGTGATTTTTCTGACTTGAATTCCGCTATAGAGCTCCAACAGGATGCTTTGAATTCACGTTCCCCTGGCCACTCTGAGTACCCATCTTCACAGAACAATCTTGCCAATGCGCTCCTCGCTCGTTTCCAACAGAGAGGGAACTCTGCAGATCTAGACTTGGCAATCGAGCATTTTCGCGGTGCGGTACGGTCCTTCCCTCCAGAACACCCAGTTCATCCCTTGATCCAGGGAAACCTGGCCAACTCCCTCATCTCCCGATTTGAGCAACGAGGTCAATTTGAGGATCTCAAGTCGGCGATTACACAATATGAAATTGCCGTACAACTTTGCCCAGAAGAGCATCAACACCGCTCTCAGTTGCAATGCGACTATGCGAATGTTCTTCTCACACGCTTTGAACAACGAGGGGATCCACGTGATCTGGATTTGTCTATTGTTAACCACATCGCCGCATTGAAGGTGCGCCCAGAAGGACACCCCTACCGCATAATATCTCAGTGTAATCTAGCCAACGCCCTTGTGACTCGTTTCGGAAAGCAGGGTGACACCAATGATCTGGAGCTAGCGATCAATCACTTCCGTTCTGCTGTAGGCACCTGCCCAGAGGGACACCCGGAGCGACCTGCCGCTCTTTCAAATCTCGCTCAGGCTCTTCTCACTCGCTTCAGCCAGCAGGGAAATTCTGAGGATCTGGATTCAGCGATTATATACCTACAGGATGTCCTTACGCTGCGCCCTGCAGGGCATCCCGGCCGACCCACATCGCATGGTAGTCTCGCTATTTCCTTGATCACTCGATTTGAGCAGCGTGGCGATCCCAATGACCTTGATTCTGCAATACAGCACTTTCGTGATGCGCTCGAGCTTTGCCCACCTCATCATCCACGTTATCAGATGTTCAAGGACAACCTCGCAAGCGCCCTCCGCACACGCTTCGAACAAAGAGGAGATTCTAGTGACCTCGATACAGCAATTCAGCACTCCAAAACTTCGCTGCAACCAACTTCGCGAGCTGATCCCTCTCTGCACAACAATATTGGCAATCTTCTCCATGATCGATTCAAACAGCGTGGTGATGTCAAGGACTTGGAATTATCAATTGAGCATTTCCGCAAGGCACTGGATTTGTGCTCACCCGTACATCCTAGCCTTTATTCGTTCCAAAGTAATTATGCCGGTGCTCTGCTCAGCCAGTCTGACTCCCAGGGAGACCTTGACAGTCTTGACACGGCCATTCAATTCTATCGTCGGGCGTTGGAGTTATGCCCACCCGGCCATCCACGTCGATTTTCGTCTCTCTTCAACCTTGCAAATATATTGCTTAGTCGCTTTGCAAAGCAAAGCAATATTCAGGATCTGGAGATGGCAATTGCTCATAGTCGGGAAGCTTTAGCACTATGCCCCCCAGGGCACACAGATCGTCCCTCTTCACAAAGCGCCCTTGCCACAGCTCTCCATTCCCTCTTTGAACAGCAAAAAGACATCGCCAATTTGGATGAAGCCATCCAACATCTGCAAAATGTGTTAGATACAGCCTCACAGGGCCATTCTTATCGGCCGTCTTGGCAAAACTATCTTGCTAGCGCATTTCATTCTCGCTACACCTTTCAACGCAACGTGGATGACCTCGAGAAGGCAATCGAACACTACCGTACCGCGCTAAGGTTAAGGCCACCAGAGCACCCCAGTCGCCCATTGCTGCAAATTCAGATTGCCAGAGCTCTAGGTGATCGCTTTGACTGTAAAAGCGAGTATACAGATGTTATGGTTGCCTTTCGATTTTTATACGTCGCTAAAGACTCCTTGCCAGATGGGCACCCTCAGCTTTATTTCGTCTACGAGGCCCTTGCCGAGGCTCATACAAGGCATTTCACCCTTTTTGACCGTTTTCCACATCTCCGCCATCTTTCTCCAATCGATCTCTCTGAAGAAAAAAAGCAAGCTTTTCTGTACTTCAAAGAGGCTTGTACGTATCCGACTGCGAGCCCACGCAGCCGACTAAAATCATCTGTGCGATGGATAATTGCCGCAGAGAGAGAGGGTGGTTCTGCACTTGAAGCATATAGAACTTGTCTGACTCTTCTCAATCTTCACGCGACGAATGGGTCATCTGTCTCCAAGCGCCATGAATTGTTAAGGGAAACACCCCCGCGGATTGCTTCATCTGCCGCCTCCTGTGCAATTCGGGAGGGTTTGATTGACGTCGCAGTAGAGCTATTGGAACAGGGAAGAACGTTATTGTGGGGACAACTGGTAAGGTTCCGAACTCCCCTCGATGAGCTTTGTCTCATGGGCAAGGATGGTTACCGGCTGGCGAGCGAGTTCACTCGGCTTAGCAAGCAACTAGAACAAGACAACACACTCTTAAATCTAGATATGGACTATTCCGTGCAGCGGTCGTTCGACGAAAGTGTGCGATTATATCGTGAGCGGAGGAATGAATGGGATTCTGTTGTGGCACAGATACGAGACCTGCAGGGCTTTACTCATTTCCTGAAGCCTGTGCCCTTCTCTGAGCTCCAGAAAGCATCCAAAGAAGGCCCAGTCATCATCGTCAACGTCAGCTGGTACTCGTGCGACGCCATCATTGTCTTACAATCGGGACAGCCGCGTCTGGTTCCCCTACCAGAACTGACCCTGGACATTGTTTCACAGCTGGCGTCAGAGTTTGAAGAATCTCTAAGCTCTTCTTGTGGCAGTGGTGAGGAAAAAATTAGAGAAAGGAAAATCACCTATGTTCTTCGACAACTCTGGAACCTCGTCGTTCACCCTCTTGTAAGAGAGCTGGTGTCTCTTGAAGTTCCCAAAGGTTCCCGCATTTGGTGGTGCCCTACCAATAGATTTGCTTCTCTGCCGTTACATGCTGCCGGACCATATCGCAAGGGTGAAGAAAACCTGCCGCAGTTGTTTATCTCCTCTTACACGCCATCGCTGTCTGCTCTGATCAGATCCAGGGAGCGAACGAGCGCGAATTCCGTCTCCAATTCTATTCCTTCTTTTATCGCTGTCGCTCAGGCGAATCCGTATGGCAAAAGCCAGGAGAGAGAACTGAAGTCCGTAGGCACTGAATTGAGCATTGTCAAAGGCTATATACCACCGTCTATGGCATACTCAGAGCTGACGGGAGCTTCGGGCACATCTGATGATGCTTTGGCCAATCTTCGAACGCATGGCTGGGTACATCTTGCCTGTCATGGTAAACAGGACTTGTCTCAGCCTTTTGATTCAAGCTTCGCTATGGGGGACAAGCCTCTTCGCCTAGTCGACATCATACATGCCCGTCTAGAACAGCCCGAATTTGCCTTTTTGTCTGCGTGTCACACTGCTGGGGGTGACAGGAACACACCGGACGAAGTCATCCACCTTGCAGCTGGGATGCAGTTTTCAGGTTTCCGGAGTGTGGTGGGGACCTTGTGGGCTGTAGATGATGGAACAGCGCATCATATGGTCTCACACTTTTATAAACATTTCTTTGAGGCGGGATGTGACAGCACCAGAGCTGCTGAGGCACTCAACAAGGCTGCGAGGACGGTGAACAAGAGAGAGGTGCCACTGGACCAAAGAATTGTGTTCATACACATTGGCGCATGAGGAATGCCTATCTGACTTAACTCCTCACATCGATGCATGTTTTGCGGGAGGTAGTTTTTTTGCGTTAGCTTAGCCAGTGTTCATATTATCCGAGTACGATGACAGCAACACACCGACCATCCTCATTTTAAGCTTAGTACATTACTCCTTTGCTTTCGGGGTCGATTTTGATTTCAATACACCAATGTACCTGGAGTTTTCAGTGCAACCAGGTGGTGTTGATACAGGTCTCAGACAACTTGGGCCTTATTTCACTATATGTTTGAGATCAACACACTTTATCTGCTATCAATGTCGTACATGCTCCAGATCATCACTTCACTTTGTACGCGTGTCGTTTTAAAGCGGGCGAAAGTGCTTTCAAGCACTACACGCAATCCTTTTAATGATGGAGTATAGAAAGATACATAGACTTACAGACGGTCGGTTTAGCATCTTTTTGGTGAACCTTGATATTGTGATCAAGAAACTTTTGACTAATCAAGCACATCAGGATGTCTCGAAAAGTAATATAGAGTAGTGGCAATGACACACTTTTGAGTGGGTTGCAGCGTGTGATCCTTTTTACTGGTAGCATCGTAAGCAACCTGAAGAGTGTAATCGCTGTTTTGATTTTCCAAATACATCGAGATTTTGAGTTTTCCATCTTCGCTCGAGTGCACCTGGTAACCATCGTGGTCTTTGTTTTCATTTCCCCCGCCCAGATAGCCACTCAATGGCTCTGCGGTCACATGGATATCGTTAGGTGATGGGACAGTGAGATGGAAGGAGCCATCAAACATATTGGTATCTGGGTTGATAGTGCCCTGCAGCTGATGTACACTCAGTTTGAGTCATTTTCCACAACAGATTATGAAGCTTGAACAACTTACCGTTAGTGCACCATTGACATCCGACTGTGATGGCGCTGGCTCTTTGTCTGTTAATCGTATTAATAGTCAATATAAACGACGCCAAAATGAAAAAGAAGTTCTGCAAAGCTGTACATTTCATAGATGCCGCCCCAGGATCGCCGATGTAAGAATCAGTCTGCTGTGGTTTTAGCCCTTTTCCCCGGTCCTCGACCGTAGTTGGGGAGTCTGACCACGACATCACCGTAAGTCAAATCAAACATTTCAGAGCACACTGACCTTTGGGTTCCGACATTCTGTGAATAGGTTAGGTGTTGATTTATGGATAGAGACGGAGGAGATGGGTAGCTACAATGTCTACATGACGAATTTAAATAGTTGGCAATTACGGGTATTCGTAAAGGTGGGAACAAAGCACCCTTGACTACAGAAGCTCGAATCGAGGGCCGACACGGCTGACGCCAGGCGGAAAAATCGCAGGAATATGAACATCTGGAAGCAGGCCCAAAGTCGAGCACAGTACTGCTTTAAGAAACCTCATGTACACATCTTGATCGCCGTTTGCTATCGATTGTTCAACATACGAAAGAGGGAACTTGCAAATGGTGCAGCCTGGGGCGTCAATGGATATAGCACGTACAATTCAGATAATCATCATGCTGCTGCTAGTAATAGTTTATGGACATACAGCGAGAAATGTCACATGAACTTGAACAGGACTGAAACGAAATGTGGTCAGTTCCATTCTGAGAATGCACGTAATGTGATACAATAAGTCAGAAGTCTCCGCATGATTTTGTCAAGACAGGAGTAACTGAAGAGAAGTAGTATCTCTTCCAAGTTCCTCCGAATTTAATAGAGTCGGGTAACTCCAATGCCGCGTTGGAGCGATAGACTTCAAAAGTGAATGTAGTACTCACAGTTCCTTTTTGTTAACTTCTTCCCCGAACCTGACCTAGTCGTGCAACTTCACTGCAACTCCAATTACCGAAAGTCCATATTGGTATACTTGTAACGGTACCCACTAGGCGCTGACGATAGCGAGAAGAGAAATCCAGACTGTTTAGAATCTAGACTCTTGAGCGCTTTCGAATGACCGATCGAGTTTAGGGCAACCTTATACGCCATATGTCCTGTCACCTGTAATTTGAAAATTTTCCTTGAGCTGAACATATAGAAGCACTTTTTATCTTAACCCACTGGTGATGTCGGTTAGCACTGAGTTCAAGCTGAAAAATCTGTTGTCCAAAGACTCGGCCCCCGTCCAAGGTGGAAGCTCTATGTGACTATTAAGAAACATCGATAGATGATAATTCTCATTAATAATGCCTATTCAAAACCATTTGGAAGACCTACAACTTCAGACAGCTATCAGCCATTGACCACTCTTTCGTTCAACTGAGTAAATGAGCCCGTGTCGACTGGACCACCAGTACTACGATGACAGCCGGTGCGCTCTACTATCGCCTGACATCAAACATCAGATGTGAAAGAAGATAATTGTGACCAGGTCGATTGCAAAAAATATTTACAATCCAATACATTAATAAAGGACACATGTACATACAGCAAATATTAATTGCAGAACACTGCGTCGGTAGTGCTACTGGCTTACAACGAAAAAGAAGCGTAAAAAATCGACGCCAAATATTATTGAGACTTGATGGAGAACTAGGGGATGAACTTGAAGCCACACTGAAATCAAAATGTAATCAGTTACATGCCAAGATATGGAATGATAAAGATAGTCAGATTTTCATGAGTCTCGACACAAATTTGTTAAGACAGGGATAACTGAAAAATATATAATATCTCTTCATATGCTCTTCCGACCGTGATACAGTCGGATAATCCACATGCTCTGCAGCATTGGAGTTGAGCTAGAAATGAATGTACGTGGTACTCACATGTTCTTGTTGTCAATTATCCTTCTCAGAAAACATCATAGTAGCCTTGTTTTCAGCCTTCCAAGCGATGGTACCTGGTGGCAACGAGAAAGAAAAAGAAAGCAAGAATAGAAAGAAATTCAGAGGCGCTTTTGAGCAGTCGGTCGAGTTTAGGGCAGGCTCTTACGCGACATATGTGGTAAACAGCCACTTTTGAGTTGTAACAGTCAAGTTCAAACTGATTCGAAACCTTCTCAAACCCGCGATCTTTTGTTCTAGCCAGAGTGCAGATTCAAGTTCGCAAGGATCTAGCGAATTCCTAAGTTAAAACCGTTCCTTTGCGCGAGTCACTCAAGGACGTGGTTATCCTTTCTTTTCGACTGTTTCTCTGAGTTCATTTGTATAGTCACGGTATAACCTGAAGTTCATAAGTAGTACAGCAGTGATGCAATGATACTGATACATATTCCGTCTTGTCTCGGCGTTCTTCAAATTTTAAATAACGTCCTTATCCCAAGAAATCTGTTTCTCCTTTGCTGATCGCAGCATCCAGAGCCTGTTCCAACGGAGTCTCTCCACCGACCAAATCCAGTGCAAGTCCGGCTGCATCTTCCCTGTTCACCAAGAGCGCAAGCGTCTTGGCTACATCATCTCTCTGCAATCATTGGTCAGCTATTTCACCTAATTCTTATCCACGCAACAACTCACTGAAATCGTCGTAGTGATGTGGGTTCGCCCAATATCACCCTTTCCAATTCCGGGCTGATTCGTTAGACCTCCAGGTCGAAGTATGAACCATTTGAAGGTTGTACGTTGTACGAGGTTCTTGTCCGCCTCATATTTCCAGCGCATATAAGCTGGAATAGCCCCACGCACACGCTTGGAAATTTCAATATCTTTTTCCGTCTTTGTGTATGATGAGTGGGGCGACACGCTTCACGCGCTGGATGAGACTCACATAGTGTTCGGGGATTTTCTCAGGGTCCCTAACGTCCACTGCTGACACTAATATCAACCTTGGTCTCGCAGTGCTGTCTAGTCCCTCGATTGCATCGAAAACCTTTATCGCCCCCTCATAGTCAACCTTCTTGGTGCGCTCCTCCCCACCGCTGCCTCCAGCACCAGCTGAAAAGTACACGACGTCTACTCCACGGAAAGCGTCGGTGAACTCGGAGATGGTAGAAGTCTCGAGTGACAACTGCAGAGGACGGGCTCCGGTCGCAATGATGTCTTCTTCATGAGCAGAATTCCGGATGATCGACGTTACACTATGATTTGGAGTAAGGAGCCGAGCAAGACGAAGTGAAACCTGCGAATGAGAGTATTATCGAAATCAGATAGCACACGCTGTGAGGTAAACACAAGGTGCGTACGTTCCCATGACCTCCAACGATGACGATGTTTTTAGACATTTTTCTATTCGCAAAATCCTGTGATGTGGTAGATAATAGGTGGGAGTAGTGTCGATTATGCCACGCACTGGTTTGAGTCTCACGCAATACCGACTTAGGGCCGGATTCAGAGCTGAAGAGAGGCCGAGACTGTTAATATAGCACGTTCCAAAGATATCCTTAGGGGCCCAAGCATCGACTCGGTCACAAGACCGGCAGACTAACTCATCAGTTCTCGGCGACATCATATCACAGGATCAAGTCTTAGTTTGTATCTGAGCTACAGGTGGGCTACTAGCACCTCTTTCCAGTATGTTCGAGTAAACAACATGAACGCCACAGGGGCAAATCGTCGAGCCTGTTATCATGCCCCAATACTTGGCACCACGGCTCGATCACTATCATAACCTGGTCCTTAGCGGAAGCGTTATATGACAATCTATCAAGCCGCGAGCCATCACAAAATTTGCCCACACGTAGAGACCATCATACGAAGGACTTGGACAGAATCTGCGCTAAGATGCTCGAGGCAACGAAGACCTACCTCTTATCATGGTGCTTGGCGGTGTCGTTGACCGTCGGTTATCATAATCGTGGCCGTTGTGTATACATACTTCTCGAATTCTAGGCGGTCCCTTGCTGGTATGTAACGTTAGGTCAATACGCGATGCATCCCTCGTATTCGTAATCAGTATATCCTAGCGTAAAAATACAGAGTTGTCAGCACGTGTAATACGTCCTCTGAACAGTGATCGTTTTACTAAACGTCAGACTGCAGCAATGCAATGTGTTCCAACCAATGGATGCTTGATTTTAGTTGATCGTTAGCTTTGGCATTGGGTGGTCCAGCCACGATCGCGATAGATCATTCAAGCCAATCTACATGATGACCAATCTGGGCCCCGGAGACAGGCGGCGGTTCGGTCGACCACGTGGCTATCTGCTCGGAGCATGCCGAATCCAGCATGTTCCCCAGTTTAAGTACTGAATCTAACTTTCAGTCCGACGTTCACTTGAAGTATCGACAAGCCCACGGCCTGCTGGCAATATCTCACAAAAGTCTTATCGGGATCTTTGTCTGGCACTATCCTCTCTGCATCTCCGGTATTCTCACTCGAGATCACATCTCCAGTCCAAAGACAATTTGCGTATAGATCTCGGGCCTAAGTTTCTCATTACGGGGCATCCTTCAGAACGAGCTTTCTTGTCGTATTTTCTCTTGTGCGCTGATTTCTCTCAAATCACCCCAGGATGTCCACAGGAAAGCCACAGAGGGATAAACAGTCTCTGCATGCTCCTTCCGCCCAGACCACGCTCCCTCTGGCGTCTTCCATTCAAATGCAATCACCGCCTTCGCTTGGAGCTGACAAGAAGAAGAAGAAGAAGAAAGGGAAAGGAAAGGCAGTCGACGGAAAATCTTCTGTGCGTCCAAAAAGCAATAATTTTACTGAAAGTGGCGTCGAGGACGATGATTCCGCCGATGACTTGCCTGCCCTTGAGCCCCTCGATGACTCTCATGTTGCTAGTACGGGTCTGTCTCCAGTTCTAGAGTCGGTTCACATTACGACAACTGCATGTGTTGCTGCAACACCAGCGACTGCACGTATGAACCCTCCGCACCCTCGTACTAAAGTGCATAGCGAACTCCTAGCCAGTGCAAATGACCTGTATCGCAACATCGATGTCTCTCGACCCGACCGTACGACCAATGTTGTTACTCCAAAACCTCCAAAAGGGACTGGGATGGCGGATGAAGAGTATTGGGCGTCGTTCCCACCCCATATAAAAAACTTTGTACGCAATGCTGTCTCGCAAGATTTGATTCGCAATGGTGACATGCTAGCAAAGGCGCAGACTATGTATAATATTGCGCAACAGATGGTCCAGTCAGATGCACTACTCAAGAACGGCGGAACGGCTACGATGGCGACAAAAGGTGTACCTGGATATCCTCCAGGTGCATACCCACCGCTGCCATTCGACCCATCGATTTTCTCGGACCCGGCATTCACACTCTCAGTTGAACAAGCAGCGGCAGCAGCACTAGGGTCTGTACCGGCACCGCCTGGCCATCCTCCGCGAGGTCCTCTGCCTCCTCCCACCAATGTTGTTCTCGTGGATGAATTCAGCAGTGCAGGTCAAGAGTACACGGAGGAAGACTACTACAGCGAAGAAGAAGTAGACGGCAACTTCGACGACGACGAATTAGATATCGACTTTGACGTCCCACATCGAGCTCGGCCTGGAACATATCGGACGTTCGTTGGGGCTCTACCAGAGTCGACAGCACAGGTCGTCCTGAGCTATGGCGAGACGATTGCGCGGTCTCCACCTGTGACTGGGACAGTTACCAATAGTACTCATAATAACGCTAGGGAAGGTATTAGAGAGCCTTCTACTGACACTAACCTTAGCAAGAAAAGCAAAAAGAAAAAGAAAAGCAAAGGTACGGCGGAGGCTCCGTCGAGTGAGCGGGCGAGCTCCGTGCCGGCCCCGGCAGGTGCAGGGGAGATAGGGTCGGCAGAGACGGCACCGGTACGGGAGACGGGCACGCCACCTCTCACGGCGAATGTAGATTTGACAAAACGTCCTCCTCTTACCAACCCCATGCCCGCTGCACGAGTAGCAAAAGAAAATCATTTACCGCCTCCAAGCTCCCGCGCCGCGGGCAAACAGCCCATGTCCTACGCGCCTGCTAACCCTCCCAACGCCAACGCCAACAACAATAACAACAATGGCAATGGTGGGGCCCAGGGTCAACAGCCAGCGAGGACGGCTCGTGCGGCGTCCAAGGCCCCGATCCCTGCACATGCATACCCCCATAACCACCCCCATCATCATCCATCGCCTCCATCGTCCAATGCATCGGCCCCGCATAAGCCTCGTCCGCCTGCGAACTCAACCGTCCAGAATCACACCAATAACAAAGGAAATATTAATAGCAAGATCTGGAGCACGAGCTCAACAGAGGAACGGGAAAGAATCAAAGAATTCTGGCTTGGACTCGGAGAAGAGGAAAGACGGAACTTGGTAAAGATCGAGAAAGATACCGTTCTCAGGAAGATGAAAGAACAACAGAAACATAGTTGTAGTTGTGCAGTATGTGGAAGGAAGCGGTTTGTGCCATATCTCATTTTTCCAAGCTCTGGAAAAAAATTTACTGATGATCGTTTTCACCTTTCATTGATTTTTTATATCCCGATCCGCTGAAATCTTGTCGTCTGTGACCGGCCAAATCGTTGTTGATGTGCACAGGAATGCTATTGAAGAAGAGCTCGAGGTACTGTACGATGCTTATTACGAGGAGCTAGAACAGTACGCAAATTACCAGCAGCGCTATGTCTCTTCCGGCCGTACGATACCACCACCACCTGGCCCAGGGCCCTTTCCCGGCAGTGTCGAGTTGGATAAGAATGGCGTGGTCATCGGACATCATAACAAGATTTCTCACCATCCGCCGCGGACAAATAGAACGCCGGGTTTAACAAATGGTAGAAAACCTCCAAAGCACGCTGAAAGTGAGTTTGATGACGACGAAGGGGATGAGGAAGAGTTTGAGGAAGAAGAAGATTATGAAGAGGAAGACGAGGAAGAGGAGGAGGAAGAAGAGGAAGAAGATGTAGGTGACGAAGAGGAAGATGCTAAAGTTCCTGATAGACGGAATAACCCTCCCAACGCTCGTGGGCGTAAAGCTGTGAATGGTACCAAACCAAACGGACGTGATGGGCTGTTTAACTTAGGTAGCAGCCTTACCGTCACGGGCAAGTTCTTCATATTCTAATCTGTCTCAAACTCTCATCTTATGGCTTCAGGACCAGGTAACATCTTGACTGTTGCGGATGACTTGCTAAAGAATGATGGACAGAAATTTTTGGAGATGATGGAACAGTTAGCAGAACGTCGGATGCAACGCGAGGAAGAGGCTGCAGTTGATCTTGAGGACGACAGCGAAGATGAGGATGATGACGAAGGAGATGAAGACGAGGAGGAAGAGGAGGAAGAGGATGACGACGAGGATGAAGAGGAAGAAGAGGTAAGTTGGAAGTGATTTATATGTCTTTTTATGTGATGAAACATGATGACAGGTTATGACCGAGGAGCAGAAAATGGAGGAAGGTAAAAGGATGTTCTCTATTTTTGCCGCCAGGATGTTCGAGCAGCGTGTCTTGCAAGCATATCGAGAAAAAGTTGCACAGGAACGTCAGTTACAACTTCTGCGAGAGCTTGAGGACGAGGACAAGATCTCGAAGGAAAAAGAGGCTAAGAAACAAAGTCAAAACCAGAAGAAAAAGGACAAGAAGAAGTGGGTATCCATCAGTGGGTTATATGCTATATTGCTAACAAGTTTCATAGACAGCAAAAGATGGCCAAGGAGGGAGAGCGAGCTGCCAAAGCTGCAGAAAAGGCCGCTGAGGAAGCTGCTGTGAAGGCTAAACAGCTTGCAAATGAAGAGGAGCAACGTAAAAGGCGTGAGGAGGAGCGAACTCGCCGCGAGGCTGCCCGCAAAGCACAAGAAGAAGAGAAGCAAAAGAAAGAAGAAGAGCGTCGCAAGCGTCTTGCTGAAGAAAGGGAAAGAGAAGCGGAACGGGAGCGTAAGCGGAAAGAGCGCGAGGAAAAGGTGAAGCAAGAGAGACGCGAGAGGGAGGAAAAAGAGCGTAAGCTCAGGGAAGAGAGAGAGGCCAAGCTTGCTTCTGAGAAAGCTTCTCGCGAGGCAGCGAAGAAAGAGCAACAAGAAAAGGAGGAACGAGATAAGAAACTTGCAAAAGAACGAGAAGAAAAGGCCGAGAAAGAGCGTCTTGTCCAGCAGCAGCAACAGCAACAGCGTGCTGCCGCTAAAAGTGCTCGCACGCCAACGTCTCCTCGTAATGCTACTGCTTCAGGGTCTTCTCAACGTCCACCTAACAGTGGGGTGCCGAAGAAAATACTCAACAAGCCCGCATCTATTTCTTCGACGTCTGGTGGGCAGCCTCCACGTCAACAGCCACAAAGGCCGATGGTAACCACCAACTCTCAGCCCCCCACCCCCATTGCTCCTCCCGCTCCTCATATTCCTCCCACCACTCCGATCTATCCCATGAGTGCAGGAATGATGCCTCCCCCTGCGATGTCTCCTCGAATGCCGTTCGCTCCACCTCCGTTCGGTGTCTTTGGTCCCGGACCTTCTCTTTCACAGGGTCCCCCACCACCCCTCGCACCTTCGGCATTGCCCCGGACATTTGGTACTGGATCACCTTTCGAGCCAGCGTTCAGTCGCGGATTAACTCCTGCCACACCTATTGGGCCGCCATCCAAAGTGATGCATAGTCATATGGGTTCTCCTCCCATGCTAGCCCCTGGTCCGAGCAGGAGGTCGTCGATACCCGAACCAGGCCCAGGTCCTGTAGCTAGGCCTGTTTCTATTGCACCCATGGCCCCGATCGCACCTATTGCACGTCCCATTGGAGAGAATTCTACCTCAGGTTCGGGCTCTCCTAGCCGTCGTTCTCCTAGTCCGAAAGGCGTTCTTGGTTCTTCTGCACTTGCAGCAGATGATGATGAAGTCGTCCCTCCTCCTGGTCGGCGTATTGTCCCTGGCGCTGTTGGTCAGAGTTGGGGCAATACCAGTCCTCGTACTGCCATCGGTGATAACAGGGCACCTTGGGGTACTCCTGCGCCTCCAGGTTTCGGCACACCCCGTCCTCCGATAGGGAACTCTCTCTGGGGTAACGTGAGCCCGAATTCTGATTGGCATGCTCCTACCAGTTTCTATAGTGGTCCTTTTGTTAGCCATAATCCTTCACCGCCTCCCCATTCCGGTAATTGAACTGTAGTTGATTGCCCAAGTAGCAAATTAGTACATCGTATCTTGATACTTTCTTTTATTCTTTGCTTCATCCCGCAATGTTCTGACTTATGACGAGCGTGCCACTAACAAGCAAAAATACATCATAAAGATCTGACATTGGAATGGGGTGATCAGAAATTACAGTTTGCTTGAAGCAGCGGGGGCGACTCTACTACGAATAAGTTTTATAATGTACAATGGAAGAGCGCTGATCGCCACGATTACAGCAACTTTCCAGGTGAAACGAGTGGAAACGACGAACTCGAGATCTGCAGCGAGTTGTTAATCAACCTAGAACACGAGTAACAGGAACAAACTCACCAAAGTACTCGGGTAGGAAAGCAATACTAATAACGTAGAAGAACAGTGTGACCACCTCCGAAATAACCATATAAATATGCCTGGAAACAATTTAGATAAAGATAGACTAGCACATTACAATGCACATACCAAGTAGTAATCTCCAATGCAACCATGATGAGTTCGTTGATAATCAAAGCCGTGAAGGATATTGAGACAATATTCAAAAATTCCGTTTCAAAAAGAACGAGTGACATCAACATGATGGCGGCGCCTAAAGTATAATGTTCAATGAATATCGGAGAAAATAGTGGACTGGGGCTGATATCGTACCTTGATAGACACTAATCATAAGCCATTGAAAGAAAGTCTTGTACGAAAGTGCTCGACCCTGTATATATAGAGTCAGTTCACAGATGCTCACAAGAATGTGGATGACACCGACCTTTGTCAATTCCTTGTACAACTCAGGGTATAAAAGAGCGAGGTCTTCATTGACATCGCGGTCTAAAACCAATGAGAACACTGGTGCCATGGTATAAATAGTCGCGTAGCCCATCATCAACCAGCCCTGATACAGCGCTATAGGTGCAAAATAGAAGATGGCAGAAAAAACGGCTTGCATGACTGAAATTATGAGTCCACGATGGATAACAAACTGGGCTAGCTTAGCAGAGCGACGATAAGAGTTTCGCCCATGCCACATCAGCAGCTTCGTTAGGAAACTGAACTGTGTCACCGAAAAGTCAGCAGCCAACGAAGCTTGCTTTCCTTCTTTGCCCACAATGCCAACACCTAAAAGCGATGGCGGAGAAGTTTCAGGTTTATATATGTTTATGACAAAAATAAGTCACTAACCAACGTCGGCTGCTTGTATCATACTGACGTCGTTACCGCCATCGCCGATGCAGCATACTCGCTTTCGAGTATGCTTTCGGATCAGTCGGGCTACATCAGCCTTTTGTGTAGGAGAACAACGGCAAGCAACCACAGCAGACAACTTGGTGGTGATTTCAACGAACTCGTTTTTATAGAGATTAAGGCAGAGCTAACGAGGAGTCGGTGATTATAGCTAATGAAAAATTGTGATGCACTCAACTTGTAAGGATTCTCCGTCAATCACCAGACAACAATCAAGCTTTGACTGCAGAAACTCTAGTTCATCTCGAACTTGGTCCGAAGTTTTCACTAAACGGGGTGTATATGAGGAATGAAGGTCATTCGAGAATGATATGGACGTACATTTGGCCACTTCGTGAATATATTGATTTCTTGCAACCAACTTCGTTGATATCGCAATACATCTTGCTGTCTCAATTTTGTCACCTGTAAGCATCCATATCTTGATTCCGGCGTTTCGAAGGAGTTCAAGTGTAGATTTGACGTCATCCTGCAATTTATCCTCAACACCCGTCAAGCCAAGCAACTCAAGGTCGCGTTCCAAGTACCCTGAAACAATAGCCGCCATGGCTTCATTACGACCCTCGAGCTGGATACTGGCCTCGTGGTGCTGTTGTTTGTATTCGGAGTAGAGCTGAGCACTGATTCGCTTTCGCGCCATCACGAGAGTTCGCAAGCCTTCTCTAGCCATATTACCCGTCTCTTCTTCTAACCAGTCATTCCTCTGCACAATTTTAGCCATAACCACATCTGCTCCCTTCTGAAGGAACGTGATCTCGCCGGTACTTGCATCGCGTACAACAATTCCCATTCGTTTCGATTCTGATGTGAATGGGAAGATGTCTAGCACATCATACGAAAGCTTTGTTCCAGAAGGCGACTGCAGCTCAATTCGAGAACGGTCACGGAAGACAAGAGTTAGTCCAACAGACTCGGTCCACTTAACAATAGCTACTTCATCTGGTGATGATGCTTGGTATGTAATGGTGCCGTCGTCGTTAGTCACAGGCGTGACCTAAGGAAGGAAAATATTAATTATCACCTCCTATTCGCAGGTGCGCATATACAACGTACATTATGGCAGAGGGCCAGACTGAGCACGACATCCCGAAGACGCGAAGACATATCTCGGCGGCCTCGCGTCGCAAGTTGAGCCCCTGTTGCCAGCGATCCATGCCGTGTATGACCTAAGTTCATATAGTGGGAATGAGGGTACGACCGATATATGAGTGCCGTCTTCCAGTTATGCAATGATATCAATGACTTTACCATGTTCAGTATTTCCGCCAAATGCTACAGCCAATTGATGCGCGACTTCATCCATGGAATCGAACCCATACGACATCGTTCCCATATGGAGTTTTTTCATCTCCATTTCTGAGGACTTTTTCAGTCATGTGTTAAACCAGGTGAAGAGATGAAACTGACCGTTTTGAGTGAGAGTTCCCGTCTTATCACTAAGAAGATATTCTATCCGTCCTAATTCCTCGGGGAGTGTGCTCGTCCGAACGATTGTGTTGGGAATTTCATTGTCATTCATGATCTGATGAGCATAAACGGTCTTTCCCATATCCAGGTTTACACGTAAACTGTGCGTTCGTAAGTTCGTAAGGGAAATGGATCATAATGAAGTAACTGCAGCTCACCTAATGGGGATAATGGAGGAGAACAGAATCAAGAAGCGGAAGACATATATGTACCATAATCCGCGAAAACCATTCAGAGCCACAAGAATCAGCGAAAGCGCAAATGTGACCGCGCATAAGATCTGACAATGTGTTAGCGTGAATAACCCAGATAACGACATTACACTCACTTTTGCAAGCCTGTTAACTTCCAAATCCAGTAAACCAACCTTGGTTTCTGGATGGCTTGTGTTCATGACGGCTCTAGTTTCGGATCCAGTATAAATAATAAAGCCGACAGCTGAACCAGCAGCAAGAACGGTATTTGACCATAACACGTTCTCGGCGGTTAAAGGCTCGACAGTCGGAACGGGGACTACGGGTGTATCAGGAATAGGAGAAGCGGCTGATAGGGGAGGTGAATTCATCGTGAATGTGCCAATAAACGTATGTATATCCTTGATTGGAGCGTCCGCTGGTGTTATGAAGCTGTATGAGTTGCGTCTTATGCTGCAAAGAATTACATAAACCACCTACCGTATATTTCAGCATCCAAAGTTAAGAGGTCCCTCTCCAAAGGCAATTTCTGACAAGCGGGCACCGCAACTCGGAGTTTCCAATCTGTTTCTCCATCCAACTGATCGGTCCTGATGAAACAAGTACCAGAATGATCGGATGTCCTGAGTAAGACCATATCTGCAGGTACTCTTTGATTCTTCTCCAAAAGCACCAAATCGCCGACTTGAAGTGAAGATGAAGGAACAGCGCGAGTATGTGGGCCATGGTCGACCATGTCCAGCGGAGAAGTGGGAGGATGGTCGGGAGGTACAAGGATGAGGTACTTTTGTGAATTCGCCTCACGGTCTCTTAAGTTCCGCTTGTAGTCGTCGTAGGCCTCCTTTCCCATTGTGACAAACAGGACAAACGCGAGAGGTGCAATGTATGTCAAAATAAAACCTAGTACAAATAATAAGAACCGAAATATTATATTTTGGAGATGCATGTCACAAACCTATCTTCAGCGCCGGAACAAATTGAGAAAGGGCGACCAGCAGAAAGTAGAGATTAAAGAAAAACTTGAATTGTTCATAGAAAACAATGGGAAGAAAGGTGAAGGCGTTGTATTTCTGATTTCGAACAGTGTTCGGTGGAAATCGACTCTGCAGTTTATCTGGCGGTTTGGTTAGGGGATATTAACTTCAATTTGGAGTATAAATTCCACGAACCCGGCGGTCGAAAAGGTATTATTCTAGACTTATCATTCTTCGCAACACTGCGTTTACTCAAAGTTGACGAGCGCTATCCAAGGGGTTTTAGCAGAACGTCGAAATGACTATCACCATAGCTCACGCGTGAAAGTGTTTCTGGCCGCTTTCTAACCTTTATTTCAATATCCTCGTCCTCGTCTTCAGAATGACCATTTCGATCAACATTACCGAGCAAGGTCGCCTCTTCCTCTGGATCATCCGCGTATCTCTCTCTCTGCTTCCCTTTTCCATTCACACCTCTGACATTCCTCGTCGAGGCGGCTATTGCAGCTTTCACAGTTGAGCGCATTCCGGTACTAGTATCTTCAGTGTCTTCGTAGTCTCCGTCGTGTTCACTGCTGTCTAATGGAGTGTAACCCGCTCTAGACTTGCCAATTCTACCGATGGAATGAAGAGGGATATCCGACATAGACGTACTCGGACGCTTGTTCAACCGTTTTTCAAGAAAGCCAGAGTAAAACCAAGATTTAAAAGATGTCCTGGAAGAGTCTAGGAGAGAGCTAAGGCTCAAAGGAAAGCAGCGCTGCTGCGAGTACCAGTTCAAGGTATGCTGTGAACAAGTTCTACTATGATCACGCGTATCCGCGCCTGCGCCGGCCCTCAATCGGACACCGGATGTACAACATTCGGCAGACTGCTCGCTTCAGGCTCGAAAATGATATTACAATCAGCTTACAGTAGACCTCGCCGAAAAGAGGAGAAGTATATATTTTATAGTTGGAAGGGCGTAAACTAACATATAAATCTAGTGTCTAGCTCAAAGCCCAATTTCATCAGAGAACGGCAGTGCGTGTATATCACCGACAGCCACATAAGTAGGCTTCCCCTTGACGATGGAGGAAACAACCTGTAAATTGATAATCAATCATGGTTCTCGCCCAAAATATGGTGATACATTACCTTGGAGAAAGCAGCTGCGTCTACTTTGTCCAGTGCCAAAATAGTGGATTCGATGGAGGTCTCAGAGCCGGAGAAAATCTGCAGAAACATCAGCTCTCTATGCACAACACAGAGAAGGTGAACCATACCTTTGCAGCCAAGGTGTTTACGATACCCTCTCTACCATCCAGGGCACTAGCAGCGCTGAACTTGGCTTTTGCTATAGCCGTCTGCAGCTCGTCGCCCTTCACGCCAGCCGACTCTTTGAGTGCTTTTGTTGCAACTGTTGCAGCCTCTTTAACGCCCTGGGCAGTCGAACCTTGAACTAGAAGACCAAAGAGCGTTGCATCCGAGTATGGCAGAAGCACAGTTTGAACGGATGTTCCTGCAGGGATACTAGTGGAAATGGGTGAAAGACCCTGAGACCACTTCACCGAGGGCTGAGGCGACAGATAGGCAGACAGCACAGAAAGTGCAGGGTCAGCTGGGCCAGTTGTACCAAAGCCAATAAAGACCGTCTGAAGGCCGCCGTGCGATTGTATGCGTGTCTCGCCACCAAAGTAAGACGATGGAGAAGTAGCAGGAGCTACGGAGGACGCGGCAGACGCAAGGGATTTTTCAACCAGCTTGGCAAGCGTCGACTGGTCGATGCCTGTACCGACCACAGCAATGTTGCCCTTGCTGAATACTGACGAAGCATATGACTTGATTTCCTCGGTGGTAATGGCGTGGTGTGGTGAAGCAAAAATTGACGAACCAAGCCCGGAACGGAAGGCAAGTGCATGAGCGGCCTCGACAGCGAGCGTTGCAGAGTCCGAGGAAGCAGCTTGGCTCTCAGCCTCGACCACTGGGACAACGTATTCGTCGTACTCATGACGAAGGTATTTTCCAGAAGTAATGAATGATGAAATGAGGTCCACGAAGAAGGGCCTGTAAAATGTCGGTTCAGGGATGGCAATGTTGGTAGCACCCATGTTACAGTTACACTCACTCGTCACCTCGCAAAAACTCTGCAGTCAAAGCCAGGTGCTCCCGAGACAAGCTCGAAGAAAGAACACCACCGTAAAGTTCGCTCTCTCGGACTGTTCCTAAAGCCGATCGTTTGGCAGTGCTCTAAAGTGTAGTTTTGGATGAAAAGTTGAAAGATAAAGTGTGTATGCAAACAAATACCTTGAAAGCAAAGTTTTTCAGTGCATGAGCAACACCAGGTTTAGTCTCATATCTGCTTCCAGCTTTGATGAGGAACGTGACGGCCGAGGTGGGTTGTCCGTTGTCTACCGCCGCAACCTTCACGCCAGCGGTGTCAACGACGGTAGCAAAGTTGCGCGCTATACGCGACGCATTGCGTGCGGCCGACGCTCTTGCAGCAAGCATCGAGATACTTTGTAGAAAAGGACGTGTCTGGTCTGCTCAAAAGCTTTGCGCTGTTTGCGGTACAGCTCGGTCGGAGTTGGTTCGCTGGCGGTAGACTCCGTTTTTATCCGACTCACTTACCCCCGCATATGATAAGTATCGAACGAGGCTGTAGGACAGCAGTACGACTATATATTTTTTGTTAACAACAACAATGTCATTCGATAGCATTGCAAAACAGTTACAACAAGCGGCAAAATGCCTTACACAAGATCAACAACGAGAACACTGGGACAGCAAGAAAAAAGAGCATAGCAAGAAAAGCAAGAAGATAACCAAGAAAACAAGTTTGCATAATTTTGTAGCGACCCTAATCTATTCTTTTCACACCTTCGTAGCCCACACAGTGTGGTAGACACTGACCATCCCACGCACGGTGTTCATGTCGTTCAGAAACCTACCAACCACGTCCTCCAGTTCCCACTCAAGCATCCCCACATCGCGGAGCATGGGCTTGAGACTATCTGCGAAAATTTCCATCGCAGCCTTATAAGTCCTACCCACGCTCTGCATACCCGGGTCTTCATGCCAGTCACCAATCGGGATAAAGTGCTCCTGGACAGTGATGTCCTCAAACAACCCGGATTCATGAATCCATTGAGGGATGTCGGAGGTGATTTCACGTAATTGACGGTAGCGAGCGAGCCTATCGTTGATGACACGAAAGAAATTCCCCGCCCCAGGTGCATAGGCGGAAGTGTGAAGTCGAGAGTTTGGAGCGTATTTGACATAGCGACCAACTTCACCTGAGAAGAAAAGGCCGCCTGGGCGCAAGACCCTCGCAACTTCTCTCAACATGGCCGGATAGTCCACGACCTGAAAACACATATCAGGTACATGCACGAGGGCGTGATACAATAGACTAACCGCCAACGACACACTGCGTGCGTGGACGAAATCCATAGTATTGTCGTGCCATCGCAACAAGCGATTAACGTCTGCCATTTCAAAATGCACATTTGCAGGCGGCTCTCTCGTTGCGATTGGGACTGGAACAGTTTGTGTTGAGTCTCAGTGTGTAAACAAGTAAATACAGACTATACCAATATCCACGCCATGAAATCTGACGTGTGTAAATTCGCTTGCCATATCCATTACCCTACGTAAAGCGCATCCTAAGTCACGCTCGAAAAGTCATTGATTGAGTATCGGATGATCAGACTTACCATTTGCCTGTTCCTGTGCACAAATCGAGCACGCGTCTGTGCATCCCCGGTGTAGGGGTCAAGATCTGGGCAAGTGGGACAACATAATTCGCATTGAGCAGCTGGCACAATGCGTCATGTTGAAAGTTGAGCCTCTAAAAGGGCAAGCATACGCGTCAGTGTCGATAACCTGGGGACAACGCCATTTGAACGCGACGTACTTGCTGTTCAGGCCCATCTACGGGCAATGGATAAGGCAAGCCACCATGAGAATGGAAGAGTCGGCCATCCCGTTCATCGAAATAACCCTCAAACTCGTGAGGTTGAATTTCAGTGAGAACGGAGGATGTATCCGAAGCAGCGTCCGAGTCATCAATGTCTACATGATTCCCGTTTGTTACTGTAGCGAAAACCTGATTGTCCGGCTCGTCGTCTGAATCCTGAGCGGCTTGTCGAGACGGGTCTATGGCCATGACAAAGAAAAAGCGAAGGGAAATGGGGGAGTCAGGACGACACCCGCCTGAAGAGGAAGGGAGATGAGAAGAGAGCTAAATCGGACACAGCAATCCCTGAATTTTATACCGACAGTAAACTCAGCGAAACAGTAGAAGCTGGACACGAGGACAAGCGGGCTTTTGGAATGGTAGTTCAGATGGGAATGATCCACGGCAACGTGTCGGTAGTGAGGTCCCCAGAGGGAGACCAAGCAAGGGTGGGTGCGGGTGGATGATATATAAAAAATGACAAAACAAGGCTAGATGATTTGAGGACGAGAATTTGAATTTATGTTGCGGGTTTCAGGTGGACTGTTCGAGGAATGAATGATTAATGTGGAGGGCATGTTCAGCATCGATGGCGGACAGGTGATGGAGTCCTGATCAGGAACGGATGGAGAAGAATAACCCAATGAAGTGCAAGGGCTGGGGGAAAGCCGACATTTACGTGATGGGACCAGAATAAAGAGCGGGCAGACAAATGAAGACAAAAAAACGAACCGAAGGTCCTGAACCAAGTTCGACGTTTTTGATGCGGCGGTTGCACTATCTGAAATCTCTTGCTATCGGCATCTGATCCACCAATAGACCAGGATTCTACCTCTGGGATCAATAAAAAAGACGCCTATGTGACTGGGTACGGGTTAATTCTGTCTGCCTTCTTACGGCGTGTTCTTCGCGCGGTACCGCTAATCCTGAGTAATTCTCAGGTACTATGGATGTGACATATTTTTGACACACTTGTCAGCCAACAAACGATTCACTGGCGGCAGCGGAAGCAAATTGGCTTCCCTCTTCTGTGCAGGCTGATTGCTGAAGAGCCGTTGTTTCTTCGCATTACGTAGATCCCTGCAGGGACACTCAATCTCAGCACACGAGCAAGATAAACGACACGCACCAGACGTTAGATCTCTGACACGTTGACTGTGAGTAGCCGTTGCAGCACTATGGGGATCCCTGCCAAATGTAGATGCGCTAAGATGCGAACAAGTTAGCACTTTGATCGTTTCTATGAATGCCATCCTCTCTTTCATAATAATTACGCTTACTTACAGGTTTGGTGCTGTCTAATTGCAGCCTGTTAGGCTGACGCTGACTGGTGTAGGTCCCTGTAATATTCAGCGACGAGAGCACCGTCTGCTCGCCTCGCGTTTCTACAGCCAATGTTTCACGCGACTGGCTAGCATCACGTGTTTCGTACATTTTTTATTGTGCCCCTATCGCCATCAAATAATGTGAGACGCGTCTTGCTCTGACTCCGACCTCCCAATCTCATTTATAAAGAGCAACGTGTAGCATACTGTGGGGAACGCGTCCCCCTTCTTTTTCTCAGCTCTACACCACCATGTCCGACTTGGACGACTTCTATGCCGAACAAGAGAGAAGGATGAATCTTCCAGATGAACATATCGATGATTATCTTCGCCGTCTCAGATATCATAAGAAAAGGTAAAGTAACGACATGATACGTTTCTTTGTTTCCTCTCAGCCTGAATCCAATGTGCAGTGGGACTCACGCCCGCGCCAGTGTCTACACGCCTGTCATAGATAAGAAGATCAATGAACACCAGCAAAATTATACCCAGCGCGAGGATGATCATACACGCCACAATTCTGGACTTCTGGTAGCAGATACTAACATGGTCACCGCATCGAGAATCACAGAACCTTCCCCTTCTTCTGGAAAGTACGACGGCACGTTCCTTCGAAAACCACATATATTCTGACCTTGGCGTTCACAGCCTCAAGCGCAAGATGCTTCAGCCGAGTCAAATTAAGGTGTCTCTCGAAAAGAGGCTGAAACATAAACACGAGCCAACTCTTGAAAACGTTTTGGTGGATCCCAGTATACAGCCTGCTGTTATCTCGCGTAATGAAACTTCCGAGTATGTCCCGTTACATTCGTCTACTGTTAATGAGCACTTTGATAAAAATGGGTCAAGACGCGGAACAGTGATGAACATTCCTGGAACGGATTCCGTCTGGCACTCGGTCTCCAAAAAGGATGATAACCAAACATTGCACGCTGGGGTCTCCGGCCAGAAGCCGGATGCGCGAAATCGGCATATATTTTCTGTTAGCAATCTGGAACATGTTGCCGCCCATGTAAAGGATATCGATTCGAATGATCAATGTGCTCAGAGTGCAGAGTCACCTCCTGCGACAGTCAAGGAAACCGATGTCATCAAGTCTGTAGCGAAGTCTAAAAGTGGCAGTTACGATCACGGTGAGGGTTCTGGAAAAGGGATAGTCAAATCTGTCGCGAACGCGACGACCGTCCGCAGTCCAGCGCCTATCTTGGGTCAGGTACTCCAGAGACCTCAGCCTGAGGTACAGGGTGTATCTGTTATCTCTGATCACCGTCTTCCAGCTGATGAAGGCGGCAAGGCCATCAAAGCGCCAACGACAAACCTAGCTATTCTGACAGCTGATGCTACCCACGGTCTCAGCGAGGCTCCTTCGTTTTCCTTCGTTCCTCCGTCGTCTTCTCATAGTAGAGAAGTTAGCACCAAAAAAATTACTCATGCTGACACCATAGCAGACTTTCCGGTAGGACGGCCGAGCTTTGCACCTAACGCGACTTCAACGCCGCTAGTACCCCCCAGATTATCGAGATCACGCTTTCCGCCACAGGCCACTTTAAAACCTACTCATGAAGGGTCGAGTACTAGTGACCAATATCCAAAGCCTAACTCCCACAAAAGGGTGACGAAAGCAAGCACCGTTCCCAATGCAAGCTATATAACCACTCCTGGGACCTCGTCTTCGGATGGCCTCAGTCGCGTATCATCTGTATCCGATGTGTCTGAACTATCTTCTTCTCCTTCCATCCTCGCGAGCGATGAGAAGATGAAGTCTGTTGGCAGGAGCACATGCAAAGCCTCTTCCACATCAGTCGTCAAGTCCAAGGTTATCAAGCAGTCAAAGAAGAAGGAGAAGCCTCCCTTGATGACACCCCTAGAATATGCGCAGAAGTTACAATCAAAACTTGACTTGCCGAACGTGCGCAAAACGAATTACCTCCGTGGAAAGCGTATTTTTTACGTGGGCGGTGATATGCAATACGCCAGCACGAAGACAAGGGGGCGTATGGATTACGTGGGTAATCATCTCTTTCATATCACTTTTTCAGTGTTCTCGGGGTACCATACCCCATGTATTTCTGTGATTGGTTTCAATTTGATCTTCATTGCGATGATTGGCTCTCGTAACCTTTTCTTTTCTGGGCGTGTACTCATTATTGTATCTTTTTACGGCATATCAGTGGTATTGACGCTCTCAGCGGTCTTGTTCATTTCCGCTGATCTTCTCCCGCAGATTGTTAAGCACGGGGGAACACTTTTACCCTTGTATAACCCGGAAGAAGTCACACATATCGTTACAGATGCCAATACTCGACCGACTCTGCGAGCTCTTGGGCTCAAATCACTGACAGGAATCCCGGATCACATCCCTACCGTCAAATGGAGCTGGGTGATCTCTGGGTTGGGTCGCTTAGGTATCCACAAAGCGAGTGGGAATACGAGCAAGGACAAGGGCAAAGGTAAAGCGATCGAGACAGCGGTGGAGAATGAAGTCGCGGAAGAAGTGCAAATGGACTACGAATTCTTGCATGCTGCATTCCCGGATCGTATAGATGCTGGCAGGAGTTGGCAAAGACTCACAAGTGGCAGCGAGATGGGAAAGCAAGCTCTGAAAAAGCTCCAAGTAAAGGGGAAACACCCAGACAACGGTAAAGGCAAAGATGCGGATCAGTTAGTGGGCGCTGGCGCTCAGATTGATAATAGCGATCTTAGTCGAATCTCGTAAGTCGAGTTGGTCACTGTTGCCGTCCATAAACTCAATTTATAGCTTTGATCTTGATCTCTAGCGATTTCACACAGGATCTCAAGTCCAGCCATCCTCAGGGCCCGCTCGAAATACTTCCCGCACCGCCTTTAAATATATCGACATCTGCCAAATGCAATGGCTCTGGCAACGCAGAAGCTACTACTTCGACGGACAGGCGCCCTGCGGATGATAAAAAGGATCCTCTAGCTGAGTTTTATCCTCAGGCGAAAGCGGAGCGTGATGCTGCTGTATGTAGCCTTGTCTGTGGCGTCAGTAAACTCAAACAATAACACACCTATACTTTAGTGGCGATATGAAGATTCGGACATAGAAGACGACTGTGATGAAATATTTCCTCCCGTAGAAAATGTTCGTGTCAAAAAAGTAAGCAATTCTGTACATATATATTACGAGCTGAGAGATAGAGTTTCCTTAGGGTTTTACGTGCGATAAGAAAGAGGTTCAGCGAACTGAATGCGCCAATCAAGATATCATACACAAGGTGAGTTTTTTTTTATTCAGACAAGAGGACGCATTCTAGACCATGCTTACGTTTTCATTCGCGTAGCTGCAGGAACTTATGGAACTGCACAAGTCGAAAGCCTCCGATGATGACCACTGGAGAGTCATCGGATACGCCAAATGTTAGTCAAATAGTTTAAAGTTCACTTCCCCCGTCGCCCCCACGTATTGAACTTTGTCTTACTTTATTGCAGGTATCAGAGCACTAAGAAATTATCCTCGGAGAATTAAATCTCTAAATGAAGCGCGGGCTATCAGAGGTGTTGGAGAGAAAACAGCACTGAAGGTAGGCGCCACTATACGGTCGAGATCCCAGAATAATCAATTTTGCATTTTCAGATCATGGAAATTATAAAGACGGGAGATTTGCGTCGTATCGAATACGAAAGAACGGAGGACATAGAGGCTACAACCATTTTTCAAGGGATATATGGTGTCGGCATGTCCTGTTTCCTCACTAAATGAAACTTTTTCCTGATTGCAATCACAGGTCGACAAATAGCACTCATGTGGTACGCCAATGGCTGCCGCACACTAGATGATATCAAAGCGCGAAAAGGTGGAATAAAAGTATCGTCTGTGCAAGATATTGGTATACAGTTCTATGACGGTGAGATTCCCAGTATATCAGTGTGAATTCTGTTTGTTCATGTATTTTATGACAGATATCAATGCGAGGATGCCCAGGGCTGAAGCTCAGCAGATCTTTACTCTCGTCAAACAGCAAGGTAAATATATCACGTCCAAAAACAGCTCACATAGCTCACGGGGAATTTTTGCAAAGCACTCGCATTGGACCCGAGACTTTTCATCGAGATCATGGGGAGCTTCAGGAGGTGAGTTGGCCCGGGCGCCTTAAGCACGCCATATCAGCCGCTGATGAATTGCTGTATCTATTTAATAGGGGCAAGGCTGATTGCGGAGATATCGACATTCTACTGACACGTCCCGTTGATGATGGGAAGACGCATTCTGGCAAGCTCAATGATTTCACACGTCCCCTTTTATTCTTAGCTAAGCCACGTTGACAGGCCTTCTCCTTAATCTACTTTCGTCCCTTCATGCTGCTGATATATTGACTGAGGACCTTTCTTTACCTGATGACTTCTCTTCTTTGGAATTGTCATATCGTGGGCTCTGCCATCTCCCTGAAGAGGGGTCAAGACGGAGAAGAATCGATATCCTTTGTGTGCCTTGGGAGAGGAGAGGCGCAGCTTTACTGTACTTTACGGTATGTTTTAATGCATGACACTCGCAATATACTATCGTGAGTGACACTGACATTACTGAACTCAGGGTGACGACATTGTGCGTACATGAAAGTTGATCATAATTCGAAACCATCGTCTCAACGCTTAATTTTCCAGTTCAATCGTGCCATCAGGTTGAAGGCAAACGTTCTGGGATACTCATTAAATCAGCGTGGTCTTTACCATGGAGTTGTACGCGATCCACGGGACCGACGCATCAAAGTATGCGAGGGTTAGTTATTGTTATGTCTTACCCGACGGAACTTTCTGAGAATTATCTCATTGTAGGAACTATCATAGCATCCGAGACAGAAGAAGAGATATTTAAGATATTAGGTCAGTGGTTCTCCACGTTTCTAGTATGCCGATGGTACAATTTTCTTCTTAGGTGTACCTTGGCAGGAGCCTCATGAGCGTGTACGAGGATGAGCTGCAACCCCTTGCGTTCTCTAATATTTGTAACTCGAAGCTTGGCATGGAGTATTATGTAGTATTAAAGAGCGCATTGTCGCCCTCTCAAGACGATTGCCGTCAGGTTCTGTATAAGCATTATTAATTACCATGTCTGAAATTGAGTTTATGTACTCAACTAGGATCCGTAGAACATATGAGGTTGTTCAATTAAAACCGGACCGACGCAGCAGATTTTGTGGTCGATCTTATCGTGGGGTGACAGGTTACAGTCATATGTAGTCAGAGGGCAAGGACCATCCCATCAGACCCGTTACTCTGGTGGGATCAAACTTTAGATTAATCAAGCTAGTATACTGCTCTGAAAACATCAATGACAAATTACAATACACAATTTGGCATATGCGTGACTCTTAGAGAGTAAGGTTACGCTCTGAAATACGGGCCCCGATGGAAGTATCTCGGTAGTGGCACAATGCAACACGGGAGCATGTGTTATAGCAGTCAAGCTAACCAGCCACGTACGAGATTGTTAGTGTTGGCTCAACCATGTGATATACTTCCGTAGGAGGTTTTGCGTGAGCGGTCCACAGTCAAGCTCGGGGCAGATGCGGAGCGACTCTGTAACATCCAGATTGACCCAAGACGATCTCGCCGCCGCATGGTTCGCATAAAATTGCATGAGCTGAACTGCCGGTATATCCATTGACGCCAAACCGGTAGAACCGGCTTGTTCCACAGCAGCCAGCCACTCCTGCATCGATACAGCCTGGATTGGTTCATCCATTGTGTTGGCATAAAGCTTCAGTACGTCAGTCCAAGGGGTTGCTGTGGGATTCTCGACATGATAGTAAACTGGGGATGAAGTTTGGCGACAGAGAGACAGCCGCACAACTGCCTGAGAGGCTATATCTGTTGGTAGCCAACGTGTATCCTATGGCGTTACAAAGGACGTTAGAGTGGTACCGAGAAAGAAAAATGGGCGCCTCACAGGAAATTCATTTGGTACAAGGTTGAGCTTGTGGCTAGATGTAAATAGAATCGGAATGTACTCAGATGGTGTCCAGAAACCGTTGACCGTAGACCCCGAGAGCTGTCCTGCTCGAATGACGGTTGCATTTAGCCCACTGCGGTGACACGCCTCATCGATGATCCTTTCTGCTACATATTTTGCCTCCGCATAACCCTGATTCCCAGGCAAAGAATGGTCCTTGAACTCCCTTTCCGGTACAGATAACGATTCAGAAAAATGGGAAACGGCCCCAATAGATGAGATAAAAATGTATTGAGGAGGAATTAGTCTAGTTGAGGATAATGCCAAATCGATTAGATGCCGCACGCCTGCCACATGTTCTCGTTTAAAACTTTCAAGTGTCAGATTGAAATTGAGATGCCAGGCAACGTGAATGATGTGTGTCAACTGTGAACGAAGCTACATAATAGACACGGGTATCATGAGTCATTGTTCTAACACGAAAGTGGACTTTCCTACCTCGGTCAATGCATCTTGAGATAGCCCCAGGGTTGGGGAGGACAAATCCACTTGCAAAAATTCTAGCTTGCTCCTTTGTTGAACTAGTAAGTCAACAGGAATGCCTCGGTCGACGAAAGACTGCATCTGCCGCTCGAAAGCCATTTCTGATTGGCCGCGATGAAAGGAGTAGACTTTTTTGATATCACTACGGAGCAGAAGTTCTCGAAGGGAATAACACCCAAGGCTCCCCGTTGCTCCAGATATAGCAACGGTATGACCTCCAGGTTCATCGTCGACATCAGTCACCGGGCGCGATAATTGAGGAAGTCCATTAGTAAACTTCTCCAACGAAGAGCCAATCCGAAGGGCCTTATCCTGAGCTAATTGTGGTGAGTATGCTGCACTCGTTAAACCATCATTTAAGAAACCAGAAATACGAGATATCGTAGGATGCATATAGACGATGTTGTAAGGAAGCGAAGGTATGTGTAGCTGAGGGCTTGTGAGTAATGCCGAGCGAATCTGAAAGGCGTGTAGCGAATCGAGACCTATTGCAAAAGTTCTGATGATCGTTGTTATCACTACAGATACAATACTCACCACAATCAAAAAAGTTATCATCGTCCACCAGGGTACGTTGCGCAACCTCGTGAACCACGCGACGAACAACCTCCAGGAAGTCGGAACGACTTTGCAAAGCATTGTCTCCAGACACTGTGGAACTGTTGCCTTCCAGAGATTCATATGCAGTCTCTATGTCCTTGACGTAAATCTGGATGGTTTCTTTTGTGCGAACAGTTCCTTTGTCAGTGAGCATAAATGGCCTCTTCGCATCAGCTATTATCACCATTTGGCGAAGGAGGCGGGAGTGCCGAGGAATGATAGTATTGACATGATCGATTGTCTTCCAGATGGAGTCTAGAAAACCCTCTCTGTCGGTAGTATTTGATACAGAAAAAGGATCTGGGTTCAGTATGATTCCATTGAAGGGTTTCCCTGCTCCAAACACAACGGCGTGCATGATCCTAGAATCCTGAAGTAGAAGGGATTCTGCGCATTGGAATTTGCCTCAATCAGCCGCAATATACTTATAGATGAAGGCTATACCGATTTGTTTATTGTCTGTCTTCTCGCCATTACTCAAGACGGTCTATAAACAAATTTTAATATTCCCCCAGCCTCAATCTGGAAGATCAACATACCACGTCGTCTTTCCTCCCCATGTGTTTCCAAAGCCCTGGAAATCTTGGGTATTTTAAATATTTAACACAAGTGAGCTAAACATACCTGCTTTGGCGGGATGCGGCATCCACAAATCATTAGACGAAAAACCAACTGGATTGCTGTGGTTGAGAACAGCTGGGCTATCTTTCGAACTAGGCTTTGAAATGAAACAAACATGGGTGAGTGTACAAGTTCGTCGAACATGTGCCAACAAATATGCGTACGGAAACAATTAATTCCCTGACAGGTGAATCGTCCACAGGCAGCAGATGGAGTGTGTAGTGATCTGGTTGGAAGCGAATGTAAGACCAGTCTGCCAGAAGATCATCGGAAGGCAAGTCCAGCACACTAAGTAAGCTGGTCTCAGACCTTATATGCGCAAACTTTAACCTAGCACATGACTGGAATCAGCTCTATAGTGAATTACTTACGATCCATACGAGTTGGCCAGTAATACTCCTTTTGTCACCAACGTTTTCGCGGCTTGCGGGTTCATTGGAGCTCCACCATAGAATACCCTTTTGGCTGACAGTAGGGGTGTTAAGTCAGCTTCTGGAGAGTTGGCGATCTCCTCCAAGACAGAAGGGGCTAGGAAAGTGATCGCCCCTGGAAGACGCTTCAGGTGCCGAAGGAGAGCCTGTCCATTGAGCGGTCCACTCATTGTTACAAACGTGGGTACCACACCGGATCCAATGGGCCATCGCGTGAAGGCATACAGGCCCATACCCTGTCAGCACAATAAATGCAGATAGCTCCAGCACAGGTACACCTATAGTAACTTACATGGAATAGAGGAAGGGGAGCATACACAGATGATCCAGCGTATTTTTCAGCTGTCCTTACTTGAATGCCTGCTACAAAGCGTCTGTGGCTGGTAGGAATCAGCTTGGGGTGACCTACATGATGTGCAAAGTAAATAAGTAACTGTAGTCCAAAAAATATAGCGGAAGTACGATTTGTTACCTTGAGAACCACTAGTATGAGTGTAGAATGCGACACAATCGAGGTCACTTTCATCAGTTCCACTCTTTTCTGAAGACACTGCAACGTGATCGACCTGCTTGCTCTCTGAACTTGAGTCCATTTCGAGCAGGATCAGCCCATCAATGGTATCCTGCATCTTTATGCCCGTTTCATGATGCAGTTTGTCAGTGATCAGAGCAGAAGCACCACCAACACGAAGGAGATGTTCGATGGCCTCCGTACTGTTGCGCGGGGACAGGAGGAGAGGCTTCAGACCAAACCAACCCGATATGGCGAGCATTATCAATATACACAGATCTGAACTTCAAACAAAGAAAGACAAACCGTCCATCCGAGAAGCCAGAGTGCTACGAGAAATGTATAGTACCGATGACCACTACCTGCCAAGAGACCAATCACCTTTTCCGGTAAAAGCGGGCGCGTATAGTCATACACGATGAGCTGTGAGGCAAGATGTTGAGATATATGCTGTGCTTCGCTCAAAAGTTGGCCCCAGGTGACATTTTGGAGTAGAGTATCATCTTCGTCGCCTTTCATTAGACGCGCAAAGAGGCGATCTGGGTACTTGGAACCGAGCTGTCGATAGACTTGAGGGATCGTGGTATTCGCGAGATCCAGAGGCTCTGACGGATGCACGGACGGCAGCAGCGTGTCTGCCATACTGGTCGAAAAAGAGGAGGTTGGAAAGGCCGTAAAGGAAGATAAGGGATAAAGAATATCGACTAATACCTTAAGCTCGTGATGAACTGCTGAACTTGCTACCTTATTAGTATACGCATAGCATCAACTGGGCGCTCCCACAAACAGGCTACTATTGTCGAATAGGCCACGATGCCGATGCCATGGCGCCGCATTATAATTTGGTCAGAGAATTCCGCGATCATGATAATAGATTATCTTTCTCTCTTTAATTATGCAAGACATTTGAGCAGGGATTGAGGCATAGAATCGGGCCGGGATTCACCAAATACCTGCCAAACGTGCATAGGCCTGTGATTACTGTATATATCTCGAGCGTTAGAGTCATTGTATGGAATACAACATCAACGATGACTTGAATAAGTTCAAGAACGGCAAGGGAGATATGATGTTGGTTTCGGTCCTGAAGTGAGCACAGTCGTAGCTCGGACAACTCAGTTGGTGTGACTCGAACATACATAAGTAACGCTAGTCACATATTGTGACGAAACTCGTTTGAAACCCCGCGACTTCCAGCGCTACCAACATTGACCCTCATCTAACCAATACCATTAGCTGAGGTACCCTAGTAAGTCATTTAGCAGATCAATATCTTGGGTGAGTTAATATTTTGAGGAAATGCTGTTATTGGAAAGACCGCCGACATCAGTGGCTTTTTTGCTCATGGAGTGACTTTTGCCAACAACGCACACACTGGGTCAATACGTGAAACATTGTAGATGGCACTCGGTTTGAATAACAACGGTGCAGCCAGTTAGGATGGGTTGCCTACAACTTACTAGATCCTAGGGTTGCAGACTTGAATACTATCAGCTATCCTATCGATCATTCAAACTCGTACTCTTTCAGTGACCGTCACGGTTTTCCCGTGATTGAGGATCAAAGTTATTGTTATTCTCGTGAGTAGAGCCTAGTCATCACTATTCTGTTCATCACGGACTTAATCAGTTCTATGCACCACAAAAGATGGATTACCATGCCATCGCGAAGATAAAACTTGATGCTTTCTCTTCCCTAGAAGGACTACTCAAATTGGGCTAATACAACAGCTGTCAGTTTAAAAGTCCCATTCTGTGAAGTCGCCGTTAATGTAAACTGCCGGTGGCCGTGGAACTGGTGCAATCTTAAGGTTATCATTAATATATGATGCTGAAACCGAAAGCTACAGGTATTCCTGATATTTAAAAGTACCAGTACTTGAATCTAGGCTTTCCGACACACTATGAAGGCACGTGACTGTCAGTAGATAAAGCTCCGCGACGGAATTTTGACGTTTTGATGGAGTGTCTACAGAAGCAAAAATTATTGACAGGTTGTAAGCACAGGATAGCCTGCGCTTTAGCTTGCCATGCCTGAGGCTGACCATATCTCTTAACGCTCAACTGGAAGTACTACAATTCGAACTAACGATGCTCCACATAGCACCCGTTGGCCCCACACCCTTATCGCGAATTCCACGCCACAGGTATACTAAAGTTTTCTTGGGGCAATTACGTGTTGGTAGTGCTGTAAGTGTCTTGATACATTGCCGCATCATCTCGAAGTTTGTCTCCTCGCTAGTTTCACCTCGCGACCGACGACAAAAAACCAAAACAATAACTTCACTCGTCAATCGAGAGCTTGCCTTGCCATAAGTATAATGTCAATGCAGAGCATTTTGTGTTCTGAAAAACGAGTGAAACCGAGATGATGTAGTAAATGATGTTTAACGAAGTCTTCTGACTCGGCTTCTGGCGGGGAAGGAGGTGATCGTGCCACAAGTGAGCTAGTACGCGTCGGGATATTACTAAATACAGCATAACACATAAGTAAAAGGGAAGCGCTTCTCCCTAGGCCTCTCTCTCCCCGGCATGCGATTCATTTAATATCCACTTTTAAATTCCTACTGCCTCTCCTTATCATATCTCACCATCCTTCATGCTTGTCGCTCGTGCGTGAGCGCTATCTCATCCAGCTTCCAACTTCACGCCCTTGTCTCGAGATGAATAACACCCTCGAAATACCATCTGATATCGCCTTACTGTAGGTCCTCATGTGTGCTCCACGGTGCGGTTTTCGCTGATTTTCATCCTCGGTTCAGCAACGGACCCATAGTGAGTCGTTGGAACTACAGGGAAAGATAGTTGCAAATTACTCAAAACGCAATGTCTTAGCTACTTGGATTTTTCTTTAACTGGGCGCTCGTCGGTGCATTAACGATTCAAGTCTGTCAGTCAACTTGTCTTCCTTTTATTTATTTTATTTTTAGCAGGGCTGATTGGCGTCCTAGTCTTATACCACATACACTATCCCAATGATAGCAAGAAAATCAAATATCTAGGTGATCCTTCATAGCATCGTGCAACACCCAAGTCTGGATATTAATATTCCACCAGTATACGGTCTTTATCTAACAGAATGGGTCCAAACAATACTCATGACCAATGATGCGTTTCAATGGTTTGTGTTTGGTTATGGTCACCCCAATACACTCGACAACTACTATACATCTTGGTTCAACGTGCCGGTATTGACGGGAATCATATCCATGGTCGTTCAACTCTTCTTTAGCTGGCGCGTCTGGATACTGGCGAGAAAATATTTAATACCATGTACTATCGCCTTTGTCAGTCCCAACAAGAAAAAACCTCTTTTCACTCCACCGCTCACGTGATCTTTTAGATTGCTCTTACTCAGGGTTGCGCTGGAGTGGCAAGCGGGATACAGGTCAGTCTTGACTACATGATGCTCCTGCGTGGTCACTGAGATATCACTTGTAAAGTTGCGCGAACTACCAAATTTTCTAGCGCTTTCAACTCTCTCACCTGCAGTCTCGGTGAGCCTGGTTTAGACGCTTCTCGTATCATATCTTGATCTTTTGCTATGAAGGTATGGCATGCAGGCAGTGCTACTGCGGATATCCTGATCGCAGTGTCCATGACCTATCTGGTAAGGCTTCCAACAAGTTCAATGGAGGCAACACCGTATATATACTGAGAGAGATCATCAGTTGCTCAAAAGAAAGAGTACGCACGACGGAACAAATTACGTCGTTTTGCGGCTCATTCAGCTGACTGTCGAAACGGGTTCAATCACAGGTGAGCTTTTTCACAGGCTGTGTGGGGACATCATTGGTATTCATCCACATCACCAGCTGTGGCTTCGATCCTGGATCTCGTACTCTTTCTGGTGTTTCCCGTGTGTTTCAACAATTATCCTCTCATCATTTATATTCTGACCTCATTATACCAGAACACCAACCTCCATATGTGCGCGTAAGTCTTCCAGAAAATTTGTCCAACTAATTAATGTATGTTGACCATTTATCTGCCTTCGAATAGAGCAATCATGCTAGGGAAATTGTAAGAATTTTCGAACGTTTCGTACTGAACAAACCTTGAGAAATCATTAACTACAGATATACCAACTCTCTCGTCGTAGGGCTCAATAACCGCTTCTATGCTCAACGGCACCACGATCGGCGCGATACCACGTCTACGCGCGTTCAGTTCGAGCAGAACGGGAACCTTAGTTCGCTCTCGTCTTCCTCAAATGCTAACACGACGAACAGCATGTCGTCGGATGCGTACAAATTGGCGGTCTTGCCTGACGTAGATACCGGTGCTAGCTCAAGCATGCTGAAGAGCATTGCCCTTGATTCAGAGGAACTGTGCCCTTTGCCTTAGTGTTGCGTAAGTCTATATCCTTACAATGCATTGCATTCGTATCGCTCAATGTGCTAAATGTAATAAGTTATCCTGAACAGACTCATTTAGCACGTTCTGGCCGGCCTATTCGAAACTCGGCTGGACAAACGACATATATAGTCTGCCTGCCATCTATCGTCGAGCTACTCGCTCGCTGTTCCTACGAGAGCTGTTCATACGACCTCACTGTACAGAGACTGCCGGCTTATATCGACAGGCCAAGCCGAGAACGGGAACGACAGGCCACGGTGTTTACAGTGGTAGGCCGATTTTGGGATGACTATATGCCCTATGTACATGGAGGACAGATCATCTGTAAAAGCTCTATCGTGATATCTGGGTGATAATTATGTACCGTTATTTACCAGATATAATTTTTTTTGTAAATCTCCAATTGAGCCTCGTAATTTCGCAAGTGGCATCGAGTTGTCTCACGTCCGAGTCGACGCTCAACTTCTCCACAACCATCCATCCGTGACAATGTCCATGATATGCGGTAGCTATACATACACGAGTAGAAGTATTTGTCTCCAGGTGTGTGATTTGTGAAATGAATACCTGATTCTAGTGATGCTTGAGCCAAGGATCACTCCTTTACCCTTTATCACAGACTGATCCAACGATACTGGTGTAGGTAGTTTTAGCCGGCGATTTGACTGCGCTTTCTATGGGTTCTCCAAGCGGCCTCTGCATCCTCATAAAGCGTCTTCAACAAATTCCTCTCACTTTCAGAATACCCTTCAACGTCCCATTCATCTTTCTGAAAACAGATCTCCCCTCCCATTTTAAGCCTCTCCAAAACCGTGTCCTTCCACCGTTTCCAAACTTTAGTGTCATTCGGAAGGAGACTCTCCAACAGTTTCCTGGGTTCTTCAAGCTGCTTCCCCAGAGCGAGAATGACGAAAACGACCATCGCCGTCCTAGTTCCCAGCTCGTACTTCTTCATGGGCGGCTTATTCAAGACTTTCTCGATCAACATATCTCTTTGCAATTTCGCCTTGTCTAGCGAAGAAAGCCACGAATTATAGCCCCACGAAAAGGCTAGTGAGGTCAAAAACATGATCTGACCAAAAAGAGTGCCTTGTGGAATCAGGAGTAGTTGCGCCAAGAATTGAACGGTTAGCAACAATGAGCATAATCCGATATTTCTGCGTTCTGGGTGCGGTTCCGAGTCATCGCTGTATTGTATCGAGAATTTGCCCATGATAATGGCATCGATAACCTCTTCCCTCCCCTTCAAGACCACGATGTCATTATCGGTCACTAGCAGGCCATCACCATCAGGAGCTGCTGAAGCTACGCTTGGACGACTGAAGGTGCATTTGCCAGAGCCGATGACGAAGCACGAAAGCCCGCTAGATACGATACCCAAGAGTATCATAGAACAACACCACCAGTCTCTGAAAACGCCACAGACGATGCATGTGCCCCAGCTGACTGCGATGGGGATGGCTGACAAGAGAGCAGAGGAGACTGGTAATGATAATTTGGGTCCGAGCTCTAGCGGCGGCACATGTGACAACTCTGCGATGGTCACTCCTGCAGGCCTCGTTATTCTTCCCTCCGTCCTGTAATTGGCCTCCATCGCTTTACATTCTGACACAAATAAATGTGCGAGGTGACCTGTCTGCGGTATGACAGCGCCGGAGTGTAGTCCGTGGTATGTTGGGCCTTTCATGTTGTCTAGCTCAAACATGACAGCTGGACTGACATTTCCACCAGGGAATAGTCCATCCCAGAATCGAGAGTTGGCGAGTTGACCGTAACGCTTAGCAACGGTGTAACTCCCCGGAGAATTGTACCATCCCAGCCATTTCCTACTCTCGTACATATGGACAGTTGCCATGGCTGATATAGCTTCGTCTCCTCCAAAGAAACCTGCAACTCCAGAGGCATCGAGAGTGAAATCTGAGTGTTGTAGTGGAATTGGGGGCATTAGTGCAAGAGGGTTCAGATCTTCAGATAGGGCGAAGGTGCTGGTTTGCTAAAGCTTGGTGCCGAACAAGAGAGCAGCGATGTGACAATATACACTACACGAATTATACGATGTCGAGGGAGTATTTCTGGGTCGGTTCATGCCAACCAATTGTACTGATATACTTCCGCCGACAAAAGAATACAGGGCTGACAACCGTGACGCTTGACAATCAGTTGATGACTCTCAGTGGCATTGATTGATACAGAGCTTCTTCCTCAAATAGTCGACCGCTTCTTCTTATTATTCTAGGGATGTGCTTCTTGCACGCCTATATTTGAGGTCAGCAATCGGTTGATACCTGAGCGATGGCGTAGTGATGATTAGGTCTGTTGAGCTACGTTCTACAATATGTCTAATTTTTTGAGCGCTTTTCCCTGGGTGGCTATGTTATACGTCAGACAGTGATCTCGAGGATGATGGAAACAGACAGATACCAAGACCCCAGCACACACAGCCTCAGTCAGGGCCTGTGAAAATCGAAGGCGAGGGCTCACTTGTCTTGCAAATACTATAGGGTACTGCTCCAAACAGTAAACACGAACATGCATCGTATATAGATATGCCTGATAGGAGGGTCATGCGCCTAGTCGCGATACACATGTGGGCCGAAGTTTCACAAAATACACGCTCTTGTGCCTATCTTCCATCTTCAGGCATTCTTGCCCTATCAAGGTACTAAGTTGTCTTTTAACGAGCAAATTGGGTCAGAAACGACTGAGAAGGAAGGGTGTAGAATGAAGATAATTCGTACAAGCTGTGTGTGTGCTAGCGACTTATAAGACAGCACCAGCTCCCAGCTCCCAATGACCGATATAATTTAATAGAATGTCAATAGAATGTCCGAGTCTGCGTGCCATCATGGTGTCTGAAGAGACAGGAAGGGTCGGTGGGGCCGGTGGAGTGCATGAGTGTGTACGTGGTTCAGATACCGTCATTTATCATGGTCCAGGGTTGTTGGTGGGAGTTATATCTACTAGATAGCCAACGTGGAAATGCACATTAATGACCCCTATGACATATATATAATCATTGTTTAAGGAATCCGGAGGACTTGGGAGTGTCAACTTGTTCTTCCCTGAAGCCTCGTATTGTTGCGCAAGGAGGTAGACTATCGAGGTGGGCCTAAATTGGCCTGTGTGGGAGACTGGGATTGTAAAAGTGTACTCCATTGGAGCTCAGCGCTTGTGGGGCCAGTGGACACAAAAAGAAGGCGCACAGGCGAAATGATTCCATCCAGTACCGTTGAACAGTCAAAATCGACCAAGAACTTTACACATAACACAGTGACTGGGTTCTTGGACCTGAAAACCGAACATCTGACAGAAGGATCGATGTGGAGACGAGCGATGAATAAAAATGCATCATAGATTGAAGGGAGGCACGCTGGATTCACACGTAATCTTCCAACGGAGCATTTAAGAGGGTGTGTCCTGTCGAAACCTGAAAACCGAGCACTGCTCAGCCACTACCAAATTAGAATGCCGCGGCCGTATGCTCCACACAAGCAAGTTTAAGTTGGGTCCTACTTTGCGTTTTGGTGTAATTTTGGGGCGCATTTGGAGGGCCAGAGGGAGTTGTATGCTTACACGAGCCACCATACGATCTTCCCCACCCACTCTCCTTTCTCATAAGGATGTTTGCTACAGTGTGACAATTCGGATCTCACTGGCAGGAGGATTGTATACAGTTATAACATGATTTTTCGCCAACTCTATATGACCCAGGCTGAGTTATTATGGTGGATGTTTGGTTACGGTTGAAACCTTGATGGTGCCGCAGACTCCGCACTTGCTCTTTGAACTCCGTCCATAGGATTTGCTGCAATATTGTAATATATACCTTGATTATACTCAATAATACTATTTCAGCTATGAGACCGTGACTTGACCGATCTGAGGGAGCATGTGCAATATGGTTCAAGACAACACTTTATTTTACAGACCCTCATTGCCAGCAAGCGAGATACAAGTATATGAAGCTAAGAAAACGGGGGTCAACACTTAAGCACACTTAAGGGAAAATCTCCACTTGGCCATTGTCAATGGCCCTAGTCATCATCAAACGAGCTGCTTCTGCAGAAGAGGCACAAGAGAACACGGCACAACTGACCCCGGTAACAATTGGGGAGGTGCCGGACCTGTAAGAAAATATCAGCAATGTATAATGAATGAAATGACAAAACCGGATAAACCCGGTCTCTGCCAAAGCAGCCATTGTTCTCCATGGAGCATAGCCACCACTCCATGGAGTAACCATTGTTCTCCTAGGAGCACAATTGTACTCCTAGGAGTCATTATACTGTAGTGAGTAGCACCTCCGACTATAAGTAGTAGGGGGTTTAGTATAGGAATACCTCAGTTGTTTCTATAGCCTCTCGGGCAGCGGCTGAGGTATGTTACATTACATTTATTAGAGATCACCTTAAACTAACATCTATTGTAATTTCACTTAGGTAAATAATAAAGTCGTTTCTATAGCCTCTCGGGCAGCGGCTGAGTTTCACTTAGTTTTATTATGAAATCAAATACATACTGAGCACTCACCAGCCTGCAGAAATGCCAATGCCCCATTTAATACTCACCTTTGCGCTTGTCCAGAGTGTCCTTCAATGTGCCACTTCACTGAAGCTCCATCGCCTCTGCATTCTACTGTTTCTACGTGACACCTTGTGGTGGCAGCATGGCCATGGAAATGAATGATTTGACATTGCATGGATCACGCTCAGAATCGGGAATTCAGTGGAGCAGAGGAAGAACAGTGAAATTGAGACTCACCGGTGTTCAGCATACGTACAGCCCCAAGACTTTCCAACTATATCCTAGACGTATATATACACCACTGTTAGTAGATTGTATTACTCAGCGAACCAATCCAGTCATGTCTGCCAACCAATTCACTCCAATTCACTTGCAACCCACCAGTCAAAAATGCGGGAGGTGCCGCACAACCTTTGATTACAACACAATGTTCCATTATGTCAAAGGGAAAGATGGCACTGGTCGCCGCTGTTGTCCAGAGCGTCACCAGCATTATGTGAACAGGCAAGCGGCCAGTGGCTCATTGCATGTTGGTACGTTATATTCTGTGTGTTTTCATGTCCTTTTGATCCGAGCCCTATTCAAGAGTTCTCGGCCGTTCCAGGAGAAGTCAATGCCACAGCAAGGAAGGCTCTTATCAAGGCTTCTTCGGCAGCACAACATGGAGGTTGGTTTTTTTTTTTTTTCATCTTGACTTGCTTTCTAACCTCACGTTCTGCGTGTTTTCTACCTGTAGAAGAGGTATATCCCAGGCAATCTTTTGGGTCTGATTGAGTACCAACAATGGGGCCTCCCCTGCTCTTTCTGCAATGGGGCCTCCCCCTTCTCTTTCTGCAATAGCTCCTGATGTCGTCTCATCAACTTCCCACCTTTTCTCATGTGCCCTCTATTTCCTCTGCTGGCCCACGCGGTTCTTCTAGCTTAGGTTACACTTCTAACCATTCTCTGCATGGCCAACAATGCGGCAAAATGCTGGCTGCCTCAACAATGCCTCAACACCAAGTTACCATTCAAATCGCTTTACACCATCTTCAAGAAGAGGGTAAATCTGGTTCAGATTTAGTAGGAGTAAGTTGTTTGCTTTGATACTACATTATAACGGCTCTTGTTAGACTGTTATCTAGAATATAGAGCGTGATATTTCTGTCCCACTCTCCATCACATGCTGTTTCCTTCGTCTCAACATTATCAACACTTTACAGCCGTTGTTTTTGGAATGGTCCAAGCAATATGACCTTTCACTAGAGAGTCTCGAGATGCGCAGAGCCCCCAAGTTGATACTATATGATCCACGTACACTATTTTTGAACATGGAGTGCCTTGTGCTTCATGACTTTTTCTATCGTGTTTCTGGGACCAGTCCTATTCCGAAACTTCAGTCCAACATTAAAGTAACAATCATCCTTGTAATGACTAATGCACAGGTTAAAGATATTCTAAGCTGGAAAGAAGAGCATGATCATATAGTAAAAACTGGGGAATATGCAATGGGCCAAGGCAGTGATTCTGACTCTAGTATGAGTCCCATGGACAAGGTATTTAGTTGTTTGCTCCAACTTCATGTTTTGATCTGGTGTTTCAGATTTTTCAGGTGATGACTATGCTGAAGTCCAAGCGTCTTGCACGGCAAAAAAGAGGCTCATCAAGTTTGAGGGTGTCTGTCTCAACTTTGAGTTGTCAAATCACACCTGCAGAGCATGTGAGTTCAATTTTCCTCTTTAACCCCTGGCTAAGTTTTTCTAGTGTCGGTCTCTATCACCCACCTCCAAGCCAGCTATGTTGTTAATGTTGTTAAATGACAGCACAGGAGGGTATTTTTATGTCCCAGAAAAAAGTCTCATGCAGTGAGCCATGAAGGCTCAGGAGAGTGTTTGACGCCAAGCTAAACCTACACGTGCGTAATGCTCTATTGCTGAGACAATTTGACTTATTAACAACACTTGAACCGGCAGTTGATGATAATGCAGCCTACTATGTCCTTTACCCGGTCCCGTCTGTGTTGTTCCCCCAGCTTTTGAAAGGGCTGATGCCATTTAATATCAAGAACAAAGGTGTACATCCCATCATCACTCTGGTGGTCAATCGTAGCTCCAAATCCATGATTGCCCCAGCTGGGAGCTTCAAGACTTGTCACCCAGCTTCTATCCGGCGTGCTCTTGGCTCTGCGACTGAATCAACCAACAACATACCCATTCTTCATGTGAACTTAATTGTTGCCAAACATTGTTTTTACAGGGAAGCACCCGCCAGTGCTTTGGCGCCTGCAGGAAGGAAGCGGCTAGCATTTAACAATGAGCTAGGGAAGACGCTTGATGAGACTAATTGCCTGATGGGCAACTAGTCTCATGATCTTTACTTACAGCTTTTTAGATGACATTCTCGCCTGGAAGGCCCCCAAAGCATCTTCTATTACAGTCCCTTGTCTCTGTGTAGTGCATAGTGCCCTTGCTATCCTGCATAGCCCCACCTCCCCGAATGCAGCAGTGTTCTTGCTTGAAGAAAGGATCATTGGAAAGTTCATTAAGTATATTAATAACAATAGCACTGTACCTCGCACCAACCTACTGCCGGACAAACTACAATTGGCCGAGTTCCTGTGCTGTGTCCAGCACATCCAGTATATCCTCTCTCACCACCTTGTTTTTTTGTCAGACTTTCAAGGTGTGTTCTATCCTCCTGTCTTTTTGGTCAATGTGATTAATGCTAACGAGTACATTGTATAAACAGGTGGTGATGATTTGTTAACTGATTGCCAAGTCATAACAACCATGTATATATCTACTTACCCCCATGCCCCATCTACTGATGCACTGACTTCTATACCTACTACAGCGAGTTTTCCTCTAGCTTCAGTGAGGGAAACTGGACTGAAACCCTTGAACAATTTGTTACGCTCCATCAATGCGATTTTTTTTGTGCGCACCTTGAGTTGGCGCCTTTGGCTAATGGGCCTGAGGTAAGACTTTTTCACTACATCAGGCTATCTCTACCAACATATTGTTATAGCTTGATATGACCGCTAGATCGGCCCTTGAAGATGGGGAGATTCAGAGAAACGTCTAACTCTAATGCCTTCACTTGTCACTTGCTGTACATAATAAATCTAAGTGAAACTCAGCCGCTGCCTGAGAGGCTATAGAAACAACTGAGGTATTCCTATACTAAACCCCCTACTACTTATAGTCAGAGGTGCTACTCGCTACAGTATAATGACTCCTAGGAGTGCAATTGTGCTCCTAGGAGAACAATGGTGACTCCATGGAGAACAATGGCTGCTTTAGCATGATTGTCACAGTGCAATGTTGTAGGTCCATTTTGAGCATGTCCAATTTCTTCAAAAAATGTCCAAAGCCATGCAAGGTGTTGTCCAGCATTGCCCAATCCAATGTACTCTGGGTCTCCAGACCAATCTGCATCCGAATATCCATAGAAATCCATGTCCATGGAGACATCTGTGCCATCATAACGTAGTTCTATGTCCCTGGTTGCTTTCAGATATCGGAGGACACATTTTGCAGCTTCCCAGTGATGACTCCTTGGAGCTGAGCTATGTCTGCTTAGTATTCCAACAACATAGGCAATGTCTGGGCGGGTTCCGAGCATGGCATACATCAGGGAGCCTACAATTGAGAGGTATGACACTTGACGCCCTTTAATATGCATCTCGTGTTGCACAATATCTTCCCCTGGAGCATTTGCAAGGAGTTTTGATCCATGGGCCATTGGTGTCCATACTGGTTTGTTCTTCATTCCAGTTCTCCATTGAGATAAGCTGTGGATACGTCCATTTGATCAAGTTCTAGATTGTACTTTGCTGCCAGGGCTAGAATAATTCAGATTGACTCTAAGTTTGCAACCGGAGCAAAAATTTCCTGGTAATCAATCCCCTCTCTTTGAGTAAATCCTTGTGCAACAATCCGGAGTTTGTATCTCTCAATGTTTCCGTTTTGATCAAACTTGATCTGGAACACAGGTTTTGATGTGATGGGTTTCACTCCCTTCGGAAGTGGGACAGTGTCATATACTGCATTATTATTGAGACTTAGGAGTTCCTCCTCCAAGGCAGACTTCCATAATTCACCATCCGGACGTGATAAGGCTTCCTTTAGTGTCCTTGGAAGGCCTGTGTTAGATGGACCAGTACTTGCTATTCCAGCAAAGAATGTCTCCTCTGTATCGGATGTTTCTTCATGAACCTCAGGAGTGTTGGTGGATCAAGGCAAAGTGAGACATATTTGCCGATGATTTTGAGATAGCGACTGCTGTGCTATCTCGACTAAAAGGACCTGTGGTGGGTCAATACGCCCAAGTAAGACTGCAGGAGTGCTACACAGCGGTAGTGTGGCCCACCTGGGACGATCTCAAGGTAGAGATCAAAAAATATTTCAAACCGCAAGCTGAGCGTGACTGGGCGCGTCAGCAAATCTGTTCCTTCAAGCAAGGCAGCATGAGGATGGATGATTATGTCACCCGGTTCCTGGCTCTCTCTATCCAAGGAGGGCTTGGAAATGAACATGCAGTAGAGCTGCTAGAATGCAATGTGAACCCCCGCATTGCCAAACAGATCTATCTGCAGGATACACGGAGCGACAACCTGGCCCTGGCAGCTGAGGAAGTCTGACAAGTCGGTAGAGCCATGGAGCTCTATGCTATGCACCAAGGTGGCAGGCCCACTACCAAAAACAACCAATCCCAGAGGCGCCCTGGGTCATCAAACCACCATAATCACTCTCACGGGTTCAAGCCGTTTGGGCTGCAGCCAGGACAGGGTGCTCTTATGGATATTGGTGCAGTCCAAGGCAGACAGATGCGCAGATTCAAGGGCAACTGTTACAACTGTGGCCAAGAGGGACACATGTCCCAAGACTGTAGAAACGGGGCGCAGGCTGCCCATCAAAAACATAACCAAGGGCACCAGGTGCGCCAATTAGAAATGGAAAAGCCAGATGATTGGCTCAATACTCTGGCCAGTCGTTCATATGATGAAATCCGGGCTTTCTTCTATGACCAACAGGTCAATGAGATGAAAGCTCAGGGAAAAGAGTTTGGAGCTTAGGTCACTTGGGTGCCTTTGCTCCTCGAAACAACAATGAAGCAAACCACAACAAAATGGCCCCTGCTCCGGGGTGTTGGACGAGCAATAAAGGAAAGACAGTGGTGGCTCCCCAATTTGTAAATAAATTTCTTAACTTATCAGAAGTATGTACTTGTATGAAGAATTGTAACTGTAATATTTATAATACTACCGCTGCACCAGCGTCTCCCTTGGAGTGTGGCCCTGGCGAGACAACTACTAGGGTGCTTGATTCTGGTGGAAATAAAAATAAAAACATAGAAAATATTAAAGTAGAAAAACATGTTTCTCTCAATTCTTCTTCTTCTTTGGAGCCACCCTTCCCTGAAATCCCAAGGCATGTGTTGATGCGCACATATATATTCCAAAAGGAGATCTGTTTAGATGTTGGTGTGGAAAACCTTGCCCGGGGCATAGTACACCCAACCAGCGCACTGCTTGATTCAGGCGCTAATAGAATCTTCATAGATCAGGTCTGGGCGGAACAAGTTGGACTCCCCCTTGTAAAATTAGATGTATCTATTCCTGTCTATAACGTTGATGGTACACTTAATGCAGGTGGCTGTATCATGCACAAGTGTTCTTTTGTTGTCGAGTACCAAGGACACAGAAAACGAGTCACTGCCAAAGCTACCCAACTAGGGAAAATTAATTTAATCTTAGGCTGGACTTGGCTATTTAAACACAATCCTGAGATTGAGTGGCAGACAGGGGTTATCACATTGTCACGTTGTCCTCAGGAGTGTGAGGACTTATATAAACCGAGTCACGTCCATCAAACAGAGCTGGATGAAAGGATAAACACTGGTCACGTTTATGCTAAGCTCCGCTCTTTAGATAAAATCGAGGATGTCAACGATGAGGTAAAACCTGAGGAAGAGATTAAGAGGCTAGTACCTCCAGAGTACCATGACTTCTGGAAAGTCTTTTCAAAACACAAATCAGAGCGCTTCCCAGAGGCTAAGCCTTGGGACCATGCTATAGATTTGAAGGACACCTTCAAACATAGAAAGGGACATATGATTCACCTCTCTGCTCCAGAAAGAGATGAGGTCTCAAGTTTCATAGATGAACAGCTTGGGAAAGATTACATTAGACCTTCCAAAAGCCCTATGATGTCCCCGGTGTTCTTTATTCCTAAAAAGGATGGTAAGAAGTGTATGATTATGGACTATCGTTACTTGAATGAGTACACAGTTAAAAATGCATATCCGCTGCCTTTGATCAGTCAGCTAGTAGACAAGTTGACTGGTGCCAAGATCTTAACAAAGATGGATCTTAGATAAGGGTACAATAACATACAAATCAAAGAAAAAGATGCTTGGAAGGCCGTGTTCACGTGCCACCAAGGATCCTTCAAACCCCTTGTTATGTTCTTCGGGTTGACCAATTCACCGGCGACCTTCCAGAGCATGATGAACGAGATCTTTGTGGATATGGAAAATTGTGTTGTCATTTACATTGACAATTTATTAATATTCACAAAGTCAGACAATGAGGCTGAGCATGACAGGATCGTGCAAGAAGTCCTTCGATGCTTACAGAAACGGGACCTATTTGTCAAACCCGAAAAATGTAACTTTAAAGTGAAGGAAGTAGACTTCCTTGGTATGATAATTAGTCAGAACGGAATCAGGATGGACCCTGAGAAAGTTGAAGCTATATTGGATTGGCCAGAACCTACTTGCGTCAAAGGAGTTAGGGCCTTCTACCGAAGATTTGTCGAAAAATTCGCAAAAATAACGAGACCATTGAACAATCTCACTAAAAAGGACACTGTTTGGCACTGGGGCACCAAAGAACAAGAAGCTTTTGATAAGCTTAAACAGGCATTTACAACGGCACCCATATTAGCATTTCCAGAATTAGATAAAGAGTTCCGGCTAGAAACCAACTCTTCTGATTTTGTTACTGGGGCTGTTCTATTAATTAAATGCCCTGATGATCTTTAGAGGCCTTGTGCCTATTTGTCACATAGTTTGTCGCCTACAGAACACAACTATCAAATTTACAATAAGGAGATGCTGGCCATCATTAGAGCTTTAGAGCACTGGCGGCACTACTTAGAAGTTGCTAGGCACCAATTTGAAATTTGGACTGATCATAAGAATCTGGAGTACTTTATGATGGCCCGAGACTTGAACCAGAGACAGGCCCGCTACACAGTGTACTTGTCTAGGTTTAATTATAAATTAATTCATAAGCCTGGAACTTCTATGGGGAAAGCGGATGCTTTATCCAGAAGAGAGGATCATGCCAATGACATCGAAGATGACAACAAAGGTGTCACCCTGATAGATCAATCATGGGTTGCCAATGTTAGAACCGGGCAGGATTCCAATCTTCTGGAAGTCTTCAAGAAAGACATCTCCTCAGAAGAGAAGGCGCACCTTGATGGCAATGAAAACTATGTATCTTCCATTTTAAAGATAAAATCTATGTGCCTGAATCTGCAAGGATCAAGGCAATAGACAGACATCACAACACTCTAGTGGCTGGGCACCCTGGGTGGCAACGAACAATGAACTTGGAGTTGATCTCCAGAAATTACATGTGGCCTGGCATGGTTAAGATGTACAGGAATACGTAAAATCCTGTTTGAGATGTGCCATGGCAAAGAACTCACATCACCCCCCGGCGGGTAAACTTATGCCAAATCTGATACCAGCTGGCCCCTGGCAGGATATATTGGTTGACTTTACAATGGATCTGCCCAAATCAAATGGGTATGATTCAGTAATGGTGGTAGTAGATCGCTTCTCCAAAGAAGTGGTATTCATACCCACCAATAAAACCATTACCGCCGCTGGTATGGCAGATTTATTTAAAGATTTTGTATGGTCTATCCATGGGTTACCTGAAACAGTTATCTCTGATAGAGGACCCCAATTTGCTAGCAAATTTACAAAAGAGTTATGTCGGATGCTGGGTATCAAACCTAAATTATCCATGGTGTTCCATCCGCAGACTGATGGACAAACAGAGAGGCTCAATCAGGAATTGAAGCAATACCTCCAAATATTTATCAATGACAGACAGATGGATTGGGCCAAGTGGCTAAAGATAGCCCAGTTCTCTTATAATATTAAACAGTCATTGGCTACAGGAAAGGCACCATTTGAGGTTACAAGATCATACCTCCCCAGAATGGGTGTAGAACCTGGCAAAAGCAAGAACAAGGCTGCAGTGAACATGGCCCTTGAAGGACATAAAATCATTATTAGACAAAACGCGCAAAGCACTATTCAAAACTGCAGAGCAGATGGAAGACAGGGCAGAACGTAGACGCTCCAAGGCCCCTGATTACAAGGCCGGCGACCTGGTCTGGTTAGATACCGACCACTTAAAATTGAAAGATCGGCAGTCTAGAAAACTGACCGAAAAGTGGATTGGCCCTTACTGGATTAAGGAAGTCAAACCCAATGCAGTGGAGCTGGAACTCCCAAAATGAATGAGGGTAGTACCCACGGTCAACATTAGCCATGTGAAACCCTACAAAGGGCCGCTGCCAGGACAGTGCGTGGACCGGCCCGGACCGGTTGTAGTCACCCAGGAAGGTGAAGAAGAATTTGAAGTTGAATGAGTGGTGGATGCATGCTTGAAGCGTAGAAAATTAGAGTTCCTAGTCCTATGGAAGGGCTATGGAGACGAAGACAGAATGTGAAAACCAGAAGCCCATCTGGACAATTCGCACGATGCTGTTCATGAATTTTATTCTAAGAATCCCTCAGCTCCAAGGAAGCTTAGAAGCATAGATTTGAACCTTTTTAATTCCCCCCCTCAACCTATGCCTGAAAATTTAACTACTACCTCTAATATTTGGTCGAGCCTGGAAGTCGAGCCTTAGAAGGGGGGTAGTGTTACAATAACACAATTTTTGGGCCTTTAAATTTCATTCTCCTCTTTAACTTTCTTCTATAGTTTTCACACACTGTGCCATGCGGCACTTTCCTTTCGTTCAAACTCCACCTTCTTGTGCTGTGCTGCCTTTCTTTTATTTTTAGATACGGAGTATCTCACAAAGTGGAGCTGGTCACACGGGCTGCGCCCTCTGACATCATCAGCCACTGCCTTCATCAACTGTATAGTACACATGTACAAACAACCTGTAGTAGTATATATACCCCAATAGATCAAGGAGACTCCTCAGCGAGTCCTCCTATTGTTTACCCACAACTAACTCGGTCCTATCTTAAAGGGTAACTACTCCCTCTCATTACTCTTTTGCTTGTCTGAGTTGTGTGTCAGAGTAACCAACTCTAAGTTGTTACAGGAGCGGTGAGGGACCATGTGGGATGTTGCTCTGGAGTCAATGATGATTGTTGTTTTGGTCTTATCGGGTTCTGACACAAGGTAAGCTTAAATGCATTTAGCAAGGGGTTTGGAAATATGTACATGTTCCAATGCAATATGACTCTGTTCTTCCTCGGAGTCAGATCCAGATGATTGCTCTGCCATATTTGCCTTTTCCTTCTCTTTTCTTTTATCCTTGTGTCTTTCCTTTCCCTTCTTCTTTTGACCTTTTCCAGCTGACTGAAGTGTTCGACACTCCAAGGTGTTGTGTGATTTGGCTTTGTGGAAGTCACACCACTTCTCCTCGGATTTGAGTGCTGATTCAGAACCTCCAGGGGACTTTCCTGACTGTTGTGCAACTTCTGCAGTGATCCGGATCTCAACTGCATCAAAGGTAAGTTTATTTTCTTCAATCGTGTTGATTACTGATGACTGAAATATTTGCCATTCAGGAGTGCATGGGAGAGATTGGAGAAGAGCAAAGGCCATGAGTTTGGTATCAACTCTTAGTTTCATTCCGGAGAGGTGTGAATCAATTGTCCAGATTTTCGCAATGTGGTCCTGGATAGGTGATGTCCCATCCCAGGACAATTTGGTGAGTTGCTGGAATGAATAGAAGGCCGAGGCAATGTTGGACGTCTGATGGAGTGAGACAAGTTTATTAAATAACTCCTTGGAGCTGGTGAGGTCTCCAGTCCTCATTAGGATGGCATTGGAGATGTGGTCCTGGATGATTCCATGTGCCTTCTCATCCTTAAGTATCCAGGTGATTTCAGGATCCTCCAAGGAGGTGGGTTTTCCTGGTGAGGGCTTAAGCTCCTCTCCAGTAACAACCCGGAGAACTTTTTCCTGACGTAGCTTTGAGATGATCCAGAGTTTCCATATCTGAAAATTGTTGGGTCCAGTGAGAACTGGACATGCAGATGTATTGTGTGCTGTGGTCATGGTTCCGAGGTTGCCGTTTCAAATAAGAATTATTTCCTGTGTAGCTTTTGCGCACCAGGGCTCATAACCTAATAAATCTAAGTGAAACTCAGCCGCTGCCCGAGAGGCTATAGAAACAACTGAGGTATTCCTATACTAAACCCCCTACTACTTATAGTTGGAGTTTGCTACTCACTACAGTATAATGACTCCTAGGAGAACAATGGTGACTCCATTGAGTGGTGGCTATGCTCCATGGAGAACAATGGCTGCTTTAGCAGAGACTGGTTTATCCGGTTTTGTCAGTACAATGTAGCTTACTATGTCTTTTTTGCTGTGACTCAATTCTTGCAATAACATTTTTGTTAGGATAAACCGACTGACTTATTGAACAAGGACTAACTCAGAGTAAACGGTCACAAAAATTATTATTTACAAAGTACACCTGTAGACCTGGTAAAATAAGCTATCAGAGGTAGAAAAAGGTAGGCCGCTCATCGGCATGCGTTTTAAGTTTCAACCGTAACCAAACATCCACCGTAGAGTTATAGACGCGCAGATTCACGATACATGTCGCATTGAGCGCGAGAAAAACCAAGTTATTCCCAGGCAGAACAACCGTGTATCATACAAGTGATGCTACGACGATAGATATTTCTGTTGCGAGCTGGCCAAAATCGCAGGTCACCGAAAATCAGGAGAGGTTACAGACTGTCACGTCTCTAACGGATTACATATTCCCTTCCTTAGCCACGCTTTTCGAGTTGCGTGGCGTATATCTCCAAACCCTTCATGAGGGGCTTACATACTTTTCTGACAAGTCCAACTTCCAATATGAACCTGTGCAAAAATATCAATCTAGCGGTCCATGGTAGTATGGGAGAAGCGAAAACCCACTCTGTCCCTAACGACATTCATTCCACCCTTGGGATGCTCTTGGAACTGTACAGCTTGACTACGAACCTGTATTACTCATCTTAGCCGGTGATGATTACTGTTAAATTGGCGAACCCACCGAAGACCAAATTTTGGCGAACAACACCAGCTTGTCACAAACTAACGAAATATCTTCGAAATCGGTTTTGATATGAGCAAACTTCTCTTGTTTTCGATTGACGTCTGCGAGATCATTCTGTTTACCTAGAAGCTCTGCCGCCCTCTCTAATGCAGCACAAGCATGGTTAGAAGGCGATGGCAATTACTCATAATCACACTCACGATTACGCTGTGCTTGGAAGGCAGCAAGGACTGACCCGGCAACGATTATTCCAACAACCTACAGAATCGCGAAAAGATATTTCATGAACAGAATCAGATTAGAGACATGCACGCACATTAAGCAGCCCAGTGCAGAACGCAAGCGCCGCCCTGGCATCCATGATCTATATGAAAAGGGTCAGCCAATAGTTGACGAAAGGGAAAGTTGAATGAGAATTAAACCTTTTTGTCTAAACTACACATTTTCACGATTGGCACCAACAGCGATGAAGCAGAAATAGACCTACACTTCAATTTCTCCCGGAGACCTTCAATATCGAGTCTCAATTGCGCTGCCTGCGCTTCAAGTTCTACACCATTGTCTTGTCTTTGATCCATTCGTCAAATCTACCGACGAAGGCCTGGATATTACGTTTGAGGTTGAGAAAGTTTCGCGACATTCATCATGTTTTTGGTCCTATAGTGGAAACGTTGGCAACGATTTCGATTCAAAGTGGGGGTGAAAAACACACAATGACTTCCTGGAGATCGTCCATGGCATCCGTGCAATCCTTGTTTGTTACGATATTTTCCACCGACTCAAGGTAAACCCTGTCAAAACCTGTACGAAACGATTAGTGGCTTACTCAGTAAGACCATGGAAAACGCACGTCTAAGGAGTGTGATGTGTTTGGACGCCACGTCACGGAAGTCCGATAGATACTTCGCCCAATTATGGTCATTGAGTACGTCAAAATGTACATACCAGAAAAACACTGGATCTCACACCCTTGTAAATTTTCCGTTCATTGAGGTAGTTAAAAAGATCAAAAATCGGGGAAGTCTTTGCCATAATTCATAGCAATGCCCTCGAAGCCCCGAGTGACGCTGTCGAAGGCCGCGTTGATTGGTCCAAACACCGACCTGCTTGACATTTTCTGTCAATTCATTGTGGTTGTTATCCACTTCGTCGAGGGAAGATCCCAAGAATCGGACCTTTTCTTCGTCGGTGGGTCCATCTGCCGCTTTTCAGCTGCCAAGTACCTCCTGCGAGTCTACAAAGCTGAGGGTTGCAACTGTGGCCATGTTGAGTAGACGTGATTAATACGAGTGAGAACACTACGAAAACAAACTTTCAAGGCACGGTTTTTATACAGAGGGGTTCCTTAATCCAACTAATGATGACTGGCGTGCATATTGGAATCATTGCGACATAGCATAAGAGACGTGTTGGATGAAATGCGACCAAATTGGACGAGATCTGGAGTATACCGGTTAGCAAAAAGGTACAAGAATAACTCGATAAACGGAAAGACGTACTTTTGGTTCGAGAATTGACAAGTTGCTTGACATTGGACAGACGCACTGAGTGGCACTTTCTCTTTCCAGAAGAGTCCGCACGCGTAACCTAATATGACCATCTAACTTAAAGTACTTTGGAGCAGACCTTATATATTGATGTCAACTATCGTATCAAGGATTTGGTTGGCCAAAGAAGATTGCGCTGGAACTACGAAGGTCATGGAACATCATTATTCCGCCTACTGGAAAATCCAGCCCTCGAGTTTGGCCTTATACTCTGCCAAACCCTCCATTAGAGGTTTACATACAGCCCTCGCAACCTTAACTTCGTTTTTGAACCTCTGTAACTGATTAGTATCGGACCATCCATTCAGAGGAGCACAACACTACCATATTTGTGCTTGCTTCCAACCCAGCTTTGAGATGTTCACGGAACTGGACGGCCTGGCTTCGAACCTTTAAAGCACGTGGTTCTACCCAACTCATGATCGTTGACTTCAGGTATCAGACTCACGGAAGACCATATTTCGGCGAATACAACCAGCCTTTCGAGCATCAGATTGATGTTTGGTTCCTCAGGCTGATAATTGCTGAGCTGGGATTGCAGATGAGGTGCTTCCAGCTTTTTCAATGCTGCGAGCGTGAGCTGCAAATCTCTGAAGTTCTCTGCTTTCTCTGGAGCATATCATGTAACCTGAGCATGAGTGGATTTAACGACGGATCTTCTACGCACTATCACGCTGTGCCTTGAGCGAGGCAACGAGACTAGAGGCTCTGGAACCCAACCCAAGGCCCTACAGATAGAAAGATGTGCGTCTTGGATGTGATCGGATTTCAAAGACGTCTACTCACTTCTAGGATGCCTACACCGACTATTTCAATTGTTGCTTGCGCAGATTTTATCTGTTATTAAAAGGGGTTAGCTCGCAGCTTGGAGTATTTAAAATCGAGCGATAATGAACCTGTTCCTCCAGGCTATCCAAGAGTTCATTGAGTGGCAGCAATCACAAAGCGGGATGAAAGACGCACACTGCAATGTCTTTCCGAGACTCGATCCCAAACTCTGAGGCCTTGAGAGCAAATCTGCCTATAAATTCCGCAATATCACGCTTGAGTGTCAGAAACTCTTGGGACATTTGAACAGAGTGATCATTCTTTTCAAGTTCGTCCTATGAAGGAGATGTGAATGTCATTGAGAAACATGAAGATGGTGGACAAACAATGAATGGCTCTAACGCTTGGATAGCCGCGATGCGATCCTGCTCGGTCTGGACATTTTCCACCTTCGCAAGGTAAACCATGTCAAAGCCTAAGTGAGGTGATTGTCAGAGTACCGAACTTTGAAAGCCATAAATGAACAACATACGTCTAAGAATGTCAACATTTTCAGCTGCAACTTCGCACGAGCGACGCAGACACGCCCTCCAACGCTTCGTAAACAATAGTATCAAGCCTATCCTATACAAGGAAGGAGGGATGAATTCACCTGCCGGAAATCCTCCCACTGCAGACATAAAACAAAAATGAAGGGGAAGACAATGGCACAAAGCACGAGCCTTTGTTGTACGTCGCTAAAAGTCTTGTCAATGCTCAAGGCCAAGTCAGCTATTTGGCTGATATTATCTTGAAATCTCTTTGTTTGGCCGGGGTCGTTCAGCTGAGCGAGAGCAGTGACTGCGAATTCGTTTTTTTCTTCCTCGGTGGGGCCATCCTGTTCCCAACGCTGAAGGATCTTCAAACAGTCCTCAGGGCTTAAAGTCGCCACGGTTGCCATTTTAGAAGTTAGCAAGGCTGGACACTTTCTGCCAAAACCAAGTGCCACACCACACCTTTAATATTTACGCACTCAGGAGTACTCACGGGGGACTCGCCGATGAGCGGCCATCCCTGACCAGGTTTAGAACATCCGCAGTCCTGCTCTCGCCACCCTATTATCGCGACGTCGCCTGACTGGAAGGATGAATCGATGAAGAACGATGAAGAACGCATCATGTGAAGTGGGAGTTGCCGAGCTTCATTCTGAATAAAGAACCGAATTAGAGATTTGGTTACAGGAGGTAGTTGAATATGAATACCTTGTGGATTCTCGAGCCCTGAAGGAAGAATTCGGCTTTCGGCTTGTCATACAACGAAGCATCCAATATCGCCTTGTTCGGAAGAGAATACTTGTTCTGGTTTGACCTTGGAATGATGGTTCCATGATGAAGAACCTCGTGATAGGCTAGTAGCATCTGAGTACCACCAATGACTGGACAGTGGATGATATCAATGGTTCATCTTAGACTCCTAACGCGGACAAGATTGCGGCGTGTACGTTGTAGCAGGTTGTAGTCCACATGGTAAGAAACGGGGCGACTACCCTGCTGTCGATACGGTACGTTTACAGGAAAGAATGGATTCAAAGCTGGCTTACTACCTCTGGGACTCCGGTCACGTGTCACATCCACTTCTCGCTGGTACATCGCGCCAATTCTCACTTTCTCATGTGTCTAACAATACCACAGTTTCAAGCTTCCCTATCTTAAACAGCACCTTCCTTTCAGATATTTTCTTGCATCTTATCAAGGCTCGTCACTGATGTACAATATAATCGGGGTCTGTTCGACCTCACTGTTGTTTTCAACAGATGCCAATAACTTGGAGGCAACCACCTGCCTTTCTTTCCCGCCGTCGTTCTCCTGTTTTGGGTTTTTGTTTATTTGCTGCATCAAAAATTCTCATCATGAACTCATCTGAAAGTATGTGAAATGTGTTAACAAGATACATGATTGATACATGGTTCCAAATTCTTTTGTTCCTTTGTAGACGACGGGATCAAACTACTCGAGCTTCGTTGCGTAACTATTCAAGGCCTGTCGGATGTGCGCAGCCCCAAGTTTCACCAGAGCGACCTCTTTCTTGAGGCCCTGAAACATTTCAATCAGTTAACTTGTCATGAAACTGAAGATAACGTATGTATTTCACCTCAATGGTCTTACTAAAGTCACTAGCCTTGGCAGTTTGGAGGACGTCGATGACATGTTTGCTTTCTACACACGCCTAGAGAGGCTTCTTCAATGCCGGCAAGAGAAAGAGAACGAAGCCACCTACGAGCGCCTCGATTTCGTTAAAGGCGTTTTTCACACCCGGAGTGGTATCTAGCTGGTATTTCGTTGAGGGATGCGTTTCCTGGAACGAAGAATTTTCTCAGGATTCGCAAGGAAACAGGTAGGGAAATGCGGACACCCAAGAAGTCGTTGAACTCTGCGATAACTTCCTTTACATCACCCTCACTCCCGATCATGTCTATCAATGAGAGGAAGACTTCGATAAATCCTGCAGGACAAACGTGTCAAATTGGAAGCTCGAACATTAGCAAAGTATCTATCTCACTTTGGTACCAAGCTGAAATAGAAGAAGCAGCATCTCGGGTTTGCTGCAAAGTACTGACCCAGCGCTTAATTTCATCCTTTAGAACTCGCCAGATCGTTATACGGAAAAGAAACATACAGTGCTAAATTGCTCTGTGCTGGTTTGAAGCTCGGAAACAAATTGGAAATTGGCGCTATATTTGCTGGCGAATTCTGCAGCATCTCGTTTGCCACGATCAACGCCTTTGTCAATGGTGATCCCTTCGTCAGAAAGGCCTTTGATCTTGGTGATGAACGGCTGTGGATTTACGAGCGGGGAAGTGTAAGACATTCCTTTTTCGATAAGAGACGAGCGAGAGCGAGAGATACTGGCATTATTCCACCGACTTAATTTTTATACTGCATCGTGGCTGAATCGAAGCGCCTACCAATCTGAACTCTGCATGGACTGGCTCAGGCTCCAACTCATAGATCAATCCTGAACATGGACCCCAAAACCACACTCAGTACACGACTTGTAAGTTAAATGTCGGATACTATCATATTACGCGTGCGAACTCTTCTGGAAAGAGAAAGTGTCACTTAGTGCGTCTGCCCGATGTCATGCAATTTGTCAACGCTTGAACCACAAGTACGTCTTCGCATTTATTTAGTCACTCTTCTACCATTTTCCTAACTTGTGTACTCCAGCGTCCAATTCGGGCGAATTCCATTCTACACGTCTTTTATGCTATGTCGTAATGATTCGATGCCGAACTTGCACAGATCATGAGAGCAGCTTGGATCTTGTACCACGATTTAGGTTTTTTGTTCGGCGGAATTTCTGCGATTATCCATGGATTATCGCCATCATTCATTGGACTAGGAGTCCTCTCTATACAAAAGCCGTGCCTTGGCGTCTGGTTTTTGTAGTATTCTCACTTGTATTATCACTTGTATTCGACATGGCTGCAGTTGCAACCCCCAGCTTAGCGCTATAATTTCAAAAATGTTGACACTTCTTGTGCACTCCCTAAAAGCCTCTTTTGTACTATTTGTATGATTGTACACTTTTTGAGAGCCTCTGTGGGAGCCTCCTCATCAATACATCAAAGGAATGTTCCAGAGGAATGTCCCAAGTATGGATAAAAGTTATCTCTTTACAGTTATGTCCATAACACTCATATAGTGTAGATTGCTATATGTCAGCTATAGGAATGTTGTGTCTATGTTAATAGTAGTTAACATACAAGCTAGAGATCAAACATAGCTTCTAATAACATTTTCCATACCCAAAGCTACTGTACTGATCCAGATGCTCCACAGACATTATGGAATCAAAGGTATAAGTCTTCTGCATATCTACATCATGTTAGAGGCTCCTGTTGTGTCATATATCATGTGTTATTCCGCTTTTTATGTTATTTTTGCAGTGATATCCTCATATGTTTCAGGATACATAATAAGGGTATACATACCTACGCATGATTATGGTGTGGTAATTGTTCAGACACACTCTTGTGTTGTCTGGGAAGGGCTATATTATTTTCAAAGTTCCCAGAGCATCTGTATACATATCTAATTTTAGATCAGATGTCAATTTATGCATAATTGCAAATATACTGTGAGATCTCTCAGATATATCCTGCTAATTATAGTGTCTAATCAAGCCCATTTATGTTTATGCTTGGAAACAATTTCCATGACTACAGCAAGCCTCCATGAGCTAATTCTCCCCCAGAAATTGAAAAATAAACATATGTTTATATGTCAGAAACACATAACATTGGATTATACAGTCTACTCCCAATATGAATTGATTCTATATTCAATGAGGATAGTATTTAGTACATTGGCTCTACATGTTCTACATAAATTAGCCTGAGAGATAGTAAAAAGGGCAGTGAATAGATTTGTTTTGGAATAGGGGTTATATCAGCATATCCAAAGCTTTGTTGGTGGTAGTGTGGATATTACCACATATCCCTATTTGGGAGACTCTTCTTTGATGTAGTGATGGGGTGTTACAATAGACATACCAGCACCTACTTTAAACTTTCACTTTTACTATATATTTTTACTTTTCATTTTCAAGTCATGTGACTGGTCATGTGACCATTCACTTTACTTTACTTTTCAGACTTTATATAGTCACATGACACATTACCTGACCAGTGTCTAGACTCAACATGTGACTGGTCACATGCTGGACCTTTAAACTTTCATTTTCCTATTCAACTTTCTTCTCCTTTTATACCCTTGTCCATGTGGTACATTTTTTAAATAACTCTACTTGTACTTTTATTTTCTTGCACCAAACTGCCTTCTTTATTTATAGTCACAACTCTCTCACGTGGTGGAGCTGGTCACAAGAGCTGCACCCTATGACATTATCAGCCCCCACCATTAGCAACTGTATAGTACATATGTACAAACACCTTGTAGTAGTATATAAATGTCAAAACCGTGACCTTTCAGAAGAACAGAGTTTGGAGTGTGGAGATGGAGTAGAGAGTGTAACGGAGGATGAGGTTGGGAATTGATTTAGCTCATGTGCTATCTCCTTCCGTGAACCTTCGTCCCTAACTCGTCGGAGTGAATGGATGAGAGTAGAGGATAAAAAAGGAGGATTGGAAAACTTAGAAAGGGCTTGTGTAAAGGCAAGGGAATCTAGTTGATATTTAAACCGCAGGAATGGAGTACAGGAGCTACAACTTATATACTGTTGGAGGTGTGGGAGTTCGTAAGGAGTGATTTATAATGTAAGGTACAGAGTTCCATGCAGACAATTATCTAGCGGAGCGAAATTGTATGTGGGAGGAGTGTACCATAAAGTCTAAACTACAGAGTCCAAGAGGCAGACTAGGAATCTGGCACAGGAATATCAGAGCAGATATCCAAAGTACTGTGTGGAGGTGATGTACAGAATTATGCCAACTGCAAGGACACAAGGGGCGTAATCCTGAGAGTACCAAAGATTTGCGGGGTTTGGACTTGAGAAAAATGTCCTTTTTGGAAATTCTGGAGTTTTGCCTTCTGGCATGGATATTGTAAGGAATTGATTTTCTCATCGCATTCCCATCATGTTGTGGTTATCCAACTTGTTCCCCGTCACTCCTCTCGCTCTTGGACTAGAGATTGCAGCCAGGACTTTATTACTTCTATCTTTCTTCTTCCTATTTTCCCTTCATACTAACATTCTATTGTATTTATGACAAAGAAGAATCAGCATAGACCCCCGAGAAGATATCCAAATGACATAGCTACAATCCAATGCTATGTCCAGGAATACTTTGGCGAGAGATTAATCAGCAATGTAGGCTGTGACTCAGTATCTTCCCATGGGCTTACTGATACAGCCAATTGTACATCTCTTACTAAGGCTCTCTTTCACATGTTTAGTAAATACAATAGATCAGACCACTTCCCTTTTTTCTTATTGGTTAACCATTTAGTCAGGCCACTCTTGTACCTTTCTCTCTTTCTTGCCTAACCATTACTATTCAGTATATAAGGAGTAGATATTCTATGTATTATTTATTAGTTTGGATCTGCGCCTATACAGATACTCTTCAGCTTTCATACTCTGATCCATCGCCTTTGATCAAAGACTTGGACAGGCATTGATTGTTGTTATATAGCTTCATATTTGTTGCCTGACAGATATGACAATAAACCCCAATAGATCAAGGACACTCCTCAGCAAGTCCTCCTGTTGAATACCATCAACTAACTTGGTCTTATCTAAGGGAGTTTATCCACTCCTTCATTCATCTCTCCTTGCTTGTCTTCACTGTGCATCAGAGTACAGTATACTGTAAAATTTCTGGTTGTAACACTGAGAGCCTCTTAAAAGTGCTGCCAAGGGTGTCATGCTGGAGGAACAAACCACCATTTTTCTGTACACCTATGTCACTGGTCTATCTACCTGCCATCTTGCTGAACACTTTTAAACCTCAGTCTGCACCACACATCAGCTCAAAACATCACTGAGTGTATTTGGCATTCTAAAGTGCTGGTTTTTGATTTTGAAGGCTGCCCTGAATATGTCATGTTTATACAGGCTCTCATCCCACCTGCTGTTTTTACCCTTCACAACTTCGTCTGTACTCATGATCTGACTGATAGGGACAACAACAAAGAAAGACACTGATCTTCTCACACCCAATAATGGCAATAATGAGGAACTTTTGTATCAAACAATGGAGGCAGCTTACCTTGCAGCAAACAGCCAACGAGATAAAATTGCTCAGGAGATGTGGGTAGACTATTAAACAGAGCTGCAAAAGAGAGGATTATTGTAAGTTAGTATACTACATTGCTCACTTGCTGTCAAAGTCACACATAAATAGATCAAATTAACCAATAATTTTATTGTGGTAAGAAGAACATAGATACAAGTACATAACAAGATGAGAATACTAATCAAACTACTAATTAAGCAAACTGTGAGCAAACATAGACATAGAAAAACTCGTCACTCTGAAAAAGGCCAAGATATGTATCTACAACTACCATTGTCACAATAGTATTTTTGACATCTATTTCACTTTTATTTTCCTTTTCCTTTATTTTTCAGACTTTTACTTTTGGAAGTCACTTGGCTGATCATGTGACATAACTGGTGTCTAAACTCAACATATGACCAGTCTATGACATCATATAGAATACAATGGAACACTACAGAATGTTTACCTTTATATATATTAACTGTACAGTACTACTTCTGAGCATACCAACTCATACTTTTTCATTATTATTTTTCTGAGTTCCTTGCTGTGTGCACCAGAGTATAATAACTTTGGGGTATTGTTACAACCATATCATGCTCAAAAATCCAAAATAGCTAAACTGAATCATCTACACAAAGGTACTGATTGTTCTTCAACACAGCAGAGATGGCATGACTTTTGATGGACATGTTCTAGGTTTATAACAGGTGTTTCTGGCTGGGAGAATTTGAGAGGAGGACTAGGGGAAGCTTCTGTACTGAGGCCAATATATAGTCTAGTGTTGAGGTCCTGCATGATGAGGAGGAACTTGCCAAGTCTGCTGTTCAGGCCAATGAGTATAGTGACAGTGGTGTTACATGGGGATTTGTTAGAAACCTAGCTTTAATTGTTTCCACTTGTGCTCTTGCTGTGGGTGATGACAGCTGCACCTTCATCATCATTAATCCCAGCATGCCAAGCTGGAGTGATTGCTTCTAGTTAAAGTGGTCAAACTCATGGGAGGATGCACAGCTGCAAGAGTTTGCAAGAGTTGGCAAGGAAAAGCCGCCAAGCTGGTTATTGATGCAACTGGGGGGATCCTTTATGGCTATATCAGACACACCTGAATGAGGGATGGCAGGTGTGGTGTGATAGGTGTGAAAGCAACAGCAGGTGATGGCACAGTGTTATGCACCAAAGTTGATTGGTAGCATGGACAGGTGTTAGTAATGAAGTGAATATTCAAAAGACTTGCCTTGGTGCCACACAGGCAC